ATCACCTCGACCGCACCCACGCCGACATCAACACCGACCCACACCCGTCCACTCCCCCTCTCCCCGCCGCCGCCGACTCGACCCCGCCTCCCCCTCCTCCTCCTCCTGCCCCTCTTCCTCCTGTCGCCGCCGCCGCCACCGCCGCCGTCGAGTCGGCAACCCGCGATCCCGCTCCAGTCGATGCTCACGACTCGTCCGTCACGCCGCCATCTTCAAGCCCGGCCGTCGCCGTGCCCGACCTCGGGCCCGTCCTGTCGCCCGACAACCTCGACCCGGCCGCTGCTGCGCCAGCTCAAGTGCGTCCGCCTCGCTCGTCTTTCCCTGCGTTGCCCCCAGGGCTCACCGTCGTCACCGCCTCGCAGCAGCAACACACGCCCACCACCTCGCGCGTCCCTGCGTCCCGTGTCGGCCGCCTCTTTCACTATGGAGGTGCGTCGCGCCCTCTCTCTCGTCCCGCCCGTCGAACCCGCCCGCATCGTCAGCTCACGCACCTTTGTCCCTCCCGACAGGGCTCGCCGCGAGCTTGGGCTGGGGCATGGCCAGCGAGGCCGTGCGGCGCACCGGCCGAGAGCCGTCGTCGGCCTCGCGCTCGCTCCTCATGAGCGAGGCCAACCTCGAGCGCCTCGTCGCCAAACTCGCAAAGATGCGTGGCGCCGCCCTCAAGCTCGGACAGTTCCTCAGCATCCAAGGTGCGCCCGCGCTCGCCAGCTCTCGATCGCTCTCGGACCCCCTCAACGAGCCTAACTCACCCTCGTCGCCGCCCGTCGATAGACACCAAGCAGCTACCGCCGCAGCTCGAGGCCATCCTGCAGCGTGTCCAGAACAGCGCCAACTACATGCCCGAGTGGCAGACCGAGGTTCGTCGCAGCGTCTTCCTCTTCCCTCCTCTCGCCTCGCTCGCCGATGCCTAGAAGCGGCCCTGACCGGCCCTGCGTCTGTGCGTCCGCAGAAGGTCCTCGTCGACACGCTCGGCGCCGACTGGCGGTCCCACTTTGACGACTTTGACCTGCGCCCGTTCGCCGCCGCCTCGATCGGCCAAGTGCACGCCGCCACGCTCTCGCCGACCTCGCCCCTCGCCGAGCAGTACCCGGGCGTCGAGCGTCTCGCCGTCAAGGTCCAGTTCCCGGGCGTCCGCGAGTCGATCACGAGCGACCTCGCCACCTTGCGCTGGCTGCTGCTCGCGAGCGCCGCCCTGCCACGCGGCCTGTACCTCGACAACACGCTGCGCGTCCTCGGGCGCGAGCTCGACGACGAGTGCGACTATGTCCGCGAGGCCGAGTGCGGCCGCCGCATGCGCCACGCCATCGTCAACTCGCCGCTGCGCGCCGACTTTGACGTCCCGCGCGTCGTCGGCGAGCTGAGCGGGCCCATGGTCCTCACGACCGAGATGATGACGGGCCGCCCGCTCAAGGACGTCCTCGACTTGGACCAGCCGGCACGAGACCTGGTGAGCTCGTCACGTTCCTCTTTCCTCACGGTCGAGGCCTCCAAGGTCGGTCGGGCGTGCACTGACCCCCTTGCCCCTCGCCCCGTTCCAGATCGGCACGCGCATCATCCAGCTCTGCATGCACGAGCTGTTCGACTTTCGGCTCATGCAGACCGACCCCAACTGGAGCAACTTTCTCTACAACGCCCAGTCGAACAAGGTGCGCCCTCGCGGTCCTCCCCCTCTGCCCCTCTTGCCCTCCTCGTCGACCTTCCTCGCCGTCGACAAACGCCAACCTTTTTTTGCCCCTCTTGCCCGTGCAGCTCGAGCTCATCGACTTTGGCGCCACCCGCGAGTACTCGGACGCGTTCATGTCGCTCTACGAGGGCCTGCTCCGGGCAGCTGTCGACGAGGACCGCGAGGCCGCCTTGCGCTTCTCTCGCGAGCTCGGGTACCTCTCAGGCGACGAGAACGAGGTCCGTCCCCCGCGTCTCTCTCTCTCTCCCTGACCAACAGTGCCCGAACCCGAACTGACACTGTCGTCCACGTTTCCCGCAGGTCATGCTCGACGCGCACCTCGACTCGCTCTTTGCGCTCGCGACGCCGTTCCGTCCGTCGTCGCCCTCGCCGTTCCCGTTCGGCGACCTCGGCCCGCCCATCACGGCCAAGATCCGCGCCCAGATCCCCGTCATGCTCAAGCACCGCCTCAGGCCTCCTCCCGAGGAGACGTACAGCCTCAACCGCAAACTGAGCGGCGCTTTCCTCCTCTGCGAGCGCTTGGGGAGCCGGGTCCCGGTCCAGGAGGCGTGGCGGGCCGTCTTGAAATGAGAAAGACCGCGTTGCATCTCTCTCTCAAGATCTACACACGCTCTGTACAAAGTCGTCGATGAGAGAAGGCCATGCCGCTGTTTCGAGTCGGTCGTCAGTCCCTGTGCGACCTCGTGCCGGTCGACGAGAGCAGAGGCGGACTGCAAGGCTCACCTTCCTCGTCGTAGTTCGAGAAAGACTCGTCGACGGACCGCGCAAAGTCGAGAAACTGTGCACGTGCGGCGGGACGAGAGGCGAGTCAGGGATGCTCGACAACAAGAGAGAGAGAAAGAGAGAGAACGAGAGACGCACGAGGCTCCAGGTGTCGCGCGAGACCGCTCGCCCGCCCTTGCCCTCGAGGAACGCGAGCCACTGGGCCAAGTGTCGAGCCGGGAACGTCGAGTCGGGATCGAGAGGGATGAGGAGGTTCCACAACTCGCGCGCGATGTCGAACTCTGCGCACGCGCAAGGGCGGACGTCAGTGACGGGCGCAGGGTGGGAGGGAGAGGGGGACGCACGCAGGCTCTTTTGCCCTTCTGCCTTGGCGTAGTCGAAGGCAAAGTTGTAGATGCGCTTGAAGGTCGTCGGGTCCCGCACCTGCTCCTGAAGCTTTGCGACGTACTGCTTCTGGCGCTCGATCGAGTCGCACCTGCGCGCGAGGACAAGCTGGGTCAGCCCGACGCTCGGGTGAACGAGTCGCGAGGGGACGGTGCGCGGGCTCACCCGACTGCTTGCCACGCCTCGGTCCAGCTGCGGCGCGAGAACCGACCCATCGTCGGCGCTTTGGTGAACCAGGCGAGCGCGAGGAAGACGACGTCCTCCGGGTCGACGCCGAGGTCGCGGCAGTACTGCATCGTGCCGTCCATGCCGATCTCGTCTGGCGTAGCTGGATCTGTGTGGGGCCGTGTCAGCTCGGTGCGGCTGGCTGAGAGGGACGAGAGGGGAGCCGAGACGGACCGTGGTACACCGCCCAGACGGCGTCGAGGTTGCGAGCGAGCGTGGCGTTGCTCGCGGCCGTGGTCGCCGAGGTGGCTGCGCCGGCCCGAGGATCGCTGAAGAAGGCGTCCATCGCGTTGTCGAGTCGCCAGGACGCGGCCTTGAGGAACCTCGTCGCGTCGGCCGTTCTGCGCAAGGTCGAGGAGGGACGAGGGAGGTCAGCTCGGCGAGATGGGCAGAAGGGAGTGGGCGGTCGACGCACGTTGCACCGGTGATCTCGACAAACTCGCGGAGCCGCGCCTCTTTGGCGCTCTTGCTGACGGTGCTCTGCGGTGCCGCGAGCGAGGAGGGTGAGCGCGAGGCGGGCGAGGCGAGGCGAGGTGGACCGACCGATTGCGGGCGGTCGACGCACCATGAGAGGGCTTGGGCAAGTGCCGAGACGGTCGAGGACGTAGGACCGATGAAGCGAGGAGAGCGAGGCTCGAGGTGGGGAGAGCGGTGGCCGCCCGCCTCACACGACGAGGGCGACGTCTCGCGATTCTCTCGCTCGCTGCGAGGCAGCAGACACAGACTCAGACGGACAGGTGTGAACAAACGCGCTGCACAACTGCTACAACTTGCGATTCGGCTCGCCGCTCCGAAGCCGCGCTTTGTACGCCGCCGGGCTCTCCAACTCGCTCGCCGCCTGCGCCCACATGCCCACCCTGCGAGCGCTGCGTGCGTGCGACGACGGGTGAGCTCCCACCTGCTCGGCGACGATACCGTGACCAAGGAGGAGGAACGGTCGGACGCACCGCGCTGCCGCTTCGACTGCTCGAAACCGGTCGAGCTGTCCTCCGTGAACGGCGCCAGCTTGCTCGTAGACGGTCGCGACTGCGAGAGGGACCCAGTCAGTGCGTGTGAGTCGCCGAGAGGGAAAGAGTCGAGAGACGTGTGACGCACGGCCGGCCTTGAGGAGGACCTCGGAAAGGTTGCGCTGGCGCAGGTACGGGAAAGGGCGCACGTACGCCATGCCGACGACGCGCCCGTAGCGGTCCTTCTGAAAGAGCTCGACGCGCACTCGTTTGCCGACGCACATGGCGCTCAGGCTGCAGCAGGAAGGGAGGGTGAGGACGTGGTCCGGGTCGGGTGAGGAGGGTCGGTCGACAGAGGGCTCAACAGGTCAAAGGCTTCGCCCGAGAAGGGCTGGGCCGCCTTGCCGAAATGGGCCATCTGGTGCGTCGAGCGTGTCAGGGGCGACGGGGCTCGAGTGGTCGAGGGTCGGGGGGACGCACCTCTGGAGCGTCGACGCCGGCGAGCCTGACCGACAAGGTTTCGCCCTTGAGACCTGGCGGGCGGGAGGACAGTCAGGACCAGACACCGCGAGGTAGGGGGCGAGTAGAAGGTGTGCGCACCGGCTCTAGAAGTTGGCGGGCGCAGCCAGGGCCGCAGGAAGGGACGGTGGAACAGGCGAAAGCCATCGGCGTCGCCCACGCTGCACGAGGGAGGGGGGCGAGCTGAGGCGCGCCGGGGGCAGAAGAGAAAGAGAGAGAGGTGTGCGCACCTGGTTACAGTGCCGCGCAGCCGGGTCGGGCTCAAGTCGGCCGGGGTGAGGTCGTCGACGGTGCGGATGCGGCGCCCGAAGCGGTGCCACACTCTGGAGCCGAGCGCGAGCGCGAGAGCGGTGGCGGTGCCGACGACGAGCGGGTTGGTGGCATCGAGTCGAGAGCAGGCATCGAGCCACGGCGTGCGAGCAGATGGTGGCCGACTCGAGGCGGCGACAGAGCTGTCGGCGGAGGAGGACGGCGGCGACGGCTCGGGCACGGTTGCGTTGGCGGGTGACGCGAGGCCAGCAAGCATGGTACGGCGGCCTGGGCGGAAGCACGCTGGTCCACAACCCAAGGCCGGGCGAGGTTGAGACGAGCGAAGCAGTCTGGTCTCATCTGGTCCGACGAGCGGCAGCCGTCCCTCTCTCTCCATCCACCTTGCGCTCTGGCACTGCCGGCCCAGCTCCGTGCCCCGCCTTGAGCCCAGCGACCCCCAACAGCTGCGCGCAACCGACACCCGCTCTCGCCCTCGTCCTCGTCCTCTCGGCACCTCGTCAGCTCAAGAGCCCTCAGCCGGACAGGGCATGCTCTACCGCGACTGGGACCGCTTCAAGGAGGCGTGCAGTACCCTCTGTCGCGATTCGGACCACCCTGTGCGCCCCCCGTCCCGTCTCTGTCCCTCGACCTCCCTCCCCCTCCTTGCCCCTCCCCCGCCCGCCGCCGCGCTGACCCACTCGGTGGTCGACAGACGCGCGCGTGCATCCGGTGGCGCCATCAAGTCGGCCTCGTCGTCTTCAAGGTCACCAACGATGCCAAGGCGAGTTGCCTCTGGTCGCCTCGCCCGCTCGGTCGAGGCCGCTCACTGACCCTTGCTCCGACCAACAGTGCCTCACGTTCAAGACGCGGTCGACGACCTACCTGAACCGGTTCGACGCCCTCAACCGCGCCCTGCTCCGCCAGTACCAGAACCAGCGCCGCCCGTCGTCGCCCTCGGCACCGGCCCCGATGGCGAGCGAGTCGACCGAGCGCCCAGGTCCGGTCCCGGCGGCCGCGGGAGTGCAGGCGTCGAGTGCGACAGCTCGAGGTGGAGGCGAGGGGCCAGACGAGGCGGCGGCCAAGGCCAAGAAGCGGCGGAGCAAGAAGAAGGCCAAGTGAGGCGGGGAGCGGTTGAGCTGCATCGACGGCTGTGCGCTGTGCATGTCTCGCGCGAGCCGAGCGAGAGTCGAGAGAAGCGTGCAGCGTGTTGCAGTACCGAGCCTGAGCGACAGGGAGAGAGTGAGAGCGAGGCGGTGCACTCTGCAGCTCAGCTTGGGCTCAGCCCTCACTCGCTCGCCCGCTTCTCTCGCTCGTCCAGCGTCTCCGCCACGCCCAGGACTCGCTCGCACGACTCGCACAGCCATGCAGCCACCATCACCACGCGCGTCCGCCGCCGCCGCCGCCGCCGAGCCGACTCGGCTCCTCATCACCAACCTCCACCCGTCCGTCGCCGCCCACCACCTCCGCGAGCACCTCGTGGCCTGCCCGCCTGCCCCACCGGGCATCACCGACCTCAAGGTCCTCTCGCGCCCAAACGGCTCGTCGCGCTGCATCGCCTTCGCAGGCTTCAAGTCGTCCGCCGACGCAGACCGCGTCCGCCGCTGGGCTGTCGGCGCATGGGTCGCAGGCGATCGCGGCGGGGCACGCATCAAGGCCGACTGGGCCAAGGACGTGCGTCCATCGTTTCCCCTCTCTCTCTCTCCCTCCCATCCTCACCCTCGACCCCTCGTCTCCGTCCTCGACCTGACCTCCCTCCCGCCCGCAGACCCGCGATGCACCCCGTCCCGCCAAGCGCCTCAAGCGTACCGACGAGCCTCAGCAGTCGACACCGCGCGACGACCGCTTCAACGAGTTCATGGCCGTCATGGCGCCCGCACGCCCTCACGCCGAGCCCGCTCCTGTCGACGTCTCGCGAGCCGCCGCTCCCGCCCAAGAGCATGATGCCGCACCTGTACACCTGTCGCCGCCTCCGCAACATGGTCAGCGCCCGAATGCCCCGATCGCCGCGTCCCCGAGCGAGCCAGTCGTCCTCCCCGACGTCGTCGTCGACGACGGCGCGGCAGGCAACGCCGAGCTGAGCGACGCCGACTACCTCGCCCGCCGCATGAAGCGCCGCATCGACGACGTCGACGACGCCGAGGGCCCTGTGCTCGAGCTTGCCCAGCAGGACCCGCTCTGGCAACAAGAAGACGCCGACGGGCCCGGATCCGTCGCCGCCGCGCTCAGCGATCAAGCGCCGGCATCTGCAGTCGAGGCGAGTCCCCTTTACCCAAGTCGAGGCCGACGACCGCGTCCCGAAACTGACATCGCCTCTGCCTGTGTCTCGCAGCAAGCGTCGCCTTCGTCGGGAGACGCGCCCGCTCGAGAGACGATCCTCGACACGGCGCGCCTCTTTGTGCGCAACCTGCCGTTCACCGCCACGACTCAAGATCTCGAGCAGCTGTTTGGCGCCCATGGTCCCGTCGAGCAGGTGCGCCCGTTGCCTTCCCTCTTCTCCCCCAACACCCTCACGTTCAGCTGTTGACCTATTTTCCCGCAGGTGCACATCCCCGTCGACAAGCGCACCTCCACGCCAAAAGGGCTCGCCTACGTCAAGTTCGGCAAAGCTCCCGACGCGCTCGCCGCGTTCGACGCCCTCGACGGCACGACTTTCCAGGGCCGCCTGCTCCACATCCTCCCGGCGATCGGTCGCGGCGAGCGAGCCGAGCCTGCAGGACGCTCGGCGACGCTCAAGGAGGACCGTCTCGAACGTCGCAAGCAGTCGGCCGGCCAGTCGTTCAGCTGGGGCGCTCTCTACCTCAACGTGCGTCCCACCTTCTCCTTCTCGTCCCTCGTCGCCTTCCTCCTCTTTGTCCCTCGTCGCCTCTTTCCAGTGACCTGACGAAGGTCCCACACACAGACCGATGCCGCCCTGTCGGCTGTCGCAGACCGACTCGGCATCTCGAAATCCGTCCTGCTCGATCCCGCGGCGAGCGACCCCGCCGTCAAGGTCGCCCTCGCCGAGGCGCACACGCTTGCCGAGACCAAGCGCTACTTCGAGGATGTGAGTTTCCCTCCTGTGTCCCTGCGTCGGGCCCTGTGTCGTACCGTCACTGACTACGAGGCCCCGAGCAGGAAAATGTCAACGTCGCCGCCTTTTCGCGGCCGGGCCCGCGCTCGTCGACCTGCATCCTCGTCAAGAACCTCCCGTACGGCACGTCCGCCGCGTCGCTGCACTCGCTCTTTGCCCCGCACGGCGCCATTCGCCGACTTCTCGTGCCCCCGTCCGGCCTCATCGCCGTCGTCGAGCTCGAGGACGCCGCGGCAGCAGCAGCAGCATGGCGCGCGCTCGTGTACAAGCAGTTCTCGGGCAGCGTCCTGTACCTCGAGAAGGCGCCGGCCGCCATCTTCGCGTCCGAGGGCGAGCCCGGCCCGAGGAGCGAGGTCGCAGCCCTGCCCGTCACGGCCGCTCGAGCCGCAACCCGAGTCGATCCGCCCGAGGGAGACGATTCTGCGCAGAGCGCGGCCGCGACGCTGTTCGTCAAGAACCTCAACTTTGCCACGACGACGCCTCGCCTCAAGACCGCCTTCGACGCGTTCCCGGACGTCGTGTTCGCCCGAGTCCAGACCAAGTCGGACCCGGCCCAGCCCGGTCGTACCCTCAGCATGGGCTTCGGCTTTGTCGGGTTCCGCACGGCGGCGGCGGCCGCCGCCGCCAAAGACGCCCGTCAAGGTTACGTCCTCGACGGCCACGCGCTCGACGTCCGCTTCGCGCAGCGCAACGCCGACCGAGCCGCCACCACGGCGCCGAGCGCAGGTGCCAAGGAGACGTCGACCAAGTTGCTCGTCAAGAACGTGCCGTTCGAGGCCACGCGGGCCGATCTTCGGCAGCTCTTTGGGTGCGTCGAGCGAAGCCTCTCTCCTGTCCTGCACCTTCCCGGCCCTGACTCTCTCTCTCCCCTACCCCACCCGCACCTCCCCGTCGACCTGCAGGACCTACGGCACGCTCAAGTCTGTGCGCTTGCCGCGCAAGATGGACAACAAGACGCGCGGGTTCGCCTTCCTCGAGTTTGCGACCCGGCGAGACGCCGAGGCCGCCTTCGACGCTCTCGAGCACACGCACCTACTCGGACGGCATCTTGTGCTTCAGTGGGCCGGCGCCGACGACGGTCCTGAGCGCGAGGGCGAGCGGCCACCGAGCACTGCCGTCGTCGGGGCCCCGTCTCGGCGAGTCGCCAAGACCAAATTTGCGATGTGAGCCGAGCTGCAATGTATCTTTCAGTCGGCCTAGCACATCGGCAACGGGCAGAGGTGCTTCTGCGAGAGAGAGAGAGAGAGTCAGCGCGCGACAGATTGTGCTTCTCGCCAGCGAGCCTCTCTGGCTTCCACCGCTTGCTCTGCGAGCCACATGATCCCAGCCCCGTCAGACCTCAAGAGGGAGACTATCTGGTCTCCCTGCAGGCGCGGCGCAGGCAGGAGGTTTATGCGTGCGCCGCTCGAGACGAAGCAATGGCAAATCGCGGTTTCGTTGGCTCGCCGCGGCACCGGTCGCTTCTTCTCGAGAGGCTACCGGCCGCCAGGACCTCACAGGCGCCCACACAGACCGCTCGAGCCATGTGCGGCGTCGAGAGGTCGTCCTCGCTCGAGCCAGTCCGGCTGCGTCGAAAGTCGACGCACGGACCCACGACCTTCTCAAACGCGCCTCGCGCCGCCGTTCCTCCCGCTTGCTCGCTCTCGCTCTCGCTCTCGCTCTCGGCGGTCGACAGGTCCCAGCCGCTCGTTCCTGTGACCGACGACAACATGTCCCAGCGATAAGGAGAGAGCTGCGCGCTGCGTCTCGCTCGACCTCGATTCTTTGACTTTGCTCGACTCGAGAGCTCACTATTGCGAAGCGGTCTTTGTGAACCCGAGACGCTCTCGACGGACCTTTCGAGACGAGTACTCGAGAGTGTGCGAGCGCCCCGAGCCTGTCGAGCATCGACGCACGGTCCCGCGACCTTCTCAAACGCGCTTCCCTCGCTTGCTCGCTCTCGCTCTCGCTCTCGACGGTCGACACGTCCCAGCCGCTCGCTACTCTGACGGACAACGACAAGTTTCAGCGATAACTGAGTTCCGCCGGGAAGTGTCACGACAAGACGAGATACAAGAGATCGTCTAGAGGAGTGCGGGCGCGAGGAATGCGACAGTGCGAGGAAAGGGGGTGCGCTCGACGCAAAAGCGAGGATCCACGGACAGGCGGGGGTACAGGGTCGAGACGAAGGCGATTGGGAGGCCGACAACAGTGCGAGGGGAGGCAAAAAAACGACGACGACGAGTATGGGGACGACGGCTCGACATGCGGTGACAATAGACAATATGGGGCGCGAGGCACGACGCTCTTGAGTTATACGACACGGGGACGGCGAGAGGGGGGGAGGTGCAGGCAGGGGATGGGTAAAGGGAGCGTGGGCGAGGTTGATGAGGCGGGAGGGTGACGAGGAGAGCAGCGCTCAGTGCACGAGTTGCTCGTCTCGGGCAGGTGCCGGGATGCGCGTGTAGTACCCGGTCGACGGCGGCATCGGGAACTGGTAGTCGGCCGTCTCCTCGTCGTGCGCGTCCATCTCGGCGGGGAGGACGACCGGTGGCGGGAGCTCGACGTGATACGACGCCTGCTGATCCCGACACGCGTCGGCCCAGTCGTCGGACCAGATCGGGTAGTACGCCGTGTAGGCGGCCTTGGTGCCGGCGCTCAGGGTCGACGACGTGGACGAGGTCGACGTGCACGGCTGGTCGAGCGAGAGCTCGGTCAGAGCCGGCACGGGCACGGGCTCGTCCTCGCCGGCGATGCGCACCTTGTTGGCGTAGGGCACCGCCGACGAGGCGCCGGCGTAGCCGTGCGGCGGTAGGCCTGTCGGCGTCGCCGGCTGGGACGAGTTGCCCGACGACGACGACGACGAGTCGATCGACGTCTTGCGCCGCCGAGAGCTCGGCAGCTGGCGGGCAGCCGTTCTGGGCGATCGTCGCGGCGAGGTGCGCCGGCGGGATGACGGCGTGATGGGCGAGGGCGGCGTCGCGACAAGGTCGTCGCCGTCGGCGCTCGTGGAGCGGTACGCCTCGAACGTGGCACGAGCTTGGCTCGGCGGCGTCGAAGGTGCGTCGACGCGCTTGCGCCTGGGCGTCGGCGAGTGCGGCGCCGGGTGGATGGGCGTGGGAGGAGCGCGAGGCACGCGGCGAGGCGTTGCGGGAGGGGTGAGAGGCGTTTTGCGGGCCGGCTGGGTCGGGGTCGCCGGCGACGAGAAGCCCTCGGCTGTAGGACGGAATGGCATCGTCAGTCTTGTGCGCCCGTCGAGGGGGAGAGAGAGAGCGGGAGAAAAAGGGGAGAGTGGGCGCACCCTTTTGCCACGGCGTCGACGACTCGGACCCCTCCTCCGACCTCTCAGCCTCCGGCTCGTCCGCCCGACGCTGCGCCCTCGGCGTGACACGCGCGATCTCGTCCTCGGCCTCGCGCTCGAGCTCGCGCGGGTCCTTTGCGGCCGCGCTGGCCGCGAACGCTCGCGCCGCCTCCTTGGTCGCCCTCGTCGCGTGCCGGAGCTCGTTCTCGCTCATGACGAACGTCTCGACGCTGAGGATCTCGCGGCGGAGGTCGGCGAGCGAGATGCGCGCCTGCGGGTTGAGCGCAAAGATGCGCTTGAGGATGCGGTTGGTGTGCTCCGAGATGGGGAGGATCGAGCGCAGGAAGTCGGGGTTGCCGAGGTAGGCGCAGAACGTCTCGTCCGAGGGGCACGCCTGCTTCCACGGGTTGCGGCCGCACGTGAGGTTGACGAGGATGACGCCGAGGGACCAGATGTCGTTGTGCGGGGTCGAGTAGGACGACAGGCGCTGGAAGAGGCCGCCCTGGCATTCTGCGGACGCAGGGGGAAAGAGTCAGGGACGAACATAGTGCAGGACGAGACGAGAGGACGCACCTGGCGACATGTAGAACGTCGAGCCGCAGCCAAAGTCGCCGCTCATGCGCTCGCCGGTCGCGAGGCCAAAGTCGGCGAGCATGACCTTCTGGCCGTCGTCGAGGCACAAGATGTTCTCGGGCTTGAGGTCGCGGTGGTAGATGTCCTTGGCGTGGCAGTACTCGACGGCGTCGACGATCTGGAGAAAGACGCGGCGGATGAGGTCGTCGTCGCTCAGGTACCGCTGGCGGTCGGTGATCATGCCGAACAGGTCGCCCTCGTCACAGAACTCGAGGACGACGTAGGTGCACGTCTCGTCGTCGATGACGTTGTACAGGGTCGCGACGTTCGGGTGCTCGGACGCGGCCCAGTGAAGGTTGATCTCGCGCTGCTGGAAGTTGCGCTGGCGCACGTCGAGGCCGACCTTGTTGAGGCACTTGACGGCGTACAGCGGGAGGTGGCCGAGTTCTGGGTGCGCGCGGCTCGTCGGGTAGGGCGTCGGGTGCGCGGCGATGTCGCGCGCGAGGTAGACGACGCCGTACGCGCCGAGGCCGAGTACCGACACGAACTCGAGGTGCGAGATGCCCGTGTGCGGGCTCGAGTTGTCGATGACCTGCCCGATGAGGTTCTGCGAGTGGCTCGAGTTCTGGGCGGCCATGGCGGCCTGCGCCTGGGCGAACGACGTCTGCTGCTGCGCCGCCGGCGCCGGCGCCGGCACAGGTGCGGGTGCGGGTGCGGGTGCGGGTGCGGCGCACGGCTCGTAGCCGGCGGCAGAAGGAGGGGGCGAGGGCGAGCGCGCCGGGAAGAAGTGGACGTCGTCGTCGGACGAGGGGGCGCTGACGATCGACGGGTCGATGGGCGGCTGGAGGCGCGAGTCGGACGAGGCGTACGACGACTGGGACGAGGTCGAGGGCGAGGACAGGGACGAGGCCGTGCCGTCGTCGAACGACGAGGCCGAGGTGAAGTGGGCCTGCATGGTGAACGGCGAGATGAAGCCAAAGAGGCTCATGAGGGCGCTGCCGGGTGCGCTCGTGCGGCGAGAGAGCGGGCTGGACGAGGTCGGGCGGAGGTGAACCGGACGCTGGAACAGGAAGGGACGACTGGGTGAGCGGTGACTCCCAGGGAGAGGGGAGCGGCGGGCGCGCAAAGAGGGGGGACGAGGGGTCGGGAACTCACGCCTGGTGGGTCCAAGAGAATGTGCAGGTGGGCGTGTGCGAGTCGAGTGCGAGGCTTGCGGGTCGGGAGAGATGGCGAGCGAGACCAGCTGATGAGGGCGAGGCCGGTGAACGAGGGACGGGCTCGCGGCGGCGGTGCAGGCGCGAGGTCGACGAGGGCCCAAGAGACGGCACTGCTGGCTAGTGCGGGTCGGGCGTGCGTGTGCGCGAGTGCGTGTGGTGCGAAGTGAGAAGGGCGAGCCGAGGCGGGACGAGCCGCAGGCGGTCGACAAGGCGGAGGCGAGGCGAGGGGGAGGGAGGCGCGCCGCTGGGCCTGCCGCGAAGGGAAGTCGGCACGCGAGTCTCTCTCTCTCTCTCCGGCCCTCGCCCCTCCAGGCACAAGCCAGGCACTGCCGCTCTCGTAACTTACAGTTGCGCTCCCGAAACGTGGTCGATTGCGCCCGCCCCGCTCGACACGGTTTCGCGCACCTCGCCTCGACCTCGGACTCGTCGACGCTCGCGCCCACCTCGCTCGACCCGTTGCAAGCCTCTGCTGCTGCGCTCGCTGGATCAACGTCCGTACGAGAGCACCCAACTGCGCCCTATTTTTGCGGCTGCGGACCTGGCCACGTACGACCGGGCGGCGCGCAGAGCTGCTCGCGCTTCGACCTTCGCTTTCTCCTCGCTCGCAGCTGTCGTCCCGCGCCGCTCTTGGCCGCATCGGTTCTTGCTCTGTTGCTCTGTCGACGGACGATTGCTGCCCGCTGGATGGCACCCTTGAGAGCCAGTGAGAGGAGCGGTTCGTGCGGCAGTCTCTTTGTCCTCCCTCGTCGCTCCTTTTGTTCGCCCGCTCTCACCTGCCGAGCGTTCCGCGTCGCTCACACATCCGACGTTGACGTCGGCAGCTGAAACCTGGCCGCGTGTCCGGCCGTCAATTGCGAGATCTGCGCGTGCCGTGGCCGTGCACTCGAGAGCAGCGAGCCTGGATCAATGACCACGACGCGGGCTCCGTCTTCCCGCAGACCAACTTTCCTCCCGCAGAGCTCTGCTTCATCGAGAACCGGCTCGCGGCAAGCACGGCGTCCCGGTCGACGCTTTCTGCGGCGGCGAGAGCTCGTCGAGCGCGAAAAGGCGCGGTCAGAGCGTCGGGTTCGCCGACGCCAGCTACTACCGTACCAGCTCGAGTCCCGCATTTCCTTGCGACAGGCGCAGCTGCTGTGCCCCATATGCGTCAGAGCTTGAGTGCGTCAGCCCTCTCTCGTCGGAACACCGTCCTCGCCGCTCTCAGTCGCTCTCGGACGCCGCACGGTCCGCCGAACGTTCACCCCTCTCCTGACGATCACTTTACGGCTTTCATATGGCTCGCCGGGCTCTACGCGAGAGGCTCTGGACGTGTGCGAGCCTTTGACCCGAAAGCAGACGGCGTTGACATTGCGCGAGAGCTGGAATCAGCGGGGAGGGCTGGGCGCCGACCCGCCTCACCTTCCCGGGTCGGCAAGGCAGCCGCCGTGGACGTCTTCCCCTTGCATGGCCTCGACGTACTTCCCGCGCCGGGGCTTGACGACGTAGTTAGTACGGACAGCCTGGCGTCGAGCGGAGGGAGATGCGCGGCTCACCAGCTCACCAGCTGCTTGACGGGCTGGAACAAGTTGCGCAAGCCTGCTGCTGCATGGGTACGGGTCTCTCTCAAGTCAGCCTCGTCACAGTGACACCGCTCCAGACGACGTCCGAGTCGTGCGCGACGCCGACCGGACGCTCGCTCGAGCGCACGGACCTCGAATTGGCGGCACGCCGTCCGCTCGAGTCCTGCTCCTGCGGGGCGCGCTCGTCTGTTCGCATTTCGGCCCGCATTGCGACTAGGTGGAGAGCAAGCTGTTCAGCACGTTTGACCGGCTCTCAAAGGCGTGCAGACGACGGAAAGCGACCGACGAGGTCGACCTTCTCAAGTGGCCGGTCCCGCTCCTGTCGGCGCCTTTCTCGCGCTCTCGCGACCCTCGCGCACGTCCGGGGGATTTGTGACGGCCTCGGCCGACTGTCTGTGGCCCGGCACTTACGGGCTGCAGAGCTCGGCGCACTGCAGCGTCTGACGGTGCTGGTGCGACCGGCCTCGGCGCATTCACTCAAACGACAAGTCAACCGAGGGTAACCGCAAAGGCGTCGCGACGTGTCTGCCCGATGACTCGGCCTTCTTGCGCTCAGATTTGCGATCGGCGCTGGCCATCTTTGCGCTGGCTTCGTTCCCCCCCTTCTCGCCGACGTCAGGCCGCGTGCGATATCTCGACCGCATCGGCTGCGGGACAGCGCTTTCGCGGTCCTTCGTCGTGCAGGTCGGCAGCAGCACTCGCGCTGCGCGATCCTCAAGTTCACTCGAAAATGCTTCGCGTCGACCGAGCTGCGACGCACGGGCCGTCTCTCGCTTTCGAGCTCGACCACGTCTGGTGCGAGGCCGCGCAGGGCGCGCACGGATCTCTCGCTGTCCTCTCGCGATGCTTCTATCGGCGGAGCTCTATCCTCCGCGCGACAAGGGGAAGGAGCGGTTCCGATCGAGCGGCGGTCGGCAGGTCGGTGTGCATCGCCCGACCGCGTCAAGATGGGTTGCACCTCTCCCTTAGAGCGCTGCTACACCCTTGCCATTGTCGAGGATGAAACGAGCTCTTCAAACGGGCCGCTCGAGGATTCGCTCCGCCCGCGGAGAGAGCGGGCCCTTCCCGGTTCAGCCTTGTCGCTGCATGGCCCGAGCGAGCGCGCTTTCGCAATGTCAATCAGAGCGCGGCGAGCGGCTTGCGGTCGCTCTGCCTCGTCCAAGCGGGTGCGAACCTGAGCGTGCAGACAGCGAAAGAGCGCGCACTCGGGTTCCGATTCGCGAGCGAGGTGGCCAGGGACGCTTCGCTCACTTCGTTCGCACGCCCGGACCCCTCGGACCGGTGGATCTCGAACGCTCAGCGAGTGCTTTCCCTGCTTCGGACAGCCGGTGCCAATGCTTGTCAGGCATCGGTGCCGAGTACAAGGGACTCGTCTGACCCGCGAGACTGAGCGGCGCAGTGTCGGTAGGGCGGAAACCCGCTCGGGAGGGAGAGCAGGTGGGGGCGACGGTCGGCTGACGCCGTCGCAGGCCACGCTCATTGGCCTAAGCAAGCCTTTCGACTGTCGAGAATACGCGGATCAGGGACGCTCGACACAACGGCCGCGGCAGAAAGTCGAAAAGGGCCTTGTCGCGACGAGGCCCGAGCGACTGCGCAGCGAGCGTCGGCGCGATAGAGACTCTCGACGACGACGCAGCAGCCTGGCTCTCGAGTCTTGCGGCACGTCTCGGTCCGCAGCAATGATTCTCGACACAGAGGAGCGTGCCAGGTGGATGCCATAGGGAGGCGGGCCGGGGCAGAGACGCCGCAGCGACCCTCACCTCTTGGTCGAGGCGCGAGCGAGCAAAGCGAACGTCGAGCGCAGCGCGATGGCAGAGCGCAAGCTGACTGTGCGAGGTTGTAGATCGGGGCACTGGGCCCGCAGATCTGCCACAGAGCGGGTAGCGAGAGCGAGCCAGGCGGAGCGACTCGCGCGCCGGACGAGGAGCAGGGCACCGTCCCGACAGGCTCAGGACGGTTGCCGATGGCGAGCATCGGAGCGTGACAGCATCGCCCCGCCTTGCGCCCCTCGCGTCTGGTCCACCGAGGCGTCTCAGCTCGGGTGCGAGCGAATGAAGCGGTGCCCACCTGCGAGAGGAGGTGCGGGTCGGGGCGAGGCAGCCAGCCTGCGAGGCGCCTGGGCGAGTCGAGGCCCCAGCGTTGGAGCTGTTCTGCGAGGGCCACAGGTACTGGGCTGGGCCTGGTCGACCTTGCCGTCGTTGCGAGGAGCGAGTTGCTGATGAGGCGGCGGAGGGTCGGCGACGAGAGGCGGGGGCGGACGAGGGCACGCCTGGGGCACGGCTGGTGCAGCAGAGTGCAGCAGAGCAGTTCTTCCAGCAGCGCACGCTGGCAGGCCAAGCTGGTCGAGGGCGACGACTCGGGCCAACTCCTCCCCGCTCCTCCTCCACCACCGATACCTCGTCGCCCCGGTCCTCTGCCGACCCGAGATGGGCCTCAGACGCCGCCGGCAAGGCCAGGCCGACTCGCCCGCGGCGGCCCCAGCTGCCGCCCCGTCCTCACCCTCCACCTCCCGCCCCACCTCGTCGACCCCGAGTCGCCCGTCCCGCCTGCGCATCCTGCTCTTCGCCGCGCCCCTCCTCGGCCTCTGGTACCTCGTGTTCGCCCGTCGCCTCGGCCCACGAGGCCTCCCGCAGCACTACGCCGTCTGCTCGCCTCGTGACGGTCGGCAGGTCGTGACGATGGACGAGTCGCGAGGCGGCGCTCACTTGCGCACGCAGTGCGTCGTCGTTAAGGCGGGCACGGTCGTCGGGACGGGCACTTTGGACGAGGTCAGGCGCGACTGGGGCGACGTCGAGATGGCCGGCAAGGGGGTCGGGCGAGGAGGCGGCCTGCGCATCTACTTCCTCAAGAAGGGCGAGACGCTCCTCCCAGGACTGTGCGTCCCTTCTCTCGCCATCAGCGAATCCCTCGAGTCGAGCTGACTCGCGCTCGTCACCCCGCAGGATCGACGCCCACGCGCACGTCCTTCAGCAGGGCGAGTCTGCGAGCGCGGTCGACCTCGTCGGCGCTTCTTCCGTCTCAGGTGCGTCTATCTGGCCGACGATCCTCTCTCGCCTCCCACTGAAGTCGTATCGTCGTCGCAGATGTCGTCGAGCGGATCGCCCGCTTTGTCGCCGCCGACCCGGGCCTCGAAAAGGACAAGAGCCGGTTCATCCTCGGCCTCGGCTGGGACCAGACGCGCTTCTCCGACACCGACGGCGCCTTTCCGACTGCTGTACGTCCCTGGGCCGCAGTGTCTGTTTCCCGCCGTCCCACTGACCTTTGAGCCTCGCGCAGGACGACCTCGAGCGCGACCCTCGCCTGCGAGGCCGGCCGATCTACCTCAAGCGCAGTGCGTCCTCTTGGTTCTCTGTTCGTCATGATGGCGTACTGATCTCGTCCCTGCGATAGTCGACGTGCACGGCCTGTGGGTCTCGCCGGCCGTCCTCGCCCTGTTGCCGTCCGACCTCCCGACCGACCTTCCCGGCGGCGAGATCGTTCGAGGCGCCGACGGCCGACCGAGCGGCATCTTTCTCGACAATGCGATGAGCTTCATCGGTGCGTCTGCCTCCTTCGCCGAGTCCTCCCAGACTTTTCGTCCCTGACCTTCTCTGTCGCCCCCTCTAGCCGCCGTCATTCCTCCCTGGACCGACGCCTCGCGCATGTCCTTTCTTCGCTCCACCGCCCTCTCGATGCTCGAGCACGGCCTCACCTCGGTCCACGACGCGGCGCTGTCGCCCGCCGACGTGCGCTTCCTGCGCGCCCTTGACGAGCAAGGCCGGCTGCCGATCCGTCTTTACGGCTTCGTCGGGTGCGAGCCGACCAACGCGTGGTGCGGCGACGACGACGGCATCGAGCGCTACGAGGGCGACCGGTTCACCGTACGGTGCGTCCTCTCGTTCCTCTATTTCTCCTTCCCTGTCTCTCCTCGAGGAAGCGCTGATCTCGCTCTTTGCGCGCAGAGCGGCCAAGATCTTTTCGGATGGAGCGTTGGGCAGCTGGGGTGCGGCGATGCACGAGCCGTATTCAGGCGCGTCCTCGCTCTGTCGGCGTCGTCGCTCGTGTCGACGCGGCTCGCGCCTGTCTGAGAGTTCGCCAGGCGCCAGCCTGCGCCGGTACTGACGGCTCATCGCCTCGTACCACAGATGCGCCGGACAAGAAGGGCTTCATGATCACCGAGGAGGACGAGCTCGAGCCGCTCATCGCCAAGGTGCGTCGGCGACGCTCCCCCTTCTTCCGTCCTCATCTCGGCGCGGCCCTGACTCAGTTTCCCCCAACGCGCGCAGTGGATCGCCAAGGTGCGTCCCTTATTCCCCCCCTCCGTCTCTGCGCGCCACTAACGGTTCACCTCTGTCCTGCCCTCTCCTCCCCGCCTCACTCGCCGGATCCCGCGCGAGCAGGGCTTCCAGGTCAACTCGCACGGCATCGGCGACCGCGCCAACACGGTCGTGCTCGACATCTACGAGCGCGCTTTGCGCAACCTCACGCTCGCCGACGGGCGCGACCCGGACCAGGACGAGGAGCTGAGGAGGACGCAAAAGGAGGTTCGGCTCCGGGTCGAGCACGCGCAGATCCTGGTGCGCCCTCCTTTCTCTCTCGCTCGGGCTTTCGGACTCGAGCATCGGGCCGAGGAATGTCGACCCTGACGAGCAGCAAGCGAGCCAGACGCAGGACGACATCAAGCGCATGGGCCGCCTCGGGCTCATCGCCTCGTTCCAGCCGACTCACGGTGCGTGTCCCCGGCCGCTCTACCCCTCCTCGGACGTCTCCCATGACCTCGAGAAACGTTCCCTGACGCTCGAGTCCCTTGGCCGCAGCGACGAGCGACATGGCCTACGCCGAGGAGCGTCTCGGCTCGGAGCGCATCAAGGGCGCGTACGCCTGGCGGTCGTTGCTCAGGTGCGTCGACCTTCTCTCTTTCCTCTTTCTCTCGCCCTCTCGACGACCGCAGACGTGCATCGAGCCCAGCAGCCCGTCCCTGACCAACCTCTTCCCCTCTCGCCTTTGGCGGTCGCTGCAGTGCCGGCGCGCCATTCGCTCTCGGGTCCGACTTTCCTGTCGAGAAGGTCAACCCGTTCCTCGGTCTGTACGCGGCGACGACCCGCAAGTGGGCAGACGAGGGCCGCGAGGGGGACTCGCCTCATGGTCGGGGAGGATGGTGCGTCCGCCTCGCACTCTCTCTCTCTCCCGGGCCTCGCCGTCGACTCGCCCTGACCTGCCGCACTCGTGTCGTTACAGGTATCCTGCCGAGCGCCTCACCCCGCTCGAGGCCCTGCGCGGCTTTACGACCTCGGCCGCCTACGCCGCCTTCTCCGAGAACCGCGTCGGCGTCCTCGCAGTCGGCGCGCACGCCGACTTTATCGTCGTCGACGGCGACCCGCTCGACGCCCCCGACGAAGGTGCGCCGGGCAGGGACGAGTGGGAGGCCAAGCTGCGCGGCATGAAGGTGCGCGCGACGGTCGTCGGCGGGAGGGTCATGCACGGCGGGTTCTGAGACGTGGGCGGTGCGCGCGGGAGGCGAGGGAGAAAAGAGGGTGTGCGGGGAGACGATCGACGGGGTCGAGGACGAGGTCGACGACGAGGAGGGTCGGTCGGCGGCGCTGCAACGACGAGAGCGAGTTGCGCACAATCTTCCCGAGGCGCCTTTCCGCTGCGTTCTGCTTCTCGACGAGCTCGTACACGAGAGCCAGGGAGAGAGTGCAGATCCCTTGCGTTAGCGTGAGTCTTTCCTCGTGGTCTTTGGCGTCAGACGTGCCTCGCAGCGGCTCGACGAAGTGAGCGGGCGTGCCAGCCTCGCTCTCACCGGCACAGCTTCGAGTGAGTGTGGCCTGGTCTTGGGCGTGCAGCAGCCTACAGCAGAGTACAGCCCTGACCACTGCCCTCGCCTCGCCGCAGCTCAGCCTCGAGGAACTCCGCCTCGTCTTCCTCCTCCCCTCGTTCTCCTCGACGCGCCAACTCTCCCTCGCTCAGCACACCGCGCTGCAGGCTCAACAGCCTTGACACGTGCACCTCGCCTCTACCCACACAGCCCCACCGGCAGCCCAGCTCTCTTGTGCGTCCTCGCTCCCTTTCCTCGTCGTGTTCGACGAGCTGTCCTGGACCCGGGCGTGACGATCTGGGTCGGCGGCGGGCGTGCGGGAGCTCTCGGCAGCGTGCGTGCACTCGTGCAGGGTGGGCAGAGCGGCATGCGGCACGCAGCTGGCCCCAGAGCTCGTCTCGGGACCGGCCCCCGCCCTCATCAACCTTCGAGGCTCGTCGAGGGACGGACCGCTGACCCACATCCTCCCCGCCCCCCTCGTGCATCGACGGAAACAGACCTGTCGCATCCACTGCACCGTCCCTTCGACACGCCTTGTCCGCAACCTCCCTCTGACGACCCCGACCCCGACCTCGACCACGACCCGTCCTCGACTCGCTCGCGCCCACCATGTCCGACGCAGGCGAGGCCGCGCAGAACCTGTTCGAGTCGTACAATGACAAGATCTCGAGTGTTGCGCCCGGCGCTGTCGGCATCCAGTTGGCCTTGATGGTCGGCGTCGGCCTCGCCGCCCTGTGCGCCTTCTCGGTCCTGCGCCCCAACAACTCGGTCGTGTACCAGCCCAAGGTCAAGTACGCGTCGGACGAGAAGCGGCCGCCCAAGATCGGCAAGGGCCTGTTCGACTGGGTCAACCCCGTGTTCCGCACGACCGAGCAGGAGATGCTCTCGACGATTGGCCTCGACTCGGTCACGTACCTGCGCTTCCTCCGCATGTGCACCTACAGTGCGTCTCCCTCTACTCGTCCTCGGGAGGAGCACGGCGTCCGGAGCTCACCACCCTGCCTCGCCCGCCGCCGCCGCCGCAGTGTTCCTCGTCATCGCCGGCCTCACCTGCGCCATCCTCATCCCGATCGACGTTACCTACAACCTCAAGTACGTCGACTCGGGCGACAGGAACTACCTCCTCATGCTCACGCTCAGCAAGGTCGGCAAGAACTGGCTCTGGTCCGTCCCCTCTCGCCTGTCAACCTCCTTTTTCGCCCGACCTGACGGCTTCTCCTCCCTCTCGGCAAACGCAGGGCACACGTCGTCGCCACCTACGTGCTCACGCTCGTCGTCTTCTACTTCGTCTGGGTCAATTATGCGGTGCGTCCCGCCGTTCGCAAAGGTCGTCGCCCTCGTCACCGAGCACGTCCCTGACACCTTGCCGCGCATGCAGGCCATCGTTCGTCTTCGGTGGCAGTGGTTCCGCTCGCCGGCCTACCAGGACATGCTCTACGCTCGTTCGCTCATGGTGCGTCCCTCTCGTCCCCGAACCTTCCCGACCTAGGCTCGGACCGGCAGCCCCGCCGAGCGGGCCCGCCCTGACCTCTCTCTCGTCCCGCCCTGCAGATCACGCAGGTCAACAAGCAGTTCCAGACGGACGCCGCCTTGCAGGGCCTCCTCGCGTCCCTCAACATCCCCTACCCGACCACGGCCGTCCACATCGGTCGTCGCGTCGGCGCCCTGCCGGCCCTCATCGAGAAGCACAACGAGACGGTCGCCGAGCTCGAGCACGTCCTGACGACCTACTTCAAGAACCCGAACAAGATCGGCGCGCGGCCGACCAAGCGCATCGGCGGGTGGATGGGGCTCGGCGGCCAGAAGGTCGACGCCATCGGTCCGTCCTCGCTCTCGCCCGGGTGCCCCTCTCGCAGGTCCGAGGACGGCTCCTGACATACCTCGTACGCGCAGACTACCTCACCGAGAAGATCAAGCGCCTCGAGGAGCGCGTCGAGCTCGCTCGTCACCAGATCCACGAGCGCAAGGCCGAGAACTACGGCTTCGCGTCCTTTGTGCGTCCGCGACCGACCTCGTCGTCGTCAGCTGTCGATGCCGCACGTACTCACGCACCTCGTCCGCCGCAGGAATCGGTCCCTTACGCCCACATCGTCGCCAAGACGCTCCTCGGCAAGCGCCGCCACAACGCCCAGTTCGAGCTCGCGCCGCAGCCGAGCGACCTCATCTGGCAGAACCTCAACATGTCGAACGCGGCGCGCGGCAAGAACAAGTTCTTCGGCAGCATCCTCCTCATCCTCCTGTGCGGCTTCTACATCATCCCGCTCGTCGCGGTGTCGCTCCTCGCCAACCTGGCCGCGCTGTGCGTCCCCTCTCTCTTACTCGCCTCTCTCTCCGACCGATTCACTGACTAGACCTGGACCACGCACGCAGGTCGGCCTACGTCGGCTTCATCGACCGCTGGATCAACAACTACCCGTGGTTGTTCTCGGCGTTCATCGGTGAGTCTGCTGTCCGCCGCACCTCAATCGTCCCTCTCACCTCGATTCCTGACCTCGCCAACGGCCCCTCGCAGGTGTGGTACCGCCCGTCTTGACCCTCGTGCTGCAGATGATCCTGCCCATGATCATCCGGTGCGTCCCTCTCGGCCTTTCCGCTTCCTCCCCGAGATTCGCCGACTCACGATCGCTCTCCTCGCCGCAGGTGGATCGCCTCGCTGCAGGGTGCGACGACGCACTCGCAGTCGGACCGCATCGTCACGGCGCGCTACTCGGCCTTCCTGTTCATCACCCAGTTCATCATCTTCTCGCTCCTCGGCGTCGTCGTCCAGATCAGTGCGTGCTCTGCTCTCCCTTATCCTCCATCTCGATGGCGTCATTCCTGACGAGGGTCGTCGCCTCGACCGCAGTCTCGAAGGTCGTTCTCGAGGTCCAGGGCAACAAGTCGACGAGCGAGATCCTCAAGTACCTGAGCACGATCCCCGACCAGCTCCAGAGCACGTACATGTACCAGAGCAACTGTGTGTCCTACTTCCTCTACCCTCCCTGCCTCGGACCTCGTCCTGACCTTGGTCGTGCCGCACGCCCGCAGACTGGCTCACCGTGTTCCCTCTCCGAGGTGCCTCGGCGTGCTTCGACCTCGCCCAGGTCATCTCGCTCTTCCTCGTGTGGTCCAAGAAGCACCTGTTCGGCCGCACGCCGCGCGAGATCCGCGAGGCGACCAAGCCGCCCTTCTTCGACTTCCCGGTCTACTACTCGAACTCGCTCCTCCTCGTCGTCGTCGCGCTCGTGTACGCGCCCTTGGCGCCTCTCGTCGCCCTGTTTGGCATGATCGCGTTCGCCATCAGCTACTGGGTCGGCAAGTACAACCTCATGTACGTCGCCGTCCCGAGGAGCGAGACGGGCGGCCGGCTGTGGAACGTCGCCATCAACCGCGTCTTGATGAGCCTCGTGCGTCCTCTCCCTCTTTCTCCCTCTCTTTCTCTTAGTTTTCCCGCCTCGACGCCGTCACTGACTCGAGGACCTCGTCGCGTCGTTGCCGCAGATCCTCATGCACCTCTTCATGGCGGCCTCGATGGGCTTGCAGACCAACTGGTACTACGCCATCGCCCTGTACGCCCCCTTCTCCCTCCCTCTGTTGTCGACGTGAGACCTGGGCGACGAACCTGACCCACGTGCCCCGTCCAACAGTGCGCCACCGGCCATCTCGGTCCCGCTGTACAAGATCCTGCTCGACCGCAAGTTCAAGGACAAGTTCCGGTGGTACATCCCGTCGGACGCCGAGATGGCCGAGGTCCACATGCACCACGCCGACGCGCGCAAGAACCGCCTCGGCAAGCGCTTCGGCCATGACGCCCTGAGCGAGCCGCTGTTCACGCCCATGCTCCACAAGAGCGTACAGCACCTCCTGCCGACCATGTGCGTCCCTCTTTCACTCCCTCTCTCGCCAAGCGGCCACCGATTGACGTGCTGCCTGTGCCCCACAGCTACAACGGCCGCATCGGCCAGGGCGAGGCCAAGCTCGAGGGCCAGACGGTCGACCAACACACGGCGGGCGGCCTCACGTTCGCCATGATCGACGCGCACAACCTCGAGGTCGACCGTGGCGCCTACCTGCGTCAACGCGACGAGGACGAGGCGACCGTGACGACCGCCGCCGCACTCGGTCATCACCGCCGCGGGCCGGGCAGCGTCGCCGGCTCGAGCGCCTTTGGCGGCGCCGGCGACGACGACTACTTCTCGGCGCGGCGCGCCGAGTACCTCAAGACGGGCGCGAGCCGCTCGACGACGCCGTTCAACCCGGGCACGCCCGAGGAGCTCCCGTTCGAGCTGCAGCGCATGCCGACGTTCGACGGCGGCGCCGTCACGCCCGGCGGCGACGCGCTGTACTCATCGGCCAACGCCTCGACCGAGCACCTCATCGGCGCAGCGGCGGGTGCGGCGTACCCGCCGTCGTACGGCTCGCCTCGCGCCGGCCACCGCGCCAACTTGAGCACGGCGAGCTTCGGCAGCGTCGGCGGCCAGGGCGTCTACGGCGAGTACGGCACGCCGTCTCGTCGTCAAAGCGTCGAGATGATGCAGTACGTCGCCGGTCCGCCTGCACCCGCAGCCGGCGGGCGCGCCGTCCCGCAGCGGCAGCACACGGCCGGCTCGTTCGGCGGTAGCCCGGCCATGGGCGGCGGCGAGTGGCAGCCGCAGCCGCAGCACGCACCGCGCCGCAGCATCGACTCGGGTCGCAGCCTCGGCGGCGGCGTCATGTACCCGCCTGGCGCCGGTGCGCCGCGGTACGCCTCGCCGCCGCAGTCGCAGTCGCCGGGCGCGTTCCAGGAAACGCTCGCGTACCCGGTCCCGGCCCCTCGCGGCGGCCCGACGCAGTACTCGCCGCTGCAGCCGATGGAGAGCAGCGAGCACCTGCCGCAGGGCGGCGCGCCGTCGCGGCTCCCGGGCATGGGCCTCCCTCCTGGCGCCGGTCCTGCGCGCCGGTGAGTCGGTCACTCGCTCCCGCCCGCATCCTTCCCCTCCCTCCCTTTGTCCCTAGACGACCTTCCGCTGCGCTAGACGCACCCACAGACACTACCCGCGCCCCCTTCTCCCCTTCGCCTCGCACGACCGCTCCCGCTCTTGACGATCCCCCTGCATGTGCCTTCTCCCTCTTTGACCTTGATTACCCCTCGCTCTCTCTCTCCCTTTCCAAATCGTTCTGCCTCGCGCAACGCAACTGTAGCATGCCGTTCCTCCTTCCTCTCTTCCGTGCGCCGTTCGGGAGGAGAGGAGCGAGTCGGGCTGCACGAGAGATCTTTGTGGAACGGGCAGGCTCTCTGCCTGTGCTGGTCAAGAGAGCCGAACCTCGAGCACCCGTTCGCCGTCGAGAGCGCAGCCGATTAGTTCCACAGCCGGCGTCGCCGTCGATGTCAACTCGTCGAGGAGAGCGGGGCTCGCTCGCTTCTGCTCTCGACCAGAACCTCTCACTTGCACCTGCACCAGAGAGCACGCTATCGCCAGCACTCCTTGCGCGCCTAGCGCTGTGCGCGCAGCCCCCCAGTCCTCTCTCCACCCGCACCCACCTCGCGCGCCCGTCATTATGGCCTTCCGGTCCTCCTCCACCACGACAACCAGAACGAGCACCGCCAGCAGCACTACCACTCGCACCAAGAGCAACAGCAAGGCCAAGGTCAAGCCGCGCCTGTCCACCTCGAGCGCCATGCGCAAGCTCGTCGACTCGCCCAGCACCGACTCGGACCCGTCGTCCTCGTCCTCGGCCAACGACAAGCCCCGCAGGGCGCGAGCAGGGTCGTCCGACGAGTCGGATTTTGGCGACGACATGCGCGAGGCGGCCGACCTCGAGAAGCGGGCGCGGGTCGCCAAGGACGAGCAGGCTCGCCTGCGCCGCGCCGTCAAGAAGCACAAGGACAAGGGCGAGGAGCTCCCGGCCGAGCTCAAGGCGGCGCTCAAGAAGAAGAAGAGCGCCGGCAGCGCCAGGGCGCCCGTCAAGGACGACGTCGCCGCCGTCATCGACAACGTCGCCGCCGAGCGTCGCAGGTCGGCGGGCAAGGGCAGGCCCCGCCGCGGCAGCAGCGCCAGCGACTCGAGCGCCGACATCGTCCCGGTGTCGAGGCCGACCCGTCGCCGCAGCGACAAGCGCCGGGCGGTGCAAGAGCGGGACGGGATCGAGGTCCAGGGCGCCGACTCGAGCGACGACGGCGCTGCAGAAGACCGTACGCCTCCTCTCTCCCTCCTTCTCTCCCTCTCAGTGTCCACAAGACTAACTCTTGCTCCCTGCGTCAGTCGTCAACACCGTCAAGGGCGGCGGCGAGCTCTCGGACGACCCCGACGAGGTCAAGAAGCACCTCGCGCGCCGGTGGTTCGACCGCAAGAACCCGAACGTCATGTCGGCGCGGCGCAAGCAGCTCGAGCTCAAGTACAACCCGCTAGTCCGAATGCTCAGTGAGTCGAGCCGGCGTCCCGCGTTCTCGCCGTCGCCGTCACTGACTCGGCCACCCTTCCGCGTTCCCCCGCTTCCTCTCGCAGACGTCGAGATTCAAGTCGGCGCCAGCTCGTCACGTGTCGCCAACTCGGACGAGGAGCGCCGCCAAGATCTGCACATCGAGAACCTCACCGACCCGGACACCGACTGGTCATCGCCCGGCATGGGCGACCTCAACGACAGCGTCGTCATCCGCCCTCGTCGCGAGCCGCCGCCGCACGCAAGATCGAGGGTCGAGACCGACTCGCCGCCGCCGCACAAGGGCAAGGGCAAGAGCAAGGAGGTCAAGCTCGAGTACGACGACATGGACGAGGACGTCAAGCCCGTCGTGACGCCGGTCAAGCGCTCGGCGCAGGTGTCGACCGTCAAGCGCGAGAGCCCAGAAGACGTCAAGCCGGTTATCCTTGTGCGTCCCCTTGTTCGCCGACTTTGTTCCTCAGCCCGATGAGCTGACCTTGCTTCGCGCCCGCAGCTCACCGACGACGAGCCCGAGCCCGACACGGCCGACGACGACGACGAGCCTGCCGACCCGACAACGTCCGTTCACCTCGACGTCAAGCCCGCCATCGGCTCCTTCTCGTCGCGTCCCGCCCTCGACGGCTCCGCCGCCGCTCGTGCCCGACCAGGACCCGTCGCGTCTACCTCTGCCCTCCCGTTCGAGGTCGACGACAGCGGCGCCGAGCCCGACACCGAGTCGGACGGCGCCGGCGAGGTCGACGACGACGTCAAGACGCCGAGCGCGGCCCTCGCGCCGCATTTTGCCGCGCACACGCATGCGCTCGTCGGCTCGTCGCAGACGCTCGGGCCCGCTTCGCAACGTCGCGCCGACGTCAAGGGCGAGTCGCAGTCGAGCTTGTTCTCGTGCTCGCGCGCGCAGTCGCAGCGGCGGTCGTCGCACGGCGTCAAGCTCGAGGTCAAGGACGAGCCGGTCGACTTTGGCCTGCCCGTCGATCCTGACGACAGCGACGTCGAGTTCGTCGACGACGCGATGCTTCGAGGTGTCGCGGCGGCCGCGAGGGAGAAGGCGGTGCGCGACGAGGTGCGCAAGAAGGAGGACCGGAGGAAGGCGATGCAGAGCGAGATCGCCGCGAGGAGGATGAAGAAGGAGGAGGCGGAGCGGGACGGCCAGGCCAATTACGAGGACGAGGACGAGGACGAGGACGACGAGCGCGCGATGCAGGTGGACGGCGACGACGACGACGACGAGGCGCCGCTCATGTGGGACGTCGGCAAGGGCACGAAGGTGCGTCTCGTCTCTCTTCCCCTCGCGCCCTTCCTCTTCCTCTCTCGAAAGCCTCACTAACGCTCCTCGACGGCCCTGCAGCCTGTCACCTGGCCACAGCCCGTTCGCAAAGGTCGCCCCAAGTTCATGCTCGAGAGCTCGCAGCAGAAGAACATGGGCGCCCACCTCCTGTCGCAGGACCCGAGCGACAAGACGCAGATCCCGGCGCCGCTCAACCGCTTCCTCCGTCAGTACCAGCGCGAGGGCGCCGAGTTCCTCTACTCGCAGTTCAAGAAGGGCCTCGGCGGCATCCTCGGCGACGACATGGTGCGTCCGGCTCGTCCTCTCCCATTCCGCACTTTACCGGGACCTGACTGACACGCCGCTCACAGGGTCTCGGTAAGACGATCCAGGTCATCGCGTTCCTGTCGGCGATCATGGACAAGCAGGGCATCAAGAAGTACGACGACGAGCGCCGCAAGAAGGTCGTGTACGGGCGCGCCGACGACGACCCGATCGACAAGCCGTCCGACCTCGGCCCAACCTGCCTCATCGTGTGCCCCATGAGCGTCGTCCACAACTGGGAGCGCGAGTTCAAGACGGTCCGTCGTCGCTCTCTCGCTCTCGGACCTCTCTCCCGATCGCGTGACTGACCTAGCGTCGTCCTGCGCGCAGTGGGGTTACTTCGACGTCGGCATCTTCATGGGCTCCAAGGAGAAGAAGAACGAGATGCTGCACAAGTTTGACCGGGGCGTTCTCGACGTCGGTGCGTCCCTCGTCCTCTTCCTCCTCGACCATCCGGCTCGAGCACTGCTCACGTGCGCCTCAACTCGTCCTCCCAGTCGTCGCCGGCTTCGAGGCCGTCCGCAACCAGATCGGCGAGTTCACGTCCCGCGACTTTACCGTCGTCATCGTCGACGAGGCGCACCGGGTCAAGAACCGCAAGTCGGCCACGACGCAGGCGATGAACCAGTTCCCGTCGCGCCTTCGCTACGGCCTGACGGGCACGGCGATGCAGAACAAGCTCGAGGAGTTCTGGTGCGTCTTGAACTGGGCCGCTCCTGGTCGTGTCGGCACCCATCGCCAATGGTGCGTCCCCTCCTCCTTTCTCTCCTTCCCCCTCTGTCCCGCCCTCGAGGCGCGAGACCGCTCACGCCTCGGTCACACAGGGATGACCTCGTCAGTCGTCCGCTCAAGTTCGCGCAAACCGCCGACGCCACCGAGGACGAGCTCGCGCTCGGCCGCAAGCGGGCCATGGCCCTCGTCACCTCGCTCCTCCCCAACTTCTGGATCCGCAGGTGCGCTCTCATCTCTCCTCTCCCTCTCTATACCTCGCATGTACTGACTCGGCATGTCCGGCGCGCAGGACCAAGGACGACCGCAACGTCCAGCTCCAGTTGCCGCCCAAGACCGACAACGTCGTCCTGTGCCCGCTCACGGCCCTACAGCAGCGCGTCTACCGCCGCCTCCTCCAGCTCGAGGACGTCCAGATCATGCTCACGGCCGACGACCCGTGTCCGTGCGGCGAGCGAGACGAGACGGGTCTGCCGTACCGGCGGGGGAGCTGCTGCGAGCAGGAGTGGACCAAGGTGCGTCCACGATCCCTGATCTGTCTCGGCCCGTACTGACTTTCTCTTCGCCTCGTCCTGCAGCTCATCTTCAAGTACATCTCGCTGTTCCAGGGCGTCAGCAACCACCTCGCCCTCATGTACCCGAGTGAGCCCGCTCGGACCTCCTTCCTCACCTCGTTCACCGACTGACCCGAGCCCGTCCCTCGCCTCGCAGACCGCGAGGACAAGCGCAAGGAGCCCGAGCGCTACGAGCAAGCCGTCAGCTGGATGCAGACCGCCTTCCCGGACGACTGGCAGGACCGCAAGCCCGGCCCGCAGGCCGCGCTCGACCCCGACCTCTGCGGCAAGTGGAAGGTGTGCCCACCTTTCTCTCTCTCTTTGTTTCTCGACGACGAGCGCGAGTCCCTGACGCCCTCTCGCGCAGATCCTGTGCGAGCTCCTCGAGCTCTGGCACCACGAGGGCCACAAGGTCCTCATCTTCTCGATGTCGCTCAAGATCCTCGACCTCCTGTCGTCCCTCATGGAGACGACGCACTACAAGTACCTCACGCTCGACGGCAGCACCCCTCAAGACGAGCGTGCGTCCCCTCCCTCAAGTCGTCTCGGGCATTGTCGCGACGAGAATTGACTCTCTTTTCCTCTGCGTCCAGGCATGCCGCTCGTCGACGAGTTCAACGACCCAGCAGGCGGCATCTTCTGCTTCCTCATCTCGACCCGAGCCGGCGGTGTCGGCCTCAACCTGACCGCCGCCAACCGAGTGCGTCCCCCTCGCCCGCACTCGTCGTCCACGGACTGACTCTTTCCCTTTCGTGCAGGTCGTCATCTTCGACCCGAACTGGAACCCGTCGCACGACCTGCAAGCTATGGACCGCGCCTACCGCTTTGGTCAGACGCGCCGGGTCGACGTGTTTCGGCTCATCGGTGCGGGAACGTGCGTCCTCTCTCTCTCTCTCTCTCTCTCTCTCTCTCTCTCTCTCTCTCTCTCTCTCTCTCTCTCTCTCTCTCTCTCTCTCTGTCTCTCTCTCTCTCTCCTTCCACCCTCGCCGACGCGACTGACTCGCTCGCTCCCCGCAGGCTCGAGGAGCTCATCTACAACCGCCAGCAGTACAAGCGCTCGATGGCCAAGACGAGCTGTGCGTGTCCTCCTTCGCCATCTCCCTCGCCGACGGTCAGTCACTAATCCGGTTGCCCCTCGTGCAGACGACGCCTCATCGGAACGCCGTCTCTACACGGGCGTGCAGGGCGAGGGCAAGACGCAACACGGCGACCTGTGGGGCGTCAAGAACATCTTCTCGCTGTCGGAGAACTTCTCGCTCACCGAGAAGTCGATCGAGCGCGCCAACCTCGCCGAACTCGAGTACGCCCTGCGCAACTCGAGCATCTTCGAGACGGACGACGGCAAGGTCGCCGACCTCGACGAGCCCGACGCAGAAGAAGTGGTCGCCGAGGTCACGGGCTACAGCAAGAAGGCGGACCCGACCAACCGTGCGTCCGACCTTCTTCCCTTCCTCGTTCCCCTACCGTATCTTCTCCCTCCCGTCGCATCTTTCAGTGACTGACTGCTTGACTCTCTCCCTCCCTTCCGTTGTCCCCCTCGCAGAGATGTCGCCCGAGGAGCTCGCGCGCCACGAGCGCAGCCTGCGCGAGCAGGCCATGATCTCGCGCATCCTGTCCGGCGTCAGGACGGCCGAGTCGGACGACGTCATCGGCGGGTCCAACATCGAGCTGCTGCGCGGGCACGCCGCCATCCAGGGCCAGGCCGCTCGCGCCAAGGCGGTCACGGCGGGTCCGCCTCGTCCTCGCCTGTCGGCGCCACCGCCATCATCGTCGTCGCACAAGGCCAAGCCGGTCAAGAAGCGCTCCAAGACGGAGCACGACGACGTGCCCGCGTGGGACCCGCTCAGTCGCTCGAGCGGCCGGCCCTCGGCGACGCAGCGCGACGCCTCGCAGGCTCGTCCGGCGCTCAAGAAGCCCAAGCTCGAGTCGCAGCCCGGTCCCGACTCGAAGGGCGACGCCTTTGTCGCCGCGGGCCTGCCCGAAGGCGTGTCGGTCGTCGACGCGATCGCGACGGCCGGGTACGGCGGCGCCGACGGCGTGCAGCGGTTCTACCGCGAGTTCGGCGCGTGCGACAAGGGCAAAAAGGCGAGCATGCTCAAGAGCGTCGTCAGGGCGTGGAGGAAGGAGAACCCGGACGTCGAGGACGAGGACGAGGACGCCGAGTAGGCGAGGAGGAGCGGTCTCTGGGTCTAGCTTTCGCGGTCGTCGTTCGCTTTGTCGTTGTGCACTTTACTCGCTTTCTCTCGCTCTCTCAGTTGCGGGCGAGAGCGTGACATCGATACGACAACAAGCCGAACAGAGAGAGCGACACACCCCTCGCGCTCACACCCCGCTCCTCGTCCTGCTCGCCTCCTTCTCCTCCCTCCTCCGCCTCGCCTTGTCGGCCGCCTCCCTCGCCTTTTCGGCCCTCCACTCGCACCCGTCCTCAAACTCGCACGTCCGGCACCGGTTGGTCTCGCTCGGCGAGACGCCGATCGGGACTCGCTCGCTGCGCCAGTACGAGAGGACGCTTGCGAGCCATGCCTTGAGCTCGACGGGCGAGTTGCGAAAGGTGGTCGTGCCGATGAAAGACGGGTCGAGTGGCTCGGGCTCGGGCTCGGGTGCAGGTGCGGGACGCCGGGTAGGAGAAGCGGCAGGAGGTGGCGAGGGCGGAAGAGGTCCGAGCGCGGCGGGCAAGGGCGGCGCAGCCTCGCTCGTGGGCTCGGGCGCCAACGTGGACGACGGCGCCGTAGCGGGACGGCGCCGAAGGTTGTACCGCCCTGCCGGGGCCGGCGCGGCGGGCGGGTCGGCCTGCGAGTTGAGCGGGAGCGCGAACGCGTCGGCGAGGCCGAACAACGGCGACGTCGAGGCTTCGTCGGCGCTGTCGGCGCCGAGGGAGGAAGATGTGCGAGGTGTTGGGAGAGGAAGAGGAAGGGATGGGTTGGCGAGAAAGGGTTGTTGCGAGTCGTCGAGTTGCGAGTCGCCACCGTCGGCCTCGTCGGCGACGGCGCCATCGTCTGGCGGCCGCGCGTCGCCGACGGTCCCGCCCGGCGTCTCGTCCTCGACCGAGGGAGAGCCGCCGACGTCCTGCAGGCTGAGCTCGATCGCCCGCCGCAAGTCCTCCTCCTCGTCCGCCTCCCTCGCCGCCCGCCCCAAATCCTGCTCGACGACGACCACCTCCTCCTCCCTGCGTTTGCTCCCGCTTTCGCCGCCGCCCTCCCTCTCGCGCTTCTTGGCGCCTCGTCGCCCCTTCCACTTCTTCCTCGTCCCGCCGCCTCGCTCGCCCTCGTCGTCCCCGCGCAACCGGTACGAGATGTCCATCTCGTCGGCGAGCCACCCGGGGCCGCCGAGCAGCTCGCCGTACCGGCCGAGGACGGCGACAAAGTCGTCGAGCGACGCCGCGCCGGCGAAAGTGGGGGTGCCGACGACGAGGGGCGCGATCGACGCGAGGAAGGCGGGCGACAAGGGTTTCGAGGGGTCGAGGGCGTGGTGGGCGTAGAGGCGGGCCCAGGAGAAGGGTGGCGGACTCGATGAGGACGAGGATGAGGGTGAGGGAGGGAGGAAGGAGAGGAGGAGGCGGCGGTACAGCATGAGCTGCAGTCGGGCTGCGCGCGACTCGGCCTCGGGCGGGATCGAGCGGTTGAACCTGTGCGCAAAGGGAGGGTCAGTATGACGTGGCAGGATAGAGAGAGAAAGAGAAGAGGGACGCACCGAGTCTTGGTGTCGCTCAGGACAAAGCGCCATCTCGGTCCCGCCGGCGGATCGACCTCGCCCTCCTCGCTCGTGAGGTCGACGACACCGTCCTGGCACTCCTTGGCCTTGGCGCGTCTCGACGGCGACTCGACAGGCGCGAAGAAGTGCTTGAGCGTCGACTGCTGGTCCTTCTTGGGCGTCGTTGGCGTCGAAGGTCGTGGAGCGGTTGACGGGTCGACGAGGTCGCGCTTGGTCGGCGCAGGAGGGGAGGGCGGTGGCGGGATCTCGCGCCGCTCGATCTCGTCGCAGACACCGAAGACGAGGAACTCGCCGACCCAGCCGACGACAGGGACCTCGCGCTGCGTGGGCGGTCCTGCGTGAGTTCGACGGGTAAGGGGAAGGAGAGAGAGAGGCCGACGCACAACTCGTCCCGTCTCGAGAAGCGTCTCGAGGCATGCCGCCGTGTTGAGGATGCGCAGGGCCCACCACTCCTCCTTGCCCTGCACGTCGACCTTGACCTCCTCGACGGGGCCCATGACCTCGCGCTCGATCTTGGCGTGCACGGCCCTGCCACGGTCGAGGACGCCCTCGCGCCGCACGGTGCGCGCCGTGTCGACGGCGATGGTGGCGCCGGCCGGGGTCGTGATGGTGGCCGGGCGGGCGAGCGGCGGGAGGTGCGGCTTGGTGAGGAGCCGGTACGAGTGCTGCCACTCGCACCACGAGGGCCCGGTGAGGTCCGACACGCTCAGTGCGCCCCACCCTCGCGACTTGCGGAAGCGGTCCCTGCGGGCGTCGAGAGGGCGGGTCAGCGAGGCTCGGTGGAGGGCGGGCGGGGGAGGAGGAGGGACGGACCACAAGCTCTCCCGCGCCTGCGCCTGGACGAGCAGCGCGTCCTCGACAGGTAGGACACCATGCTGTTGAGCCAACTGGACCTCGCCGTGCGGCTCTTCGAGGGCGATGTGGACGAGAGAGGCTCGCTCAACTCTTGGGGCTGATGACGGCGATGGCGGACGCTCTGCGGCCTGGAGCTGCGCCTCGAGGTCGGCGTGGGCGTAATCGAGCTCTGACCCGTAGTCGGATGCGGCTGGAGAGCCCATCAGCGCGGCATGGCGAGGGGGCTGGCGAGTGGACGACGAGCGACGACCGCCACCTCGACTCGTCGCACAGCCGCCTCACCTCGCGATGCGCTGGCTCAAGCTTGCGCCCGACCAACTCTCTGGTAGATACAAGCCAGTATAGCGCCGTCGAGGACAAGTGTAGTGCTCGTTGCCGGCCTCCTCCTCCTCTCCTCCTCCTCCTCCGTCTACCCCCAAGTCTCCTCGACCAGCCTCCCCTCGCGCTCCATCGTGTCCCACGCCCGCTCGGCACCCTCGTCATCGAGCCCGCCTTGGTCCCGGAACACGGTGAGGACGGCCTTCCTGACCGCCTTGGGCATCTGCGTCGACGAGCTGCGCGAGGGACGCGAGGGAGGCGCACGAGACGAGTCAGGGCCCCGCACGTGCAGAGGGACGCACAGAGAAAGAGGAGCAGGACGCACCCGCAGAGGTAGAGGTGCCCGCCGCGTTGCACATAGTCCCACACTCGGGCCGCGTGCTCGGGAATCTTGTGCTGCACGTACACCTTGTCGTCCTGCATGCGCGGCGCAATGTCAGCCCGTCCCTCTCGGCCTCGAGGTCGAAGAGAGAGAGAGAGAGAGAGGGAAGGAAACGAGGGGACGCACCTGGTCTCGGGACGGCGCAACGCTGAGCGTGAGCCAACCCCGCTCGACGAGGTCGTCCCAGTACGAGCGGAAGTAGCAGTCGGCCGTCTCAGACCTGCAGCCGAAGAACAAGAGGTTCTCTGCGACGCGTCGAGCGTCAGGGACCGGCCATAGCTGCACGAAAAGACGGGAGAGGGGGAGAGGGGGAGAGAGGGACGCACCCCTCGCGCCGGCCCGCACGCGCTCCTCCATGAGCGCCCTGAACGGCGCGACGCCCGTACCCGGGCCGACCATGATGAGCGGCGGCGTGCCGGCTGGGAGCTTGAGCTGGCCCGACGGGTCGAACCGGATCGGGAGGCGCGAACCTGCGAGGACGCGAGGGCCAAGGGTCAGGGCGAGGCCGGTCGAGGGACAGGCTCGACGAGAGGAAGAAGAGGAGGGGACGCACCAACGAGTAAATTCGAGAGGTAGGTCGTTGTAAGGCCTTGACGCGGCACCGACAGGATCGTCTTGTACTGCACGACGGCGACGAGGAGGTCGACCTTGCCGTCGTGGCTCTGCGCTCGCTCCGCTCGTCAGTCCCGCTCTTCCTCAGATACACGGGAGAAAGAAAGAGAGGGGGCTGGGACGCACCGCAGGCGAGGACGAGATCGAGAACCCTCGCGGCCGGATTGGCGGCAAGAGGTCGAACACGTACTCGGGCGGGACTTTGGCCGCCCGAAACTCGTACATGACCTCGTTGATGGTGCGTCGAGGGCGCAGCGTGTAGTCGATGAGGTCGTCCTGTGCGTCGTCGCAGAGGTCAGTCAGGCTGCGAGAGAGGTGGAAGATAGAGAAGAAGGGGGAGCGTGCGCACCTGGCCCGCCGGCTCGCAGAACCACCTCAGCTTCTCCTCCATGTCGCCCTCGCTGAACGCGGCGAGCCACTCGAAGAACGACAGGCGTGGGACGCACGAGATGTCGAGCTCGTGCGTGAGGAGCGAGCGCAAGGAGGTGCGGAACGGGGTCGGGAGGTGAGGAGGTAGGGGCTGGGCTGCGGGCCGGGCGAGGTGGGTTCAGGACGTGCCGCGCCGGATAAGAGAGAAGGTAAGGGACGGACCAGGATCGGTGGGCGAGACGAGGACGACGTCGTCGGCCAAGTCGGTCCACCCAGCCGAGGTGAGGAACCGCTCGACCTCGGCCGGCGAGTTCTGCGGCCGGATCTCGAGCACGTCTCCTGCGGTGTACCTGCGGCTCGAAGTCGTCAGTCGACGCCATGACTTGCAGGGTAGAGGAAGAGCGGGACGCACAGGCGGTTGCGCTCACTCGGCTCGACTCCCTCGACCTCGAGCTCGACCTCGCGCACGTCCTGGTACCAGTCCTCGCGCGTCACACGGTCGTTGCGCACAAGTCGCGCCCACCGTGCGTCGTCGGTCCACAGGAGAGGCGCCGAGTCGGCGGTTGGCGGCGTGGCCGTGGACGAGGAGGGCGAGGCGACCTTGTCGAGGCGGGCTCGGGGAGGAGGGGTTGCCGTGAGAGGGAGCTTGGTGAATCCCGGTGGCGGGGCAAAGAGCGGGTCGATGGCGGTGAAGAAGCGGTCGAGCCAGTCGGGAAAGGTCGACTCGACGCTGTGGACGTGCTCGAGGGTCAGGTCGCGCTGACGAGGGCAAGGAGACGGGGACGCACCCCCACTCGTTCTGGTCGTCGCCCTCGCCTCGCTCGACGACGGCGTGTGCGCCGAGCGAGTCGAGGCGTCGCGAGAGCTTCTTGCCGACCCAGTTGTACTTGCCGTAGCTCGAGTCGCCCAGCCCGAACACGGCGTACCTGCGCACGGCGAACGAGGGCGGGTCAGTTCTGGGCCCGGGCCGCTGTCGCCGCACGAGGAGGAACGCACCGCAGGTCCTCGAGAAAGTCGGGCGGGAGGGCTGGGTGGAGGAGGGCGGTCCACAGCGGGAGGAACTGGGGCGGTGCTGCGCCGTTGCCCGTGGTCGGGACGACAAAGACGACGAGGCCGTGTTCGAGGAGCTCTGCCTGTGTCGTCGTCGTCGAAGGGTCAGGTCGCGTGCGTCGCTTGGGAGCGCGAGAGGGGGGGACGGACCTGATTGAACTGGGCGACGCTCTTGACGGTGACGTTCCAGCCCTCGCGCCTGCCCCTGCGGCCGATGCGCTCGGCCGTGTCGATGGCGGTACCGGTGACGGACGCGTGGAGGACGAGGAAGGCGCGGCTGTCGAGCGGGAGCGGGTCGGTGTGGCCGTTCATGGGAGGCGGTGCTGTCTGTCGAGGCCGGCGAGGTGAGGGGGCGGGTTGGGGGTCGCTGTAGTGAGGCGGACGGGTGCACTGGAGCTCGTAAAGCGGTACAGGACTGGCCGTGTGCAGCTTGAGCCGGGCGATGGTGAGAGAGAGCCGATAAAGAGTTGATCGCTTCGCTCGACCACGAGTCAGCGACCTCTCGCTGCGACACAGCTGTGCCGACCTGCTGCCTCGGCTGCGGGCACCTTCAACCTGCTGGGCTCCGTATCGCCGCACCCGCTCCACCGCCCGCGCCGCCCCGCGACCTCGACCTCGTCGCCCATCTCGCCCCGCCGACTCTCGACCTCGCCGCCCTCGCCCACACCAACTATACACGCCAGAGGCAGCAGTACAGCCTCACTACCGCACTTTTCTGCCCATACCCCCGCCCATGCACCCCACGGTGCCGTCACCCCCCTTTTCCACGCCTCCCTCCGTCCTCATCAGTCTGCCGCTCATCCCCCTCCTACACCCTCTCGGCGCCGCCAGCGACCTGTCAGCCCCACTCAGCAACATCCTCTCGTGAGCCGGCCGACTCAAGCTGGGCGACCGATGATCGTGCAGTTCAGCAACGCCGCCTCGGTCCCGACCACCTCTCCCTCCGGCCCTCGCCACGCCGCACCTCGCTCCAGGCGCCGCATTGCGCCCCATCAGCCGGTTCACCTTGTCTTTGGGGCGGCAGGGCGGCCGGAGGAGGGACTACAGTCGGGCGCCAGTCGAGCAGTAAAGCTCGCTGAGCCGGATTCTTCCTTTGCTCGTCCTCGTTGTCCTACAATGAACTTCTGCATCGTTGCTGTCGCGCTTCGCCCTCTCGAGAGTCTCGAGTCTGGCCAAGCGAGCGAGCATCGTCGAGAGTTACCGTTCCTCGCTCGAGTTGAAAGCCGACAAGGTTCTCTCGAGCCATTCCTGTCCTCTCGGCTCGCTGCGACAGGAACGAGGCCAAGAATTAGAGAGAGAGAGAAGACACGTGACAGATTGCAGGGAAGACATTGCGAGAGAAGAACGAGCGGTCGTGAACAGGGCGAGGGGGGCGTGAGCGAGAGGGGGTGCAGGAGGGAACGGAAGGGACGACGGGGAACGAGGGTGGGGTGCGAGGAGGTACGACGATAAGGGAGGACACGGACAGGACGACTAAGGGAACGAGGGAGAGGGAGAGGGAGAGTGAGAGACAGGGGGGAAGGGCCTGCGGCGAGCCTCAGATGAACAGCTCGCGCACCTTGCCGAGCCCAGCGTCCGCCTGCTGCTGCGACACCTGCCGCTGCCCGCCCGCCCCGCTCGTGCGCCTCCCACTGCGCAGCACGCGCCCCTCGTCGTCGCCGTCGCCCGCTCGACCGAGCCCGCCCTTGGCCCGCCGCCGCTCGAGGCGCCGCACGCGCGCGAGCTCCTTCTTCTCGCTGCTCGTCGGCCCGCGACGCTCCCTCGGCGGCGGTGGCACCTTGCCGCGACTTTTGCCGCGCGTCGCAGGCACTGGCGGCGCCGGCGAGGACGACGCGGCGGGCGCAGCAGGCGACGCTCGCGAGCTCGACTCGCTCGCGTCCTCGTCGTCCTCGGCGACAGCAGCCGAGCTCGCAACGCCCGTCGACGTCCCACTGCTGCTGCTGCTGCTCGCGGCACTGCGCACGCTGCCGCTCGCCGGCGACGCGAGCCGGCTGCGCGTGCGCGGACCGGCGCGGTCGTTGTCGTTGACGTCGAGCTCGGCGTCGTCGTGGTCGGACGTGGTCGGAGGCGCGGCGGACGAGGAGCTCGAGATCGACAGGGGCGAGTACGAGCGCGGCTGCGACAGCGAGCGGTCGAGGAGGTGCTTGGGCGGGCGGGTCGTCGAGTCGGCGCTGCCGGCGGGAGGAGGAGGGGACGACGCCGAGGACGACGGCGGCGAAGAAGGCGAGGCGGACGAGTCCGAGGGAGGGAAGATGGGGATGCTCGGCTGCGGCAGGACGCCGGACGACTCGGCTGGGGCTGGGCCGTCGGCCGAGGGACGGGCGCGAGCGAGGGCGGTGCGGACGGCCGGGAGCGGGTGGTCGGTCGGCGGCGAGCCACGAGGCGTGCGTCGAGGCGGAGCGACCGTGTCCTGCGACTCGTCCATCGTCGTGTCCTCGTCGCGCTCATCATCGACCTTCTCCTCCTCCTCCTCCTCGTCGACGTCTCGCGCAGGCCCGCGCTCGGCCGACTCGTCGTCCTGCCGCGCGTCGCTCGAAGCAGCAGCACCGCCGTTGTTGACCGCCGGCGAGTTGACCCGACCCTGCGCGCAGGCGAAGAGTCAGTGCGGCTCGGACAGGCGACAGAGGAGGGGGCGCGAGACGCACGACGCGCAGACGAGGAGGCCCAGTGTGCGGCCCGCTGATGTTGCGCAGGCTCGAGTAGTGCTCCCACGAGTGGTAGCTGCGGCGCAGGGCGGGAACGACGAGTCAGTCGACGAGCTCGATCGAGAGGCCGACGGCGCGAGAAAGAGGACGAGGACGCACACGATGCACAGGGGCGAGTCGTCGAACGGCTCGGGCGCAGATGGCGCAGGACGTGAAGCCGCCTCGACCTTGTCGCTCGCCGCTGCCGCCGCCGCGTCGCGCTGCTTGCCCTTGCCCTTGGCGCCGAGCTTGTCCTGGCGCGCCTTGAGCCGCCTTTCCCTCGGCGTCAGCTTGTCGCCGTCGCCTGCTTGGGCGAGTGACGGTGCTGGTGGAGGCGGTGGCGAGGATGACGACGCGCTGGTGGACGGGCCCTTTTCCTCGACGGGCAGGACGTAGACGAGGTTGGGCTGGTACACCTTGACGGGGCGGCGGTATCGTGCGACAAACGCCGACAGCTCGATGTTGGTGCCGTACGTACCTGCTCGACGTCGCTCAGTCAGTGGCGGGACACGAGAGTGGTCGAGAGGGGGCCGAAGGAGGAGAGGGCGGCGCACCGTTCTGGCGCATCTCGCGAACGTGACCGTCGAAGCCGCCCTTGACCGAGTCCTCGTCGACAAAGAGGCGGTACTTGTCCGGGTGGCTGGCCAGGTAGTTGCAGATCTGGGCGGACGGGTCGGTCAGCTCGACGTCGAGAGGGAGAAGGAGAGGGAGGAGGGAGGGAGCGCACCTCGGTCCGGATGGCCTGGTGCATGCTCGGCGAGCCGTACAGCTGGTCGGACAGTGCGCGAAAGAGGCAGTTGCCATCTGCGCAGGCGGGCGGGCGAGCGGGCAAGAGAGGGGTCAGTCGACGCGAGGAGCGGGAGGGGGGAAGGAGCCGGACGCACCGCCGAGGATGTTGGCCGCGTAGAGGCCCGCATCCTTGAGCTGGCTCGACAGGACCCTTTCCTCGAGCTCTGGGTCCTCGATGAGCTGTGTGGGCGGGCGGGTCAGCCTCTGAGGAGGGAACGCGGGGGAGAGGGAGGAGGAGCGAGACGGACCCGGGGCTTGTCCCCCCTCGTGCGGTCGCGCGCCTTGCCGTACGAGCGCTCGCGGGCCTTGCCTTTGCCCTTGAGGTCGTGCCGCGCGCCCTTGGCCATGAGCGAGCGGCAGAGAGCCGAGCCCGAGTCGCGCTGACGAGGGAGGCGCGACGACGACGAGGGGCCTCGAGGGCGGGTGCGCGCGTGTGGGCGAGGTCGGGTGGGTCTCGAGGATAGGGGTGGCACTCGGACTGGCAGCAGGCGAGTCGATGGAGCGAGAGATTCGGCGGGCACGGCTCGTCTCTTCGTCGTCGCGCTCCGGCTCTGACGCGGGTCGTCGTCTCGCTTTCTCGGCCTCGTTCTTTGCAGTTGAGAGCTCTCGTGCAAGCCTGTTCTCACTCGTGGCTCCGTCGGGCCGAGCGCGACAAGAAAGCTTTGTACATTGCGCTCGCGACAGAACGACAAACGCGGTCCGACCGGCGCTCGCGAGCGACCTCGTCCGACCTCGCTCAGTACAGCGCCTTGTTGAGCGCGGTCGACGACTTGACGAACAGGCTGAGGGCGATGACCGAGCCTGCGGAGAAGAAACGCGCTCGTGTCAGTCGAGAGGGCCAGAGCGAGGCGAGACGACGTCGAAGAGGGTGAGGACGAGGGAACGAGCGCGACTCACTTGCGAGCCAGACAATCGACCGTAGGCCGGTGAACTTGGCGCGGTCCGTCTTGATGTAGAGAACCTGTAGAAGGGGGACGAGGGAGCGTCAGTGCGCGCACGCGAACAAGAGGAGCCCGAGTCGCGGCGCGACGACGTCGGCGACGGCCGCCGCGGCCGCGACTCGCACCCCGAGAGGAACCGAGCGACGCACGCAGTAGACGACGCGCAGAGCGACGTAGGCGCCCGTCGCCTTGTTGAGGAACGAGGTCGGGAGCCTCGCCCAGTTGCCGCACAGGACGGCCGCCGCGAACAGGCCCAGTTGCTCAAACACATTCGTCTGCGCAGCCTCGGCGCGAAGGTACTGACGAGCGTCCTGTTGCGCTCACGAGCTTGTCAGTCTGACGTCGAGGAGGAGAGGGGGAGAGAGAGGCGGACGCACCGCGCTCGTCTTGGCGAGCTGCGAGACGCTCGCGAGGAAGGCGCGCGGTGCACGGTTGTCGAACGGGGGCAGGTCCTTGGACGTCATCGAGAGGATGATGGCGTTCCAGTGTGCGGCCATGCCGAGCACGAACGTTGCCGGGATGGACAGGAGCGAGTAGTTGGCGGTGGCCATGACGGGCGAGGCGGTCTAGTGGGTTGGCTGAGGCGGTGTATTGGGTCGAGCGAGTCTAGCAAGAGGTGCTGTGCGTCTGCAGAGAGCGTGTGACGAGCGAGTGTGGACGAGGAGGGGAAGCTCTCGAGCGCGCGGACGCCGTCACCACTTTCCCCACTTGAGCGAGCCCGGCAAAGTGTCGCAGCCGGCTGATCTCGCGCTGACATGCTGAAAGGGCCGATCGGGCTCGTAACGCATCTGTCGATCCACCTTCGCCGTGCTCGAGCGAGCGAGAAGACCAGAGGCGCTCTCTCCAGCTCTCGTAACCGCGCACGCCGAACTCCGACTGCTCGAATGCATACAGCTATGATATGTGAGGGGAGGATGTGCGACGAGGGAGAATGAGAGGGCGAGGACGCGGTCCGAGAACAACCTGCTCCTCGGCCAACGGGCGCGCTCACCACAGCGCCTTGTTGATCTGGTTCGACGCCTTGACGATGAGGCTCAACACGACGCCCGAGCCTGCGCGCACGTTTAGAGAGAGAGATGGTCAGTTCGGTGTCGCAAGAGGCGCAGGAAGAGAGGCCCGAGAGGACGAGGGACGGGAGCCGGACGCACTCGCGAACCAGGTGGCCGACCGCAGCGTCGTGTACTTCTCCTGGTCCGTCTTGACGTACAGCACCTGCAAGTGGGACTCGTTGTCAGCTCAGGCGCGACGTAGAGAGAGAGGGGGAGCGAGAAGGACGCACGGCAAAGGCGACGCGGAGCGCGACGTAGGCGGCCGCCGCCTTGTTGAGGAACGAGATCGGCAGGCGGGCCCAGTTGCCAGCGAGGAGGGCGGCGGAGTAGACGCCCAGACCCTCGAAGATATTGAGCTGGGCGGCCTCGGCGCGAAGGTACTGACGGGCGTCCTGCGAGCGCGTGAGCGAGGTCAGTGCGCGGTCGCTGGGACGAGTGCGGACGGGCAAGAGGACGCACTGCGCTCTTGTCGGCGAGGGCCTGGATGCGGGCGAGGCACTGGCGCGGTGCCGTGTTGTCGAAGTTGGGCAGCTCGCTGCTGTTGGCGGCGAGGCGGACGGCCGAGATGTGGGTCGCCATGCCGAGGACATAGGTGGCCGGGATCGAGTAGAGCGAGAGGTTGTAGCTGCTGTCGAGGAACGGCATCTTGTCGCGGTGGAGTGGGCGGAGAGGGAAGAGAAGCAAGGGTCCGCTGCGGTCACCGGCCGGCCAGAGCCGACTTGAGTGGAGGCGCGATCGACCTCGCACATCGCCTGGCAGCTCTATCGCCTCGCGCAGGTGCTGCACCGTAGCTCAGTGACACCTCTGGCCTGGCAGAAAGTCCCCTCGAGCTGCGAGAAGAGAGCGAGCCGTGGTCGTCGGTCGTGTGTCTCATCGCCTCGAAGCTCTCTCGCTCCCCTCCTCCCTCACCACCCACACACACAATGTCGCCCTCCAGAGCACCACCACCCAAGACCGTCAAGCCCGAAGAGTCCAACCCGCGCGGCGTGCCCAAGGCCGTCTTCCTCGTGCGTCCCCCCTCCTCCTCCTCCCTCCTTCTCGCCGCACCCTCCCCTCACCGCACACTGACCTAGAGCCCGCACCCGCACCGCAGGAGGACGTGACTGAGTACATCGGCGGCCCTGAAGGCGACGCAGAGCTCGCCCTCAAGACGCTCCAGGACACGCTCGCGTGCGTCCCCCCCTCTCGCACTCTCTCCCCCACCCCTCAGCTGACCCAGTGGAGCGCACGCACGCAGCAAGTACAAGTTCATGGAGCAGTCGAGCCTGCAGCGGCGAGCTGGGCTCGAGGAGAAGGTCCCCGAGCTGGAGCGCACCATCGAGATGGTCGACCTGCTCATCCGCAAGAAGGTGCGTCGCGCACCGCTTCCTCTCGGTCACCGTGTGCTCGACGTCGACACCGAGACTGATTCTCGGCGTGGCGACCTGCAGGAGCAATCCGAGCCGTTCGAGACGACGTTCGAGCTCGCCGACACGCTGTACGCCAAGGGCGAGGTTGAGGAGGTCGAGGAGGTCTACATCTGGCTCGGCGTGCGTCCCTCTCTTTCACTCTCTTGATGTGGAAGACGGGCGACAAGGCGGCGAGCTGACCTGGACCCTCCTTCTTCCCCACTTTCGCTCCCTCGACCGCCCTCCTCTCGCCGACTCGCCCGTCTCCTCCTCGACGCGACATGACCGTCCACCCAGGCCTCGACCATGCTCTCCTACCCTCTACCCGAAGCCCACGCCCTCCTCACTTCCAAGCTCTCGAGCGCACGCACGTCGCTGTCGACCGTCAAGGAGGATCTCGCGTTCCTGCGCGACCAGATCACGGTCACCGAGGTCAACGTCGCGAGGGTGTACAACTGGGACGTCGCGAGGCGGAGGGAGAGGCGGCTCAGGGGGGAGGAGGAGGGTGCCAAGACGGGCAAGGGTGCGGGTGCGCCGCGAGATGACGACGACGAGGACGAGGAGGACGACTTGGACTGAGGGGCGCGTCCTCGCCTCGAGGCTGTACGACCGACGCTGCATCGCAGGTTTCTCTCTCTGTCTCTCTCGCTGTCGACTCTCTGGCTCGAACGGGGCTGCGTGGGCGCGAGAGAGACGAAAGAGGAGGAACGACGAGTTGCACGAGGGAGACGAAGAGAGATCTACGCCGCGCTTATACGCCGTCCGAGCCTGCTGTAGTCTCGACAGGCCGACAGTCACTCCCGAAGGAGACCGCCAGCCAAGCAGGGAGGCACCTGAAGCGGGCGAGAGAGGGGTGACGAGAGGAGAGAGGGGGCAGGAGGGTGGCTTTCGGTGCTCGCTCGAGGCAAAGAGTCAGCTCTCGTCGAGGACGGGAGGATGTAGAGAAGAGAACCCTCGCATTGCAGTCCTCCACCAGATCCAAGGGCCGCAGCCGCCGAGAAAGAGAGCGAACCCTCGAGCTCGTCCTCCTCCCTCTCGCCGCCGCGGAACCCCCTCCTTCTCGAGTCGAATGACATGGGATCAGCCCAAGTACGAGCGCAGGCTTCGTAAACAAGGTTATGGGCGGCGGTCTGCGCCTGCACGCATCCCCTGCCCGTCGAGCGACCCGCCGCAAGCCCGGCCTCTGTGAGGAGGCGGTCCGGCGACGAGCGCACGACGAGAGGGTAGTCGTCGTTCCGCCAGAGTGTCATCATTTGAGTTCTGTGTGGGTGCAGGGTGGTCAGCTCGTGGTCCGCGAGAGGCTGAGAGAGCTGCCGGGCGCACATTAAACTCGGAAGGATGAAGAAAGAAGCCAAGCGGCGGAGGCGAGCGCGCGGTCGGGGTCGAACCGGACTTGGCTCGAGCTCTCGCCGCACACGACCTGGGCCGGCTTGCTGCTCGGTCAGGCCTGCGTTGCAGTAGCTACACGATGAGCTTGGGGTGCCACTGCTCTCGTGCGAGCCGTTCTCACCACTCGCTCCTCCTCCTCGCGGATCTCATCTGTTCGGCCGACCGCCGCTCTCTCGCGCCCTCGAAGCGAGGCGAGAGGCTGTCGAACCGGCTCTAGATCTATGCTCTGCGTGACTGCGCTCGTCCTCTGGCCTGCAGCTGCGGTTAGACGCGCTGTGGGCGTCCTCCTCTCGGGCCGGCTCGCGCTCGACTCCCTTCTTTCGACTCGAGCTGGTTCGCTCGCTCGCTCGACTCGCTTGCCGACTCGTAGACGGTGGCACTGAAAAAGCGATCTCGTTTCTGGAGCCCTGTACAAGCTGCTCGTCAAGCGCAGGCGGTCCCTCCTCGAACCCCTCGCCGCCCGGTCCGAGAGAGAAGGAGAGAAGGGAGGAGGAACAGGGAGGGAGAGAGTGGAAGGAGGAACGTCGAGCGAGTCGACCTAGTCGGTGTTCTCGCCGAGCTCGCGCAGCTTCTCGCGCGCGTGCTCCTTGGCCTCCTCCGAGACGCCGTCGCGGTGGAGGGTCCCCTTGTAGCCGCCGATGACGCTGCGCGAGAAGCGTCGACCGATCACGCGGTCAGTACTGCTTGCGTAGAGCCCTGACGGGCGGGCGAGAGGCGAAAGAGCGGCGACGCACCGGTGCCTGTGGACCTCGTCCTCGTGCGACTCGCCCTTGTGCAGCTTGTCCTTGGCGTGCGAGTCCGAGTGGTGGTGGCGCGTGTCGTGCGGCTGGTTCTCCTGAAGCTCCTGCTCGTCGTGCGCCGCCTCGAGGTCGTGGCGGATGTGCTCGGCGTTCTGCGGAAAGGATGGACCGAGTCAGCGACGCGCTCGAGGTGGGTGAGAGTGGGAGGGAGAGGACGGGGGCGCACCTTGTGCGTCTGCTCGGTGAAGCGAGGATTGTGCTCGGCCGCCTTGTAGCCGCGGACGACGTGGTCGTAGTCCTGTACGCGAGAAGGCGAGGTCGAGGGAGAGTCGAGGGGAGGGGAGCGGGGAGAGGGTCACCTCCTGCGGGCCGCTATACACGACGCTGCTTGAGGCAGTCTCGAGAGGGGAGGTAGAAGGAGAGCGCGGGACGGACCTTCTCTGCGACGAGCGTGCCCGACTCGGTGCGCTCGAGGACCTTGTCGCCCTCGACCGACAGCTCGTGCGTCTCGTTGCCCTTGGTCATGGTGATCGTGTGGTGGTGCTGGATGTGGTGGTACTGGCGGGCGAGGTGAGGCGAGAGAGAGAGGCGGGAGGTCGAGGGCGGGGTGGGAAGGCGAGAGGTTGGCGGACGAGGGAGGCGACGAGGAGAGGCGGGAGGGGCACGAGTGGGTCAGCAAGGTGCCCGTGGTGCGTCTGAGCATGTTCGCGAGATGCTCACGAGGAGTTGAAGAAGGGCGAGTGGGAGGGAGGAAGCCAAGAGGCGACGCGCACACACCGAGCCTCGTCACCACGCTCAGTCCCCTCCGCGGCTTGTCCGGCGAGCCCGCCGACGACCGACGTTCGAGCCTTGGGCTCAGAGAGGACAGCGAGCACGCGCAGAGCGAGAACGAGAGCGCACAGAGCGAGCAGAAACAGAAGCCAGCCGAGCGAAAGTTGACATCTCGCGCGGCAAGGACCGAGAGAGGCGAGAGCGCGACGAGGTGAACGAGCGTCAGGGTGGGTCGGTCGATACAGACAGCACGGTCCTGTGTGGACGCTACAGGAGGGGGACTGAACGAGGGAGAGAGGACGAGGGGAACGTAAAGGAAGGAGCTCCCCTCGGTACAGCAGGGGAGGAGAACACCTTGCGCCGCTCGCTCCCGGCGAGACGGCTCAGGAAAGACTAGGTACAGATCGAGGGGAGGGAGGAAGGAATGTCGCGGGCCGTCAAGGCGCGACGAGGACGGGGAGGCGACCATCTCGCGCGAGGTCGACGCCGCCGGCGGCGACGAGGCGCACCTCGCCGCTGCTTTTCCGCTGCACCTGCGCCGAGACGGCCGTCGAGGCCATCAACGGCCACAGGTCCGGGTCGTGCGCGCACGCGTACATGAGCGACGGCGACGGCGCCATGAAGCGGGCCGTCGACCTCGCCTCGTGGCGCACGTGCCGCGTCGCCGCAGCGCTCCTCGGGCTCGACGTCGGCGTCGTGCTGACCCGCCTCGGCTGCTTGAACGAGTCGACGAACCGGATCGGCTCGTGCGCCGCGGCGGCGGCCTTGTGATGGCCCGTGACGAGGTGCGCGTAGTGCGTCGGGAGCGCGCGCGGCGCGACCTCGAGCGGCGTCGGCGGCGTGCGAGGGCCCGACGACGACGACGACACGGTCGAGACCGACATGCGCGACGACATGCGCGACATGCCCGAGCGCCTCGTGCGGGGCGAGCACGAGTCGGCGCCCGTGCTGCTGCGCGGCGAGGGTCCGTCGTCGCGGTCCGACCACGACGGCGGGCGCGAGCCGCACGAGCTGGTCGACGCGACCGAGTACGACGAGTCGCGGTTGCGGAGGACGGGCTGGTGCTCGAGTGGGGAGGGCGAGGAGGGAGAGGTGGAAGTCGAGGCGGAAGGGAGGGCGGGAAGGTCGCGCGAGAGGCTCTCGGCGGGCAGCGACTCGCGCGTGACGGTCGCTCGGCGGTCGTCGTTGTACGCCGGCGTGAGGCGCTTGCCGAGCTCGACCATCTCGGTCTCCTCGACGTCGTCGGCGTCGTCCTCGAGCGCCGCGACAGGGCGGTACGGCCTGCGTGCCGCGACCTCGTCGATGCGCGCGTCGGCCTGCAGTTGCTGAGCGACCGCCTCGGCCGACAAGGCCTGCGACTGGCTCGGCGCCTCGTCGACCGCCATCTCGACCGCCTCGGACGCCGGCAACTTGGGCTCGGTGTCGACGACGGGTTGCAGGAGCGGGCCGAGGAGGCAGATGAGCTCGTCCTCGGTGAAGCTCAGGTCGAAGTTGAGGATCGTGAGGAGTTGTCGCTCCATGAGGTTGACCTCGGCGGCCGTGAAGAAGACGCTGTAGCGGACCCAGTGCTTGTTCTGCGGCGACGAGTCTGTGCGCGAGGTGACGAGGTCAGTTCTCGGGCCCTTCCTCGAGATCCGGATCGAGTGCAGCGAGAGTGAGACGGACCGTTCAGGTACTTGGCGGCGACGATGAGGACGGCGAGGAAGACGCGATGCCGGGTCGTGTGGCACCCTCGGGCGTGGGTCGGGAGGCGCTCGCGCAGGCGCTCGAGGTAGACGAGCGTGCACAGGAGCGTCGGGACGTGACACCGCGACTTGCGCACAATGGACTTGATGAAGACGTCGAGAGGCGGGAGGGCGTCGAGCTTGTTGAGCGGGTACTCGGTGCCGGGCGTCAAAGGAGGAGACGGGAGAGATACGGGAGGAGGGCGGCATTTGACGGCCGTCATCGTCTTCTCGGCGATGTAGGCTGCGCGAGGGCTCGTCGTTAGCTCTCGTGCTCGACGAGACGAGGACCGAGGCAGGGAAGGACGGCGACGCACAGATCATGGCGTCGGTGAGCGGCATGCGCATGAGCTTCACGAGCGCCGGGTCGTGCGCGCTCTTGGGCATGAGCGAGCCCGAGTGCCTGCGGGCCATGGTGGTGGTTGCCGTTCGACGGGGCTGCTGAAATACGCTGGAACGAGGCGTTGCCGAGGAGGGCGAGCGAGTCGAGGCGGATGAGGTAGATCGAGTCGCGGTGGTCGTCGAGCTGCCCTGGCGTCCCTGTCGCTCGGTGCTGGTCGGTGCGGCAGCGACTGTTGGCGTCAAAGGAGAAGACGTCGAGTCGCGGCGGCCACAGGGAGGGGGAGAGAAGCCCTCGGCGGCCGGGATGAGCGGGCAGCAGTGCGGGCGGCGAGCAGTGCCAGCCATCGAGGCGCCGGCTCGAGCGAGAGTTCTAAGAGTGCCCCAGCCGAACCAAGCTGCCCTAGCGCGGCGTGCATGGGCACCAGATCCAGGCGGCGGGACCAGGCTGCCAGCGAGGGTGGCCGGACCTGGGGAAGAGCGAGGTCGACCCGAACGAGGCAGAATGAGCGGCCTGTTCCAGGTGCCGATCATGATCCGCCGTGCACGACATCCGGCGCCGAGCAACTCTCCGTGCGGAGCACACTGTCTCGTACGGCGTCTCATCTGCAGCACTCTCGCCAAGAGCGGACCTTTGGTCGTCGAGCAGCCTCGTCCAGCGGGTCCTTGAGACGCGCTTTGCGGACAGCAGAGGGGGCGCGCTCGACGGGGCGACGACGGCTGCAGCGCGCCGAAGCTCGACCCGTTCCGGCGACCGACAGCAAGCGCAGAGCGGGCGGAACAGGCAGGTGCGAGCCGGATTTCGACGAGGAGGCTGGCGCGCGGCGGGGCTGGACCTGCCCTCGCGCTCAGCGTGCGCGGACTGAGTTGTGCCGCAAGCTTGCGCCGGAAGCGGACACGATAGCCTCGGACCCGGCGCGCAGATCCCGCCGTCGCACTCGACCGCATCGACGTCGACGGCAGCGCCCCGCCCCGATCCACCTCGGCAGCGGCGTCCTTCTAGCCCGCTCGCCCGCGTTGGCGAGAGGCTGGCACGGCCTCCCTGCTAGCCAGGTGCAGCTGCGCTATGTCGACTCGGGACCGGGTGTAGCTGGAGGCGGTTGGCGATGAAAGTTGGCGAGAAGGAGGGGGAAGGAGCGGGTCTGTCGCTGGTGTCGGCATCGCGGGCGGTGCGGGCACAGGCAGAGCAGGCCTGGCAGGCCCAAGCTGCACAGAGCAGGTGCGGTAGCTGGACTGGGCGGCGGGAGAGAGAGCGCAGGCGAACGTCGTCGTCGTCGTCGTCGTCCGAGTCTCGTCAATTCGCCGCCTGCGTCTCGCTGGAGGGCTGCAACTCGGGTGTTCTACTGTCATGGTACAGCGACAGGAAGCCACCCAGGCGAACCACCAGAGCCTGCGCGGGAACACAGCCTCCCCCGCCGGCCGGCTCTCGTCTTCATCGTCCGACACTCTCTCGCTCTCTCCCCCGCTCGTCTCGATCCAGGAGAGACTGCTTGCTCGCCCACATCTCTTCGCCACCAGCACTCGACACCATGGTCCGTCCCTCTTTCGCCCCTGCGCCGTGTGCGCTGGCCTCGTCCCCACCCTTGTCGGCGGGGGCTTGGCTCGTCCTGGCCGCGCGACCACCGCACAGAGCACTGATCCAGGACTGCCAACAGGGACTCGCTTCAAAGCTCGCCGCCGCCAACGCCAACCAGGGCGCATACGGCTCGCCGTACCCGCAACCGCCTCAGCCAGGCTCGTTCGCTCCTCCCGGAGCACCTCCTCCTCAGCAGCGTGCGTCACCGTGTCGCCCCGGATCCTACTCAGGCCTCTCGGCTCACATCTTTCCCTCCCCGTCCACAGAGTACGCTCCGCCGCCTCAGGCGCCGGCGCCCCAGCAGTGTGAGTCTCCCTGGGCCTCGTCTCGCGCCGCAACCTCCCGACTGACCTTCTTTCGCGGACCTGCGCAGACTACGCTCCGCCACCTCAAGCGTCTGCTCCTCAACAGCCTGCCCGCTCATCGTTCGACCCGACTCGCGACGTCGCAACCATCCTGCGCATCCTCGAGGACGGCGTCAAGGACCAGGTGCGCACCCTCTCGTTCTACCCTCCCGGACGCAGGCCCTGACATCGCGTCGTTAGCAGAACCTCTCCCACTTCTACCCGCCGGGCTCGCTGCAACCGGTCGCGCAGCGCATTGCCCAGAGCGGCGCCATCGGCGTCCTCGCCCAGGCGTGGCAGCTCCCGCTCGAGGTCGCCATGGACCTCGCCCGCATGGCCTTGTTCGACGTGTCCATCTTGGCCGACGACTCGGCGTCGATGTGTGCGTCCGCTTCTCCCTTTCCCGTCGTCCTGACCTCGCCCCGCCGACGCTGACCAACTTGCGCCCACAGCTTTCGCCGAGAACGGCTCCCGCATCGACGACCTGCGTCTCGTCCTGTCAAAGGTGTCGCACGCTGCAGCCCTCTTTGACGACGATGGTATCGAGGCGAGTCTCGTTCACCTCGCCGTCGCCGCCCTCGAGCCCCCTCTTCCTCGACACGCAAGAGCTGACCGTCGTCGGCCTCCTGCAGATCCGGTTCCTCAACAGCAAGAAGGAGGGCAACGCCATCAAGAGCGAGGCGCAGGCGATCGACCTCCTGTCCAAGATCAAGTTCAACCGCGCCACCCCTCTCGGCTCGTCGCTCCGGAGCAAGATCCTCGAGCCGCTCGTGTACAAGAAGGTCAAGAAGCACGCGCTCAAGAAGCCGCTCCTCATCGTCGTCATCACGGACGGCGAGCCGACGGGCGAGCCCCGCGACACGATCGTCAAGGCCATCGTCGAGGCGCGCCAGATCCTCGCCAAGACGCCCTACACGCCCGACGCCGTCTCGTTTCAGCTCGCCCAAGTCGGCAACGACCAGGATGCGCGCGCATTCCTCGAGTTTATCGACAGGCACCCGCAGGTCGGCTCGCTCGTCGACGTACGTCCTCGTCTTCCTCGTTCTATCCTGGCGCCCTCGCGCTCTCGTCCCTCTTTCCGCTTTCCCTCGCCTCGTACTGACTCTCTCGCGCTCACAGTGCACGAGCAACTACGAGGTCGAGTGCGACGACATGAGCAAAGCCACCCCTCCGTGCGTGCTCGCGCGTCCATCCTCGCCTCCTCTCTTTCTCCTCAGTCTGGATCTGACTCGTCCTTCACGCTCGCAGCGTCAACCTTACCCCAACCCTTTGGCTGGCCAAGCTTCTCGTGAGCTCTTCTCCTCCTCGTCGTCGTCTTTCAGCAGCCGACCCACTGACGCCCTCGCCTTCCTCGGCAGCTTGGCCCGATCCACTCCGACTACGACGCAGCGGTGCGCCTCCCTCTTTCTCTCTCTCCTTCCACGACACTTCCTTTTCCGATCCTGACTCTAGCTCTCTTGCGCAGGACGAGTAAAGCCTTTCGAATCGCCGCGAACGCCCCTGTACCACTTGAACGAGTCGTCGTGCCCCGCCGTGTCGTGCAATCTCTATCTCCTGTCTTTCCTTGCACCTCTCGAGCTCTCGGATTGTCGCGAGAGGTAGTGCTGCGGCCCAAAACTGAACGGTGCCTGCAAAACTGCGAGAACGAGAGATCTACAGCTCCCAGATCTCTTTCCGCCTCGCCTCTCCTGCCGCTAAGGACCCACTCGGCTCGCTCCACGATACAGTGCCGCCCGGAAAGAGAGATGCGCCCGTCCGGGAGACCGGCGGAGCGTGCGAGGCGGCCTGGTCCCGCTCGAGCGGATCGACAAGCTCGTCGCCGACCTCCTCCGTCTCGGTGACCTCGACCGCGACGGCGATAGCGCCGTCAAACTCGACGTGCGACGCTCGTCGAGGCGTAGATGACCCACTGCCGCCGCCACTGAGCGCGCTCGACGATGGCGAGAACCGAGCGAGGGGTCCGAGCCCGAGGTGGAGCGTCCTCGCGCGCGCTCTCGCCTTGCCGTCCTCGAGCGCCCGCGACTGCGACTGGGTCTGCAGCTGCGAGAGCGACGCATGCCGCATGCCGCCGACGTCCTGCGAGAGCGTGCGCTCGCGGTACGGCGCGCCGTCGGCGGCGTGCCCGTCGCCGCTCGTCGTCGCCGCGCTCAGGCGCCGCTCGCGTGCGTCGTACAGCTGCCCTCGCCACCAGGGTACGACGACGTGCCGGCACTCGACGTAGGCGTGCAGGGCCTCGCCGATGCTGATGCCGACGAGGCAGATCCACAGGGGGAGCGTGAGGACGAGCTCGCGTTCGGTCCACGACGACCTCGCGAACCGGCGCAGGACGAACACGGACCAGGCGCTCGTGACGCCGAGCGCGATGGCGATGGTGGTGACGGCGAGACCGATCTGCGAGAGAGAGGGAGAGAGAGAGAGAGAGGTGCGAGAGAACGTCAGGACGGGCTCGAGAGGAGGAGGAAAAGGGGTCCGAGCGACGCACGATGAGGAGCTCGCGCTCGGCTTTGATGAGCGCAGCCACTCGGCTCGCCACCTGCTGCTCGGGCACGCCGAGCTTGGCCGCCTCGACGTCGTCGGCGAGCTCGAGGACCTGCGCCCGAGTCGGGAGAACGCGAGGAACCGGGAACTTGGCGCCCGTGAGCGGGTCGTGCGTGAGGACGGGCCGCGAGCAGATCGAGAAGGCGCGTGTCGTCGGGGGCGTGAGGGAAGGGAGGGCGATGAAGCGCGTCGTCGGGGACGGGGAACCCTGCGGCGACTGCGAGGCTCGTCGAACCGAGAAGTCGAGGTCGAGCTCCTCCTTGACGTCGTCGACCGGGACCATCTCGTCGACGCCCGTAGGTGCCGGCACGACCGACATGACGCGCGCCTGCGGCGCCTGGCCGGCGACCGACGACCTCGCGCCGCGCGAAAGTCCTTGCAGCGACGGGAGCTGGCTGATCTGGAACTTGATGTGGCGCCGGATCCTCCACACGAAGGCGACCATGGTGAGGTTGACGGCGACGAGCAGTACAGGCAGGACGGCGGCGCCGATCGACAGGTTGGCCGAGGTGCTGTCAACTTGGGAAGGTCAGAAGTGCGCTCGGCGGACGAGGGCGAAAGAGGAAGCGAGAGACGCACCGATAGAAGTCAGATGCTGCTCGAGAGTACTTGCGCATGAGCGCGAGGAGCATGACCGCCGTCTGGGCAGGCATCGGTCCGCCTTCCCAAGCTGCCGCCTCGCGGTCGAGCACCGTGTTGAGCTCGCGGTACTGCCGCCACTGCTCGGCCGACGCCTTGGAGCCGATGATGGCGAGTGTCTGTTGACAGGTACGAGTAAGTCGCAGCTCGACGAGGAAGCGAGAGAAAGGGAGAACGCGAGGGACGCACAGTGTGGGTCGCGACGGTCGCAAGCCCGCCGCCGATGAAGAGCAGGTTCTCGAGCCACGCCGGCATCGCCATCCAGCTGCGCCCAAACACTCGAGTCGCGCCTCCCTCGACCTGCAGGTACGACTGGAACGTCGCAAAGCTGTTTTCGGGGCGGCCAAGAGGCGGTCAGTGCGGGACCTTCTCGAGAGAAGGAAGCTGGACGACGCTGGCGACGCACCTCAGGAGCCACGCGACGGCGTACGCGACGGGCCACAGGGCGAACGACCACTTGGCGAGATGCTCCTCGCCGGCGCCGTCGCCCGGCGAGACGGTCGAGCGATAGAGCGTGTGCACGGCGCCAAAGAGGACGACGAAGAGGGACAGGCCGCCGAGCGTACTGAGGAGAAAGTGATTCGAGATGATGTGCCTGTCGAGGAGAGGAGTCAGGTCGCCGGCGCGTCGGTTCGAGGAGGAGGAAAGTGGACGCACGAGCCGCTGTCGCGCTTGACGAGCTTGAAGAGCCACACTCGACGGCGCTTGACGTGGTACCCGAGCGCATGTACGACAAAGTTGGCGATGCAGGCGACCAGGAGGAAGGCGCACAGCGCGTACAGGACGACGAGGCGGGCTCGAAAGCCGGCGGCGTCGGAAGGTGTGAGGACGGTGAGGCGGTGGAGGATGTCGCGGTAGAACTCGTACGGGTTCGCGCCTTGAGGAGGGGAGGGAAGGTCCATCGCCGGCGAGGATGAACGTGGCTTGCGCCGGCGGGGAAGGAGGAGGAGGAGGTGGGGCCGCGGGGGAGGAGGTTGGACGAGGTGTCGGCCGTCGTCGCTCGCGGCGTCGCCGCGACGTAGGCTGAACGGTTGGCGACGAGCGTCGAGGTGTCGGTGCGAGGCAGAGCTGTGCCCTCCTGGACGAGTGCAGGGCAAGCGCCGGCGGCGAGGCGACCCCTTCGACCTCGTCTCGCGAAGGTCACGGCGCGGCGACGAGTGACAGGCACACGCGCGAGGCGTCCTCCCTTGGGCAGTCGAATGCGCGCAAGCCGTGCAGCTGTCGCAGCAAGCGCCTGTGCGGCGTGCAGCACCGTGCGAGGGAAAAGAGCGAGCGCTCGTGTGCCCTCGGACACGAGCTGCCGCAGCTCGAGCCCAGCACGGTTCGAACCGCCGGCTCGGAGACTCGGAGCAGAGGCCGTGCGACTCAGAGCCAGGGTGCCACCGGCACCGCGCGCGAGGGACAGGGCGATCTCCTCCTCCGGAAGGCGACAGACTTTCGACCGCTCTGGAGCCCGAGTCGGGGCCACAGCGGAGGGTTGCGCTCGCCGTACGCAGAGAGGGCTCCCTGAGCTGGCTCAGAGTGCATTCGAGCGCGAGCCGTGAGCCAGAAAGCGCGGTTCGAAGCGGCTCGCACGTTCGAGACCGAGCTTTGTCGAGGCCGACCGTCGACGACCGACCGGCGAGGGTACCGGTCACGTGCAGTTCTTTCGTCCGTGCAGTCTCGCTCGGTGTTTGCCGTCACCGCTCGAAGTACATATGTACTTTAAAGTGGTCGACGACGCGGAGGCTCCGCGGAGGGCTCGTGCGCACCATATGCGCGTGTCGGTTTGCGCGCGATTCGACCGGCCGATCCGCGTGCAGCGCAGGTCGGCCGCCCCAGCTTCTCAAGGCCGACCCCGGCGTACAGTGACAGCGGTGAGATGTGATCGAGGCCGCCCGCGGAAGGGGCCGCCGCTGCCCCCTCGCTTTCCCTCCTCACCCTCTCCACTCGCGCCCGCGCCCTCCCGCTCCGCCCCAGTCGAGCAGATCTACGTCTCGTACAGCATGTCGCTCCACCCCGAAGCCGCGCAGAGCCAGCAGGCTCAGCCGAGCGCCGACGCGCCCAAGAAGACGACTCTCGCCCTCTCGTCGCTCCCGCCCAAGCAGCACGGCTTTGGTGCGCAGCAGGTGCGTCCCACCCATTTCCTCTCGGAGTGGGGCGCGGAGCGTCGCCGGCAGTGCCGGTCGTCGACAGCGGCGGTGAGCAGGTTGCTGGCGAGCCGGGACGGGGGCACTCGGGTCATGGCGACGCGAGCTGTTGCACCCTGTTAGCCCGGGTCGTCGAGCTGCGATGGTGGGCACGTCGGTGCGAGCGAACGCGTCTCGACCGGCCACCGTGTCAAGCCTGTACAGGCGAGCTGACACTCCTCGTTCGTCTCCCTTCCTTCGGTCCCGTGCAGTATCCTCGCACCCCCTCGCGCGTCGACCCTAACAACCCGCCTTGGCCGTCGTACCGTGGGTACCACAATTTCTCGTTCGCCCATGTGCGTCTCGCTGTTCCGGGATCCTGGAGGGCGGAGCGAGGAAGACGAGCGCCGAATTGACCTTCTCAACTTCGTCTCGCAGGCCACCATGAGCGTCCGCCTGCCTACCATCCTCGGCAAGGCCATCGACGACGTCGTCAAGACGCTCAACGACGAGCACGACGAGGAGCGCATCGTCGACCTGACCGAGTGCATCTCGCGCCTCGAGGACCTCCTCGACGACCTCCAGGGCAACAGCGTCCTGCGCCCGATCATCGACGACGGCGAGGGCGACATCCCGCTGTGGAACAAGGCGATCGCGCGCTACTTCCGTGGCAAGCACTTCATGGACGCGCCGTGGGTGTTCGCCGAGGCGTACAAGTACCGCCGCCTGCACGAGGCCTTCTCGCTGTCCAAGTACTGGAAGGACTACGACGTCTTCTTCCGCCAGAAGTGCGAGACGTTCGCGCGCTCGTCCGACGCCGTGTTCGAGCTGTCGACCCGGTTCGCCGAGCCGCTCAAGCAGGCCGAGGGCGCATCGGCTGAAGAGCTCCTCGAGGCCAAGCGCCTCCAGTTCCACGAGCTCACCCAGATCTGCCTGTGGGGCAACTCGACCGACCTGTCGCTCCTCATCAACGTGCGTCCCTCTTCCTCCCCTGTCGCGCCCTCGTCTCGAACCCGACCCTGACCTCGTCGAACGTCGCGCAGATGACCGAGGAGGACATCAAAAAGCTCCAGTCGACCGGTGGCGACCACCTCGCCGCGACCGAGAAGAACATCCTCGGCAACGACATGTCCAAGATCTGGGACTACATCTCGTCGGACAAGTTCAGCTCGAAGGAGAAGGGTGGTCGCCTCGACTTTGTCCTCGACAACGCCGGTCCGTCCCCCTCTCGCTCTCGAACACGGACGAGGGCCTCTCCTGACGTTCTGCGCGCACAGGCTTCGAGCTCTACACCGACTTTGTCTACGCCGACTGGCTCCTCCAGAGCGGGCTCTGCAGCGAGATCCGCTTCCACGGCAAGGTGCGTCCCGTCCCTCTCTCTCCCAGTCCCTCCTTCGTTCTCTCGGCGGCTCTGCCGCCTCTGCCTCTCTCTCGATACCGTGAGGCAGGCGACAGAGCGGCGAGTGACGCACGAACCCAGTCCTGACCTCGCGCTCGCTCCCCTTCCTGCAGCGCTTCGCCTGGTTCGTCTCGGACGTCACGCGCAAGGACTTTAACTGGCTCCTCAACTCGATGGTCTACGGCCACCGTGCGTCCCTCTCGCCCGATCGTCTCGAGCCCATCGAGCTCGCGCACTGACCTCTTCCTCGTCGCGACCAGTCTTCCCGAACGCCTCGGACGAGGAGCTCGCGTCGCTCAAGAAGCTCGGCCTGCGGTGGAAGCAGTACGTCAAGGAGGGCAAGATCATCTACGAGGAGCACCAGTTCTGGGTGCGTCGCCCTCCCGCCTTTTCTTCTCTCTCGAGACGGCGTCAGACTGACTCGCTTCCCTCCTTCCTCCTTCCAGGTGTCGGGCTTCAGCTTCTGGGCTCTCGCCGAGGAGGGTGAGCCGCACGCCTTCTCGGTTGCGCCGTCGAGCCGTCGCTGACCTTCGTCCGTCCGCAGCTCCCGACCTGTTCGTCCACCTCGCCGGCAGCGACCTCGTCATCTTCAAGGGCGATGTGCGTCCCCTTTCACTCCTCAGTGTCTGCGCTCGGCGTGCGCGTCGGCTGCAGAACCGCTGACCCTCGACCTCGTGCGCGCAGTTGAACCACCGCAAGGTCCGCCCTTCTCTTCCTCCTTCCTCTCCACAGCTCACTGACACCTGCTCCCACGCAGCTAACGTATGATTGTCAGGCACCACCGTCCACGCCGTTCAACGTCGCGATCGGCCCGCTCGCCACGCTCGCCGGCGCGCCCCCCATCGTCTCTCTCAGGACGATCAAGTCCGACATCGTCGTTGGCGTTCCCGCCGAGAAGGCCGAGCAGCTCGACCGTGACGAGCCAGGCTGGCGCATCAGTGGAGCGTACGCCGTCGTGCTCCTGTCGGACGGGCGCAAGGGCGAGCGCGTCACCTTCTGAGCTTCTCCCTCCCTCCTCCCTCCTCCTCTCGCCTCTTCTCGCCGAACCTCGGTCTACTTTGTCACGTCGTCCATTAGTGCAACCTACACGAGTCCCTCGCTCGTCTTTGAGCCCGTTTCTCGGCGAGGAAGAGCAGAAAGTGACCCTCGAGGAGGATGCTCGCGGTCCGAAAGCAGGCTCGCGAAGGTCCAGTGTGCGCCGACACGATGTCGAGCGACCGTGCGAGCGCATAACAGACGTGTGTAGAGACGTACCGAGAATATGACAGGCGTGCGAGTGCCCTTGGCGTCGGCGAGGGCGAGCCCGTCGAACTTGGGAAGGTCGAGCAGGGTCCGAGCGACCGAGAGAAGCGGCGGATTTGCGCCCAAAGCAGTCGAGACGTTCCCTGCTGTGGCTGAGGGCACAAACAGCCGCTCGAGCGATGCTGGGCGAGGGAGACGCTCAGGAGCGACGAGCGCACGGACCGCTTGGGAAAGTCGAGCGCTCGAGTGCCGAACGTGCTCGGGTGAAGCTCGCCTCTGAGCTCGTTTTACCTGCTCCGGGATCGCGGTCATCCAGCTGTCGCAGGGGCGGAAGGACGAGAAGGTGACGTTCTCAGGAGAAGCAGGAAGTTCCCCGATCTTTTCGGTCTCTCTGACCCGGTGTACGTATCGCCCGACTCTCTCGTTGCCTCCGTCTCTCCGTGAGATATGATTGCGTCTCCTGACCAAGTCTGAGCCGAGGTCGGAGCGAGAGAGAGCAGGAAACCGGCCTCGAAAAGGACAGACGAGCGAGCAGGGTCTGGCCCGGCGTGGGTAGAGAGCACAGACGCCCCGGGAGCGGTCGGCTGGCTAGGAGACGTCTACAGAAGCGATTCGGGGCCATCAGAGAGACTATCGTCCTGAGAGCGCGGCGAGGAGAGACGTTTGCGTACTTGGGAAGGTCGACTCGGAGCTGGCGGTTTCGGCAGCTCGCGGCTCGCGTACGTCTTCCCTTTGACTGAAGCTTTTGCCTCCAGCTCGCCTGGGCTCGAGGGAACAGGACTGGAGCTGCGCACGAGTCCGCCGGCGACGAGCGGGCGACGCGCGCCGACCCTCCTCGGGCAGCAGGTCCGCGCGAGGTCGGTGAGAGCGGCGCTGGCACACATGGGCCCTCTCTCGAGCACTTGAACAAGCGACATTGGCCCGTGCTCTCATTGCCAGTCGACGAGGTGGGTGCTGCGCCGTGTTGACCGTTCGTCGCCTCCTCGTCGTCGGTCCGCTTCCTTTCCTCGCTTGCTCGCCCGAGTGGTTCGCTTCGACCGCGGCTCGGTGACAGTGCTTCTCGGACACAGATCTCGTCCCCGACGGACAGGCAGACGTGCGTCGCCGGGCGCGTTCGCTCTCGAGCCGTCGTTTTCCTGGACGGCGCACACGCCTCGCGAGCCTTCGCCGCCTCGTCGCTCGGTCGGCTTCTCTTCCTCATCGCCGCTGGCGGTGTCATGGCTTCCGTCGCAGCTTCTGTGCGCCGTGCCTCTCTGCTTCTGAGAGCACACCGTCGAGCAGCACCGCCATGTCGCACCACCACTTTGCCGCCGCCACTGCACTCGCGACCTCGTGCGGGTCGACCACCTCGTCTCGCCCGTCCACCTCGGCGTCGTCCTTCTTCTCCAAGGACTCGGCGTCAACCGCAGAGTCCGACTACGACCTGTCGCCTCGCCCGCTCCCCGTCCACGCGACCCTGCCGCCGCTCGATCCTCGCGCCAAAGCCGGCACCATCCGCCTCCCGCTCCAGCTCCCGGCACCGCCGACCGACCTGAGCGAGGTCGACGTCTCAAGCCTTGTCGTCGACGACGAGCTGCATGGCGCGCCGGTCGGGTTCGCCGTCGGACGCCTGCGCCAACTTGGTACGCCGCTCGCACCTCTCTTCTCCTCTCGACCTCGACCGTTCACTGACGCTTTCCTCTCGGTTCGCAGGCGCCCAGCTCTTGACGGCGACGACGGCGACGTGCCTGCACATTCCGCCCGGCCCGACCCTCGCCCCGTACCTCCAGGTCTCGCTCCCTCCCCAGTCGCCGCCAATCCCTCCCGTCTTCCTCCCCAGCCACGTCTTTGCGATCCACTCGACCGACTCGCCCAGGACCCTCCTCCTCCCCGTACACGGCCTCCTGTGGGCGGCATCGTCGCCGTCCCTCAACATCCTCAGCTCGCGGCCCGAGAAGCAGCCGGCGCACCCGTCCTTGCCAGCGCAACCTCGACCGCGGCACGGCGGCGAGACGCACCTGCCCGTCATCGAGCTCACGCTCCCGTCGTCGGCCGCGTTCCCGCTCCTCCAGGGGTGGATCTACCTCCGGTCGCCGTCCCTCCTCCTGTCGTCCCTCCTCCCCCACCCGCCAACGCCCTCTCCCGTCGCCGCCCCTTCCCCCACCTCCCACCCCTCCTCCCTCTCGCACCTTCTTAACCCCTCGTCGCCCGAGAAGCGTCCTCCACCACGCCACACCGCCCCGTCCCCTCAGCACTCGCCCTCGGACTTTACGCGCACCCTCTCGGCCTTGTCGTCCGTCGTCCTCCTGCGGTACGTCCACCTCGTGCACGGCCTGTGGCAGGACACGGTCGCGCTCCAGGTCAGCGACGAGGACCTGTGGCGCGCCATGGGCGTCGCGTGGCGCATCCTCGTCGCCGCGCTCGCGCTCAAGGAGCAGGAGCGCGCGAGGAGGGGCACGAGCCCGGCGAGCGGCGAGGAGGGCGAGGCGGCGACGGCTTGAGCGCGCGAGAAGGAGACGGAGAGAGGAGGATCGAGGGCGTGTTGTTGTACCACCGACCGCTCGAAGCGTGCCGTGCAGTTCCCCTTCTCTATCACCTCGAGGTCCGAGCGCGACGAGAGCAGGCGAGCGAGAGAAGCGCAAGCGAGCGACAGCCTCTCGAGAGCTCGAGCACGGGCAGTGAGAGAAGGAGCCCCGAGGCGCCCGAGCACGCTCAGAGAGGCGCGAGTTGCCCCTGCCGCCGCCGCTCCATCTACCTCGCCGTCACGAGGCCCCACAGCCCACCCGCCCTCTGCCTCGCGTCCCGCCCGTACACCACCCTGATGAGCCCCTGCACGAACGACCACGCTCCCGTCGCGCTCGTGATCGGGTACGCGAGGAGCGGTGGGATCCCGGTCTGGACCCAGCCGTGCAGGCGGTCCTCCGTGACGGCCTTGAGGTTGCACAGGCCCCGCAGGCCCTCGGGCCCGGCGAAGCGCAGGGCGTTGCCCGAGGCTTTGGCGCCGCCGAACGGGAGCGACTGGTTGAGGTAGAAGACTGCGGGCGCGCGAGAGAGAGGGAGGGAGATTGGGAAGGTCAGGCTCGAGCGGCTCGTGCGGGAGGGAGGGAGAGGGCGAGAACGGACCGCCAAAGTCTGCGAGAGGCATAGGAAGATCAGGGCCTGATTTGAGAGGGAGAGAGAGGGCGAGGGGCGAGAGGACGAGGACGCACCGTTCGAGCAGACCATGCCACACTCGAGCCGCTCCATGACCCACCTGCACTCGTCGCGCTTGCGCCCAAACACAGCCGCGCCGAGGCCGTACCGCGTGCCGTTAGCGATGGCGACCGCCTCGTCGAGCGACTCGTACTTGAGGACCGTCATGACCGGCGCAAAGATTTCTTGCTGCGCGATGGCCATCGTGGGCGTGCTGCGTTGCGAGAGAGGGGCGAAAGGGCAACGCCGTGAGCTCGACAACTCGTGCATCGTCCAACGAGAGGATACACGGAGAGAGAGAGAGGGACGCACACGTCGACGAGCAGCGTCGGCTCGAAGAAGTGACCCTCGCTGACGACGCCCTTGTCGGCCCGCTTGCCGCCGACGAGACACCTCGCGCCCTCCTTGACCGCCTGCGCGACGAGGCCCTCGAGCTCGTCAAAGAGCCGGTCCGAGATCATGGCGCCGACGTCGATCTGCTTGTCGGCAGCGGTCGCCGACAGGGCGTCGCCGAGCTCGAGGCGCGAGATGCGCTCGTGCATGGTCGACACGAACGTGTCGTACAGGGACGAATGGACGAGGAAGCGCTCGGTGCCGATGCAGTTCTGGCCGCCTGACTGCGAGAGGGCGAGAGACGGATCAGTTTCTCGAACCTGGGAGCGACGAGGGAGGGCGACAGGGACGAGAATCAGGACGGACCTGGAAGACGCCTCGCATCCACGTGTCGGCAAAGTACTTGAGGTCGGCGGACGGGCAGAGCACGGCCGGGTCCTTGCCGCCGAGCTCGAGGAGGACAGGCGTGCCGACCTCGGCCGCCTTGAGCGCGACCTTTTTGCCGACTTCTTCAGAGCCGATCTGCGCGCAAGGAGAGCGGTCAGTCATGACGGCCGAAGCAAGGGTCGGCTTGCCAAGGCGACAGGGAACGAGGGGCAGAGGGACGCACAAAGGTGATGTGCTTGATGCGCTCGTCGCCCGTCAGGGCCTCGACGTTCTCGGGCAGCGTCACGGCGATCTGGACGAGCTCGGGATCCTGCACACGATGAGGTAAAGGATGAGGACCTGCCGCTCGAGAGCGACCTGAGAGAGAGAGAGAAGCCGGCGCACCTCGCCGCACACGGTGAGGCAGTCTCGGACGGCCTCCATGAAGATGAGCGACGACCACGCGACCTGCTCCGAGGGCTTGACGACGATGGCGTCGCCGACGGCGAGTGCGGCGACGATCGGGCCGAGGGCGTTGTGCAGCGGGTAGTTCCACGAGACGAGGGCGGCGACGACGCCGAGAGGCTCGTACACGACCTTGGACACCTTGTGCGCGAGGACGAGGTTGGTCGGGCGGTAGTCGGGTTCGAGGGCCGACTCGGCGTTGGCGATCAACCACCGCAGCTTCTCGCACGTCGTGAGGATCTCGCCGAACGCGGCGTCGACGAGCGTCTTGCCGCTGTCGCGGCTCGCGACCTTGCTCAGCGCCTCGGCGTTGTCGACCGTCCACTCGAGGAGGCTCCTCAGCACTCGTCGCCGGCGCGCCCACGAGCTCGAGCGCCACGCTCGCTGCGCGTGCACGGCCTTGCGCACCCGGTCGCGGACCTCGTCGCCGTCGAGGGCCGGCACGGTCGCGAGGTGCTGGGCCGATGCGGGAGCGTAGCACGTGATGTACGACTTGGTCGGGTCGGCGAGCGAGTCGGGGGACGAGGGGAGGAGGGACGGGTCGGTTTTGTGCGAGTGGATCGAGGGGGAGGAGAGGGTGCGGGACGACCAACTCGAGCTGCGTGCGGGGCGTGCGATACGTCAGTGCGGGTGTGGAGAGAGGTCCTGAGCCGGGGACGCACCTGATCTCGGGCGGCGCGGTCCAGTGGAAGCGGACCGCTCGCTCAACGGCAGGGAGGTGGACGAGGCGGAGGTAGAGCCACAGCGCCGCGAGCGGGACGGCGCCGAGGGCTAGCGTGCGCAGAGCATGCTCGTCGACGTGCGCGAGGAGCGCGTCCAGTCGAGAGCCGACGGTCATCGAGGTGGGAGCGAGTCGGAGGAGGAGATGGCGATGAGGCCAAGTCCAACTTGTCAACTTTGCTTAGGCTGGACCTGTATGCATACTAGCTCCAATTTCAACAAGCAAAGGTGTTTTGGCCGAGCGGTCTAAGGCGCTAGCTTAAGGTCACACGTTGATTCGCTAGTCCGAAAGGGCGTGAGTTCGAATCTCACAGACATCATCAACTTTTTGCTGCAGTCGCTTTCTTTCCTGAGCTTCCCAGCGCATCTCCTTTTGGCCTGCGAGGTCTGCGAAGCTATCAGAGCACTAGTGCCCCTGACACAAGTAGCGGGCGAGCGTGTAGCGCCGGCGACGAGTTCATCGGCCTTTCGCGTCGACACGCGTCTCTCCTCTCGCTCGTCCACCACAACCGCGCACGCACCAGCTGCCGCCATGGACCCACACGACACGTCCTTCTCGCCCATTGCGTCGACCTCGTCGTCCCTCGACTCGCGCCTCGGCCGCCTCGCCCTCGGCACCAACAACCGCCCTGCCGGACGACCCACCTCGTCCTCGTCCCTGATCCAGGACGAGGACATGAGCTTTGCGCTCGCCGGCGGCGACGATAGCCTCGACTTTGCCCAGGGCGGCGACGCGCTCGACGAGGAGACGGTGCGGCTCTCGGCGGGCGGCGACTCGGCTCGTCAACAACCTGGCGCGGCCGGGGCGGGGGCGTACGGCGACAGCAAGGGCAAGGCGCCCCTGCGCGACACCGACTTGTTCTTTGGCGGCTCGATGGCGTCCGCGTCCGCCGTCCCGGCCTCGCAGCGCTTCGCCCCCGCCGGCCTCCCTCCCCCGACCACGTCCTCGGCGCACGACGGCCCCGACGGCGGGCCGGCGGCGGTCGACGACGACGACACCGAGATGGACGGCGGCGAGGGCTACACCGAGGACGAGCGGGCGCGGATCGCGAGCCTGAGGAGCGAGCGGGACGGGCTCAGGAGCATGAACGGCGTGCTCGAGGAGATGAGGGGCGCGCTCGCCGGCATGGAGGGCAAGATGCAGGTGCGTCGACCGCTCTCTTTTTCCGCGAGCGTTCTGCGAGGCGCGTTTCCTGCAGTACGGCGCAGCTAAACCCGCTCGTCCACGCACAGGCCTTCGAGGCGACGATCGACACGTCGCACCAGCTCCTCAACCTGTACACGCGCATCGCGTCGCAGGCCGAGCACACCCGAGGACTGATCCTCGACCGCGAGTGGCAGGGCGTCAGCCAGGTGCGTCCCGCTCCCTTCCCTCCTCCCGCTCTCCCCTTCCTCCCTTTCCGACGCCCAGCTCTGGCGACCCAGCCCCTGCCTCGCCAGTTCTCTCGCGGCACGCGCATCTGATTCGTCGCTTCCGCAGGACCACGCGACGATCGTCGAGCGCGACGCCGCCCACGCCGCCGAGCTCGAGCGCCAGGCGCTCGCCGCAGCCGAGGCGGCCCAGCGCGCCGAGGAGGAGCGCGTGCGGGCTGAGCGTGCGGCCGAGGAGCGCAGGAGGAGGGAGGAGGAGGCGGTCAGGGCGCCGGCGGGAAGGGGCAGGGGTCGAGGCCGTGCGTCGCTCGCTTTCTCTCTCTCTCTCTCGCGGATCCTGCGGCGCGCTCGTCGCTCGTGCGGCGAGCGCGCTGCTGGCGAACTGCGTCGGTGGGACTGACACGACCATTCCCGCTCTCGCAGTGCGCGGCGCCGCCTCGTCGTCCAACCTGCGCGGCTCGTCCCTGCGCGGCTCGTCCTCGTCGTCCCTTCGCGGCAGCGCCCGCCCTCCCGCCTCCTCGACCTCCACCTCGACCTCGTCCCCCTCGGCCTCATCGTCGGGCATCCCGATGCGCGGCAGCGCACCGGTGAGCGGCGTGCGGGGCGTGCGCGGGCTCCGGAGCAGGGTCGCGACGGCGGGTGCGAGGGGTGGGCGAGGGCGCGGTGCGGCCGAGTGAGCGACCGGCGAGCGAGGGGTGCAACACGGTGTGTCGGCCTGACCTTGTTCGCGCGAGGCGCGAGAGGAGAGCTGCGCTTGCGAGACAAGCGAGAGCAAGAGGCTCGAGCGCTCGCGAGACGAGGAGAGGGAGAACGAGTCGAGGCGCTAGGTGACGAGTCGTTGCAGCAGGGTCCACGTGGGCGAGAACTAGGCTAGGAGGCGTGTAGGAGGAAACAGAGAGGCGCGAGTACAACGAGGAGGTGGAAACGGACGACCGAGGACGACAAAGGGCGAGGGGGAAGGGATGCACGACGACGACGACACAGGGACGGGAGCGCGAGGGAGGGTATCAAAAGAAGGGGGCTCAGCACGCGCAGCCGTCGGTGACGCTGCTGCCGCTGCCCTGGGTGAGGTTGACGCCGCCCCGGCCGGCGAGAGAGGCGCCCGCGCGCGACTTGGCGGCCGCCGTGTCGATCGGCATGCGCTCAGCTGTGCGCTCGCGACACGGGAGAAGCTCGTCAGTCACTGGTGCGAGTGAGAGACCGGGCAGGACCGAGAGAGAGGGAGAGAGGGGACGGACCAATCTGCTTGAACATGGCCTCGACGCCCTGGGCCGTCTTTGCGCTCACCTCGCTGAACATGAGGCCCTCGTCGTCGGCAAACTTTTGCGCCTCGGCGGTCGACACTTGTCGCTGGCCGGCCTCGGCGAGGTCGAGCTTGTTGCCGGCGAGGCAGACGACGATGGACGGGTCGGCTTGGCGCTGCAGCTCGGCGATCCACGAGCGCGCCTTGACGAGCGAGGCCTGCGGGAGGTGAGCGCGTTAGTGTCTATCGTCCCTGCCTGGACGTCATAGCCGTACCGCCTCGCGAGGACGCCAGGGCTGCGCGCGCGAGAGAGAGAGAGAGAGAGGCCACTTACGGCGCTCGTGATGTCGTACACGACGACGGCGGCGTGTGCGCTGCGGTAGTACATGGGGGCCAGACTCTTGTAGCGCTCCTGGCCGGCCGTGTCCCAGATCTGCCTCGCGCGATACGAGGTGAGCGGTCGTCGCGAGAGGAGGAGGAGGACGAGAGAGCGGGGGACGCACCTCGAACTTGACAAAGTTGCCCGACTCGATGGGGACGGTCTGAGTGAGAAAGGCGGCGCCGATGGTCGACTCGCGGTAGTCGTCGAACTGGCCCTTGACGAACTGGAGGACGAGCGAGCTCTTGCCGACGGCGCTCTCGCCGAGGAGGACGAGTTTCCGCGACGAGGTGACGGGGGGTGCGGGTGCGGCGGGGGCGGCCATTGCAAGAGGTGGTGGGAGCGGGAGGGGCGAGGGGAGGAGGCGGTGCGGGAGGCGCGAGAGTCGAGAGGGCCGGGGGCGGAGGGACGAGGCGGAGGTGGCGGGGAGCGAGCTGGCGGGTGGCTCGATAGGGCGATTGTGGTGCTGAGGGTGGATCGAGTGCTGGTAGCTGTAGTCTGGCTGACTGCAGTGCCGTGAGCGAGAGAGAGATGAGCCGTCGCTGCGTCGTCGTCGTCGTCCAGTCCAACCAGAGACACCCTCGCCTCGACTCGCTCTAGCGGTGCATTCGATCCAGTCGAAGGGTCTGGGATACCTTTGCAGTCAGCCAGACAGAGCCCTGCAACCATCAACCGAGGACGGCCGCCTCATCACGCGCGAGCTTGCAAGCTCTCAGCTCCTCTCTCCTCCTCGCTACCCACAGCTCGGCTCAGCTCACGAGGCCCACACACCGCACCATGAGCAGCCAGTACAGCAACTACCCGGGCCACAACCCCTCGGCCGCCCCGTCTCGCCCTCCACCCGGCGCCCCCGGCCCTCCTCCTGGCCCGCCTTACGCCGCCGCGCCCTACGGCGGCGGGCCCCAGCGCGGCGCCTACCAGCCCTACGGCGGCGACCGCGGTGCCCACCGCCCGGGCCCGTACGACGACCGCGAGCGCGGTGCAGCAGCAGGTGCAGGCGCGGGAGGGTACGGCGGCGCGAGGGACAGCGGGTGGGGCGCAGGGCGCGGCGGCGCTCCGGCCGGCGGCATGGGCGGCAGGAGGCGCAGCGCGAGCCCGGACTACAGCCGTGGCGGAGCGGGCGGCGGCGCAGCAGCAGGTGGACCGCCCGCGAGGGGATACGGCGGCGACGACCGCGGTGGGTACGGGCCGCCGCAGGGTGGTGGGTACGGCGGCTACGGCGGTGGACCGCCTCGCGGGCCTCCTGGTGGCTACGGCGGCGGCGGCGGCGGTGGTGGGAGCGCGTTCGGGCGGCAGGACCTCGGCGGTGCGTCCCCTCTTTCCCTTCTCCCATCCTCTTCCTCGTCACACATCCTCTTCGACTCGCAACGTCGTCGTCTTTTCACGTCACGTCTCGTGCGGCGAGTCGGCAGTCGAGCCCATCGGCGAGTGCGCGGGCAGAGCGCGAGCGCTCGACGGAAATGCTGCACGCGAGGGCAGAGCTCGCTCGACACGCGCGACGTGTCCATGATCGTCAGGAGGCGAGCGGCGTGTGTGCGCGCAAGGAAAGGCGAGAAGCGTCCGCGTCAGCGTCAGCGTCGGGAGCGCGAGTCGTGCGGCAGCGGCGCACAGGTCTCGGATACAGCTTTCCTCGCCCGTCTCGCACTCGCTCGAGCAGAACCCGTCCGGCGAGCCTCAACGAGAGCGAACTGACCCTTTCTCGTGCCCACGTCCCCCTGCCTCGCCCCTTCGTCCTCGCCCCCTCTCGCCCTTCGCGCCTCGTTCGTTGCCGCACAGACCCTTTCGCCCGTGGTGGACCGGCGCCCGGCGAGCGCGACGAGGGCGAGGTCATCCGCCAGAGGGTCAACCGCGAGAGACCGTGCCGCACCCTGTTTGTGCGCAACCTCAAGGTGCGTCGGCGCGCTCGCTCCCGGACCTTCGCGCGCTCGAGAGGCCTCGTTCTCTCGGCGCACGTCGATGCAGTAGAGCGAGCCCTGACTCGTCCTCGTACCCTCCCCTGCAGTTTGGCCTCATGCCCGAGGACGTGCGCCGGCCGTTTGCCGAGATCGGCGACATTAAAACGTTCTTCGACCTCGTCGAGAAGCGCGCCATCGCGTTCGTCACCTACGTGAGCCCGCCTCTGCTTCCTCTCTCGGTCGACGCCCGACGTTCACGTCACTGACGATCTCGACACCTTGCAGTACGATGCGCGTGCGGCGATGATGGCCAAGGACCGCATGCACCAGTTCCCGCTCATGGGGCGGCCCGTGCGTCGCTCTCTCTGTCTCCCTCTCGCGCGCAGCGTGTCCTCCTCGTACACGTCGACTGACTCTCGCCCTTGTTCACCCACCCGCAGATGGACGTGCACTACTCGCTGCCGCGCGACGCCGACCTCGCCAAGGGCTGCGACCGCGAGACGGGCCAGGTGCGTCGGCCCTGCTCTCCCTCTCTCTCTCTCTCCTCGCCTCGCTGTACTGACTCTCGCACCCACAGGGCACGCTCTCGATCAAGATCCGCAACGGCCCGCCGGGCCTGTCGTCGGGCCCGTCCGACCACGACATCCACCAGCGGTTCGCGCCCTTTGGCGACATCAAGCTCGTGTTTGCCGACCCTCGCCGCGACGACATCAAGTACATCGAGTACTTTGACTCGCGCGGCGCCGTCAAGGCGTACGACCACCTCAACGGGACCCCGTTCCCGGGCGGCGGCACGCTCGACCTCGCGTTCGAGTGGGACAAGCCCGCGCCGGCTCCGCCGCCCGTGCCCGTGCCCGCCCAGCCGCCGCAGGCGTCGAACGGCGGCTACGGCTACCAGCAGCCGCCCGGCGCGGGCGCGTACGGCGGCCCGCCCCCTCCTCCTCACGGCGCGTCGCCTTACCCGGGCGGCGCGTCGCCTTACCCCGGCGCACTTCCCCCTCCTCCTGCCGCCATGTCGCCCTACGGCGCAGCTGCACCTCCTCCCGGCGCCGGCGCCGCCGCCGCCCCGGCTCCCGCCCCTCACGGCGTCGACCACGCCAAAAAGATGCAGGACCTCCTCGCGTCGCTCGTCGCCAACAACCAGGGCGCGCTCGGCGCGGGCGCCGCGCAACAGAGCCAGTACGGCGCCCCGCAGCAGCAGCAGTACAGCCACGGCTACCCGTCGTACGCGCCCGGGCCCACCCCGGCACCGCCCGCCGCTCAGGCCGCCGCGCCTTACAGCGGCGCGTCGCCGCTCCCGCCGGCCGTCGGTAGCCCGCTCGGCGCGGCCGCACCGTCGTCAGCGTCGGCGTCGGCGTCGTCGAGCCTGCCCGCAGCGGTGACGAGCCTACTCGCGCAGGCGGCGGGCGCGCCAGGCCGTCCTTCTTCGGCCGGCGGTGCGCCGTCGCAGGACGGCGGCTCGACGCCCCAGCAGCAGCAGCAGCAGGGCGGCGGGTACTCGCCTGCTCCCGCCAACGGGCCGGCGTCGCCGCAGGCGCAGGGTCAGGCGCAGGCCCCGGCGCAGGTCCAAGCGCTCCTTGCTCTCCTCGTGCGTCTTCCTCTCCTCTCTCTCTCCCTCTCTCTCCTTCTCTCCTCGTCGACCAGTCTCTCTGTCGGTGGACCAGCACTGACAATCCTCGACGCTCGTGCGCAGGCGCAGCAGAAGCAGGGCTGAGCAACTCGTTCAGGGTCGACGAGGTGGTCGAGCAGGGGAGGAGAGGCTTGTGCGCGCAAAAGGGTCGAGCTAGCTTTTATCGTGTCGTCACTGTAACTCTGTCCGATTATACCTCTCGGTCTCTCGAGAGCGTCGTTCTCTGCGTCGCTCGTGGTGGTCGTGCAAGAGCGCCCTCGGCCGATGTCGTTGCAGCCATCCTCCTGCCTCGTCTCGTCTCGTCCGCCAGCGACCGCTCTACAAGCCGGCGAGCGCCCCCTCGACCGCCTTGCTCCACACCTTCTCGCTCTGCCCGACCGCGCGCCCGAGCTGCCGCTTGAGCGACTCGACCTCGCGCTCGAGGTCGGCCGCCCGGCGCCGCTCCCGCTCGAGCGCGTCGCCCGCCCCAGCCCCAGCTCCCGCCGCGCCCGCACCTGCACCAGCTGCGCCCGCTGCGGCCGAGAGCGCGTACGGCGAGAGGCCCGCCGCCGGCGAGAGCAGCTCGCGCACGTCGCTCGCGCGGCCGATGCGCACGTCGACCGTTCGCGCGCCCGTGCCGCCGCGCTCGCGGTCGCCAGGCGGGACGACGGTGCGGCCCATGCCCTGGGGCATGATGGCGCGCTGCGGGAGGTCGGGCGCGCCGCCTGCGGCGGTCGAGGTCGAGCCGGTCGAGGCGGACGCGGCGCCGAGCTCGGCCGGGCGCAGGAGCGACACGAGCGAGGTGATGGGGCCGGGCGAGGTGGATGAGGGAGGTGGGGCGAGGATGCGCGAGGCGAGGAGAGAGGGGAGAGAGAGGACGTGGGTGTGCGTCGACGAGGTGCCGACGAGGAGGGTGGGCGAGAAATGCGAGAGGTGCAACGCCGTGATCGTATCACTGTGTGTTATGGAGCTCGTGTCAATGAGGCGTCGACGACGAGGGAGAAAGAGGAGATGAGGGAAAGCGAGCGACGCACGGGACCTCGTAAACCTCTCCCTCCTTGACGCTCTCCTCCGGTCCTCCTCCCACGCGCTCCGTCTCTCCTCGCCCACCGCCACCAACCGGCTCAGCGACCTCGATCCCAAACTCGTCACGCCGCTTGCGGTACAAGTTGACGCGCACGACCCGGCTGCCCGCCGCTGCAGGTGCTGGTGCCGCATCGACAGCGGCCGAGCTCGAGGTGGACGTCGACGAGGAGGAAGAGGTAGACGACGGGCCGGCGGCGAAGAAGAAGCGCTCGAGGGCGTCGACGGCGACGTGCGTGACCGGGTGCGGGAACGAGAAGGTCGACAGGAGCGACGCAGGCGAGGTCGACAGGTCCCAGATCTGCGGGGCGAGGCGCGAGAGAGTGCGTCAGGCGATGTCCTGCTGCCGGCAGAGCGCAGGTAAAGGGCCCCTGCGAGGCCGATCGTGCGCCCAAGGAGGCAGAGAGCGCGCCGACGCACCTTGACGGTCGAATCCATCGAGGCGGTCACGACCCGGCAATGCGGGAACGTGCCCATGCCGACGGCGACGTCGGTCACGGCGAGCGTGTGGTCCGACAGGGTCGCGAATGGCGCAGGCGGGTTCATGGGCGTCGCGGCGAGGAGGCTGTTTCGAGGAGGGAGGGCGAGAGAGTCAGTAAGACGGACGGGCCGGGCGCGAAAGAAGATGGCGAGGGACAGGAAGTGCGAGAAGGAAAGGAGATGGAGAGAGGGGGAGAGGGCAGGGTGGACCGAGAGGGACAGGGATCGCAGAGACGCACCGACCGAGAGCCCACACGGACACGCCGGCGTCCTCGCTCGCACTGACCAGCGCGGCGCCGTCGTCCGAGAACTCGAGCGCGCTCACAGCCCGGTAGTGCGCGTCGACCGTCACGAGCAGGTTGCCGCTCGACATCTGGGTGTTCAACGCGGTCAGGTCGTGCGGGAGAAGGAGGAGGAGGGCAGGGACGCACCTCCCACAAAAAGATGCGGCCGTCAGGCGTACCGCCTGCCATGTAGAGGCCATCGCGGCTGACGGTCATGACCGAGAGGCGCACGGGCGGGATGAGGCGGTGGTGCGTCGTCTCCTGCGAGCGTTCGAGTGAGGGGTGAGCGCGCGCGAGAGGGTGGGGACAGAGACGGAGAGCGGGGGCGCACCCGGGTAAAGTTCCACACGTTGACCGCGGCCCTGCCGTCCTTGCCGCCGAGTCCAGCGATGAAGCCGCCGCTGCCGTTGGCGCCCTCGACGACGGCGAGCGTCCTCCGGCCCTCCAAGCTCTGCTCGTTGTCCGGGTCGCCCGCGCGCTTCTTGGCCGTTCCACCAGCAGTCAGAGTGCCCGAGTTGGCGGTCGGCGCGCGGAACGAGTAGACGAGCGCGCCCGTGAGCGGGTTGTGGAGCGAGAGGGTCGGGAGGGGGGACGACGAGGCCGTCGACGACAGGACGAGCTCGGTCAGCGGGGCCGTGGTCGTGTGTGGTGCCATGGCTGTCGACTGTCGGTGCTCGCAGGGCTGGCGAGCTTGTGGCGAGAGCACGAGAGGTCTGTCGGACGCAGATGAGCTCGACCACGCTCAACGACTCGCTGCACCGCCCACATCGCTCTCTGAGCTGCTCGCTGGACATGCAGGGACCCGCTCTATCGTTGCAGCCGACTCGCACACGCGAGCGGACGAATGCACCAGGCGCAGCTCTCGGACCCTCTCACTCTCGACTCGGGAACCGCTCGAGGACAGGACAAACACCGACTCGTTGCAGCTCGAAGAGCACCCCTGCCTCGTCCACCTCGCACGCACCACAGACCCGAGAGACAGAGAGAGAGCGCCTGCGCGAGAGAGAGGAATCTGCGAGGCGAGGCAGAGAGAGGTCAGTGCCCGTCCTTTGCTCCCTCGCTCGTGCTCGGTGTGTTTGCCGCCAAAGCGGCTCAGTATCCTGGTACGTGTATCGGCATTCTGCCCCCTGCGACAGGGGTAGATGGATCCGACGGAGAAAGAAGACATGAGGAGATGTGGTTGTCGTCGTTGACGCTCGACGGGGGCGGGAGGGAGAGGCGAGAGGATGGGGGAGGGCTCACCAGCTGGGTCGACGAAGCACTCGGGCTTGGCTAGGCGCATAGGCGAGGCGAGAGTCGAGCTGCAGGAGCGCGTGCGCGAGAGAGTCAGTGACCGTGCCCGTCGTCGCTCGAGCTGCTCCTCCCCGTGTGCGCTGCACCGCCGCCGTGCACATCGTCGTTGTTGTACACTCTGATACCGTTGTAGTAGGATTTGGTGTGTCCTCGTGGGTGGTTGCGGGCGGGGATCTTACTCCCGCCGCGCATCGGTCGAGAGATAATTGTGTCTTCATAGTGAAGCCAGCCGACTCGTGCGGGGCGTGCGGGCACTCGTAGAGAAGGGAGGGAGACTGTGGACGCACAGATTGAAGAGCTAGACAACGGTGCAAGGCGGACGAGCCGGTCGACGGCTGTGAGCGAGGTCGGGCCCGAGCAGCACGACCGGCGCCAGTCGCGGTCGCGCGCACTGGGCGGTGGGTGGGCAATGTTCTGGCGGAGCGCTGTCGTGGCCGCGCTGCGCTGGTCGGGGCAACTGGCGCGAGTGGGCGAGTCGAGAAAAAGGTGCGGGTCGAGGGCGAGGTCGGACAGGTACGGGGCGAGGCCGTGTGCCGCTGGAGAGGCTAGGGTCGGGGTATGGCAGCTGGTGCGAGTGCCCAGAAGCTCGCTCAAGCGTCGAAGTGTGAGGGTGAGGGTCAAGAGGGAGAGTGAAGAGCGAGTGGACCCTTGCGACGTCGGAGAAGTCGAGGCCGCCGCCGACTTGCCAAACTGGGACGCGCTCGACTTGCGGTCAGGCCTCGCTCGCTCGCTCGTCGCTCTCCTGCTCGCTGCACGAGGCGCCCTGTCGCCGCAAGCGAGCTCTCGGGCGAGGCAACCTCTCGCGTCTCTCGCTCTCCCTCGCCGCCAGGCCCGAGGACTCTGCTCGACCGCTGCAACTCGCGCTGCATCGCACGCCCAACGCGGCCCGACCGCTCTACTCGACCGCGCCGACGAGCACAAAGACGACCTCGGCCTCCTCGACGGCGCCTGCCTGGGCGAGCACGGCGAGCCAACCGGCAGGGACGAGGCTGAGCGCCGGCGCGGCGGCCTCGTCCTCGTCGGCGCCGAGCTTGAGGCCGAGGACGCGCTGTGCGAGGGCGCGCACTGCGGAAGAAAGGAATCGGATCAGTAACGATGCTGCGCGAGGAACAGGCTCGGGGAGAGGAGAGAGAGAGCAGGGGCGCACCTTGGGTTGCCGAGCCGACCTCGTGCCGGTAGAACGCGCGCACCTGCGCGACGTCGTGTCGTGCGAGGCCCGGGAGCGGGTGCGGGTCATGCTCGTCTGCGCGCGAGAAGACAAGGAGGAAGGCGGGACGAGTCAGGCTTGAACGAGGAGGGAGGAGGGAGAGAGACGGATGAGGGAGAGCGAGACGCACCCAGCGAGCACGCGAGGACGGCGAGCGCGCTCCCTCGAGCGTCGTGCGCCGAGGGATTGCTCGAGATCAACGGCGTCGCCGGCGAGCGGTGGTACACGACCGGGAGCGCCGTCGTGTTCGAAACTGCGCGACGAGGTGCAGGGTCGGTCAGTCCTCGTCGCAGCGGTACCACCTCGTCGGCGTTGACAGAGGGAGTACAAGAGAGAGTGGACGCACCCGTCTCCATCCGCACGCAGCGCCCGTATTCGTCCCACCTTCTCTCGTCCGCCGCCCTCTCCCCCGCTCGGTCCTCGCCCTCCTCGTCGCTGCTCTCCGCCCCCTCCCAGTCGACGACGCGTGTCCCACCGCCGCAGTACGTCACCTGCCACTCGACGGGCGCGCCTCGTGGGAGCGCCGCAGCCTCGACGACGACAAGCGGCGGGACCGACTCGTCGTCGAGGTCCTCATCGGCCTCGTCGTCCGAGCCGTGCTCCGGGTCCGCCTCGGCCTCGCTCTGCTCCTCGTCCTCCTCCTCGACATCTTCAGGCGCTGCCGCCGCCGCCGCCCGCCAGACCGCCGCACCCGCCTCGACCCTCCTGCGCCACTCGTAGTCGCCCTCGACCGGCGCGAGCCACAGCACGCCGGCCTCCTTCCTGCGGCGCTCACCTCCTGCGAGAGCGGGCAGCGACGCGTCGGCGATGCGGTGCGCGTGTTGCATGGCAAGGGCCGCGGCGTGCGAGAAGCCGTGGTCGGACGAGGAGGGCGAGGAGGAGGGAGGGGCAAGAGGGAGCGCGAGCGTCGAGGGGAGGAGCGGGATCTGGCCGGCGACGAACAGGCGGTTGGCGGTCTGTGAGTTGCGCGGGAGGAAAGGGAGGGGTCAATCCGGGTCGTCGACGAGGAGGAGGGGAGGAACCAGCGACGCACGAGGACCGACTGCGAGTACGGCCCGATGTTGGCCGGCGCCCAGTAGCTCAACCCTTGCACGTGCAGCGCCTTGCGCTCTTCGCTCGCCCCTGCTCCCGCGCCGGGCAAGCGCGCGACGCCCTCGAGCTTGACCCTCCAGGCGCCCTTGCCCTCTCCCCCGCTCGGCACCTCGACGCACGCGCGCGTCGGCGGCGACGTGCCGAAGTAAGACGCGTAGACGGCGTTGATGCGCGGGAAGAGGGACATCGTGGACGAGGAGGAGGCGGATGAGGTGGTCGAGAGGTAGACGGTGAGGTGGGCGAGCGAGAGGAGGGTCGCGCCATGCGAGCCGAGCAGATCTGCAGGCCGGTCAAAGCGTCAGGTCATGAGTGCTCGCCTCGAGAGTAGATCCAGGCGCGAAAGGGAGAGGGAGAAAGGACGAGGGAGAAGCGGGGACGCACCGACGAGCACCTCGAAGCACGCTCGGACCTCGTCCTCGATCTCGACCGCCTCGCCGCGCCTCGACGGGGTCGCCACCACGTCCGAGACGTACAGCCACCCGTCGCGCGTCGCACAGGTCGACGAGCCTTGAGCGCCTGCGACCTCGCTCGCGCCCGGACCGACGCCCACCGCGACTCGCCGTCGAGCCTCGGCTGGCACCGCGCTCCCGCCCTGGCCCTCGCCCTGAGCCACTTGCACCCACTCGCGCTCCCTCCCCTTGCCCGCCCTCGCGTATGCCCTCCTCCCCCTCCTCTCCCACTCGCGCGTCTCGACCCCCTCGACCCTGGGCACTCTCACGCTCGCGCGACACAGCTCCCTCGCGCGCTCCCACCGTGCGGCGCCGTGCTCTGCGCCGGCGTACGTCGGCTTGAGCGGCGAGAGCGAGAGGGCGTCGAGGTGCCAGTGGGCGACGGTCGCGTTCGGGTCGGGGACCGAGGTGACAAGGGTGGTGGCGTCGCTGTGTGAGATGAGGGTGTCAGTGTCGCGAAAGACCATCGATACGACGAGTCGGAGGGAATCTCAGAACCGGGAAGAAGGAGAGTGAGAGGGACGCACAGCTGGACCCGCCGGAGGAAGAGCGGTGCGTCGAGCGTGAACGTCTCGTACTCGCCGCCCTCGCCACACGGGTGCGTGTCGTAGATCTTGTTCTGCGTGCCGCGCTCGTGACGATCAGGACAGGCGTTCGAGGAACGACAGAGAGAGAGGGAGAGAGAGAGAGAGCGGGACGCACGAGCTTGAGAAGAGTCGGCTGCATCTGGGCGAGCGTCTTGCCCAAGTGCTGGACGCCGAGCCCTGCGCCGGCGACCTTGACGAGGATGCTCTCGATGTCGGCGTCGACCATGTCGGCGAGGAGGTCCTTCTGGTCGCGCTCCCACAGGTAGGCGAGCGGGACGAGGCCGAGGCGGGCGCAGACGTGCTCGACGCGCACGCGCTGGTAGTTGGACAGGATGGCGCCGACCGTGATGGCCTTGACGTCCGGGTGGGCGAGCTGCGGGCGTGCGAGGCAGGGTCAGCTGGGTTGCGGACGAGCATGTGGGGGAGGGGGGCGAGGAGGAGGAGGAGTGAGGGAGAGAGGGAAGGGGGGACTCGCCTTGACCTTGACGAGGAGGTCGTACAGGTCCTCAGTCTCGTCGCCTTGGTCGTCGGCCGTCGTCGTCGCCGCTGTGCCCTCGCGCGAGCCGTACTCTGCGCGCTGGTTCCTCGCGGTGCCCGTGATGGTGTGGGTGACAAGCGGGAGGTCGAGGGCGTCGGCGAGGGTGGCGAGTCCGGATGAGCCGACGGTCTGGTACATGAACGAGTCGAGCTCGTCCTGGCCTCGAGGCGGCACGAGGGACGCGAGGGCGACGGGGAGGTGACCCTCGACGACGGCGGCGTGCAGGGTGTAGACCGAGTCCTTGCCGCCGGACAGGAGCGCGCACACCTTCATGGCTCGCAGCTCTCTCGCGAGTTGGTACAGGCGAGCAGAGCGAGGTTCGGAGATGAGATCAGAGCGGAGTCCGCGCTCGAGCGAGAGGCGGCGTCGCAGCTCGAGCACCAGCTTTCCGGGCTTGGTTCTTTCGGTAGATTCGGAGAGCAGACTCTCAGAGAGGCTTACGCCGAGCCAGAACGACCCCCTGAGGCTGTCGCGTTGAGCATTTGCGCCCGCCGACTTCATCTCTGGAGCCTCGCTCGTCCCCGTCTCGCTCACTCCACCTCGGCTCAGCTCGACCAGGCGCACCTCGCCATGCCGCCCAAGAACAAGGTCGCAGCCGCGCGTGCAGCCCTCGCAGCCCGCAAGGCCGCAGCCGCCAACGCCGGCCCTCCTCCCTCGTCCTCGGCACCTCCTCCCGCCGCCGCAGCCGCCGCCAGCAACGACGACGACTCGTCCGTCTCGCCACCAGCAGCAGGACCCGTCCCATCATCGTCCAAGCAGCCTGCACCGAGCGACCAGGCCGCGTTCCCGCCCGCGGCCACCCTCCCCTCTGAGCCCATGGAGCTCGACGAGACGGCAGAGACGGGCGAGGGCAACGACACCGACATGCGCGACGCCGAGCCCGAGGTCGACGTCAGCAGGGCCCACAACACGGTCCCGCCTCGCTCCACCACGGCCAAGTCCAACCCGTCCGCTGCACCACCTCTACCACCCTCGGCAAAGGGCAAGGGCAAGGCCAAGGCGCGCGACCAGGGCGGCGAGGGCCACATGGCGGCGCTCCAAGACGTCGCAAAGGACCCGCGACACCTCGCCCAGGGCCTCGAGGCCCTCGGCCAGGAGACGTTCAACGGCAAGAGCCTCACCGACCCCATCAAGTCGGTCACGGTGCGTCCGCTCTCTCTCTCTCTCTCGTCCTCCTAGTCTCGAGTCGCAGAGTCTGACTACGTCTCCTCACCCTGCAGGACAAGTGGGACCTCCTGCCGGCGTTCCTCGCCGTTAAAGGTCTCGTCAAGCAGCACATCGACTCGTTCAACTACTTTGTCGACGTCGACTTGCAGGCCATCCTGCGCGCCAACGCCCGCATCACGTCCGACGTCGACCCCAACTTCTTCCTCGAGTACACCGACATCCGCGTCGGCGCGCCCGAGCGGCCCGACGACAACGCAGCGACGAGCCAGATCACGCCGCACGAGTGCCGCCTGCGCGACCTGAGCTACTCGGCGCCCGTGTACGTCTCGGTGCGCTACACGCGCGGCCGCCAGGAGGTCGTCAGCAAGGGCATCCGCATCGGCCGCCTCCCGATCATGCTCCGCAGCAACAAGTGCATCCTCACGGGCAAGACCAAGGGCCAGCTCGCCGAGTACAACGAGTGCCCGCTCGACCCCGGTGGCTACTTTGTCGTCAAGGGCACCGAGAAGGTCATCCTCGTCCAGGAGCAGCTGTCCAAGAACCGCATCATCGTCGAGACCGAGCCCAAAAAGGGCCTCGTCCAGGCGTCGGTCACGTCGTCGACCCACGAGCGCAAGTCCAAGACGTACGTCCTCACCAAGCACGGCAAGATCTACCTCAAGCACAACTCGATCCACGAGGACATCCCGATCGCCGTCGTCCTGCGCGCGCTCGGCATCGTCTCGGCGCGCGAGATTGTCCAGCTCGTGTGCGGCAACGACGACGACCACCGCGCCGCGTTCGCCATCAACATCGAGGAGCTCGACGACCTCAAGACCAAGGCCGGCGCGCCCATCCCCGTCCAGACGCAGCAGCAGGCGCTCGACTACATCGGCCACCGCGTCAAGGTCATCCGCAAGACGCCCGGCGCGCCCGGGTCCGGCGGCGGCTTCGGCGGCGGCGGCGGCGGCGCGTTCGGCGGTGGCGGGTGGGCGCCCAAGCGCCCGGCGAGCGACGAGGCGCTCGAGGTGCTCGCGACCGTCGTCCTCGCGCACGTGCCCGTCGAGGACCTTAACCTGCGGCCCAAGGCCATCTACATCGCCAACATGGCCCGCCGGGTCCTCCTCGCCATGAACGACCCCAAGAACGTCGACGACCGCGACTATGTCGGCAACAAGCGTCTCGAGTTGTGCGTCCTCTCTCTCCCTCTCTCTCGTCAGTCCGACAGGGTCCCTGACGCCGAGGACGCTCGATCCTTCTTCCGCACAGGGCCGGTCAGCTCCTGTCGCTCCTGTTCGAGGACCTGTTCAAGAAGTTCAACCACGACCTCAAGACCAACATCGACAAGATCCTCAAGAAGGCCAACCGCGCGACCGAGTTTGACGCCATCAAGCAGTTCCAGCTCCACGGCGACGGCATCACCCAGGGCTTTGTGCGCGCCATCTCGACCGGCAACTGGTCGCTCAAGCGGTTCAAGATGGAGCGAGCCGGGATCACGCACGTCCTGAGCCGGCTGTCGTTCATCTCGGCGCTCGGCATGATGACGCGCATCTCGTCCCAGTTCGAGAAGACGCGCAAGGTCAGTGGACCGCGTGCGCTCCAGCCGAGCCAGTGGGGCATGCTGTGCCCGAGCGACACGCCCGAGGGAGAGGCCTGTGGGCTCGTCAAGAACCTCGCCCTCATGACCCACATCACGACCGATGTCGACGAGGAGCCCATCTGGAACATCTGCTTCCTCATCGGCGTCGAAGGTGCGCCCCTCTTTCTCTCTCTCCCTCTCGTCGTCGTCGTCGTCGTCGTCGTCGTCGTAGTCGTCCGCCTCGAGCCGACCTGACATTTCTCTTTCCCTGCCCTCGCTCGTCCCCTCTCGTCTCCTCTCTCGTCCCACACCCACCCTCGCAGACATCAACGTCCTTGACGGCACCGAGATCTATGCCGAGGGGCATCTCGTCGTCTACCTGAACGGCAACGTGCTCGGCCTGACGCGCTGCGCGCCGCGCTTCGTGCGCACGTTCCGCCAGCTCCGCCGCGCCGGCCGCATCAACGAGTTTGTCAGCATCTACGTCAACCTGCAGCAGCAGGCGATCCACATCGCCAGCGACGGCGGTCGCATCTGTCGCCCGCTCATCATCGTCGAGAACCAGGCGAGCAAGGTCAAGGAGCTCCACATGAAGGTGCGCTCCACTTTCCACTCTTTCTCCCCCTCTCTCCTTCTGAGTCGTCTAGAGCGTCGTACTGACCGACTGTGCCCCTCCCTCGTCCGCCTCGCCCCCTGCAGATGCTGCGCGACAAGGTCATGACGTTCGACGATTTTCTGCGCAAGGGCCTCATCGAGTACCTCGACGTCAACGAGGAAAACGACGCCTACATCGCCTTGTACGAGAACGAGCTCAAGCCCGACACGACGCACCTCGAGATCGAGCCGTTCACGCTCCTCGGCGCCGTCGCCGGCCTCATCCCGTACCCTCACCACAACCAGTCGCCGCGCAACACGTACCAGTGCGCCATGGGCAAGCAGGCGATCGGCGCCATCGCGCACAACCAGTTGAACCGCATCGACACGCTCCTGTACCTCATGGTCTACCCGCAAACGCCCATGTGCCGCACGCGCACGATCGAGCTCATCGGGTACGACCAGCTGCCCGCCGGCCAGAACGCGACCGTCGCCGTCATGAGTTATTCGGGCTACGACATCGAGGACGCCCTCATCCTCAACCGCGCGAGCGTCGACCGCGGCTTCGGGCGCTGCCAGGTCTTCCGCAAGTACGTCACGCTCCTCAAGCGCTACCCGAACGGCATGTGCGTCCCTATCTCTCTCTCTCTCTCTCTCTCTCTCGTTCTCTCTCCTCGGGCGAGGCTCGTGCAGGGCGACCGTCACTGACGAGTCGACGTGCGCGCAGGTACGACCGCCTCGCCGACCCGCCCAAGAGCGAGACGGGCGAGGTCCTGCCCAAGTACGGCATCCTCGACCTCGACGGCCTCGCCCACATCGGCGAGCAGGTCAACCCGGGCCAGGTCTACATCAACAAGCAGACGCCGTCGAACGCGCACGACAACCAGCTCCCCGGCTCGGAGCAGGGCGGCGCGTCGGGCGGCGTCGGCGGCGCAGGCGGCGACTCGGCGCCGTCGTGGAAGAACACGGGCATGAGCTACCGCGGCCCGATCCCGGGCTACATCGACAAGGTGCTCCTCACCGACACCGACTCGGACTCGACCCTCGTCAAGGTCCTCATTCGCCAGACCCGTCGCCCCGAGCTCGGCGACAAGTTCTCGTCGCGCCACGGGCAAAAGGGCGTCTGCGGCCTCATCGTGCCGCAGGAGGACATGCCGTTCAACGACCAGGGCATCTGCCCCGACATCATCATGAACCCGCACGGCTTCCCCTCGCGCATGACGGTCGGCAAGATGCTCGAGCTCCTGAGCGGCAAGGCGGGCGTCCTGCGCGGCACGTTCGAATACGGCACGGCGTTCGGCGGCAGCAAGGCCGAGGACATGAGCCGCGTCCTGATCGACGCCGGGTACAGCTACGCCGGCAAGGACTACCTCACGAGCGGCATCACGGGCCAGCCCCTCGAGTGCTACGTCTACATGGGCCCCATCTACTACCAGAAGCTCAAGGTGCGTCCCCCTTCTCCCTCGTCGCGAGCGTCCTGCATGTCGAGCGCCGCACTGACCTCCTCTCGCCTTTCTCTCCCTCGCAGCACATGGTTCGTCCTACTCTCTCCGTTTCCAGACACGTAATGCCTCGTTACGCACCCTGACACTCTCTTCGCGCTCCCGCAGGTTCTCGACAAGATGCACGCTCGCGCTCGGTGCGTCTCCCCCTTTCCCCTCTCCCTCGAGCAGATCTTTCCTCGCCCACTCGAGCCTCTTTTGACCCTCTCTCTCTTCTCTCTCCTACTCGCAGTGGTCCTCGTGCCGTCCTCACCCGCCAGCCGACCGAGGGTCGCTCGCGCGACGGCGGCCTGCGCCTCGGCGAGATGGAGCGCGACTGCCTCATCGCCCACGGCGCGTCGCAGCTCCTCCTCGAGCGCCTCATGGTGTCGTCGGACGCTTTCAAGGTCGACGTCTGCCAAGAGTGCGGCTTCATGGGCTATAACGGGTGGTGCGCGAGGTGCAAGACGTCCAAGCGGGTCGTCAAGCTCATGCTCCCTTACGCCTGCAAGCTCCTCTTCCAGGTGCGCCTCTCTCTTCCTCTCTCGCACACGTAGCATGACCTGACCTCGTCGTTCCACACCCCTCGCAGGAGCTGCTCGCGATGAACATCGCGCCTCGTCTCGTCCTCGAGGACGCCGTTTAGATCTCCCTCTTCCCTCGCCCTGCCCTCATCTCCCCCTCACGACTTCCCTCACTCGCTCTCGCAAACTCGCATCCTCTCCCTTCCACTTCTCTCGATACCTCGTCCCTCCTTGGCCGTCTTTGGCACCCCCCTGTTGCAACAGTGCTCGTGATTCCTGTCCTTTCTCGACGAGCCTGCGAGCGAGAGCGCGTGCCCGAACGAGAGAGATGCGATACTGTGTGACAACATTCTACTGCAGCTCTAGATCTACAACGAGCGAACGACCCCACCTCGAGCCGCCGCTTCGCCACCGCCGAGGCCGACGAGCTCCTCGGCTTCGAGCCAGTCGAGCACGCCGGCGTAGCTCGTGAGCCCGTTGAACGCGATGCGGTCCCTCCTCGTGCGGAAGCGCGACTCGAGCATGTACGACGTGTGGCGGTGGAAGAGCGGGAAGATGAGGCCGTGGGCGGTCGAGAGGCGGACAAATTCCTGAGGGGTGCGAGCGCAAAGGAGGGGAAAAGGTTGATGTCAGGGACGGCGCAAAGGAGAGAGTGAAAGAGAGAGAAGACGCACCTGAACGGCAGCGTCGGGTGTCCGAGAGTGGCCGGCGAAGAGAGCCTGCGAGGCGGCAGAGGGAGGGAAATCGAGAGCGTCAGGAAGGCTCGTCGGACCTTCTCTCGACAGAAGAACAAGAGGACGCACCGGGTTCGCGAGCAGTCCTCGAGCGCTCATGACGCCCCGCACGCCCGTCTTCTCCCTCAGCGCCTCGCCGTCCTCCAGCGAGAAGACGTCGCCGTTCGCGACGACGGGCACGGCGCCCTTTGCGCAGCTCGTCGCGAACGCGATCCCTTCCGGGTTGACGGGGTGGCCCTCGGACGACTGATGGCGCGTACGGCCGTGCACCGTGAGAATGTCGGCGCCGCCGGCGAGGGCCTGCGTGACGAGCTCGTGGGTCCGTCTGCGCGCATCTCTGTCCTCGTCAGTCCGAGGCGGCGGCGAGGACGAGAGGAGAGTGAGAGTCGGACGCACGCAGGATCGTCGTCGATGCGGATCTTGACGCTGACCGGAAAGTTCCACCCGAGGCGCTGCTTGGTCGTCCGGACGAGGTCGCGCACGAGGTCAGGCTTGCGGAGCAGGGCACAGCCGATGCCCTCGTGATACGCCCACTTTTGCGGACAGCCTGCGCGACGATGGTGAGTGTCAGTGGCTGAGTAGGAGGACTTGAGAAGACGAGAGGGGACGGACCGCAGTTGAGGTCGATGCCGTCGACGTACGGCTTGGCGAGCTCTGCCGCCTCGGCGAGCTGCACGGGGTCGTTGGCCGCGAACTGGATCAGGAGACGACCCTTGACCTTGCGCATGCGCTTCGAGCGCGCGCTCGGCGACGCGTGGATCCCTCGAGACGGCTCGGGCGACGGGTCCCACTCGGCGACAGGAGAAGCGGCGTGCGCTTCTGGCAGGTAGAAGGTGCCGCGCTCGGTCGTGGACGTGCTGAAGTCGCTGTCGCGAGCGATGGCGGAGCGGCTGAACTCGGCGGCACTGTGTGAGGAGGCCCGGGTCAGCTCGGTGGGGGAGAGAGGGAACGAGGGGGAGGGCGACGCACAGCATCATGGGGGTCCAGACGAGGTGCGTCTCGTACTGGGAGACGAGTGCACGGAATGGAAGCTTGCCGTAACGGACCATGGGCGCTGCGAGGGGTGCAGGACGCGCAGGTCAGCTTCATCAGTCCGAGAGGGTGGGGGAGGAGGACGAGGACGGACCACACGCGTTGATGCCGTCAAACTCGCGCAGGAGCTCTTGTGGCAGTAGCTCCTCGGCCTCGTCGTCCCCCGCAGACCGTGCGCTGCTTGCAGCGTCGTGCGCGCTCATCTCGTCCGTGCTCACGAGGAGCGCGTCGCGGGCTCGCTGTGTCGCGGTGGCCGGTGCGGCGAGAGCGGCAGCAGGTGCGGCGAGTGTGCTGGCTCGCGTAGAGGAGCGTGGTGTGTGCCGTGCGGCAACTGGTCGTTGAGCGAGCCGAGCCACTCCGCCTCGCCGCCGCCGAGTCGGGGCGCGACCTCTCTCTCTTCTGCGAGGCCTGCTCTAGAGTGCGCCGTTTCGTGCGAGTTGAGCATAATCTGAGCGAGCTAAGGCCCGAACTGAGGGTCTGCGCGAACGAGGAGAAACAGAGCTCGCGTGCTCGCACGGTGCCTCTCACGTTCTCGACGACGTCCAAGGCGAGGTACGACAGCTCGTTGCAGTCGCAGCCAAGGAAGGGATCTAAGACGCAGTCCTGTATCAAGGAAGCTCGAACTATGGGGAGAGGGAGGGGCACAAACAGAGGGCGAGGTATCTACGAGAGGGGGAGAGGGGGAGACGGTGCTCTATAGACACGGGCGAGGGGGAGCGTAGGCACAGGGCGGCTGAACGACGAGGTACGAGGAGGGACGAGAGTGCGAGGGACGACCGCTGCGAAGCGCGAGAGATAGGCTTCGGCCCGAGGCGGGCGAGAGGAAGTCGACGACGATGCGAGATAGAGAGGAACTGGGTGCCGCCGGGCACGCTCGTGGCGGCCACGTCTATGCGACGTTGTCGCCGATGGCCGACTGAGGACGGTCCTCGTCGCTGAGGCCGAGACGGCGCCACTCGCCCTCGATCTCGGCGCCGGACAGGCGGGGCATCTCCTTGGCCATCTTGACGTACCACACCTTCTCGATGTAGCCGCGCGCGAAGATAACGTCGACGGCGCGTTGTAGACCCCCCAGGCGATGCAGGAAAGGGAGGTAAGGGCGGGAGGGAAGGGGAGGGGGGCAGGAGGAGGGCGGGGGTGAGGAGCGTCAGTTTCGGGGTTCTTTTGCCGTCGCGCGACCGTTCAGAAGGAGAATACTCACTCTCTTCGAGGGAGCGACCGGCCGTCTCGATGTAGTAGAAGTGAATGATGGGGAGGAAGCACAGGTTGATGGCGCCGAAGAAGGCGAAGCAGCCCACGGCCGACGACGCGAGGAACGGCGGCGTGAACATGACGACGGTGAAGCTGTCAGGGGAAGACGACGTCAGTCTTAGGGAACGACGAGAGGAGGAGGGAGAGAGAAAAACGCACTTCCACAGCCAGTTGTTGATGGTCGAGACGGCGTTGGCGTTGGTGCGGGTCTTGAGCGGGTTGATCTCGGCCGGGTAGAGCCACGGGAGCTCAAGCCAGGTGAAGCCGAAGAAGGTGAGGAACAGGAAGATGCTGCAGAGGGAGGAGCAAGAGTCAGTTTGAGAAGGTCGGGAGGAAGGTCGAAGAGAGAGTGGGACGCACCCGACGACGGCGCCGTTGACAGCGTTACTGTCCTTGCCCGGGATCAGGCACGCCATGATTAGGAACATCGAGAGCGCCTGGCCGATGGTGCCGATAAAGTAGAGCTTGCGGCGGCCGACCTTTCGACGAGCGGGAACGAGATGCACGCCGACAGGGCGTAGACGGTGGCGAGGACCGAGCCGAGGATGAGCGCCATGTTGCGGCTCTGGCCGAGGTACTCCTCGAAGATGGGCGTCGAGAAGTCTGCGTCGGGAGGAGGTCAGTCAACTTGGGAAGGCCGAGTTGGAGGAGAGGGCGAGCGAGGACGCACAGATGACGGCGTTGCAGCCACCGATCTGCTGGAACAGCTGCGACGACGAGCCGAGGAGCATGCGGCGGAAGTGCTGGGTCGGGCCGTTGGTGATGAGGTCGCGCTTGCGCTGGCGGAGCTGGCCCTCGAGCGAGTCGTGGATGACCTTGGTCTGGAGGATGACGGTCTCGCTGTCGAACGGCGCCGGGTCGAGTGCGGCGACGACGCGCTGACCCTCGACCATGTGGCCCTTCGAGATGAGCCAACGCGGCGACTCGGGGAGCCAGATGAGCATGATGATGAGGCCGATGGCGAAAATGCACTGGAGCGCGATGGGCACGCGCCACGAGACCGACGAGTCGAGGTACGAGAAGCCGAGGTCGACCCAGTACGAGATCATGGTGCCGGTCGAGATCCTGTACGTAGGCGGAAGGGGAGGTCAGTGCGCGCTCGACGACGACGACTCGGGCACGGGGACGAGCAAGACGTACATGGCGGCCTCGATGAAGACGGCAAAGCCACGCGAGTGAGCCTTGGCGCACTCGGCGTGCCACGTCGGGATGGTGGACGTCTCGAAACCCGTGCCGAGTCCGGTAACTGCGAGGAGGACGACGCCGTCAGTGCTCGAGGTCGCGTTTGTCCGGGACGGTGAGGAGGAGTTGGACGCACCGATACGACCGATGATAAATTGGCCACCGGCCCAGGAGCCACGGAAAGCGGTGATCTGGATGATGACGCCGAGGATGAGGATGATGGCGCCGGTGAACATCATCTTGCGACGTCCGAGGCGGTCGCCGAACATGAGGGCAAAGATGGCGCCGCCTGCAGGAGGTGGAAGGTTAGCGGCGACCCTCGTGCGCGACCCGTACAAAGGCGGGACGCACCGAGGCAGCCAATCTCGTAGATGGCGACGTAGAAGGCCTGGAGGACCGAGGCTGCAGGGCGAGGACGCGGGTCAGGAGCAAGTTCTTCCACCTCGGAACGACGAGAGAGACGGACCCTTGTAGGTGCCCTGCTGAGCCGGGTCGCAGGCAGGGAAGACGCGAATGAATTGCGGAGCCGAGATGATGCCGGACCTGTGAGTTTTGAGAAGCGGGTGAGCAGGACGTCCCTCGCGGGAAGCGGGAACGATGCGAGATGGACGGACATGACACCCTGGTCGTAACTGCGAGACGAGGAGAGAGAGTCAGCGAGGCGCGGAGTGGCTCGTGAAAGGCGACGACGAGGACGGACCCGAAGAGAATGAAGCCCATGGACGCGCAGATGGTGATGAGGGCGCCGAGCTTGTCGCCGCTGGTGCCCATGTAGGTCGGCACGCCCGAGGCGTCGATGCTGCGGGCGGCGGACAACAACGACAGGTTCGAGGGAGGAGGGAAGGTAGAAGAGTCTGTCAGCGGCGGGACGCGGTGGACGACGCTCGAGACGAGGGGAGAGAGTGGGACGCACGCAGTGCCTTCAGCCATGGTGGCGCCCTGGAAGGTGCTCTTCTTGCGGTTCATGGCGCCGTCGCGAGAGGGCGTGGGCGACGAGTGCGCAAACTCGCGCTTCTCGGCCGCCTCTTTGGTGCGTTGCTTGTCGTTGACGAGACTCATGGCGACAGCGTCTCGATGATGGTGGAACCAGGGAGAGCGATGGAGGGAAGAGAGAAGAGGAGCGAGAAGCCGGACGAGAACGGTACGAGCTCCCCGGGGTGCTCCCTTTCGCCCCCCGCAGTCTCTGCCACCTTTAGCGTCTTGCCCGCGCTCGGTCTCCTCGTCCGCCCGCGCTTGAATGCGAGCCCCCTCGCTCGCCCACGCTCCTCGTCCGTGGTCGCCACAGGGCCCCCTCCCTTTCTTTCCGCCGGTCCAACCTCGTCCGCGCGGCGAGGTGCACGGACCCAATGCCTCCTCCTCGTCCTCGTCGAGAGCGCGCGCGTTTAGTCTCTCGAACGCGCTCGTTTCGCACGTCGCTACTATGTCATCGAGCGGGCACTGTGGCCGAGCTTCTCGCATGACGCTCGCACCTGGCCCTGGCTGTCCTCTGCGCGTGCGAGAGTGGACGACTGCTTCCCGGCGTGGGTGCCGCTTCTTGGCGGAACTCGAGCGAGCGGTCGGGCAGACGAGAGCGAAAGATGCAAACGGGTCACGGTGACGTCGCTGCGATTGCAGAGGCAAGTCAACCGAGGCAATCCGGCGCGGTTCCCGACAAGGTTGCCCGTGCTTTGAACCCGCTCGCGTTCGGTCCCTTGCAGCTCGTTGTGCGAGCGGCGCTCGTTTCCACCGGTTCGAGCGCGCTCCTCCTCAGCTTGCTTAGGCCGAACTCGGCGAGAGAAGAAGCGTGTCTGACCATGACCGTCGCCAGCGTGTAAGAAGGTGCGGCGTCGACGCCGCTCGTGCTCTCGTTCGAGTCGCCGCCGCTCTTTGCCGCGTCCGCACTGTGCTCGATCTCTCTCTGCGCCGCCTCGCGGTACGCGCTCAGCTCGCGAGCATCTTTCCAAATTCCCCTTACGCTGCTGCAGCCCCCACGGCCAAGTACTCTCGCTCGCTCGGTTTGCTCGAGCCGCCGGTGACCGGATCGCGAGCCGGTTGGGGGGTCGACCGCGGCTCGCGAGTGGAGGAGGGAGGTGGCTCCTGGCGAGGAGCGAGCACGAGGAAGGCGGCGAGCGGAGCGGTTCCGACGGAAGCCTGCCGAGAACCGGCAGCTCTGCGTACGAACTTGGCTCACGAGTACCTCCTGAAGTGGTGCCGAGCGCACGCTGCCGAGCGTGCGCCGCTCGCGAAGCTGCGAGACGCACGAGCCGGTGGCTCGACTTTGACTTCTCGATGACCTTCTCGCCGTACTTTCGCTTTCGTACGCTCGCGTCCAGGCTCGCCGCAAGTCGACACTGCGCGGTCTTTATCGCTCTCTACCGCGAGCCTGGAAAGCGGTTCTGCGCAAACTCGTCCTGGAGAAGTGCACGGACCGAGGGCGGCGTACCTTCTCGAGAGAGCTTTCCTCGAGCCAGAGCGCGGAGAAGTCGACGTAGAGTACATTGCACTGACTTGGGATTCTTCGAGGTAGCAGACGAACAAAGGGAACGAGCGCGACGAAAAAGGCGGCCGAGAGAGGGGCTTCGACGGTATCGAGACCAAGGAGGGAGGGTGCGACCGCTTAGAAGCGCGGGTCGTGGATGTGCTTGTACTTGACGGCGTCGGGAGCGGTGTCTCGCAAGCCGAGCTCGATGAGCTGGATCTGCATGGCGAGGTGCTTGCTGTGGACGTCGTCACGGCGGGGCGCGAGGAAGAGTCAGGTTCAGGCTCGAGCTGGGCGCGCACGGCAGGACGAGAGACGCACCTGTAGCAGCGCGCCTGGAACAAGTTGCCCGACTGGAGCCAGAAGCGGTCGACGCCCGAGTACCTCTGCGCACGAGGGAGAGGTGTTAGTCGGGGCTGGTCGAGAGCGAGAGGGAGGAAGTCGAGGTGGACGTACCCAGACGCCCGGGATCTCGCCCTGCGCATCGGCGCCCCAGACGGAGCCGAGACGTTCGGCGACGTCGTCCGAGATGATCCGGCGCACGGTCTCGCGCTGCGAGGCTGCGAGCGGGAAAAAGTCAGTTTGGGAAGGTCGACTTGCACGCTCGAGAGAGGCGAGGGACGCACTGTAGCCGGTCGCCATGACGACTGCGGGCGATAGAGAGCGTGTCAGGACGAGGCACACGAGAGGGGAGGAGAACGACGACGCACTCATGTCGGCCTCGATCAAGGTACCGTCCTTGAAGAGAACGCCCTTCTCGGTGAGCTTCTCGACCTCGACGCCCTGCTTGATCTTGATCTTGCCGTCGGCGATGAGGCGGGAGCATCCGACGTCGATGTAGTACCCGCCACCGTCGCGGAAGTACTGCGAGGCCGGGCAAGAGCGAGTCAGTCACGGCCTCGGCGTCTCGGTCGAGGCGAGATGGAAGCGCACCTTGATGAAGAGCGAACCCGGGTACGGGTTGTGCTTGAAGCCCGCCTTCTCGAGGTCCTCGAGGAGCTTCTTGTCCTTGATCGCGATCCTCTTGCCCGCCTCGACGTGGAACTCGGCGAGCAGGTCGACGGGCAGGCTCGTGAGCATGATGTCGGCGTCGTCGAGCGGCGGGCCGTCCTCCTCGTAGACGCCGTTCAGGAGCTCGGGAATGCCGTGCTCAGAGCTCATGACTGCGTGCGGCGGACGATGAGGGCAAAAGGTCAGTGAGAGGGAAAGAGGAGGAGCCGGGACGGCCGGCGCGTCGCGCTCAGACGGCTCTTTGACGTGACTCGTCGTCCGTCGGCGTTCGTCGAGACGCTGAACGACTCGGCTCGACGACGGGAGGAGAAGTGGGGGATGCGAGGGAGAGGGAGAGAGACAAGGGAGAGGGAGAGAGACAAGGGAGAGGGAGGGAAAGGAGGGGAAGGACGTACCGTAGGTGCTGCTGCGCTGCACGATGGTCGTGTCGACGCCGTGCTCGTAGAAGTCTGCCGCGATGTCGTGTCCACTGTTGCAGCAGCCGATGACCTGGACGAGAGGGAGAGGTCAGTCGACGCTTTGCGGCCGCAAGAGGGGGAAAGAGGGACGCACGACAGCCTTCTTGCCCGCCCAGTCCTTGCCGTGGCACCCGGCGTGACCCGACGAGTGCGTGATGTAGCCCTTGAACTCGTCCCGAGGGAAGGAGGGAAGGCGAGGCTCGCCCGAGAACCCGCTCGCGAGAACGAGGTGGTTGACGTGCATCTCGCGGTCGTCCTGGCCCTCACGCTTGACGCGCACGGTCCACTGCTTGGTCTGCTCGTCGTACGTCGGGTTGCGCTCGATAGTCCTGTGGACGGAGCGGCCGGGTCAGTCGGGTCCTCTCGATTGGTCGGAAGGGGTCCGAGCGGGAGGGCGAGGGAAACATGACGACGCACGACTGCAGCCAGATGTTCAGCTCCATCTGCGACGCGTACTCCTCCATGTAGTTGGCGAGCTTGTCCTTGGGCGTGTCTGCGTGAATGCTCGACAATGTGAGCGCTAGTTCGAGAGGACGAGGGACGGCGGGAAAGGGAGACGAGGGACGGTGAAAGGAGCCACGCACAGATGGGCCAAGTCTTAGGGAACTGCATGTAGGCAAAGTGGTCGGCCCTAGAGAGTGGGACAAGGAGAAAGGCGCAAAAGTCAGGTCGAGGATTATCGAGAGGAGGAGATGGGGAGGAGGAGGAGGCGAGGGGAGGCGGGAAAGGGGTAGGGACGCACCAGACCGGGTCATGCAGGCAAAGGGTGTGGTACCGCTTGCGCCACGAGTCGCCGACGCGACCGTTCTTCTCGACGACGAGCGTCTTGATGCCGATCGCGCCAAGCCGGGCCGCGAGCATGAGGCTGCGCGAGGGAGGGACGAGGCGTCAGGACGATGATGAGGTTCTCGCGAAGAGACGCTCGAGAGAAGAGGACGAGAAAGCTCACCCGTTCTGGCCGCCACCGACGATGAGCACCGTCGGGTCCTCGCCCTCGAACCGGATCTGCTTCTGGCGCCGGTCGAGCCAGTTCTCGCTCGAGTCGTGCGTGCCGTGCTCTGCGCCGAGTGGACGACGGTGCCCGGCAAACTCCTCGTGGCCCTTGACCTCCCACAGGGCAGTGAAGAACGTGAAGGCGCGCCAGTCACCCGACCCGGGCGTCGACTCGCGCAGGCGCAGGAAGCCCTTGCCGCGAGAGTCGGCCGTCTCGAACGTCGTGAAGGCTTGGAGCCAGTTGGCGTCCTTGTTGATGACGGCGTCGTGGGGCTTGATGACCTTGAGGCTGCGGATCTCGGGGACGCCGTACTTGTCGAGGTGCTGCTTGATCTCGCCCTTGGCGCGCTTCAGGCTGTTCATGTCAAAGTCGATGGTCTGTACATGTCGAGAGAAGGGTCAGATTGGTGCGAGTGCGTCCTCTCGCGCTCAAGAGAGAGGGAGAGAGCAGACGACGCACGAGGATGTCGCGCCAGGAGCCGTCGTCGGTGAAGTGGCGCTCGATGCCGACGACGTCCTTGGCGTCGAAGGCAGACTGGAGCGAGGCGCAGAAAGCCGTAGCAATGTCGGCGGGCGAGCTGGTGCGCTCCTTGGTCGGGGTTGACGACTCGACGTGAGCGACGGTGCGCTTGATCGAGTCGATGACGGAAGGCTGAGTTTGGACGTCGGCAGAGGGTGGCATGGTGCTGCTGGTGGTAGTCGTAGTTGAGGGACTTGAAGAAGAGGAGGAGAGAGAGCGAGCGAGGGTGGGGAGCAGCTCCGAGCGCGCAGCAGTGGGGCCGGCGCGATACGAAGCGAGTCGCCTTCTGCGTGCGGGGCAGCGCTGCCTGCGTGAGCGCGACTCGTCCACGGAGCGCAAGCGGCCGGCCGGTGCCGAACAGCGAGGTGGGGACAGCTCGAAGTGTTCCGAGTCCAAGTCGAGCTCGCTGGGCGGCGGTCACGAGCCCAAGCCTTAGCGGGAGTCGCTCTGCTCCGGCCCGATAGCGCAAGGGCTGTGGGGCGTGCTGCAGGGAGGGGTCCGTCCCTCTGTGCAACGAGAACGGGGTGCGCGAGCGGGAGGAAGAGAGCGACGTGGAGGAACGAATCGAGCTGCTCCCTCTCCACCACTCTCGCGCCCAACCGCCTAAGCGCACGCCCAGCTCCCGCCAGCTCGCACACAGCCGCACAGCTCGCGCGCACACTTGTGCCTGCATTGCGCCGTGCCGGACAGCTCTGCCGGCCGATCAGCCCTGGAACGCCCTTCCGCGCGTCCCTCGCTTCCGGCGCTCTCGACCAGTCGCGGTACCGCTCCAGCAGGGCTATCGTGGGACGAGGGATCAGATGCGGCGGCTCCCGGGGCAGCGGGGCGAGGTGGACGGACGAGCCTCGTTCTCATCAGTGCGAGGGCGAGTCGACGGTGTGGACGTCCAGGCGGGACTTGCGGCGGGGTCCTACGCGGTCCTGAAGGGACGTCGAGTGTGGTCGACCCGGCGCAGATGCTCGAGCGCAACTCTGAGCAACGCTGTCGTCGACTTCCCCACCTGTCGGCCCTTGTCTGGTCCAGGCTCGTGTCCCCGCAGGACCAGCCACGGGACGCTTTCCCCTCCCTGCGCGGCAAGGGGAACTTCCGACCGCTCTGGCGCGAGGACGGAGCTCGTCGAGCGCGCCGTGACCTGCTGCACGCCGTCGCCGGCGGCCGGTCGCTCCCTCGCAACGCTCGAGACGGCGCGATCGCTCGCTGCGCTTGCTCGACGGTCACGCGCTGCGCTCGTAGCGCTCGCAGCAAGCCCTGTGCGGGGCCCGGGAAGGGAACAACAGGCGACGGTTCGAACGTCCGCGAGCGCCCGCTCAGATTGACGCCCGTCCCGCGTTCCCCTCCTCGGAACGGCTTCCCCACCTCATTCCCTCTCCAACCTCGCGCGCTTCCGCTCGTCTTTGCTTCTCGCTCCACACGTCGTCTCGAACACACACCTGCTCGCCTCGCGCTCCTCGACACCGCCCAACACCTCCTCCTTCTCAAGCCCTCCTCGCCTCGCCCCCTCACCCTCCTCGTCCCTCGACGCGCCCCTCGACTCGCACGCCATGTCGAACCAAGTCCAACCTCCAGCAAGCCTCGAGAAGGTTGGCTCGCCCTCGACGCAGCACGACCTCGAGGCGCAAAACCTCGGCCTACTCGACACGGACGGCGGCGCCTCGCTGCGGCGGCAGATCTCGGTGCAGCTCTCGGCAGAGCAGTTCGAGCGCCTCTACCTGCAGCCTGGAGGCGCGAAAGCCAAGGGAGACTTGGCCAAGGTGCGTCGTCCGTTTCGTCGCGAGCTCTCGGACCGCGACTAATCCTGTCGCCCGCGCAGCGTTTCGCAAACCCGACGCCGCTCGGCGTCGCCTCCTTCCTCCTTTGCTTGACGCCTTTCAGCTGTTACTTGATGGTACGGGTCGTCTCCCACTCTCGAGGAGAGAGAGAGCCGCTCTGACCCCTCCCCTCGTCTCGCAGGGCTGGGTCGGCACGACGACTGGGGCAGCACCGGCTCTCGTGTGCGTCCGCCTCTCCCTTCTGCGCATCTCTTTCACTTATACCGACTCACTCTCGGTTCTGCAGCGGCGCCATGCTCTTTGTCGGCGGCCTCGGCCTCACGCTTGCCGGCCTTCTCGAGTGGGTTCTCGGTGCGTCCAGTCGCCCTCTTCTCTCCCTCGTTTCCGCCGGCGTGGGCTCATCGGTCATCCCCACAGGCAACACGTTTACGTCGGTCGTCTTCATCACGTTCGGCGGCTTCTGGTGGTCGTTCGGCTACCTGCTCGACGTCACCAACGACGTCGCAACGACGCTCGGAGCGTGCGTCCCCTCTTTCTTCCTCTTCGTCTCCCACGAGCAGGACCTGAGCCCCTGCTCTCTCTCGCAGAGCCTCGACGGACTACAATGGCGGCATTGCCATGTACCTCATCTGTGCGTCCTCCTCGATTTTTCTGCCTCTCTCTCCTCGTGGCCCCGACTGACAGGCATAATCTCTCGCGCAGGGTGGGCCGTATTGGTGCTCATCTACCTCATCGCGTCTCTCCGTACGTGTTCCACCATCCTTTGCCCTGTGCGGCTCGAGGCGCTCTCGCTCGAACGAGCGCACGCACCGCTTCGGGCCAGTTTTCGCGGCCTTACGGTCCCTGACACTTCTCGTGTACGTGCCAGGCACCAACGTCGTCTTCGTCGCGCTCTTCACGTTCCTCGAGATCACCTTCTGGCTCCTCGTCACCGTCTGTACGTCTCTCTTCCCCTCGATTCCTCCCCTCCTGCTCCTCCTCCTCCTCCTTCTCCTCCTCCCTCTCCCACTCGATGTCACTCTCCCCGCGTACCCGTCCCTACTACTCGCAGTCACCGAGCGACGTCCTCCACGCGCTGCGCCCTCGCATCTCTCGGGACCGCTCGACCGAGGCTCTAGCCAGGACAGCACGTCTGACCCTGTCCTTGCCGTCCCGCAGACCTTCGTCTCGCCAAGGGCAACCCCAATGTCGAAATGCTGCTCAAGGCGGCAGGCGCATTCGGCTTCTTGACGACCATCATGGGTGCGTCGTCGTCTCCTCCGTCATCTCCTCCTCGCCCGCTCACCTTTCGTCGCTGTACGACAGGTTGGTGGCTCGAATTTGCCCTGCTCATGGAGTGTACCGGCGTTCCCGTCAAGCTTCCTGTTGGGGATCTCTCTGGGTTCCTCTCGGGCCGCCGTCACCACGCCGACTGAGCACCATCGCCGACTTGCCCTCGTCGCCACTTCTCTCGACCGCTCTCACCCGCCACATCTTGGTCACTGCATCTCTGTGCCTGTCTATGCTTGTACGTCTCTTCTCCTCGAACGAAGCCCTTGAACGTAGCCCTCGAAGGTTGCCAAACGAAGTCATGTTTCTCAGTCAATCTCGAGAGACGTCCCTCCTCTCCTGCTGCACTACGTCCTGCTCGACGAGAAGAGAGCTCCGACCCTGCTCAGAGCCGAGCTCACCGCCTCCCCGACGTGCTCGGCCGCAGCGAGCCCGACGTCGGTCTCCGCCGCGACGAGGTCGGCGGCGGCTGCGCTCGCGCCACCGCCGCCGGTCGACGAGCGAGGGTCGGGCGGCGACAAGAGCGACGAACCTGCACCGTGCGGCGGGAGAGCGCGCGAGGGCGTGGGCGAGGGCGTGTCCGAGGAGAGTGGGCGACGGCGACGGCGCGAGGAGCGAGAGGGCCCGTGCGCATCCAGGGGCGAGTGGATCGGCCGGCGCACGCGTTCCCGCTCGGTCGCGTGGAGTGTGTGGATCTCGTGAGGTGGGGCCGGGAGGGAGGAGGTGCGCGAGGGCGGTGGTCGGCGGCGAGGAGACGATTCAAGGGACGGTTCTGGCACTTGGCTCGGCAACGGGCGAGGCCGAGAGCGAGAGGATCGCGAGGTGTCTGCAACACAGTGGGTCAGTGACTGCGAGGGTTGGCGAGAGAGAGAGAGAGAGACTACGCACAGCCGCCAGAGGCGCGAAGGTGCGTCGTCGAGCGCGGCCTTCCCAAGTTGCCCTCGCCCGTCGCCGCCTTCTGGCCGCGCCGCGACGCCCCCCTCGTCACCCTCTCTTCGTCCGAGGCACCCAGGACCGGCGTCGAGGACCGTGTCGAGGCCATAGACGTCGTCACGCGCCTCCTGCTCGACGAGCGCCCCTCGCCGCCGTCGTCGCTCGGCGGCGCCGACACGACAAATCTCGGCGTCGCCTGGCGGTCCCGCACCTTCTTCTTCTCGACGACTGGCTCGTCGAGAACAGCGCCCTGCTGCACCACCGCTCGCGCCTTCTCGTCGTCCTCCCCGCGCTCCATCTCGACCTGCGCGAGCCGGATCCGCTCCCGCTCTGGCTGCCACAGCTCGAACTGTCTGACCCTGCTCACCCTCCGGTCGCCCCGAGCGGGCGTCGAGCTCGAGCGCTCTCGACGCCGCCGACCTCGCCGCCCCTCGCGCTCAGGCCCCGCGTCCTCCTCGTCGGCGCCGGCCTCGTCCATGAGGTCCCACTTCTCGAGCATGAGCCGCGTCGCGGCTTCGGCCGAGAGCGTCTCGCGGACGTGCAGGCGGGGCGGGGCGGGCACCAAGGCGTGCGGCGAGGGACGGCGGCTGACGTGGACAGGAGGAGGAGGAGATCGCGGCGAGTTGGACGAGCGGCGAGTCGAGGGCGGCGAGGCGTACAGCAACGATGCGACAGAATCGCTTGAGTCGTCGCCAAAGCTGGAGCGACGACGTCGAGGCATGGCTGAGGGCAAAGAGCGAGTCCAGCTTGAGCGGACGAGCCTCGTTCGCCAGAGGTCCGCGGACTGTCCGTCGGGCTGCTGCGCCGGCGACGAGGCGCAGGTTTCACGCGGAGCTGGAAGCGGTCGAGAGTCCGTGTCGATCGCTTGCGTCGAAGCGCTTCTCTCGCTGAACGACCTCGCGCTCTCGGGCCTCGAGCAGACAATGCTGAAAAGGGATCTCGTTGCAGGGACTCTGGCTCTGCGCCCGCTCCAGGAAATCGAGCTGAGCGGCCAAAGGGCTCGTCGGACAGCAGGCTCTGCGAGTCGGGACCGTTCGACGAGGGCGCGAGGTCGAGGCAAGGCGAGGTCGAGGCTGCAGGATCGAGACGAGGCCGGCCCTTCGAGATCCTGGTCGAGAGCGTCGAGAGATGTCGAAGAGGTTCTGCGGCCGGGACAGGAAAGAGTCAGTGCGTCGCTCTTGAGAGGCAAGGGTTGAGGTTGTCCTGGTGCATCAGGGGTTGAAAGGTGGCATCAAGCCCGCCGCTCCGACCCATCCAGGCATGGAGGGCCTCGCAACTGAATGCAGGAGGGCGGATGATCAGGCGCAAATTATCATGTTGAGCATCACGCGCAGGAGGGGGGAGGTGCTCGACCGGCGCGAGGGAGGGCGAGGTCTAGGAGAGGGAAGAGGGACGCGGGCGCACCTGTAGCAACGAGCCGCTCCCGCCCGAGTAGTCCACCTTGTCTCGTCCTCCTTGCCAGACCCGCCGAGCCGCTGCAATGTCCCCGCCCGCCCTCCTCTACCGCCCGCGCCGCGCAGAAAGTCGAGCGAGGCGTGCGGCCTCGCACGCAGGCGGTCGCGCCGTGTACAGCTCGACTGGACGAGTCGGACTCGGTGGCAGAGCTGGCGAGCTCGCCGCACGGGTGGCCGTTGCTGAGTCGAGCCTGGAAAAAGTGCTGGGAGGTCGATGGCGGGATGGCGCCGTTGGGGAGGCGGTTAGGCGCGCTGGAGGCCGGCGAGCATGTGCCTGGCGAGGGTGCGCGTCTCTAGCTGCGCCAGCACGTGGACACAGCGAGAGCGGGTGAAGGGTGAGGAGGAGACGGAGCAGAGGGCGAGATGAGGCGATGTTGTCGCGCTCGCTCTCGCTGGGCCAGCGCGGCCAGCCTGATGGGCTCCCTGGGTGCGACGCAGAACTGCTCATGCCACCCTGGCAGTCCCGCCTCGCGAGGTTGAGGCGGTCTCTCCTCCTCGTCTGGCGCCCGTCGCTCGCCCGCTCCCAGCTCGCCACGGCTTGGCTGAGCGGCGGTGCGACAGCTCAGGGTATGTACCCAGACCCTTGCTCTCTTTCCACTCGAGCTCGACGCGCTCTGAGCTGTATTGGCCGCCCTCTCCTCGTCCCCCGCGCTGGCGACCAGACTCTCTCGCGTTCCGACCGCCGGCGCGCGTGTGCCGCATGCGCGCTCCCGCTCGACAGCGCTCGATCCTCGCTCGGTCGCCTGCTTGCCTCGTATCGGCGATGCGGCGTCCTCGCTCGCACCTCGTCCTCCCGTCCGCCGGACTCTCCGGACGATGCTCGGTGCGCCCGCTGTCGCCGAGGCTCTCTCTCCTGCTCGCCAGGGCTTCGTGCTTCTCTCCACCGGCTCAGAGATGTCGCGCCGCCCTTCAGTTGCCGACGAGGCGGCGTACCCGCCGTACAAGTCGCGCCCGAGCCTCACCGCCTCGGACGTCGAGACGACGCCCGCCGGGCACGGTGCGCGTGCGCCCTACCGGGCGGGCAGCGCTGTGGGAGCAGGAGGCGGCGAGGGACGATACCTGCAGGCGGCGCAGCAGATCGAGCTCACGCAGGAGGACAAGCAGGTGCGCCGAGCACTTTCTCTCCCTGTCGTCCAAGGCTCCCGCGAGGTGCGCCGACTGCCGACTGACCGTCTGACTCTCGTCGACAGGAAGGGTACGATGCCACGCTCCTCAACCTGCCCGAGCGCAACACGACTGCCGTTCCTCCTGCGCACGAACCTGTTCCCGGCTTCCTCCCCTCGGCCGGCCCTCCCGCCGCCCTCGCGGCCAACCTCCCCTACGCGTCTCGCGCCCGCGACGACTCGTTCGACGACGTCGACCACAAGCGGCGCAGCAACGGCACGACTGGCGGCGGCGGTGGCGGCGGCGGAACGAGGAAGAAGGGCGTGCGGCACGACGCGACGAGCGCGGCGCACGACCACCACCGCTCGCGCACCTCGGGCGGCGGCGCAGCGCGCCAAAGCAGCAGCAGGCGTCGCGCGAGCAAGAAGCGGCAGCTCAAGTGGTACCAGAAGCCGCTCGCGCTCGGCGCGCTCCTCGCCCTCTTGCTCGTCTTCGGACTCGCGGTCGGCCTCGGCGTCGGCCTCACCAAGGGCAAGAAGAGCGACGACGGCAAGGCGTCGACGGCCAACGTCGGCAGCTCGGCGCCGGTGCCGCCGGGCGGCATCCAGCCGAGCCAGTCGAGCACGACCGGCAACGACATTCAGGTCTCGGCGTCGTCGAGCGACGCCGCGGTCGGCGTTGCCGGCGTCACGATGCAGCCGACGGCGGCAGCGGACGGTATCGCCCCGACGGTGGCTGTGCGTCCAGCGGTGTCGAGGGTGACGGCGACGGCGACGCTCGGCGGCGAGGCTGCAGCGAGGCGAGCGGCGCGGTGGGCCTGAGCGGCGGACTTTCGTTTCTCCTCTCTGCGTCTTTGTGCAGCTCGAACATAATCACTATCAGTCTTTGCTTTTCAGGCGAGAGAGCAACGCGAGACCGAGTGCGCGAAAGAGAAGGAGAGAGACTGAGAGACTGATTCTGTGCAAGCCGACCCAGACCGTACAAGCCGCCCCTCTCTCGTCTCGACGACGCCCCGCCTCTCCTTGTACAAGCCCTCCTGAGCTCGCCGGCTGCTGCCCCACTGGCGAGACCGCTTCATCGACCGCCGAGCTGTCGCCGCCGCACGCCGTCGACGCCGACCGGCCGCTCGCTCAGCAGACGGCGTGCGTCTTGCCGTGCTTGCCGGCGAGGCTGTGCTTCTCGTGGAGGTGCACCGTCTTGTTGGCCTTGCGGTGCGTCGGGTGGTGCTCGGACTTGATGTCGCCGGCGGCGCCGTCCGTCTTCGAGAGGTGCTTCTGGACCTCGACCGGCGCCGACTCGAGGTAGTCGATCGTCTCCTTGAGGTCGCGCACGAGCGTCTCGCAGCGCGAGCGCGAGAGGTCCTCGCGGACGACGACGCGCAGGACCTTCATGTGCTGCGAATCGGGACGACGAGGGTCAGTGCGCCGCAGACGAGGAAGGCGAGACGAAGCGCCGACACGCACGGAGCAGGACGGCATGAAGGTGTACGCCGGGAGGACCCAGCCTCGCTGCCGCATGTGGGCGGCGATGGCGAACTCTGTGGCAGACGAGGCGTGAGCGACGGGCCAGAGGAAGGAGGAGAAGGTAGGGGAGGACAGCGGACGCACCGTCGTACGGCTTCTCCTTGACGATGCGGAACGCGACGAGCGGCAAGGCCTTGCCCTCGCCCTCGCTGATGACCTCGAACAGGCCGTCGCCCATCTTGCGCACCTCGTCGGCGAGAAAGTCTCCCGTCCTCGTCGCGTTGAGCATGATGGCGCGGTACCCGCTCTTGCCGAGGCGAAGCAGCTGGTAGTACTGCCCGATGACGTTGACGCCGCTCTTGCTGAAGTTGAGCGTGAAGCTGACCCTGCGAGGCGCCGAACGAGGTCAGCTCGCGCTCAGGGAGCTTCGACCAGTGCTCGACGACCGAGGAATGCGAAAGAGTGACGCACTGCGGCGCGCCGAGGTAGTTGACCTGGGTACGAGAGGAGTGAATCAGTCTTCTGGGAAGGTACGCTGCGTCGAGGAGGAGGTGATGGTGACGGACCGTGAAGAGGAGCTCCTCCGGGAGATACGACTTGTTGCGCCAGAAGGCCCACCCGACGCCCGCGTAGACGAGACCGTCTGTGTACATGCAGATACGAGTCAGTTCGAGGTGCTGTTCCGTACAAGGGAGGGTGGAACGGGGAGGCGAGCGACGAGGAGGGGAGGCGAGCGCCGAGGAGGGAAGAGGAGGAAGCCAAAGACGACGGCGGGCCCGAGAGCGAGAGTGGGACGTACACTTGTGGCCCGACGTGTTGATGCTGCTGACGAGAGGAAGGCGGAAGTCCCAGACGAGGTCGGGGTTGACGAACGGTGCGACGAAGCCGCCCGACGCCGCGTCGACGTGGATGGTGACGTCCTGTCGAAGCACAGGATTGTGAGTCGCTCGTACCGCATGGCGAAAAGAGGGAGAAGGGGACGTACGAGACCCTCGGCCTCGTTCCTGCGAGCGATGAATAAAGAGACAAGGTCAGGTGCCGTTCTCGAGGAAGAGGCTCGAGCGCCGACTTGAGCGAGAGCTCACTTCTTCTTGAGCTCGTCATTGATCGCCGACACGTCGTCGTACCCGCCGTGATACGTGTTGCCGAGAATGGCGACGACGAGGACCGTGTTCTCGTTGACGAGGTCGACGAGCTCCGACGGGATGGCGTTGTAGACGCCAGGGCGGGCGTTCCAGTAGCGCTCCTCGACCTCGGTGTACTGCGGAAGCACGCAAAGGGCCGAGGGAGCGCGTCAGTCGAGGTTTTCGAGCGGTGGAGAGACGGAGAAGAGAGAGAGAGGAGGGAGAGCGAGGCGAGGGCGAGTCAAGGAGAGAGAAGGGACGCAGGGACGTCGAGAGGGAGTTTGAGAGGATGACAGGGGAAGGGAGGGTAGGAGAAGGATAGAGAGAGCGAGAGTGGGACGCACGCGAGCCGCCTTCTCCCAGCAGACCTGGACCGACGACGCCATGACGATGTTGGGCGAGTCGGTCGACTTGCCCTCGGCCTTGCGCTTGTTCTTCCAGCGGCGCTTGGCGGCGAGGACGGCGAGGATAATGGCCTCGCTGCTGCCGACGGTCGACGTGCCGACAGCCTCGTCCTCCTCGTTGTCGCGCGGCGCGTTGAACAGGCGCGAGATCATGGACACGCAGCGGTGCTCCAGCGTTTCGAGGCTTCCGTACTCCTCGACGTCTATCATGTTGATGGCCAAAGCGGACGTCATGAGCTCCTCACTGCGACGAGGAGGTTCAGTGCGCGGTCAGGACGAGTCCGGGGGCGGCGAGAGAGAGGGAGAGAGAGGGGACGCACGCCTCGGGCTCCATGTACGTCGTGACGAAGCTCGCGAGGTTGAGCGACGGGTTGCTATTGCCGAGGAGCTCGTCTGCGCACGAGGAGAGCAAGGAGGAGGAGGAGAGAGCAAGGAGGAGGAGGGGGGAGAGAGTCGAGTCGAGGAGGCAAGGTCAGTCCGGGCCCGACTCTCGAGGCATGCCCGCCTCCGAACGTCGACCCCGTCGAGGCTGAGACATCGCAGACGTCGAGACGCACCCTGGACGAAGCGCTTGGCGAGCCTCGGGTCCATCTCGTCCTCGCCCATCTCGAGCGCCGGGATGCCCTGCGCGGCCGCGCGCGAGCCGTAGACGGTCGACGAGACGTGGTGGCTCTCCGAGGGCTTTATTCGAGGGGTCCAGAGCTGGTCAGCGGTGGTCCAGGAGACGTAGTCGGCGAGAGAGTGCCTCGCACGTTGTCGGAGACGCGCGAGTCGGCGGGAATGGTTCGGAGACCCCTGCGATGTGTGACCTGGTCAGTGGTGCTCGATGAGGGCTTGCGAGGAGTCCACGCACATGATGAAGCTGCTTGAGGGTGTGGTGAGAGCGCGAGAGGCCGTTACGAGGAGCGAGGCGAACCTGCGCAGCTGCGTCGGCTTCCCCCGCTTCCCCGCTGATCGCCTCATTTGCGAGCAGCGTCAGACACCGCTTTTGGCTCCTGGGCTCATTTTGGGAGCAGCTGGCACTGCTTCGGCTCGTACGCGGACCTCTCTCCCTCCCTCGACAGCTGGCTTGCCTCTCTCCGCGCCGACGAAGCGGCAGCAGCTCGCGACGGTCGCGGGGACAGTGCCGAGGATGCGGACGACGTAGAAAAGTTGCAAGGAGAAGGGGAAGAGGGGAGAGCTACAGCGCGAGGAGGGGGGAAACCAGAGAGGGTGAGGCGCAGTGTCTGTCAAAGGCGAGCGAGTGTGATAGAGGGAGGGAGCGAGAATTATGGCGAGGGAGGGAAGGGGAAGGGAGGGGGCCGGGAAAGGGGGAGGAGAGAGAGAAGAGAATGTCCATCGTGCGCCCGAGTCGAGAGGCGCTCAGGCCGCGAGAGCGGCGACGAGCGCGACCGCCCCCGCCGCGACCGACCACACGCTGCCGCCCGCCGCGCCCGAGTTCTGCTTGCTCGGCGCCGTCACCTCGGCCTGAGTCGCCGTGCCGGACCCGCTCGCGCCCGCGCCGCCGAGGTTGGTCGTGTAGTTGCCGATCGGCCGCGTCTGGTCCTCAAACTTGCAGTCGTCGTTCGAGCACGTGCACTCGTTCTTGATCGGGTCGAAGAAAGCCGTCAAGCAGTCGGACGGGAGCGTGTGCCGCGTGTCGCCCTCGCGAGGCGCCGGGACCGGGTTGTCGGGCGTGGGCGAGTCGCCCGGGCAGTAGTAGCACGTCTGCCACGGGAACTCGTAAAAGTCGCACTTGTTGAGGAGCCCGGCCTGCGCGCGCGAGTCGGCGAGTCAGGGTCGGCGACGCACAGGAAGAGAGGGAGAGAGGGAGAGACGCACCATGTTCTGGGGGATGCCATTGCAGATCTTGTCGTCGGCGGGCACGGCGGGCACCTCGCACTTGAGGGCGTCGACGTCGCCCATCTTGTCGTTGGTGACCGGGTTGCGCACCCACTCGAGGAGCTGGGCGTTGCTCACGATCCACACGTTATCGTGCGACTGGACCCAGTCGAGGAACTCCTGCAGCATCTCGCGCATGGCGATAGGGTCGTCGACGCCCGGGTAACCGACGGCGAGGTGCTGTAGGCGAGAGATGGGTCAGTGAGGGCAAGAGGGGGAGGACAAGAGAGAAAGAGGACGACGCACGATAGGGTGCGAGTACAGGCCGAACGGCTGACGGTTGCCGTCATCTGCGTCGACGAGGTAACGACCGTCAGTCTCGGCTGACCTCGAAAGGGCTCGAGGGGGGACGCACAGTGGGTCAAGAACGAGAACTTGAGCCACTCGAGGACCTTGGCGTAGTCGGTCGAGTCGAGCCACGGGTCCATGAGGTGGATGTCGCTCTGCGAGTCGCCGAACGTCGAGTACATCGGGATCTCCCACAGGCCGGGGAGCTTGAGGCGGCCCTGGCAGATGTCGGCCTGCTCGAGACAGTTGTTGGCGACGCCGTTGTCGAGCGTGTAGGGCCAGAAGGCGTCCGTGTTGCTCGCGTTGGCGTACGTCGCGCTCGTCATCGACGAGTCGTACTGTTGGCGGCGTCGCGAGGGATGGACGAAGGGCAAGAAGGCGCAGGGAGGGAGGAGGAGGGGGAGGAGGAGGAGGAGGAGGAGGGGCAAAGCTGGTCAGCGATCCGGCCGCAGCTGAAGCTCTTGAGAGAGAGAGACAGACTGTGGACGCACGGTGAAGGATGCGTTGTGGAGCGCCTCGAGCGTGCTGCCGTTCCAGCTGAGAAGCGGCGCGCGGAACCCGATGATGTCCTTGAGCGGAATGCCGGCGAACGCGTTGAGCGCCTTGAGGTTGCCCGTGATCTCGGACACGTTGGGCGTGCCGGCGTGCGTCATCGTGTGGTCGGCGATCTCGGTGTTGTTGTTGACGTACCTGCGCGAGGAGGGGGAGAAGGGCGGGTCAGCGAACAAGCCAGTGGAGACCAGTCGAGGGAACGTGCGGGCAGGGCGCGAGGACTTGGGGCTCACATCTCGGTGACCATCGAGTAGTTGGTGTACGACAGGCTCGTGTAGTAGGTCATGCGCGGCGTGCAGCCGTTCGGGTTCTGCGTGCGGATCCGAGGCGTGAGCGGTCGACGGAACGAGGGAGAGGCGAAGAGGCAGGGGCGCACCTTGCGGCCGCCGAGAAAGTACGACATGACCTCCTTGGTGTAGAGCTGGATGGCGTCATCGGCGGTAAAGGCTGTGGGACGGCGGCCGACAGTGAGCGACGCACTCTTGGCGGGGAGAGGATGCGCTCGAGGGGGAAAGGGGGCGACGCACTGACGAACTGCGGCACGTTCTTCGGGTCGAGGCCGCCAGGCGGCGAGGTAGAAGCGCACTGCAAGGACGCAAGGAGGAGAGGGTCAGGTCGACGAGGCTCGCAGGAGAGGGTGGGGAAGGAGGAGGGAGGGGAGGGGGGGACGCACGAGGCAGTCTGGCAACTTGCACTGGCTCGAGTCGCACGTGTAGCCGGCACTCTCTGCGATGGGCGCGAGTCCAGGTCAGTGCACGCGTCCGCTGGGCGCGAGCCGAGCGGGTGGGTCGAGGGGCGAGGTGGCCAAGGGGACGAGCGCCACCTCACGTCTCGGCTGGGGCGGGCAGGGGGGACAGAGGGAGAGGGAGACGCACCAGGAGAAGACACTGGCCCAGTCAGTGCGCCGCCCTCGCCGCCGTTTGCTCCGACCGCGGCCGTCTGGGCGAGCGCCAAGGTTGCGAGGGCGAGGAGCGACACGAGGCCGAGGGTGGCGCGCGAACGCGTACGGGACGGCATCGTAAGAGGTGCTGGATGCGGTGCGAGGGCGGCGCGGGCACTGCTGCTGTCGAGGGAGCAAAGGGACGGACGAGCGCGTTGAGCGAGAGCTGGACTCGGAGACGCCGATCGAGCCTCTCGCCCTCTCGCCTCTGTCGTACGCCCTAACCGGTGCACAGAACCAAGCTGCAGTAACAGTACGAAGACACAGGCCCGGCGCAGAGACTACAAGACGCAACCCCAAGCGCAAACCTCCTCGAAACCCTCCGCCTCGAGCCCCCGACCGCGCCGGCTCAGCGCCACACGCACCCTCCCAGCTCCCAGTGGTCCCTCTCCCAGTCGTACTCGCCCTCGCCGTGGGCGAGCGCGCCCTCGACCCGCAACACCTTGCCCGCCGCGACGAGCGTGCGCAGGATCGTGTGCACCTCGTGCGCGACGAGGACCTGCTTGTGCATGGCGCGGTCGACGATTGCGGCCTGCGAGACGACACCGAAAGAGTCAGTTGCCGGTCCTGCCGAGAGAAAGAGAGAGAGAGAGGGAGAGAGAGAGGGACGCACGCAAGTCGACCCAGAGCGCTTCCACAGCTCGCCCTTGACCCACGCCACCGCCCTCGACCAGTACTCGACGTTGGTCCGCCCCTCGATGTCGGTCCAGAACGCCGGGAGGAACCACCTGCCGACGGGCGGCTGCTCGACGGCGCCGGCGCCCTCGGCGGCTGCGGGCGCGCTGACCGCGAGCGGCAGCGCCCACTGGGCGACGTGCCGCGCGTGGACGAGCCGCAGCGACGACTTGCCGGCCCAGAACGCGAGCGGCGGCTCCGAGCGCGTCAGGAGCGCGATCGCGCCGGGCAGGTCGGCGACGAGGCCCGTGCGCGCCGCTTGGTCCTCGGCGACGCGCTCGAGGAAGGCCGGCAGCGAGCCGTCGGGCCCGGCGGCGGCGACGCACAGCTCGACGATGCGGGCGAGGTCGGCGTCGGCGGGGAGGCGGCCGAGGGCTGACGCGAGGGTCGGCTCGTCGAACGTGATGCCGAGCGGGAGGAGCGTGTCGGGCAAGGGGAGGTCGACCTTCTCGAACGGGTCCTTGGGCACGATGCTGACCGCGCACTCGATGTCGTCGTCGTCTGCGGCGCGAGAGGGGTACGGCGAGGAGAGTGAGCGAGTGCGCGCAGGGAGGGAGAGAAAAGGGGAATCGGGGACGCACTGGCTTGCCGCGTGCCAAAGTCGGTGTAGTCGAGCGCCTTGGCGCTCAGCCCGCTCGCGTCGACCGACAGGTCGACCTTGCCCTGCGACAGGAGCTCGAAGAAGGCGAGCATGTCGCCCTCGGCGGGCACGAGCGGGAACGTCGTCCCGCCCGACTCGTGCAGGTCCTTGTCAAAGTCGGCCGCCTCGCGCAGGCGCGACACGCTCGTCATCGACTCGAACCGGAGGATGAACCTGCGAGAGAGAGGGCGAGTCAGTCGAGAGAGACCCAAAGTGAGGAAGGAGGCCGAGAGACGCACTTGTCGTGGTAGACGAGACCCGCGCCCGGCGCTCGGCGGTCCTCCTTGCGCGTCTGCATGATCGACTTGGCCCTCAGGTCCTTGATGACGTCCTCGACGACCTCCTCGGGGAAGGGCGCGAGGAGCGCGCCGCCCTTGGCTGAGTCGTACAGGTGCTCGTCGGTCGCGACGATGGCCTGCGGGCGAGGGAGCGCGTACTCGACGGTCAGCGTCTTGGACATGGGCAGGAGAGAGTGACAGTGAGAAAGGGACGCACCTTGCAGGCACCACGTGCGAGGTCGTGCAGCCACTCGATAGGCGGCTCGAGCTTGCTCGGCACGACCGAGTCGCCGAACGGCAGGTTGACGATCGACTCGAGGCGCAGCTGGGCCGTGATGTGGTAGCTGCTGTGGATCTTGGCGAAGCGGCGGTGTGTGTCGGCCGAGGCCTCGAGCGGGTTGACCGTGTACTGCGCGAAGAGCTGCTCGAGCGAGGCGGGGAGCGGGACGACCTCGGCGGCCTGGACCGCCGGCGTCGGGACGTCGCGCATGAGGCGACTGCAAAGGAAGAAGTGTGTCAGGGAAGCTCGACCGGGTTCGAGAGAGGGGTTTGAGAGAGCGAGGACGCACATCTGGGCCTTGTTGACCTTGGCGCGCAGGAACCGCACGCAGCCGGCGAGGTCGAACGCCGTCATGCTGTCCGGGAACGGGTCGTGCACGACGTCTCGGCCCTCGGCGTCGAACACGACGAGGTACTCGGCGACGAGGCGGTCAAAGTAGGCGCGCATGGCCGGCTTGTTGTTGAGGATGCTGATGGCGCGCTGCTTGATGGCCGAGCCCTTGTTGCCCTGGAAGAAGTCCTCGAAGATGCGGTAGTTGACGCGCGCGCCGAGGTGATGGGCCCGGGCACGCAGGACGGCGTACGCGTCGAGGATGAGGTCGTCCTGCTCGGGCGTGTAGAAGTTGCGCGTGAGGCGACGGCCCTGCTCGAGCTCTGGGCGAGGCGGAACGGGCACGTCGAGGAACTCGTCTTGCGTGCCGCTGTCGACCGTCTCGGCGGGTCCTGCGGCGGCGTCCTTGGCTCGCGCCGACTCGTCGCCCTCGCCGGCTGCTGCCGCCTGCGCCCGTGCGAGGGCCTGCGTCCGCCCTCGCACCTGCGCCTTGGTCTTGCGCTTCGGGACGCGCTTGGCGAGGCTCGGGAGGTTGGTGCTGACGGCGTACGGGTTCTTGGCGGCCTGCGCCTTCTTCTGGATCGACAGGGGGACGAGCGACTTGAACGACGGGTCGGGCGGCGCCACTGGAGCTCCGTCTGCAACAGCGCCGGCGTCGGGAGCGGGCAGGAGGCGACAGAGCTCCGAGTCGAGGTGCTTGGCGTCGATCTGGCGGCGCGGGTCGAGAAAGGCGCGGTGGAGCCAGTCGACCGTCGCGGCGTGCAGGTCGGGCTGGTCGTGCTCGGCCCGGAACCGCTCGAGGATGCCGACCCAGTCGCGCTCGCGCTGCTCGGACGCCTCCTGGACCTTGCGGTGGAGCGCCTTGGCCGCGTTGGCCTTGCGCACCGCCTCGTCGACGGCGATCTCGTCGTCCTCGTCGTCGTCGCCATCCTCGGCGACCTTGACCTTCTTCTTGCGCGAGCGACGAGATTTGGCGGCGGCGTCGAGGTCGTCGAGGAGGCGGTGGTGCGTCGAGAAGAGGTACTCCTTGACGACGTCGACCGGGGCGAGGAGGGCGTGGGCCCACTTGACGAGGTCCTCGGCGCGGTTGTCGGCGTCGGTCGCGAGGCCAGGGTCGTGCTGGACGAGGCGGACGAGGAAGGTGCGCTGACGGTCGGCGAGCTGGTACGTGTCGCGCCACCGGTCGGCCTTGATGAAGCCGCCGCGTAGGACTTGCTGGCCGATCCACGTGCACTTGTCCGGGAAGCGGTCGTCCTCGATCGGCTCGCGCTGTGCCTTGTCCCGACTCGGCCGCATGCTGGCCGACTCGAGCGCCGTCCAGTACTCGCCGACGGCGTCGTTCGAGTCGAGGTCGCACACGTCGACGAGGGCGCGGTCGCCGCCGAGCGCGTACAGGGGGACCGTCGTCGCGAACCGCCAGTGCGTCGCGAGCTTGGGGCGGCTGCTCGGCTCAAACTCGTGCGGGTCGGACCGGTGCGGGATGAGCGGGGCGAGGAGGCGCAGGTGGAGGAGCGACTCGAAGTTCTTCCACATGGCCGCCTTGCGCTTGGGCTGGTGCGGGCGGATGACGGCGACGATGTCGGCGGGCGCGGCCGACATGGACAGCTGGCCGTTGTCCGGCTCGGCGAGGAACGCGTCGAGCGCCTCGGACTCGAACGGGAGCGGGACGAGGCGCACGTAGACGCCGATCGGCATCTGGTCGAGGATCGTCTTCTGCGCGACGACGAACCCGTCGTCGTCCCTGCGCACGGCGAGGTGCGCATCGTCGGCGTGGCGAAAGAGCCAGCTCGCGAGCCACTTGTGCATCTGGCGAGCGCGTGCGGCGAGCCCTTGGCGGACGCCGTACTTGCGCCCGACGACGAGCGGCTGCTGGCCGAAGAACTGACGCGCGACCTCGGGACCGTCGGCCGGGAGCGGGTCGGCAACCATCGAGTCGAGCTTGACGTCGGCGTCGTCGACGTCGAACGCCTCGTCGAGCACAATGTCGTTCGTGTGCGTGCCGCGCGCATACGTGCGCGTGGCCGAGGCGATGTCGCGCAGGTACTGGACGAGCTCGGGCGAGTCGGGCGCGACCGTCGGGAGGTAGTAGACGTCGTGGCGCTGGCCCTTGAGGCCGACGACGCTCGTCTTGCGCAACAGCTCGCGGTCGACGCACGCCTCAAACGCCTGGCGCAGGACGACGCGGTCCATCTGGCGGGCGTCCGGGCGGCTCTCGCGCAGGAACCGCACGAGGTCCTCGTTGAGCGTGTAGCTGTACTCGAGGAAGCCGCCGCTCGACGTGATGTAGTCGACGATGTCCTTCTGGCGCTCGAGCATCGTGAGGTTGCCCTGGGCGACGGCCGACGCGCGGTACTTCTTCTTGCCCTTGGCCGTTGGCGCCGGCGCCGTGGGCGTCCCGGTGCGCGAGAGGGGCGAGCCGTCGCGAGGCGAGACGAGGCGAGACGGCGTGCTCTCGGCGACACGAGCGAGAGTGGGCGTCGTCGCCGGCACGGGCGACGAGGGGGACGAGCGGTCCTGCTCGGCGGCGATTTGGGAAGGTCCCGACTGCTCGCCCTCGCCCTCGCCCTCGTCGCCCTCGTCCTCAGCGGCGCGCTTGCGCGACGACGGCGAGACGTCGTGCACGACGCCGGAAGGCCCGGCCTGCGGCGTGTCAGGCGGCGGCGACGGCGACGCGCTCGGCACGCCGCTCGGGCCTGCGAGCGCCGTCGACTCAGTCCTCGCACGCTTGCGAGCGGGCGACGCATCGAGCTCGACGTAGACGTCGGCGCGAGCTGCTGAAGCACGAGTACGAGCCGAGGCGGTAGGCGGTGAGGCCGACGCGGCGGCTGCAGCTGCGGCTGCACGCGTGCGCTTGCGGGCAGGTGTGGCGGTCGGGATGGGCGTGGCGGCGACGCGAGCCGAGGAGCGAGTAGCCCTGGCGGTCGTTGCGCCCGAGACGAGGGCGGGTGCGGGCGTCGACGAGATGGCGGCGGCGACCTTGGGCGTCGACGCCCCGGGACCAGGCGTGAGCGGCTCGGCCGCCGCCTTGCGACCACGGGTCGTGCGCCTCGGCGCGGGCGCCTCAGACGTCTCGTCGACGTCGACGTCGACGGCGCCGTTGACCGGGTCGGTCTCGTGCAGGGCGGCGGAAGAGCCGGCCTGTGGCTCGGGCTCGGGCTCGTGCACGACGGCGGGTGAGGCGGTGTCGGCGGTCGCGGCCGGCTGCTCGGGCACAGGGGCCTTCTTGGGCGGACGACCACGCTTCTTCTTGGGCGCAGGCGTGTCGGCGGGTGGCGGGTCGAGGAGGGACGAGGTCGTGGCCGTGGAAGGACCGGCGGCGGCGGTGGAGGTGGACGGGTCGGCCTGCGACTGCAAGCGAGGGCGATCGGGCGAGGCATGTCAGGCTAGGCTCGTGAGAGGAAGAAGGAAAGGGGAGAAAGGCGAGCGCACCTCGTCGTCGACGTCCATCGTGTCCGCCTCCTTCTCCTTGCCCTTGCCCTTCTTGCGACCCTTCTTCGCCCCCTTCTTGCCCTCGCCACCCTCGCCCTCATCTCCCTCGCCCTCGCCCGTCGCCGCTGCCCCGTCGCCGGCGCCCTCGTCCTCGTCCTCGCCCTTGACCTTCTTCTTCTTCTTGCCCGCCCTCACGAGCGGCGGCAGGCCCTGCCGCTCGCGCTCCTCGTCCTCGGCCTTCTCGCGCTTGCGCCGCATGTAGTACGTCTCCTCGCCGGGCTTGAGCGGGTGCTTGCGCGGCCGGCCCGTCGGGCGGCGCACGGGCGGCGGAGCGGGCGAGGCCGAGCCGTCGTCCTGGCCGGCGGCGGCGGCGGCGGCGGCGTCCGAGTCGACGACCGGCGCGTCGTCGACGGCGCGCTCCTTGCCCATGCCCTTGCTCCTCGCGCTCTTGCCCGAGCCCGACCCGGCGACGGCGACCTTGACCTTGGCGGGCCGGCCGCGCTTCTTGCCGCCGCCGGTGGCCGCGACGCCGGCGCTCGTGCCCGCCCACACCTGGTACTTGTCGATGCGGCGCTGGTAGTCGCGCAGCGTCGCGTGCTGGCCCTCGGCGGGCTCGTGCCCGGGCGCCGTCTCGAACGCGCCGACGCGGCTCGCGTGCTGCTGCTGCTGCTGCTGCTCGGCCTCGTCGTCGGCGGCAGCCGCATCGCCCGACGTAGAGGCAGAGGTCGAGGGGCCGCACAGGGCGCGGTACGTCTCCTCGGCGTGGTCGTCGGGGAAGCCCCTCGCGCGGCGGAAGGCGAGGTAGCCGACGAGCGAGAACCAGCGCGCCTGCTTCATGCGGCCGACCGTCTCCTGCATCGAGTGGAGCGCGTAGTCGGCGAGGTGCGTCGGCGGGGCAACGCGCGCGAGGCGCTGCAGCGTCGCCTCGACGAACCGGGGCGAGTACGAGTGGAGCGCCGACGAGATCTCCTGCGAGGCGCAATCGGGAAGGGTCAGTCGATACGGTCGGGCGAGAGCGAAAGAGAGAGAAAGAGAGAGGAGGGAGAGGGACGCACGGCGATAGTGAGCCCGCGAGCGTCAGCGTCCATGAGGAGGTCGAGGATCTGGCGCTCCATCGGCCGGCCCGCTCTCGGCCACGCCTCGTCGTCCGCCTCGTCCTCGCCGCCGCCGTCGCCCACCTGCGCCTGCGCTTGCGTCGCCGAGCCCTGTGCCCCTCCCGCCGGGCCCTCGCCGGCGCCCTGCGCCTCGCCCGCCGCCGCCTGGTCCTCGCCCTCGCGCTTGACGCACAGCCGGAGCGCCTGGGCGATCGAGCTCTTGCCGCCGGCCTTCTTGCGCGTGACCGTCACCTTCTCGATGACGCCCTCGGCGGCGAGCTGCGTCACGATGGCGTTGAGGCGCCGGAGCGAGAGCGGGTTCATGGCGTGCAGGCCCTGCGAGTTGACGACGTTGGCGAGGTCAGTATGCGTGTCCCGCGAGAGAGAGAGACGAGGAGAGGAGGACGAGGGCGAAGAGGCGAGGAGAGAGTGGCGAGGAGGAAGGGCAGGGGACGAGCAGGCGCTCGAGAGGGAAAGAGAGGAACGAGGCCGACGCACGATCGACCCATGCAGCTCAATGTGCGGGAGCCACTGGTCCTTGCGGCGGCGGATGGCCTTGACGATGCGGGCGCGGATCAAGGGAATGTTCGAGTCGAGGTACGCCGGCGAGATGGGCGGCATCTCGAGCCCGGCCCAGTCGCCTCCTCCCGCTCCTCCTCCTCCTGCTGCTGCTCCCTCGCCGCCGTCCTCGTCCTTGACGCCGGCGCCCTCGTCGTCGTCGGGCTCGTCGGCCGCGATGTGGGTCCTCCACGCGACGCTGCGCTCGAGGTACCGCACGTGCACGATGCGGTTCGTGCGGCACCCGTCCTCGACGTCGGTGAACTTCTTGACGATGCCGAGCGACTGCGGGACCTTGATGTAGTGGAACACCGACTTGGGGTCGATGCCGAGGTCCTTCGAGATGCGGACGGCCGTCACGCCCGACGTGCGGCCGCGCGAGACGTGCTGCAGGACCGTGTAGACGATGGGCGTGATGGACGAGATCTGCAGGGGACGAGGCGAGAGGCGACGAGGCAGGGGTCAGTCTCGAGTTGCGCCATGGCTCGGACCCCGCTCGAGGAAGAAAGAGGAGGACGAGGGGGACTCACGCGAGCGTGGCTGCCCGTGATGGCGACTCGAGCCGTCTCCTCGCTCGCGACGATGCGCAGCGCGGCGCCGTACAGGTCATGGAGCGCGTCACGGCCGAGGGCGCGCTCTTGGTCGTCGAGGATGCGCAGCTCGTGCGTCGGGCCGACAGGTTGGCGCTGCGCCTTGGTCTTGCCCTTGCCCTTGGCCTTGGGCTTGGCGGGCTTGACGTCGGCGTCGCCGTCGTCGGCGTTGGCGTCGTCGGGCTGGCCGTCGGCGGCGTCGAGAGCGGGTGAAGCATCGGCGGTCGAGGGCCCGGCTTGAGGCTCGGCGTGTGCGGCGGCGGGAGCGTCGATGGCTGACAGGACGCCGATGCGGACGTCGGGCTCGGCGACAAGGGCGTCCCACACGAACGAGACGAAGCTGTCGTCGACGAGCTGCTCGAGGGGCGCGCCGCCGGCCGACGACGAAGACGAGCGGGCGTAAAAGTCGGCGATGAAGGCGGCGAGCGACTCGGTCGAGGTCCCTGTGAGAGTGGGGCACGAGAGCAGTCAGGACACGGTACTGCTGGTCGAGGAAAGAGGGTGCTGGTCTCGAGAATCGAACGTGCGACCGCGAGTCGGGCCGGCGCGCGAGCGAGAGGCAACAACGCGTTGCGGAGCGACGAGAGCGGTGCAGGACGGTGTCGCTGGATGGTGCAGGCGCAGGGCTGGTGCACTGTGAGGCGCGCTGTACGTAGCGGTGGCTGCCCAGCTGCCCCTGCCCCGCTTCCCGCGCGTGGCTCGTCAAAGGCTCGAGTGCACCGCCTCGTCGCGAGCGAGAGGTGGGCTGGACACAGGGAGAGAGAGAGTGCGTGTGCGCACCTTGATCACCGTCCATGGCAACCTCCTCGAGGAGGAACTGGAGGAGGGCGTCGGTCATGGCGCTTGCTCGGCGTGTTGTCGCGCTCGAGGGGGGCCACCAGGGCCGAGTGCGGGCGGGCTGTCGGCGTAGCCAGATGCAGGCGAGAGATGGCAGTCGGTGGCGGCCTCTCGCGTGGCGGCAGCGAGTGCGCAGCGAGTGTGGACGAGCCCAAGAGCCGACGACGAGAAGGACGACAGAGATGAACTCGCCTCGCTCTTGTCACACACCCGGGCAGCTCGCCCGACTGCGCTACACCGCCTAGAGCAACCTACACCGCTCCCCACAGCGACCCACCGCAACAGCAGCACACCCCGGTCGCCCCCTCGTCCTCGTCGCGCCCCACCTTGGAGCGTCCCCGGCGATGGACCGCTTCCTCCCGCTCGACGTGACCCTACAGACCCTCGGCGCACACCTGTACCCAGACGAGCACATACTCACCCACGCAGACAGCGTCGGCCTCTATGACGCGTGCGCCCCCCTCCTCTCCTCTCCTCCCCTTGCCCTCCCTTCCCGGCTCACCTCGACCACCTCGCGCCCGCAGCAAGGACAAGTCGCCACGCCACGCCGACGGCCGCGCCATCCTCACTTCGCACCGCGTCGTCTTTGTCTCGTCGTCGCGCCCGCACGCCAACTCGGCCTACCTCCCGCTCTCGCTCGTCCGCCAGACAGAGTACTGGGCCGGGTTCCTCAAGTCCTCGCCCAAGATCACCCTCCTCCTCGCCGAGCGCCAAACGTCGTCGTCTTCTTCCTCGGGCGCGGCGCAGGAGGGCGCGGCGGCGGCGGCGGGCGACAGGGACGGCGAGCGGGAGCGCGACAAGACGCGCGAGGCCCTCGCGCTCGCCGCCCTCGCTGGCGAGCGCAACTGGGTGTGTCGCGTCTGCGGCATGCACAACGTCCCGACGGCCCAGCTCGGCCTCAAGTGCTCCCTGTGCGGCGTCACGCGCGACCCGACCCCGTCCTCTTCGTCATCTTCTCGCCCTCCTCCTCCTCCTCCTCCTGCCGCCTCGTCAGCGCCGCCCTCGCGCTTCGGCACACCCCCACCTCCACCGCGACCTCCTCGACCCGACGCTCCCCCCTCATCCGCACCCGTCGCGCTCGACCCGACCGAGACGGGTGCGCGCCTCGCGTGCCCCGTGTGCACCTTCCTCAACCACCACTCGATGACGCGCTGCGAGGTGTGCGACTCGGTCCTCCTCCCGCCGTCCCCTCCGCGCCCTCCCCCTTCGTCCACCTCCCTCGCCCACTCGGCGCCGCACTCGCGCTCCAACTCGACGCGCTCGCTCGCGCCCTCGCGCTCGGGCACGCCCGGCCCGGGCACCGACCCGGCGAGCGCCGCGCCCGTGTCGGTGCCCATCGCCGGCTCGGGCTCGAGCGCGACGGCGGCGCAGCAGGCGCAGGCGGCGTTCGTGCGGCTCAGCTTCCGCAAGGGCGGCGAGAAGGCGTTCTATGCCGCGCTCAAGGAGGCGATGGGCGCGAAAGCGTGGGACTTGAGCGCGGCGGCGTTAGCAGGTGCGGGAAAAGGAGGCAAGGGCGGCAGGGGCGGCAAGGGCGTCGAGGGCAAGGGCGCAGAGGGCGAGAGCGAGGGCAGTCGGGGCGTCGGAATCGGTGCGTCCTCCCTTTTTCTCCTCCCTATCTCTGCCTTCTCGCCTTCGACGAGCTCGTCTGACCGGGTTGTGATTCTCGCAGACGCGATCTTGCGCGGTGTCGACCTCGACGCACGGGACCGCGAGGACTCGCTCGACGACGCGCTCAAGGACCTCGAGAGCCTCATGCGCAAGGCCAAGGACATGGTTCGCCTTACCTCTCTCTATCCTCCCTTCTGCCTTCTCGCGACCACTTCTTGACCTTTTGGCCGACTGCAGATCACGCTCGCCCAGAGCATCAACGCCCAGCTCGCCTCGTCTGCCGCCTCGCCCTCGAACGGCTCGAGCACGAGCCCCACGCCCGCCGCCGCCGCCCGTGCCGCCTCGCTCGCCTCGTCCTCGCTGCACTCGCTCGGCCTCGCGACAGCCTCGTCGTCCGTCCTCGACAACGCCGTCACGCCCGACCTCGTCGCCGACGACCGGGCGTACCACGCCGAGCTCGCGAGGGAGCTCGACGGCGTGCTCGAGAAGGGGCGCGTTATGGAGCGCAAGGGCGGGATAGTCGGGCTCGACGAGGTGTGGTGCCTGTGGAACCGGGCGCGAGGCGTCGGTGCGTCCCCACCTTTCCTCCCTCTCCTTCTCTCCCTCTCTCTCTCTCCGACCCGGCCCACTTTGCCCGACTGAATCTCTCTCACCACAGCCCTCGTCTCGCCCAAAGACCTGCGCCTCGCAGCCCCCTTCCTCAACTCGCACCACCGCGCCCGCCAGCTCGCCTCACCCTGCGCGTCTTCCACCCCTCGGGCCTCACGATCCTCCACACGCCGCGGTTCGCCCCGCGCGCGTTCGAGAGCCGCGTGCTGGACCTCGTCGATACGCGGCAGGCGCTCGTCGCGAGCCTGGCGCTCGGCGGGCCGCAGCTGGCGCCGGGGCAGGGGCAGGGGCGGGCGGGCGACAAGGAGGAAGGCGGCACGAGCGCGGCGGCCGAGGCGGCCGAGCGCGAGGGCGCGAGCCTGCTCGACATTGCGCACGCCGAGGGCCTCAGCGTCGGGCTCGCAAAGGAGCTGCTCGGCGTGCTCGAGCTCGGAGAGCGAGGCGGCGCCGGAGGAGGAGGGGCGAGCGCGGGTGGGGCGGTCGTGCGCGACGAGCAGGCGGGAGAGGGCACGAGGTGGTACAGGAACTGGATCTCGGGGGCGGTGTGGGACGGGCAGGAGTTCTGAGCCGGGCTCGAGGGCGTCGTTCTCTTTTCCTCTCTCTCTTCTCTCCCTCGCGCTCGAGAGAGGCCGCGATGTGTAGAGCTCGTCGCCGTGTTGCCAAGACCACCTTTCTATTCCTCGCGCACCCGATGCTGCTCTACGCTCCCGCGCCCGTCGCTGCCGCTGCCGCCTCCTCGCCGTTCCGCCGCGGCTCGAGCGCCTCGACGTCCGCCTCTCGTCGCTCCACGCCCTCGCGCTGCATCCAGAACCAGTAGTAGGCGAACCCGGACCCGACCTCGAGGTGTCGCAGGGTCCAGCCGTCGCGCTGGAGGAGCGGGCGGCGGAAGTGAGGCTGGCCGAACGTGCTGCACGAGGAACCGAGAGGGGGGTGAGTCAGTGGACGGGCTTGCGGCTCTCAAGGAGCGGCGACTACGAGTTGAGAATGTCGCAAGGATGGCGAGGGTGGAAGGAAGGACGAGAGGGCGCGAGCGAGAGGTGAGCACGCACAGGTAGAGAAAGACGCCGTCGGGCTTGAGCACGCGCACAACCTCGTCGACCTCGGCTCGACAATCGGCGACTGCTTCGGGTGGAGGATTCTGCGGGACGTGCGTGAAGGAGAGTCAGGACGGGCTGATGGCGAGGCGTCCCGAGAGACTGAGAAGGTGGAGAGGACGTAGAGGACGCACCCACGGGTCCTTCTCGCCGGTCAACATGGCGTCGAGTGTCGCCTTGTCGATGCACACGTCGACACTCTCGCGCTCGAACGGCAGCTTGCGCACGTCGCCGACCGTCCAGGTCATGCCGTCGCAGCCCTCGTTGGCGCGCTTCATCTTGTCGATGACGACGGCCGAGTAGTCGACGTTGAAGATGTTGCGGTAGCCGTCGTCGTACATGTCGCGAGAGAGTGCTGCGGAAGGGTGACCCGGTGAGCGCTTGTCGACGAGACGAGAGCGAGGTGAGGGACGGCCGACGCACTCGAGTTGCCGCACCCGAGCATGACGATGCGGGCCGCCTGGTCCGGGATGAACCTCCGGAAGAGGCGACGAACCTCCTCGTCCTTGTACTGCTTGCACCAGTCGAACGAGGCGCCGTCCTCCTCCCTGCACACGACCGAGAGGGTCAGCCCACTTGTACTGGCTGCGAGACGGTGCGAGGGTCGAGATGGACGAGCTCACTGGGCGTAGCGCGCGTCCCAGTACTCCTGGGTGCCGTACTCGGCGTTGCTCTGCTCGACGGGGCGAGTTAGCGGGCGCGAGGCGGCGAGGTTCGAGTCTGAGAGGACGACGAGGCTCACCTTGGGCAAGAGGTCCATGGCGGTTGGCCGCGCGGGTAGAAAGATGCAGCAGGGTCTCGAGATCAATTCTAGCGAGTGAACGAGTGCGTCTGAGCGAGTCGACGAGATGAGCGTGTGCGGACAGACGACGACGAGCAAGCGAGACGGGGCGGGTCCTCGCTCCCTCCTCCTACGCCCCGCTCGACTCGCGACAGTCCAGCACAGCGCGTGTCCTGCAGCCATGGACAGCCCCGACCCGCCTGCGCACCTCGCGCACGCCGAGTCGGCCTCGCACGAGCTCCGCCGTCGCCATCTCTCCACGTCGCACAGCACCGCTCCCGCCTCTCCGGCTGCACCGGCAAGCGACTCGCATGCTCCAGTCACCAACAACGCAGATGACGGCCCATACGGCAAGACCCCCGACGGCACCGGTGAGCTCCCTCTGCTCCCCCCACCTTGCCCTCGCCCGCGTCCTCGGCTAATCCCCTCGCCGTCCCCCCTACGCGATGCACAGTCTTCAAGATCCCGCAGACGCACAACATGCTCTCGAGCCTGTTCGACCCGCGCTTCCCCAAGTCGGTCCGTCACCCTCTCCCTTTCCACCACCTCCCTTCTCCCGGCCGGGCCGCTCCGAGGTCAATTCGCGCAGCCTTGCCGCCTCGCGCAGCCACCAGTCCCCGAGCTGACCTTTCTTGGGACGTCACCGCCGTTCCTCTGTCCCGCAGAACATCGACCTCTTGACCCTGTTCCTCCTCGGCTCGCAACTCGTCCTCTTCTTCATCCTGTCGCGCCCGGCGTCGCGCATCTTCTTCGGCCTGTACTTTGCCCTGTGGCGCTCCGCGTACGACGCCGGACTCGGCTACGTCCTGCGCCGCCAGAGCGAGCACCGCTGGATCGTCAAGACGGTCAAGCGCGAGGGCTGGTTCGACCTCGACAAGAAGCCCAAGGTCGCCAAGTGGGTCCGCAGCGAGCTCCGCAAGAAGATGGGCTCCGACTACGATCCAGAGGTGCGTCTCTGCTCCCTGACCAGTGTCGTTCGGGAGCCACAGTCGCTCACCTTGCCCCGCCGCCTGCAGAATGTCCCGCTCGAGTTCAACGTCCGTCCCGGACTCTCCTCTCTCATCTCTCTGCGCGCGCAAGCTGACCCGAGCACTCTCTCACACACAGGTGTGGATCCTGTTCCGCCACAGCGTCGACGTCATCCTCCTCAACGACTTCCTGTCCTACGTCCTCTTCTCCCTCTCGTTCCTCACCCTCTCGGGCCCGCCGGGCCACTCGGTCTTCTTCCACGTCCTGCGCTGGGTCGGCGGCATCGTGCTCCTCCTGTTCAACCTGTGGGTCAAGACCGACGCGCACCGGATCGTCAAGGACTTTGCGTGAGTCGGCCGGTTTCTCAAAGTCGGTGCAGCGTCTCGAAGGTGTCGTTCGGGACCAGGTGCCTACATCTTTCCGAACGTGTTTGGCTCACTCTTCTCCCTCGTGTGCAGGTGGTACTGGGGCGACGCCTTCTTCCTGTCGCTGCAGAACCTCGTCTTTGACGGCGTGTTCGAGGTGCGTCCTCTTCTTCCCCTTTCTCTCTTCCTCCTCTTCCCGATCCCGTTCTGACTTGCCGTTCTCCCCGCAGTTCGCGCCGCACCCGATGTACTCGGTCGGCTACGCCGGCTACTACGGCCTGTCGCTCATCGTCGCGTCGCCGACGGTCCTCTTCGTGTCGCTCGCGGCCCACGCCGCCCAGTTCGGCTTCCTCGTATACTTCGAGACGCCCCACATCGAGCGCACGTACGGGCAGCGAAAGCCGCTCGCGGCGCGCACGCCGCTCCAGTACCCGGCCGCCGTCGCAGCCGACGAGGACGTCGACGAGGCGCCGGCGGCGGCTCGCGCGAGGGCCCTCTCAACGGCGTCGGACGCGAGCGTGCTCTCGACGCCGAGCATGACCGACGGCGCGTCGACTACGACGACCGACGCCCAGGACCAGGACGACACCGAGGACGAGGCGCCGACGCCGTCGGCGGCCCGCACGACCCTCGGTGTCGACTCGCAGCAGCAGAAGAAGGCGCGCTCGCTCTCGACGACGAGCTCCGTCTTCTCGTCGATGACGCAGACGCAGGGCGCCAAGGTCCAGCAGCACGACAACGTGCCCGTCGCGACGAGGCACGACCTCGACAACAAGTACTTCCACAAGGACCTGCTCGTCTTCAAGAACTTTGACCTCTTCCGGTACGTCCCCTCTCTCTTCCTCTTTCTCTCTGCCTCGTCGTCCCGCCCTGACGCTCCTCGCCGCCACAGCGCTCGCGACTTTACCACCCTCCTCGTCCTCGTCTACGCCCTCGTCCCCTCGTTCCTCCCCTCGCTCTCGCGCACGTCGCAGATCGCGCTCCTGTTCGTGCACGCGCTCGTGTGGCGCGCCTTTCACACCGTCGCGCTCGGCGTCGCGCTCAAGAAGCAGAGCGAGCGCAAGTGGCTTGTGCGCCACTTCCTCAAGCACTACCACCACGAGCGCGAGGGCGACGCCGTCAGCGAGACGTTCGACAACTGGAAGGGCATCTACAACTTGTCGCTGTGCATGACCTACGGTGCGTCCCCCTCTCGTCGCCGGCGGCGAGCCTTCCTCGCGAACCCGAGCCCGACCCTGACTCGCCCTTCCTCCCGCCCACAGTCTCGTTCATCGCTCTCGCCTGGAAGTGCTACAGCATCCCCGCCAACTGGGGTGTCGGCGCCGTTGTCGTGCGCCACACGCTTGGCCTTGTGCGTCCCCTCCTCCCTCTCCCTCCACGACTTTCGGCACTCGACCTGACTGACTCCTTCTCTCGCCCATCCTCTCGCAGCTCCTCATCGCGCTTCATGTCTGGACCTCGATGTCGACGTACGAGGCCCTCGGTCCGTTCGGCTACTTCTACGGTCCGTCCTCGCCTCGCTCCTCGTCGACCTCTCGCGCCAGCTCTGACTCCCTCTTCCTGCCCTCAGGCGACTTCTTCATCAGCGAGTACCCGCACGAGCTCTACTACACGGGCATCTTCCGCTTCCTCAACAACCCCGAGCGGTCCATGGGCGGCGCGGCCTTCTTCGGCCTCGTGCTCCTCGCCGGCTCGAAGCTCGTCCTCGCCCAGGCCGTCATCGCCATCGTCGCTCACTGGTGGTTCCTCAGCTCGGTCGAGAAGTGCGTCCCGCTTCCCCCTCTTCCTCCTCTCGCCGGCCGTCGTCGTCGTAAACCAGAAGGCGGTCGAGCTCATCCTGTCTCTCGCCCGCGCAACAGCCCGCACATGCAGCGCCTGTACGGCAACACGCTCCGCAAGGATGCCGGCGTCACCAAGACGCTGCGCAACGCCGTTCGCCGCGTCTCGGAGCACCGCAAGGGCGACGACGCGCACAAGACGCGCCAGGACCTGCTCGACCGCATCTCGAAGAACGTGCGCGAGGTCCAGGGCACGGTCGAGAAGGTGTTTGAGGAGACGGCCGACGCCGTCGAGGAGTTCCTCAGCAAGTGTGCGTCGAGTGGTTCTCTCGCCGTGTCGGCCCTCCTCTCCTCGCGAGCAGGCGCTGACTCGACCCGTACCCCCGGACGCAGCCGCACCCGCCGTCAAGGGCTACGTCCAGGACACCAAGATCCTCCTGCAGCAGTCGGGCGAGCGCTTCGTCATCTCGCGCGTCGCCGCCCCGGCCGACCTCGCCTCGTACGACGCGACCCAGTACTCGCTCGCGCTCCGTCCCTCGGCCTTCCCGCCCCTCGTCCCGCACGCCTCGACCTCGAATGCGCCCGCCCTGCGCTACCACCTCGGCGAGCCCGTTCACGTCCAGTGGACGGCGCCGGCCAACCACTCGCGCAAGGACTGGCTCGGCGTGTACCGGTGCGAGGCCAACAAGAGCGAGCTCGTCACCAAGGTCAGCAGCCAGGGCAAGTGGCTCGGCGTGCACGACAACGAGTGGTCGGGCGACCGCTACGAGGGCTCGGACCGCCGCGACGACGGCGTCGGCGCCCCGAAGAAGGAGGACCAGCCCACCGGGTCCGTCGTCTTCAGCGGCAAGAAGCTCCCGTGGAGGACCGGCCAGTACGAGTTCCGGTGCGTCTCGCTCTCTCTCTCTCTCTCCCTTTCTACTGCGTCGCGAGCCGAGACCTGACCTCGTTGCCGCCTCTCTCGCAGGTACCACCACGACGGCAAGCACAGCGTCATGTCCATCTCGTCGCCGTTCGAGATCTTTGTCGACACGCCGTCGCCCTCGACCCAGGACGACCCGGTCGCCGTTCACGAGGCCCTGACGCACATCGTCAGCAAGACGCTCGCGCTCGACCCCGAGGCGGTCCCGGCGTCGGCTCTGCCGCTCGTCGAGGCGGCTCGCGCCCATGCTCAAGCCGGCGCGCTCGGCCCGTCGCTCGCGAGCGCAACGTCGAGCTCGTCGCACGGTGTCGGAGTCGGCGCCGTGTCGGGCAAGGGGAAGGGCAAGGCGGCGGCGTCGTCGTCGTCGTCGGACCAGGCGGCGCTCGATCCCGACTCGGGCCCGGCGAGCCCGACGCTCTCGACGTCGGCGGCATCGTCGGCGTCGGCCCTCGCGAGTGGCGCCGTGTCGCCGGCCCTGTCGAGCCGCGCCGTGCCGCTGTCGGACCCGGACGACTTTGTCCTGTACTCGCTCGACGAGGCGGCGCACATCGCGTACGCGATCCACGTCGCGTTCGGGGTCGAGCTCGACAAGGAGGTCGTGCTCGCGGCGGCCAACGTCAAGAAGCTCGCGACGAGGGTCGCCGAGGCGAGAAAAGTGCTCGGGCTCAAGCCGGGCGAGGCGGGCACGGGCATGAAGGCGGACCTGCGCGTCGGCTAGACGGAGCGGCGTTGGAGCTAGACGCACCTCGGGTCGAGGAGTAGACGATTGGTGCGGCGGGCGGTGGGGCTGGCTCGGCGTCGAGGGAGGAGGGTACCCGGCCTCGCTTCAACATGCGAGGGCGGTCGGGTCGAGCGCGTGCTCTCAAAAAGGTCTCTTTTCTCGTTCTCGTTTGCGAGATCTGTGCTGCAACGTAGCCCAGGTGCCTCGCGCTCGCTCGCTGTTGGGCGCAAAGTGTGAGACGGCGGCTTTGCTCTCCGCGAGACGGCAGCCACGAGGCTTTGATCGGGTGTTCACCCGCTCGCCCGGCTCTCGCTCCTCCCCCTCGCCCTCCAGAGCTCGCCTGGTGCCATGAACCGCCTCAAGCAGTCGATCGCATCGATTCAGGCGCCGAGCCTGCCCTCGTTCGGCTCGGCCTCGCCCGACGACGACGAGCGACCGACGCGACCTCCGCTCGACGACCACCGCCTCGCGTCGCTCTCGACCCGCAAGGACGTCGCGGCCAAGCTCGCCGACACGTTCGCCCAGCACGTCCGCACCCTCGCCAAGCAGCGCACCAGCCCGCTCGCCGGCAGCGGCAACGCGACCGCCTTGCCCGCCCAGTGGGTCGGCGACGCCATGGTCGAGGCGGCCCAGGAGATCAGGGCAGGCGCGACGAGCTCGACCGAGGCCTCGTACGGTGCGTCCTCTGTCCTCCCTCTCCTCGGGCGAGCGTGCGGCGGGCGCAGTGTGCTCACCGTCCTCGACCTCCCCCCCTCCAGCCCACGTTCTCGCCTCAACCGGCGAGCTGTACCTCCAGTTCACCAAGCTCGCAACGTCGTACCACGATCAGCTCAGCACGACCTACCTCGACACGCTCGAGCGCCGCACCGACGACTTCAAGGACCTCGACAAGACGGTCAAGGAGGCCGACAAGAAGCGCTCCCTCCTCGAGGCCGTCATGACCAAGGTGCGCCCCCACTCTCACTTTCATCTATCGACGACTCTACGCAGGGAGCTGACCCGGAGCCGAATCCGCAGATGGAAAAGGGCAAGAAGGACCCGGCCGAGTACGAGCGCGACCTCGAAAACGCCGAGGACGTCTACGCCGACGAGTGCAAGCGCCTCGAGCGCAAGGCCGACCGCCTCGAAGAGGCCCTCGAGGGCGACATCGATGCGCTCAAGCAGCTCGTCGACGTCCAGCTCGAGTTTGCGCGTGGCTACGTCGCCCTGCTCGAGGACTGCCAGTCGTCCATCGGCGGCGTCTCGTCTTCGTGCGTCCCCTCGTCCCTCTTTTCAGCTCTCGCGGTCTGTCACGCACGTTCGCGAACTGACTCTACCTTATCCCGCAGTTCTGCACCTCGCGCACGCTCCTCGACTCTCCAAGCTCCGCCCTCCTCGAACCGCATGGCGCGCTCGCAGTCCGAGTCGTCCGTCCTCTCGGCGCCGACGCCCGCCTCCTCGAGCACGTCGGGCATGTTCTCGATGCTCGGCCCGAACCGCTCGCGCCGCAGCACCGTGTCGTCGCAGACGAGCGACGGCGCGGCGGTCTCGGCATCCGGCGCGGCCGGCGAGGCGGCCAAGAACCGCAGCCGCAGCGGGAGCATGCTCGAGCGGTTCGCGCTCGGCAAGAACAAGAAGAAGGACGTGTCGCCTGCCGAGACGCCGACGGCCGAGGAGCCGGACGACGAGCCGGCGGCACCGCACCGCAGCAGCGGCGCGAGCGGCGCGAGCTCGCCAACCCGGAGCCGCAACGCGCCGTCGATGCCCAGCATCGGCTCGTTCAAGAAGCTGTCGCTGTCGGGCGTCGGCTCGGGCAAGTACGGCTCGCTCGGCGAGGACGATGCCGAGCCCGTCGCGACGACCTCGCCCACGAGCTCGACCGCGTCGTTCGCCTCTCGGCGCGTCCCGCCCGTGCTCCGCCGCGCCGAGACGGCGCCCGCGTCGCCCGTGCCCTCGCCGCGTCGCGCCGTGCCGCCTTTGCCGCCGTCGCGCGGCCCCGTCGGCAAGACGTTCCGTGCCCAGTGGGCGTACGTCCCGGCGGCGTCGTCGGCGGGTCACGGGACCGACGACGAGAGCGAGGACGAGCTCAAGCTCGAGAAGGGCGACATCGTGCGCGTCGAGCACGAGCGCACGGCGGACTGGTGGGTCGGACGGATCGTCGGCGGCGGGTCGGGCGTCGAGCGGGGCCGGGGCAGGAGGGGCATGTTTCCGAGCGCGTACGTCGTGCCGCACGTGCTCCCTCTCGACGACGAGGAGCCGAGGGGGCAGCAGGGCGCGAGCGCGCGCGACAGCGAGCGGTGGACGACGTTCTCGTCCTCGTCGACGCGCGAGGGCAGCGAGTACCACGGCCACTCGACCGAGGACTCGGACACGGCGGATGACGACGACGAGGAGGGCGAGCAGGGCCTGCTGGACAGGCCCGGCGCGTCGTACTCGCCGTTCGGCGACGACGACGGCGCCGCACGAGCCCCGCCTCCTCGGCGGACCGTCCCAGCGCCGTCGCTCCCGCCTCGTGGGCAGGGTAGCAGCCCTTTCGCGCGGGACGACGTGTCGCACGTGTGGGCGAGCGGGCAGACGAGCAGGCGGGCTTAGAGCTGGAGAACGAGAGGGGCTTGAGCGGATTTTTCTCTTTCTCGCTGGGGCTGTACAAGGGGTCTCCTCTTCTCATTGCAGTGCGACACGATCGCGATCGAGGGGCCTGCGCTTCTGGTCGAAGGAGAGAGTGCGCGAGCCGTTCGATATCGCAAGCCTCGAACATTGGCGACGCGAGGGAAGAGAGAAAGAGAACGAGGCTTGCGCCGCCCACAGGAGCCAGCGCTCTCGCTCTCGCTCAGGACACGCTCGAATACGCTTACGGAGAGAGCTCGACAGCGAACGAGCACGCAGGGAGAGCTCGATCTCGCCTGAGCGCTGAGCCGCGCTTTCGAAACGCGGTGTGTTGCTTTTCGCGGGCTCGTCCTCCTCGAGGTTCGGGTGCAGCGGCAACATGTTCGCGTCAAACCGCACCTCCCTGGGAGAGACTATCACGTCCCTTGACGAGCGCGACCCCGTGCGGCGACCAGCTCTCCTTCCTCTCCACCTGCGCGCGCAAGGTCAGAGCCTCGTGCGAGCATGCTGCAGCGCCGACGCGGGTCTCGCCGAGCACTGAAAAGCACAGCTTGCGACCTCGAGCGCGATTCAAGCTGCAAGTTCCAGCGAGAGACGCCCGCCGAGAGCTGATGCTGCCGGTCGAGGCTCGAGCGTCGTTCCGCTCCGGGTGCGGCTCCTGCCAACGCGCGCGGCATGTGCGTGAAGCGACGGCCGCCAGCGCATTCGAGCCGACGGACCCGCACACGCTCAAAGGGAGAGTACGCGCACGAAAGAGCCAACGGGAAGAGCTTGCGCGACGACCTCGGACTTGGGAAGGCGCAAGGCGAGCAGCTCAACTCTCGCTGAACACGACGGAATAGCTCAGGACTGGCGCTCAATTGCACCGCAGACACCTCCTTGTTCGATCCATCGCAAGCAGAAGACCGTAGCCCCTCTAGATCAAGAGATAGCGTTTGAGCGAGGGTGCGCAGGATCCCCCTGTTTTTAGTAGGTGGCCGGGCGCACGGGCACTCCACAGGGGTGCGCACCGTGCGAGCGGCTCACCGCAGTGCGCCCGCTGCCCTCAGGGGCACGAGAGGGCGGGCGCGGCCTCGTAAAGACTCGTCCTCGACGGCTCGGCTCGCTCGGCCGCCGGAACGAGTACGACGACGACACACGGACATGGGACAGTCAGGACTCGCTCTCGAGGTACGAGATGGCTTTCGAGCAGTTGGAGGCGCCATCGCGGGCGAAGGCAGCGCGAGTGGGAGAAGGGGAGGTGCCATCGTGGGCTCGACTAATCTGCGGCGCGAGGGCGAAGAAGGTCAGGGCGGCGCTCGACGAGGAGAGTAGACCTACGGGCAGGTGCTGGCGTAGAGGAGAGGAGTGAAGGACGCACAAGGATCTGGATGTGCCCGCTCAAGGTTCGAGAGCCGTCCTGCGTGGCCCGTTGCGCACGGCCCGCCCTTTGCGCGCGCCCGATCCATCTGCAGGGGGTCGTTCATAGTCAGTAACACGTCTGCATGCCTCGCACGAGGGCGGGGAGTGCGAGGGAAAGGCCGCGAGGGTGACCAAAAACGGCGAGGCTGGGGAGACGAGGACGCGCCGCACTCCGAGACCCGTGCAGCCCATCTGCCCTAGCCCAGACGCCTCTTGCCACCTCCGTACACCCCCATAGCGCAACCCCACAGTCCCGCGAGTCGTTGTCGACCGTCGAGAGGTTCCGACGACGCGAGTCGCTGATGAAGATGCGGCGCGCTGTACGCGGTCGGCGAGCGCTTGCGGCGGGGCGGGAGTAGCCGGAGGTCGTCGTCGTGATGTGCAGCAGTGCATGCGAGCCAGCTCGAGCGAGCCCAGTTGTGTGGGTCGGGCTGTGAGGCGGGCGTGCGAGGGAGCGGCCACTTCGAGCACACAAGCTTTCGCCTCGCGCCCCTCTCAGGCTTGCCTGCGCCGGCCCGAGCTCTCTGTCTGCTCCTCTCTGCGTTTCGAGAGAACCGAGTACCTTGCGCGTCGAGCGGGAGCTACGGGGAGTGTCTGTCTGTCCAAGGCGCGAGGAATGAGTGCGAGGGAGGAAGGGGGAGGTCGGATCAACCGAGGGTGAGGGGATGATGAGAGAGTCCTACGACAATGAGGGGGGTACGAGGGCGGATTACGAGAGTCGAGAGGTGCGAAGGGGACGAAAGATGAGGGAGGGAGGCGATGCGGAGGATAAGTTAAGGGTGCTGGTGCGGGTCCGAGAGGGGCGAACGAGGTATCGCGTGAGAGATGGACGAGAGGGAAGAACGATGTGTAGGGGATACGGGAAGGAAGTGAAAGGCGAAGGTGTGAGGGCGACAGGGGAAAGGGAGGTTGTCGAGGTGATTATGCGAGGAGCGCGACGCCGAATGCTGCGGCGCACAGACCTGCGGCGGCGCGCGCGAAATGCCCGGACGCCGTGTTGGTCTGCCCTGCTGCACTCGGCGCCGCTGCGGACGACGACGCCGGTGCGGAAGGCGTCGCGACCGCCGAGCTGACGACCGTCTGGCCGACGGACGAGGTGACGGCGACCGAGTCGGCGCCGGTCGAGCTGGCCCGCACGCTCGTCGAGATGACCGAGGCGGACGAGGTGGACGGTACGGCGGCCGAGGTGGACGAGGCGGGTGTCGAGGAGGAGGAGGATGGGGTCGCAGCGCCGGCGGCGGTCGGCGACGGCACCTTGCCCGTGTACTTGGTGCTCGCGTCGTAGTTGGTGCTCGTCGGCGCCGGGATGGCGACGATCGAGGCCGACGTGCCGCGCGGGATGTCGGCCGACGCGACGGCGGACGGCGACGAGGCGTTGTAGGGCGCGATCGTGATGGCGTCGGTGTAGCCGGCGAGCGACCCGTCCGAGAGCGACTGGACCGCGATCGTGTCTGTGCGAGACGAGTGAGTCAGTTGCGGGACCTCGAGGCGAACGAGAGAGGCGAGGTAGGGCTGAAGGACGCACAGTTCTCCATCTGCTCCCAGTCCTGCGGGACGACAAACTCGACGCGCCCACACTCGTGACCGGGCGCGAGGACGCCTTGTCCGTAGCCGCTATCGCAGTAGCCCTCTTGCGAGGTGCCCGGCGTGCTGGCGAGGATCGTGTAGGTCGGCCCGCCGATGTTGCTCACGAGCGAGACCGAGACGTCACCCGCCGGCGGACCGAGCCAGTTGACGGCGACGTGCGCGCCGATGGGCCAGGTGACGACGCACTGTCGCAGGAAAAGGACTGCGTGAGCTCGTGCCTGTGCGGCGAGGAGGGAGGACGGGCGCAGGGACGCACTCGGTAGAACCCGCAAGCCGGCTCGGTGACGCTGTTAGGGAGGACGGGTCAGTGACGGCTCGCGCATGCATGGTGGGCGTGATGGTGCTGCGAGGGACGTCGCTCGTCCCTGGCTCGAAGGCAGGCCTCGCCTCCTTTGATCGCGCCTGGCCAACCCACGCGTCGACCCGCGCGCGCATCGCGCTCATCGCCGGCTTGTTGCGCCTCGCCCGCCGCACAGCCCAGGAGGGAGAGAGACGAGGGACGCACTAGAGGGTCTTGCCTGTGCGGGAGAGGATCCGTGGGTCAGCGAGGAGGCTCGAGAGATGTGGGGGAAGAACGAGGGCGAGCTCTGATGAGGACGACGGAGAGGAGGAACGAGGCGGCTCACCGGTCGGGTCGTCCGGGTTGCTCTCTGCTGCGAGCTTCTTGGCCTTGTGTGCCGCACTCGACGAGGCCCCGAGGGCGAGGGGCGACAGGGCGAGGGCCGTGAGGGCTGAATGTGCGGCGAGGGAGCGGACGCGCATCGTGCGCCGCCGGGGACGAGGGGAGGGCGCGGCGGGTGTGGAACGAGTGACTGGGGACTGAAAGGAGCGACGTAGGGTGCGCAGGGGCGCACAGAGCGAGCGAAGCGAGCGTGGGTGAGGGGGAAGAAGGAGGGGGAGGAGGAGGAGCGCGACCATGCGGGGATTCGGCCAAGTCGCCGACGAGAGCGAGGGGCTCGACCGCCGACAGCTCGCGCTCGCTTCCCACGCGAGCTGCACATGCTGGTCACGGCGCACACGAGCCGCCGAAGAGAGCGGACGACTCGGAGGCAGCTCACTTTCTCTCGCGGAACGACGAACGATGCGAGGAGAGGAGAGGGTGAACGAGCCAGAGTTGCGCACTGCAGGCACGGCCGAACTGCCTTCGCGAAAGCACTGCTTCTACTGGTACCCGCCGCCGCCATCGAGACCGTCTCCCGCTCCCGGACCTCCTCGACTCGAGCGCCGTCCTGCGTGCTGCGCCGCCGTCTCGGCCGCGATCCTCGCCGCCTGCTGCATCTCGAGCTTGCGCGTCGTCTTGCCCTTGCGGTCGTGCGTCCGGCGGTGCTGCGCGAGGTTGTCGGACCGCGAGAAGAAGCGCCCGCAGCCGGGCACGTCGCAGCAGAACGGCTTCTCGTCCGTGTGGGTGCGCTCGTGCCGCTTGAGGTGCTCGAGGCGCCGGAACGCCTTGCCGCAGCCCTCGACGGTGCACGCGTGCGCCTTGATCGACTGTGGCGGGCTGTCCGGGTCGAGTGACGGGTCGCTCGACGGCGGCGGCGGCGGCATGCGGTACTGCGGGTGGATCGCCTGGACGGCGGGCCCGCCTGCCGACGCGGCGTACTCGGCGAGGGGCGCGAGAGGCTGCGACGGGCCGGGCAGGCGCGACAGGAGGCGATTCATCGACGCCGCCGAGACGAGCGCGGCCTGCGCGCTGCTGAACCCGGCGCTCGAGCCGCCCGACGAGCGTCGTCGCGGGCTCCTGCCGCGGTACCCGGGCGCGCCGGACCCGTACACGCTCTGCTGCGACGGGAGCGGCGCGGCGGGCGAGACGGGCGACTGGAGCTGCGAGGCGTAGCCCGTCGACGACGACGACGCGACCGACGCCGACTGGTACGGGTGGGCGTGCGCCGAGTAGTGCCCGTGCTCGAACTGCTGCGGCGACGCGTACTGGACCCGGACGGGCGACGGCGAGAGCGGCTCGGGCGCCGGGATCGCAAAGACGGGCTGCGTCCTCCTCGACCCGGACGACTCGAGGCGCGAGTGGATGGTGCGCCCGACCGACATCGGGTGCGGCAACGACGCCGAGTAGGTCATCTCGGCCGACTGTGCCTCGTAGTCCGGGTACGGCTGGAACGGGCCCTGCGCAATCGGCGCCGTGAACGGGACGTTGAGCGGCGAGGCGACTCGGCTGATCGGGCGGTACCCGAACGGCGACAGCGTCGGCTCGGTGCGGGCAGCCTGCAGCTGGCGAGGCGTCGAGTACTGCGGCGGCGGCGGCGGGACGACAGGCGACGAGGGAAGGGTGAACGTCGGGAGGGTCCGTGCGGATGTGGTCGGCGGCGGCGGCGGCGTGTGGTAGCACGAGATCGGGACGGCCGACTCGACCGACGCGTACGGCTCCCACTGCGCGAACGAGCCTTGAAGCCCGGGCGACGGGTGGTCGTACGGGCCGTCGGTCGGCACCGAGCTGGGTCGGGCGAGGGGCAGGCTCGACGACGAGCCGTACGCGAGCGCGAGCTCGTCGGCCGTCAGGACCGCGTCGGCCGTCGACGGGCGCTTGTGGTGCCCTCGACGAGGACGGGGCGGCGTGCCCGGGGCGGGCGAGCGAGGCGTGACGGGCTCGACGCACGCGCGCTTGCCGCCCGACCTGGGCGTCCACGCGAACGGCGCCGCGACCTCGATGTACTGCGCCGTCTCGTCGCCGTCGTCGTTCCACGAACGCTTCGACGCACTGGACGGCGTCGCGCGGCGGCGATGGACCTGGGCGTGTGCGACGAGCTCGTCGGCGAGCGCAAAGGCCTCCTCGCACCCGCCGAGGAAGCACTGGAACAGGCAGTCGCCGTCGTGCGCCCGCAGGTGGTAGTCGTACTGCTCGGCCGTCTCGGCGGACCAGCCGCACAGGGTACAGGTGAACGTCGAAGGGCGAACGCCGCGAGCGTGCGAGTGCGGGTGCGGCTGCTGCTGCGAGACGGGCGTCGGGTGCTGGGCGGGCAGGGTGAAGGTGGCCGAGCTGACCGACAGGGGCGTCGTCGTGGTCGAGTATGCCGAGTCGAGGGCGGGCGCGACGTAGCCGAACGTGTCGTCGATGCCGTACGAGGACGACGTCGAGCCAAAGTTGCGGAACTCGGCAAAGTCGATGGCGCCCTCGAGCGTCGACGACCCGGTGACCGAGTGCATCGAGTTGACCGACGAACGAGGCTCGGGCACGTTGTGCATGTACCGAGGGCGAGAGGACGAGGAGGAAGAGGGCGAGGAAACGACGGGCGACAGGTGGGCGTGGACCGGTGACGACGAGAACGCGCCCGAGACGTATCGCGCTGGCTCAGGAAGGAGGTAGTCGTCGCTCGAGAGGTCTGTGGCAGGCGGGGACGAGACGGTGAGCAAGTTGCGCCTCGAGAAGCGACGATCGCCCTCGCACGGACGCCCTCGCCGTGCACGAGAGAGAGAGAGGGGCCGCACCTTGCGAGTAGTCGTTGATCGACGGGTCTCGGTACTTGCGCGACGAGCTGGCAAAGGCGCCTCGAGGAGCGATCGTCGCCCCGGCCGGTGCGAAGGCGAACGAGGTCGACATGCAGTCGCGAGAGAAGGTCGACGAGCGACTCGAGGTGTTGCGGGTCGGCGTCGACGCTCGGCGAGATGATCTGCTCGGGGAGGGAGGAGGGTCAGCTGCAATGCTCGATGTCGCTAGATGAACGCGCGCTCGGCCAAAGCCCCACACTCACACTTGCGGAGGAGGACGAGGAGGAACAGGAGGCGCCGGGGAGACGAGCCGACTTGGACGCGAGGCGTCGAGAGGCGGTGGCGAACGACGTCTGGGCGTAGAATGCGCTGCCGGCGACCCGAAGGAAAGACGTCGGCGGGGGACGAGGGTGGCCTTCCCCGACGGGATCAAGGGACGAGGGACGGGAGCAGAGCTGGCTCGGACCTGGCGGTCTCAGGGCCGCACTCGACGGGCGCGCGGTAGACGCTGGGCCTCGAGCGGTGTTCGAGCTCGACGGCGAGCGCAGGCTCGCGACGGCAGAGCGGGAGGAGGGCGAGGGAGGAGGGGAGAAAGTGAGGGCGAACGACGCGAGCGCTCGGGCGACGAGGGGTTGGCTCTGGCCCGGGGCCGCGTTGCGCCAGCTCATGAAGGCCTTCGTCAGGCACGGCCAGTGGGCCGCATCCACCGACGCCACGACCTGGAGGAGATCTGCGCTTGAGAGAAAAGCGAGGCCTCGGAGCGTCGCTCGGACCCCGGTCGACCTTCCCAAACCAGGAGGCGAATCGGTGGGGACGCCTTTGTGGAGGCCTGGTCGGCCACTGGGGACGAGCCCGAGCGACCGCGAGCACTTGCTCATGCAGCCGGGCAGCCGGACAGTCCGTCACTCGCGGACGAGCGCGCGGTGAGGCCGGTGAGGCCGCCGGCACAAAGGGCCCGTGCGGCTCACCTCGTCGTCGTCGAGGCAGCTCGAACCCGTTCTTCTTGCCCAGGAACCGTCGACGACACTCGAGAGTCGAGCTGCATCAAGGCCGTCTCATTTCCGCACCTTTGCCGTGTCCCTCGCGCGCTACAATCGAGCGGTCCACGGACCTCCGGACCAGACTACAGGCTCCGGTGCGGCCGGCAGCTTGCTCTTACGGGCTCGAGTGCAGAGAGGATCCACGACCGGTCCACGGTCGCCGGACGGGGACCTCGACCGAGTCGTTGCTCCGTCCTCCGCTTTTTTAATTCGACGCTGAGCTTCTCGCTCTCGCCTCTTCCGGCGAGAGTGTCCTCCCACGCGACAGAGCGGACCTTGCCGCAACTTCGTCACACCGTCGCTGTGGCTTGCGGGGTCGGACTCTGCTCGTCAGTGCTTCCCTTTGACCGCTCTCTCTCGCGAAGCCCCTGTCCGCCTCGCTGCTCGCCGACGCTGCTCGGCGGCGTCGGCGTCGTGACCGTCGTGCTTCTCTCGCAATCTGTCGTCGGGTCAAGCTCAAGCTCCGACGTTCGAGATCCGTCGAGACTCGAGGAAAGCCGATCGACACTCGCTGGCGGAGAAGAGCTCGTCGGGCGAGTTTTCGACGCCCGGACCTCGTGCTCGCGCTCTCGATTGCACCTTGTTGGCCCGCTGCGCTAGCGAGAAGGTCCATCTCTTTAGCGCCCGCACCGAGACGCAGATCTCTTGCTCCTGCTGCGGACGCTGCTCCACGCGGAACCGTCCGTCGCACGACGAGGTTGGACCGTCCGGCCGAGTCGTGCACGGACTCTGAGTCGGGCTCCGAGAAGACGGTTCGACGCCGACGGCTTGCGCTCCGTGCTGTGCGCTGCGCGTCTCGCACCGCGGGCCGAACGTTGACGAGGCGCGCGACGCAAGCTCTGGCGAGCGGGGAGAGGCCGACGAGCGACGAGAGCTTGCAATGGAAGCGCTGGGCCCTCACGAGCTGCTCCGATTGGCCGCACACCAGTCGAGATACGAATCTCGCAGAGGGCGCCGTACCGTACGTCCGGCGCACGGTCCTCTCCCGCTTCCGCTCTCGCTCGCTCGGCGGCTCTGCTACGCTTTCTTCGGACCGCGCTCGCCCGTGCATCGAACGACCTGCAGGACGAGAGAGCCACCCTTTCTCGCTAGCTTTCCTGCGCGAACGTGAACGGGATTCCGCTCTCGTCCTTCGCAGCTCGCGCCGGACCCACAGTACTCAGTGCTCTCCCTGACTGCGACGGCGCCAGCCCTCTCGAGGCAGGGACCACGGTGCACCCCTTGAGCGGCGACGTCGCAGGCGAGCAGGCTCTCGCAGTGGAAAGGGAGAGCTCGAGAGAGGGCCGCCAAGTCTCAGACCATGTCTCTCTCGCACTTCGAAAGAGGCGGGCCGACGGGTCTGCCGGGAGCTGGGGTCAAGCTTTGAATCTCGCGGCAAAGGCCGCGGCGAGTCGGGCGAAGAGATCTAGAGAGCGAGAGCGGTGGTCGGTCAGAGCGGGCGGGGTTTGGTTTGGAGGCAAAGTCGACGAGCCGAGCGGACACGAGCGAGGCAGGAGGAGCCGCCTGGGGCGACAGTGCCCCACTTTCGCGCCAGAGCGAGGGCAAGAGGGCGCTCGGTCGCAGCGGCCCTGAGGAGAGCAGGAGCGAGGGGAGCTTGAGCGGCGACGGCCCGACGAGGCGGGCCAGCTGCACGCCGAGACGCAATACAGCGAGTGCGCTCGAGTGAGGGCCGCATGGCCGCAGAAGCAAGGCCCAGGCGGACGTAGGCCGCGAGCAGGCAGAACTCGTCGGGCCTCTCGAGAAGGTCGACTTGAGCCCGAGCCGCTCGACCCGGTCTCGACGCGCCGTGTCAGGGCGACGAGGAGCGGTAGACACTCGACAGGATGCGCTGTATCGAGCGGGAGCTGCCGAAGGGAAAGTGTGGGACGGCTGACGAGGGACGAGAAGAGGACGGTGCGAGAACAGGTTCGAGTTGCGGCACTCGGACGGGTACGGCTGCAGGTGCTAAAGCGTCAGTACGCAGGTCGAACGAGGTTCAGAGAGAGAGAGAGGTGAGAGAGAGGGGCGCACATAAAGATGCCCTCGCGGTCTAGTTGGAGATGCCCCACTGGGCGCGGTACTGCTCCATCGCCTTCATCTCGTCGAGCTTGCCCTTGTCGCCGAGCCAGGCGACAATGTCGCGCATCTTGACGACGCTCGTCACCTTGACACCGAGCTCCTGCTCGACCTCCTGGACCGTCGACAGGGTGCCGGCGCCGCGCTCCTCGCGGTCGAGCGCCTCGACGATGCCGGCCGTCTTGCCGCCCTCGGCCTCGACAATCTTGTGCGCCTCGCGGATGGCGGTCCCGGCCGTGATGACGTCGTCGACGATGAGGACGCGCTCGCCCTTGAGCGGCGCGCCGACGATGGAGCCGCCCTCGCCGTGGTCCTTCTTCTCCTTGCGGTTGTAGCTGTAGCCGATGTCGCGGCCGCGACGGGCGAGCTCGGTCGCGATGGCGGCGACGAGCGGGATGCCCTTGTACGCCGGGCCGAACAGGACGCGCGGCGTGTCGGGGCTCGCGGTCGGCTGGCCGAGGTCCGGGTAGGAGTCGAGGATGGCGTCGGCAAAGGCGGACGAGAGCGAGAGGAGGAGGGCGCCCGAGTTGAACAGGCCAAAGTTGAAGAAGTAGGGCGACTGGCGGCCCGACTTGAGGGTGAAGGTGCCGAAGCGGAGGATGGGCTGCTCGGCGGAGAGGGCCGTCTCGATGATGGCGGCAGCGTACGGCGTGGCGGACATGTCGGCGGTGGTGCTCGTGGCTTGCAGGGCTGTCGCACGGTCGTGCAAGGTCGGCAGCGGCAGTGGTCAGTGAGAGGTCGCGGCGGACTGATGAGGAGGTGAAGAACGGACTGATGAGGAGGTGAAGAGGGAGAGGAGGCTCACCGAAGAGGGTGACGCTCGAGAGGGGAGTGCGGGCGCGGTAGGGCTGGCTCAGTGCAGCTAGAGTCTTTTCAGGCGAGCAGAGAGGCTCCTGGTGGTGCGACGAGAGCGGGTGGAGCGAAAGCCCGACTTCATCTCTTCCTCGTCCTCCTCCTCCAGCTCTCTCCCACCCACACCAACTAGGCCAGACCTTTGCCGAGTCCAACCATGGCCATCCGCCTGCGCCTCTCCCGCCACGCCCTCACGCGCAACAACCCCTCGTACTCGCTCGTCGCGACCCGCTCCTCGTCCCGTCCGACCGCCCAGCCCCTCGAGCACCTCGGCGACTACTCGCCCGTGCCCGTCGTCCAGCCCTCCCCCTCGCGCTCCCCGAACGGCCGCGTCCGCCCCGCACACGAGTGGGGCGCGAGCCAGTTTGCGCCGCGCTCCGGCCACGCCCAGGTCGGCGTAAAGCAGTGCACCTGGAACCTCGACCGCGTGCGCTTCTGGTTGAGCCAGGGCGCCATCCCTTCAAAGTCGGTCGAGCGCCTCCTCGTCCAGGCCGGCGTCCTCGGTGCGTCCCTCCCTTCCCTCTCTCTCTCTCTCCCTCCCTCGAGGTCCGCGCCGCTCACCCTCTTTCCCCGCGGCGCCCATAGACACCAACCCGAGGCCAGCACAAACCGGAACCGGCCTCGTCGTGTCGCGGCAACGGCGCATCAACGAGGCCGTGCGCGCCGCCGAGAAGGAGCGTGGCGAGGTGCCCGCCGCTCAGCGATGAGCAGGGGCGTGGGCGAGCGGCGGCGGGGCTCGACAGCAGGAGCGCATGCGCACGATGTAGAAGGAGAGCGAGTCGAGCTGTATCGATAGCGTGTCACCCACCCTTGCGAGCGTTGCCTTCTCTCGAGAGCCCTCTCTTCGCAAAACGCCGCCTCTCCTTCTCTCTGTCCGTCGAACGAGCGAGCGAGCGAGACAAGGGCAGGGCAACGCAAGTTCGAGTTTCAGGAAACGAGGCGGGTCAAAGCTACACAAAAAGGCGCGGACGTTTTTTTAGTACCGGCGCTCGCTCCTCGACCCGCGGTCGTCGTACGACCGGCGCGGCTCGTCGCTGCGCATCGGCATGGCGTACGTGCCACGGTCGCGGTCGTCGCGACGGTAGTCGTCGCGCCCGCCGCCACGGCCGCCATAGTCGTCGCGCGAGCGGTAGTCGTCGCGCGGCGCGCGGTAGTCGCGGTCGTCGCGCCCGCCGCCGTACCCGCCGCCACCGCCGCGGTCGTCGCGGTAGCCGCCGCCTCCGCCGCCGCGAGGGGCGTAGCGAGGGTCGTACGGGCGGTCGCCGTAGCCGCCGCCGCCGTACCCACCGCCGCCGGGAGGGCCGTCGACTGAGCGAGGGGGAACGAGGGCGGGGGTTGGAGTGCGAGGGGGGAGAGGGAGAGAGGGAGCGAGACGACGGGGACGTAGGACGAGGGGGAGGGACACGAGAGAGGAAGGGAAGGAGCGAGTCGAGGCAGGTCGGCGTCGGCGCGAGAGGGGCGAGGATGGCCGAGGACGCAGGTCGACGAGGGACGAGGCAAGGAGGAAGGGCAGGGAGGAGGGAGGGGGAGAAAGAGGTCAGGTCGACGATACCGAGAGCGAGAGAGAGAGGAGAGAAAAGCAGGGACGCACAGCGCTTGGGCGGGCCGTGGTACTGGCCGGGCGTGGGCGTCCTCGCGCGCCCGCGACGCGCCTTCTCGATGTTCATCGTGCGGCCCATGAACTCGGTCGCGCTGAGGGCGCTGATGGCCGCCTCGGCGTCCTCGACGTTGTCCATCGTGACGAACGCGAACCCGCGCGACTCCTTGGTGTGCGGGTCGCGCATGACCTGGCACTTCTGGATCTGTGGACGGGGCCGGCGAGAGTCAGTGCGAGTGGACGAGAGAGGGAGAGAGGGAGAGAGGGACGCACGCGGCCGTGCTTGGAGAAGAGCTCCTCGAGGTCGCGCTCCTCGACGCGCAGGCTCAGGCCCGACACGTGCAGGTTGTTGCCCGGGTTGTCGCCGCCACCGGGGCCGCGGTTGTCCGAGCTGCGCGCACGCACGGGAGCGAGTCAGCCACGACGAGGGTTGCGAGAGAGCGCGAGGGAGGGGACGGACCGGCCACGGTCGTCGCGACGGTCGTCACGGCGGTCGTCACGACGGTGGTCATCGCGGCGGTCCTGCTGCGGCTGCTGGTCGACGACGCCACGCATGGGCGAGCGCGAGCGCGAGCGGGCACGGTTGTCGCGGCGGGGCGAGGGCGAGCGCTGCGGGGCGCGGTCGTCGCCGTCGAGCTTGGCGCCCTCGGGCTGCTGCTGCTGCTGCTGCTGCCAGTCTGTCGGAAGGTGGGAGAGTCGAGTAAGTCGGGTGGTTCGGGGGGTCGCGGTGGTGTGCCGGGGCGGGCGTTAGTCGTGCTGCTGAGGCTGAGGCTGAGGCCGAGGCTGGGACGGATGAGGGCGATGACGGGGCGACGACGAGGGCGAGGCCGCTCTGTGCTGGACGCTCGAGTCGATGCTGGACCGCCGCGACGCCCGCTGCTCCATCTAGAGACGCTCGCCGGGGCAGATGAAGGCTCGCCGGGCTCTCGCCGGTCGACGCTCGAGTGCAGGTGGGCGAGGGCAGGCCGAGTCGTGGGGTCGCGGGAGGACCGTGAGTCGCCCTTTGAGCTCGTCACGAGGCGTGTGGGGCGAGGTGACGGGGGACGAGGTGGGAGCAGGGGCGAGGAGGAGACGGGGCGGCGCAGCGCCGTGGGCGGGGCGCACGGGTGGGCTCGGCGGGCAGGTCGGGTGCGGGAGTGCTGCACGGACCTTGGTCTGCCATCTTTGCTGTCGAGGCTCGGGTGGTGAGGAAGCGAGGGGGAGCGGGCCTCTCTGTCCTCGCGGAGCAGCCGCTCTGACTGCCGTCACGCTCTCGTTTCGCGCTCAGTTGGGCTGTCGCTTCGTGTGCTCGACAATCTACACACTCTCGACCGCCGGCGAGGAGAACAAGCGTGAAAGGAGCGGGTGTCGAGCGTGCGAACCGCTCTTTGAGGGTCGAACGGCTCATTGCGAGCCCACGACAGCGCCCGGGCTGCGCGCTCCGCTCGCCAGCCGTCGCCAAGCCTCGCCACGGCAGTTGTGAGCAGAAAGCGTCTGGAAAGAGGCGAGAGCGGGGGAGGCAAGCGGCGAGGAAGCAGGTCGAGCGGTTTCGCGAGGCGGCGTCGTCGGCTTTGGCTCGAGCGGGCTCGGGGCTCGGACAGAGCAGAGGTACGGAGTGGACCCGACAAGCAGGAGGCTGCACTGAGAGGGTGCGAGGCGATTTCGAGGTCGAGGAACGCGACTCGACGCGCAGCGAGGTGGTTGCCAGCCTGCCCTTGACCGCCTCGCTCAACCAAGGCCTCGTTGGCTCGACCAGAGCACTCAGTCAGCTCACCAGCAACCTGTACGCACCGCCCACCCTCCCCTCTACCCGTCCCCCAACCCGCTGACCCCTCCCCCTTGTGTCCCCTCCCCCTTCCCCTCGTCGCCGAACCCACGCGCCTCGTTGCTCCCCTCGTCCCGCCTCGTGCGCGCCCCCTGCAGCCTCTCAGCACCCTCCTCGAGTACACTCTACCCAGCGACGCGCCCTCTCCCGCACCCCAACACCTCCCCTCGGCGCGAGCGCGCTCTCCGCCAGCCCACGGCTCTCGGTTCGCCCCGTCTCGGTCCTCTCCCGTCGCCCAACAGCGCGACAAGGCCCGCCCGACCCGAACAAGGCGACGGTCCGTCCTCTCTTCCTCTCGTGTCCAGCAGGCGGCCTTGCCCGGTGCGCCAGAGCGGGCGGTCGGCAGCGATCGTCGCTCGAGGCGGTGGGTGCGCGCCCACTAGCGCCTCCACGCCTCTGAGCGTGACGAGGGGCGGCGCACAAGGTCCAGCACTGGGCACACGGGCCGTGTGCGCCCGCGCACCGCGCCTCTAGCCGTGACTCGGCGGGCTCGCGCCTCGTCCGGCGCGTAGTCCGAGTCGGCTCATCGGAACTGCCGCAACCTCCTCGCCCCCTCGCCAGAGCAGACGATACTGACCAGTCGGGTCCCTCGCACATGCAGACCTGCCCACGATGGCCGCCCCTTCGACCGCCTTCACCTACTCGCCGCCAGCCGTGTCGCCCACCTTCCCCGACAACGTGACTTCGACCCCGCCCCAGTCCGGGCCCGAAGAGCTCGAGCCCGCACCGCCGCGCGAGCGCCGTTCGTCGCAGAAGCGCGCCTCGGCCGCGACCGGGTACCCGTCGACGACGACGACCGCCCCGCTCGCGCCACTCGCCTTGTCGCCCGGTCCGCCACGCGCCGCGCCGCCCGCCGCGACGACGACGACGCGCCCCTTGTTCGCGTACGACCCGAGCCTCGTCATCCCGCCGTTCAACCCGAACAAGCGCCGCGGCGCCAACCCGCCGTCAGCAGCCGACTCGACCTCGTCCGCGCCCGCGCCCTCGTCCTCGTCGCGCCGCGACTCGGCCCAGGCCGCGCTCCCTGCGGCGCCGCCTGCGCCGACCCACTTCTCGGCGCAACAGCAGCAGCACTACCAGCAGCAGTGGGCCCAGCTCGTCCAGCACCAGCAGGCCCAGCAGATCGCCCTCGTCCAGGCCCAGCTCGCCGACCGCGCGCGCCAGCAGCTCGCCGGCACGACGCTCCCGGCGGCGGCGGCTGCAGGGCGCATCGGCGTCGCGCCCTACGTCCCGACGCACCCGCACCCGCAGCAGCAGCAGCAGCGGCCCGTGTCGGTCATGCCGGCCATGCCCGGCCGCCACCCGGCGCAGCACCCGTCGGCGGGCCAGGACGCGAGCCTGTACGCGCCGTACTACCCGTCCGGCAGCGCAGGTGCGCCGCCCGTGTCGGGCCCGGGCGGGAGCGTGTCGTCGCGCGTGCGCCAGTCGGTCGGGTACCTGCCCGTCGGCGCGCCCTCGTCAGGCCACGCCGGCGGCGGTCAAGCAGGTCCCGGCACGCCCGGCCTCGGCAGCGGTGGCCCGTACCCGCACCTGTACACGCCGCACCCGATGCCACGCCAAAAAGTCTACTTTGGGCCGTACGTCCTCCTCCAGACGCTCGGCGAGGGCGAGTTCGGCAAGGTCAAGCTCGGCGTGCACGGCGAGCGGTGGGGCGAGGACGTCGCCATCAAGTTGATCAAGCGCGGCAACGTCGACACGGCCCAACGCGGCGAGAAGGTCAGGAGGGAGATCGAGGTCCTCAAGGTGCGTGCGCGCTCGCGCGCTCTCTCTCTCTCTCTCTCTCTTCCGTCCTCTCTCCTCCGAGGACCGAGATTGATGGAAGTGTCCTTGCACCCGCACGCAGATGGTGCGGCACCCCAACATCGTGCGCCTGTACGACGTGATCGAGACGGAAAAGTACATTGGCATCGTCCTCGAGTACGCGTCGGGTGCGTCCTCCTCCCGTCCTCTTCCCTTTCTCCCTCGCTGTCGACGACGACGGGCAAGACCCTGACTCGCTGCACCCCGGACGCAGGCGGCGAGCTGTTCGACCACATCCTCGCGCACCGGTACCTCAAGGAGCGGGACGCGTCGCGTCTCTTTGCCCAGCTCGTGTCGGGCGTGTCGTACCTGCACGCCAAGGGCGTCGTCCACCGCGACCTCAAGCTCGAGAACCTGCTCCTCGACCGCAACCGCAACGTCATCATCACCGACTTTGGGTTCGCCAACCGGTTCAACGACGCGCGCGCCGACCTCATGGCGACCTCGTGCGGCTCGCCGTGCTACGCCGCGCCCGAGCTCGTCGTGTCCGAGGGCAAGTACGTCGGGACGGCCGTCGACGTGTGGTCGTGCGGCGTCATCCTGTACGCCATGCTCGCCGGGTACCTGCCGTACGACGACGACCCGCTCAACCCGGACGGCGACAACATCAACCTCCTGTACCGCTACATCCTGTCGACGCCCCTCACCTTCCCCGACTGGATCACGGACGAGCCGCGCGGCCTCCTCCTCGACATGCTCGTCGCCGACCCGCACAAGCGCTGCACCATCACCGACGTGACGCGCCACTCGTGGCTGCGCCGGTACGCGCCCGCGTTCGACAAGTCGGTCGCCGAGCTCGAGTTCCAGGCCCAGGAGATGGAGCGCCACAAGCGCCAGGCGCTCGAGGTCCAGCGCCAGTGGCTCGTCGCCCAGCAGCAGCAGCAGGCGCTCGCCGCCCAGGGCCTCCTCGCCCCGAGCATGACGCGCTCGCAGACGGCGACGAGCGGCATGGGCGGCCCGCTCGGCGCGCCGTTGCCCGGCCCGTTCGCGGCGAGCCTCGGACCCGGCGGCGCGCCCGCCGTCGGGCGCCAGCGCATCGTCCCGCGACCCGGCGGCGAGACCCCCCAGATGGTCGACCCGGAGCAGCGGCGCGTCGACCGCACCGTCATGGTCCCGTCGGCGAGCACGTCGGCCGTCTCGTCGGCCGCTTCGGCGCCGTTGCCGCAAGAAGGGTTCGAGCACTACTCGCTCGCGCAGCCGGCGCCGTCCGTCGCTGCTCCGAGCGTGCAGCAGCAGCAGCAGCAGCAGCAGCAGCAGCAGCAGCAGCAGGCGCCGCGGTCGTCGCTCGCCGACCCGGGCATGCCTCTCTCGCCCGGCGCTGCGCCTGCGTCGCCGCCGACCACCTCGGTCACCGCCTCGACCGCCGCCTCTGCACCCGCGCTCGTCCCTCTCGTCGTGCCCGAGCCGCCCATCTCGCCTCGCACCCGCACCACCTCGACCGGCATCGTCCCCGTCCCGCACCCCTCGAACCCGAACCGCCGCTCGGGCGCCTACACCGTGTCGTCGAGCCCGCCAACGACGCAGACCGAGTTCGCGAGCGCCGAGGCCGGGCCCTTCTCGTTCGCCGCCGTCGCAAGTGCCACGGCGCCGGGACCGACGAGCGTGCCCATGGCGACGTCGCTCTCGGCGCCCGCCGCGCCGTCTCGCTCGTCGTCGGGCGGCACGGCCAACGGCGCCTTCGGCGACGGCAACGGCGCCCTCGAGACGCTCAACGAGGACGCGCTCATGCGCGACCGCACGCCGACGGGATCGGCCGCGTCGTCGCGCCGGCCGAGCACGAGCGTCGACGAGGACGAGGCGGCGGCGGCGCAGCGCAGGCGCAAGGCGGCGTACCGCGCGACGCTCCAGGTCGAGTACGACGGGGCGGCGGCGGCGTCGTCGTCGGCGCCTCGCAGGCGTGGCGCGAGTCGTGAGCCGGGGCTCGCGACGGCCGTCGAGGGCCTCGGCATCGACACGGCGCCGAGCCTGCCGCCTCTGCCGCCGGCCGTGCCGTTGAGCCTCGGCGGCGGCGACAAGGACCAGCTCGAGGTGCCCGGCGGCGCCGGTCGCGGCACGCCGAGCCCGACGCCGAGCGACGGCGCGGTCAGCGTGTCGACCACGACCGAGACGCACCAGGGCGAGGACGTCGTCATGCAGTCGGTCGAGGAGGAGGAGCCGACCGTGACGCTCCCTGCGCCGGCCAAGGAGGCGCCTCTTCCGCCTCTCGTCCTGCCCTTCCCGGCGCCGACGACCACCGACATCGACACGCCCACCTCGCCGCCGCGCAAGCGCAAGAGCTCGGGCTCGCCCGCAACGTCGATCCACCCCGCCGAGATCCCGCTCCCGCCGACGCCGGCGACCGCGACGCCGACCTCGGAGGCGCCCGAGCCTGCCGCACCGCTCCGCACCCAGCCCAAGACGAGCACGAGCAGCCAGACGTCGCAGCCTGCGCGTCCGCCGTCGGCGTCGTCCAACGCGAGCCGGCACCGCCACACAGCCTCGGCCGACCGGTTCTCGCTGCGCTCGCTCCTCGGCGCGTCGTCGAACGCGCCGCAGCCGGCCTCGTCGGCCACGTCGCGTCCGCCCGTCCTCGCGCCCGCCGTGCCGCCCGTCCCGCCTCTCCCGGCCAAGGACGCGCCGCTCGACGAGGTGACCAACCGCCGCAAGTCGACGAGGCGGCAAAAGGCCATGAGCCTGCAGCCGTTCCGCCACAGCGTCAGCTCGAAGCTGCCCAAGGGCGCGCGCCAAAACGTCGAGAGCGCCGTCGCCGCGAGCGTCGCTGCGGGCTCGGGCGCTGCCGCAGGTCGCGAGCGCGCGAGCACCGTGCACGCCCAGGGCGAGACGATCCAGCCCGGCCAGGCCGCCGTCCCCGTCGTCCCGCCCAAGCAGCCCTCGCGCCCGCCGTCGTCGAGCCGCGCCGACTCGGGCTCGCTCGCGTCGCACAAGCGCTTCTCGGCCGACCTCGAGGCCAACTGGGGCACGTCGTCGTCGTCGTCGCCGTCGGGTGCGGCCGGCCCGACCCCGAGCGGCAAGGCCAAGGCCGTCATGGACTGGTTCCGCCGCAAGAGTTCGCGCAACGAGGGCCAGGCGCAGGCGCTGGCGCCGATCAAGGTCGACTTTGACCGCTCGCCCCTCCCGACGACGCCGGCGACGACGACGGCTACGGCTGGACCCGCCTTTGCGCCTCGCCGCTCGACGTCCGCCGTCAAGCCCGACCTGCCACCCTCGAGCACCACGAGCATGCGCGACGGCACCCCCGCCGTCACGGTGTCGACGCCGGCGCCGGCGCCGCAGGACTCGGTCAGCAATCCGTCGGTCGTCGTCACCCAGCCGCTCGCCGCAGCGCCCCAGGTCGAGCAGCCGCAGCAGCACGACTCGGCGCTCGCGAGCCAGATCAGCGACCGTCGGGCGTCGACGCTCAACTCGAGCGTCGGCTCGTCCATCGGCGGCGGCTCGGCCCAGCAGCAGCAGCAGCAGCCGGTCATCTTTGCCTCGCCGCCGGCGTTCGCCCCGACCAAGCTCCGGTTCCACCAGGGCGCGCTCGACAAAAACGCCGTCACGTACCGCGCGCCGACCGACGTCCTCGCCGACATCAAGCAGGTCCTGTGGAGCATGGGCGTCGACATGTCGATGGAGGGCGACTACAGTGCGTCCCGGCCTCCCTCCGATCTCCTCTGTCCTCGACCGAGGACGCCTCACTTACGCTCTACCCTCGTATCGCAGAGATCAAGTGCGTGCGCAAGAGTCGCAAGAAGGCGCTCGCGTCGTCGGTCGGCCCAGGCGCCGCTGCGCCCGCCTCGAACGGTTCCGCGCCGACCACCGTCCTCCCGTCGAGCACCGCCCAGGACCGCCGCGGCAGCCTCGTGTCGACGACGTCGATGACGCAGTCGCCGTCGATGGGCTTCCGCTCGCTGTTCGGCAAGAAGCCGCACCAGGCCGGCGGCTCGACGACCCCCTCGTCGCCCAACTTTAGCGTGCCGGGCACGCCCTCGGCGCAGGACCCGCACTCGGTCGACCCGCTCTCGTCGCCGATGACGACGTCCGTGTCGCAGTTCAGCATGCTGTCGCTGTCGTCGCCGCAGCCGCTGCCCGTGTACGGCGGTGACAAGTCGGCCGACGCCGGCGACGAGGTCCGGTTCGTCGTCGAGCTCACGAGGGTCAAGAACCTCGACCGCCTGTACTGCGTCGACATGAAGCGCATGAAGGGCATGGCCTGGAGCTACAAGCACGTCTACGACCAGCTCCTCGCGTCGCTCGAACTCGGCCCGTCCATCTAGGCCCGCCGTCGTCCACCTCGTCTCTCTTCCTCTAGCCTCTCCTTGACCTCACTGTGCGTCACTTTGCCTCTCTCTCTCTCTCTTTCTTCCGTCGACTCGTCTGAGCGCGTCCTGACATCCTCGTCCCCTCGCAGGCACAACTGGTCTCTTTGTCTGCCTCCCTCCCCTCGTCCTTCGTACACCCCTCGCAGCCTCGTCCTCGTTCTGTCCCTTCCCCTCTCCCAGTCTTTGCACTCGCCCTCGTCGTTAGGCCCTCTCTCCTACTCGTTATACTCGCAGCTAGTTCTCGCCCCTTCCTGTCCTCACCCCGAGTCCGTATCGTGCCTCGTCCTCGTTCTCTCTTGGCCTCTCGTTTCTCCCTCTATCTCTCTATCTCGTACCTTCTCTTGTCAGCCCGTGCATCGTGAACGCTCGTGCTCTCAGTGATCCGCCTCGCCGCTCTCTCTCGCCGCGAGCAGCTCTCGAGTACAGAGGTCAAAGCGCCGCGAAAGGGCGAGAGTCGGGACAAGTGGGACGGCTTGCAGCGCTCGAGAGAGTGTCTGTGGCTCGAGTCGACGGTCGAGAGAGACGTATACAGAGAGGGGAGAGCTCGCGAGAGGAATCAGGAGGAAGAAGTGAACGACCGCGAGACTTTGACGGAAGAGGGACCGAGCGCTGCTCGGACCTGCTCACGTCTTGCCCGGCGCCGGCGTGCCGCTGCACGTCCACGAGCTGTCGCGCTTGCCCGCCGAGCCCGTCGACTGGTACGCCGACTGGCCGAGGCACTCGGCCATCGAGACGAGCTTGAAACCTTTGGCTTTGAGGGCGGGCACGACGGCGGGGATGACGGTGTCGACGGTCGTCTTGTAGGTCTGGGCACACGTTGCGAGGTAAGGTCAGTGATCGTATGCGCCGGGGACGAAGACGAGAGAGAGAAAGAGAGCGGGCTGAGCGCGGAAAAGAAGAAGAGGAGGAGGAGGAGAAGGACGACGCACCTCGTGGTTGAGCGCGATGTACGAGGTCGGGTACGACAGCTTCTTGTACGCCGCAATCGAGTCGCTCGCGCTCTTGCCGCTCGTGTCGCCCGAGTCAAAGTTCCAGTTGACGACTGCAGCGTGCCGGGCGAGGAGGGCGAAGGAAGGTCAGTGCGGGCTCGACGGGGCGAGCGAGAGCGCGCTCGTCGGCCAGCGAACGCCGGTACGCCGACGAGGGAACGTACCAGTGTAGCCACGCTGCTGGAGGACCTTGACCTGGGCGTCGTTGACGGCGCCGTAAGGCGGCCGGAAGAAGCGCGGCTTGACGCCAATGATCTTCTTAAGCGCGCCCTCGACGAGGTCGAGCTGCTTGTTGAGCTGACTCGCCGTGATCTTGGTAATGTCGACGTCTGCGTCGTCGTGCTTGTCGTCAGGACGCGGATCGCGAAGAGGAGGAAGAGAGCAAGGGAGGAAAGGCCGACGTACGGCTCCACGTGTGCGACCCGATCGTGTGCCCCTGCGCGTACGCCGCCTTGATCTGGTCGGCGCGGTCGTAGATGCACCCATAGTTGTTGCCGTTGACGAAGAAGGTGCCGCGCCCGCCGGCGTTGGCGATCGTCTGCGCCGCCTTGCTGCCGTACAGCTGCGAGGCGCTCGGACCCGTCAGTCAGTTGCTCGGCTCGCGCTCGACGCCCCAGGGCAGGCTCGACGCAGGCGCAGGGAGATAGAGAGCCGAGGGACGCACCGGCCCGTCGTCAAACGTGAGCGCAACGTGGCCCGGATTCTTGCACTTGGTGTACACGCCCGTCGCGCGTTCTTCGAGCCCACGACCGAGCAGCGCCGGCGCCTCGTCGACCGAGACGGGCGCGGGCGCGCAGAGCGTCGGTGAGAGCGCAGCGGTGCAGAGGAGGATGAGCGAGGCGACGAGGCGCATGCTGAGCGAGGGCGAGGGAGGTTGCTCTGGCGGACGGGCGACCGGTGCGTAGGGTCGCGGGCGTAGCAGAGAGCAAGAGAGAGAGCCGCAGAGAGCGCGAGAAGGGCGTAACCTGTGCTGTCCCCGGGATTCCCGAGCGAGCTTCTCGTTAACGATCGCCCGGACGAAAGAGCGAGCCGAGGCCAAGCAAGCTGGGTCGTCGCGTGGCTCGCAGGCGCCCGAGTCGTGACAACCTGCGTCTCGTGAGCCACGGACGAGCAGTCTCGCGAGGCCCTGGTGGGCGCTCGCGGTGGACATCGACAAGCTCTTGGCGGCGAGGGCGCGGAGGGGACCGTGCGGGATTTTGATCTCGACTGGTGGCCGCGCCGGGTACGTCGAGACGGCGAACGAGTGCGCCTCGACGGCGAGCAACGCGAGAGCTGCGCGGAAGAATGTCCAGAGCCGCATAGGACGCTCTCGGGGACGAGGGGAACGCCGGCCGAGCCGAGCCCAACCCAGCTCGAGTGCACCTCGTCCTCCCCGGCCCCGCCGCGCTGCTACACCCTCACCACCGCTCCCTCCCACGCCGCACTCGTCGCCCCTCCCTCCTCTCCCACGCTCGAGCCACGCCTCGCCGCCTCGCGCCGGTCCCGCTCGCGCCGCTCGAGCAGCGCGAGCTTCTCCCGCAGGCGCTCGCGGTGCGCGAGGAGGAGGAGCGTGTACGGGCTCGTGTGCGGCGCAGCGTCGGCGTTGGCTCCGGCGAGCGGTGGAGCTGAGGTAGGTGGTGGTGGTGGAGGTGGAGCGGGAGCGGGAGGATCCGTATCGGCGGCGGCGGCGGCGAGAGAAGCACGGGTCGGCGCCGCACCGCGCGCCCGCTCGAACGCCTCGACGTCGGTCGACGAGTGCAGCGATAGCTCGTTGCCAGACGACGCTCCTCGACGCTCCTCGGCGCCGGCGGCTGGCCGAAGCCGCGCTCGCGCGAGGCGGACCCGGCGCGGCTTGGCGGCCGGGCTCGAGGTCGTGCTCGCGGCGCCGCTCGGCGAGCGCACCGAGGGTGGAGGAGCGGGTAGGCGAAGCGGAGGTGGACGGGCGCAGGTGCAGGGCGCGAGGGCGGGCGCCTTGCGGCGAGGCGTGCGGGTCGAGGCGGGGACCGCGAACGTGTCGTCGAGCGACGAGGTGGAAGCCGACGAGCTCGATGCCGCCCAGGCGCTTGACGACGGTCGAGCCGCACTTGGGCGCATGGGCGCCTCGGCGGGCGGTGGTACCCTGCGCGACCGGCTCGGCGTGCGGCCCTCCTCCTCGCGTGCCGGCTCGCCGCACTCGCCGCACTGCTCCGCCTCCTCGTCACCGGCCCGATCCTCGCGCTCCCCTCGCTCCCCGACCTCGTTCCCTCGTGACCCTGCCGCCCTGCCCTGCACGTCGCTAAGCTTGCGCCTCAGCACCTCGAGCGTGCTCCTCCTCGTCTCGCGCGCCCGCTCACTCTCCCCCCTCGCCCTCTCACCGTCCACTCGCACTCCCTCTCCCTCCCTCCCGCCCTCTGCCTCGCTCTCCCTCGTTGCCGCACCCTCGCTCGACCCCGCCCCCGAGCGCGCCCGCCTCCTGCGCGGCGACAGCGGGCACACGGGCGGCGGCGGCGAGCGCCAACGGTCTGCGGCGACCTGGGCGAGGAACGATGGGCGCGTCGGGGTGAGCACCGAGGGCTGCGAGGGCGAGAGAGTGGGCGAGGTGGGCGCGAGGGGCTCGGAGCGCGAGGTGCGCGTTGGGGAGGGCGGCGCGGCGAGCGCGGGCGAGGGGCCGGGTGCGGGTGCGCTAGGGGGACGAGGGCGAGGTGCGCGCAAGGGTCGAGGGGCGAAGAGCGTCGGCGGGGCGGGCGAGCGCGGAGGAGAGTGTCGCTCGATGCGGGGGAGGGACGAGGTTGGGCGTGCGCGCGAGGGCGTGCGGGCTGTTGGCGTCTCGGGCGGCGAGGGGATGTCGTGCACTCGCGCTGTGGGTGTCGCGGCCGAGTCGTCGGGGAGGACGCCGAGCGCGCGCGCAATGTCGAGGAGGGGAGCGACGAGGCGGGCGATGGCGTCCTCGCGCCCGCGCACGACGTTGTCGATGTCGACCTCGTCGGCGCGCCACGAGGTCATGACGACGTTGCCGTCTTTGCGCACCTCGGCGCGGCGCGTGAGGCCGCGCTGGACCTGGTCGATGGCGCGGACGAGGACGTTTACGAGCTGGCGGCGGTGGGCGCGGTCCCACGAGCCGCGCCAGGGGTCGAGGGCGTCCTGGATGCGGGTCTCGAGGGTGGCCTCAAGGACACTGATGAGGAGGGTCGGGGTGGCGAGCTGGAGGGTCGGGAGGGAGAGCGGGATGACGAGGGCGGCGAGGAGGAGGTTGAATGGCGCGAGGAGCGGGTGGGGAGGGTGTTTGGACGAGCCTGGGGGCATGGGGAGACGGGTGAGGGGGCTTGTTGTGGGTGCTAGGGAGAAGGTGGACGCACGCAGGGGGTCTCTGGTGGAGCGGGCGGCTCGAGAATCGGGGGACGAGGGCCGGGTCGAGATGAGGGTTGGCGACCTCGAGGCCGCGAGGGGCAGCGCGTGGGGCATGCCTCGGTGCGAGGAGGGTGTCGCAGTGCGGGCGTGGATGCACGCAGCTGTGCGAATGGTAGCGGATGAGGGGTATGAGGTGGGAGCGGGAGGCGGTGCTGTCGCGACGTCCCGCGACTCGGCCGTCTCGAGGTTTGCTCCCGGGGCTTCTCTCGCTCGGGGCTGGTGGTCGGAGTGACGCAAAGCTCCGGTGTGAAAGGCCAGCTGGCAAGCGTCTCTCGGGCGAGGGTGGACGAGGGTGCGGGCCTCCACTCTCGAACGAGGTCATCGCCTCCGCTTCGTCGTCCCTCTTGCTCTCCCACGCACCACCACCAGCTGCCACCATGTCCGGCGCAACCTCGTTCCCCAAAGCCGCCCCGCCCCTTGTCGCCACAAAGCACGACATCTACCCAGCCATCGACCCAACCGCAGCCCTCGCCAACTGTGCCAACCGCCTCGCCGTCCTCATCACGGGCGCAGGCCGCGGCGTAGGCCGCGCAGAAGCTCTCGCCTTCGCCCAGGCCGGCGCACGCAAGCTCGTCCTCACGAGCCGTAGCCAACAAGAGCTCGACGACGTCAAGCAGGCCATCCTCGACCTCGACACCGGCACCGACCTCGTCGTCCACACGGCCGACCTCACCGACCACAAGAGCGTCGACGACCTGTTTGACGCTGCGGGCGACATCGACGGTCCGTCCCACCCCTCCCTCCCTCCCTCCTCATCGTCCTCGCCCCGCCTGGACCCTGACCCTGGACCGCCACCCCTCACAGTCCTCGTCAACAACGGCGGCTACCTCGAGCCGTGCACCCCGATCCGCTCGTCCGACCCGCAAGACTGGTGCCGCTCGATCGACGTCAACCTCAAGGGCACCTACCTCGCCACCCGCGCCTTTCTCCGCAGCGCCGACCGCCACGGCCGCCTCGACCCGGACCGCGCCTCGAGGCCCGAACACGCCGACAAGGTCGGCCTCACCGTCATCAACACGAGCAGCATCGGCTCGGCGGGCACGAGGCCGGGCTTCTCGGGCTACCAGCCGTGCGTCCCTCCCTCCCCCTCCCCTCCTCCTCTCGGTCGAGCGCTGACTCGAGCCGACTATCCCGCAGCGCCAAGTCGATGATCAACCGCTTCACCGAGTTCCTCCACTTTGAGGAACCCCTCGTGCGCACGTTCGCCATGCACCCGTGCGTCCCCTCTCTCCCTCGCTCTCTCGCGCGCTCGCCCGACTGACTCGCTCCTCGCCCCCACCGCAGCGGCGCCGTCATGACCAAGCTCGCACGCGACTCGATGCCGCCCGACACGCACGGCCTCCTCACCGACAAGCCCGAGCTCGCGGGAGGGTTCGCCGTCTGTGCGCTCGCTTCCCCCCCCCTTCCTCCCTCGCGCGCGCCCGTCCTCCCCTCATCCTCACTGACTCGGGGCCTCGCCCCTCGCCCGCCCGCCACACACAGGGCTCGCGACGCAGACCGAGGCCGACTTCCTGCGCGGGCGCTACGTGAGCGCCAACTGGGTCCGTCCCCCTCGCTCTCTTTTTTTCTCCCTCTCCTTCCCGTCCTCGGCGCCTCTTCCGGCCTTTCCTCGCTCGCCCACCTCCGACACTGACCCACCCTTTCCTCCTCGACACCCACAGGACGTCACCGCGCTCGTCAAAAAGGCGCCCGACGTCGTCGAGCGCGACTTGCTGTGGACGCGTGTTGTTGGACAGGAGCAGGTCATGCCGCGAGCTTCCCAGGTCCACCTGTACTAGCCGGGCACGTCGCTCTGTAGACGGAGCGGCAGATAGAGTCTCGCAATAGCAGTACCCGCAGTTTGTCTCTCTCTTCTCCCCGAGAGCTCGACTTGAGAGGGCCGCTTTCGCAAACACTTCTCCCTCTCTCGCCCTCGCGCACGCACGACGCACAGATCCCTTGCAGTCTCGCCCCTCCAGCGCTCCCACTCACAGCTTCTCGTCAGTCCTGCCGCCTGCGGCCCTGCGCTTTCCGCGCTCGAGGACGGGCTTGATGTAGTCGCGGTACAGGCGCTCCTGGTCGGCCTTTGTGCCGAGGTTGAGCTCGGTGTCGGCGCGCGCTTTGGCCAGCATGCGCTCGTACACGGAACCGTCGGCGTTGCCCACCTGTCGTCGCGGAGGGGCACGAGAGCTCGGTCAGGGATGTGCGCCGGCGTGCGCGCGCGAGCGAGAGAGAGAGGGAGGGGGAGAGAGAGAGAGGGAGGGAGGGAGAGAGAGAGAGGGAGGAAGAGGGGGAGGGAGAGGGAGAGGGAGGGAGAGGGGGAGGGAGAGAGACGCACCGACGTGTCGAGCTCCCAGTCCGAGAACCCAAAGCTGTCGGTCAAGCCGACGAGGTCGGGCAGGAGCGCCTTGGCGGCGTGGGCCTGGGCGGCGCGGAGCGGCGCGGCCGACGAGGGGACGAGGATCGACAGCTCGAGGAGGGGCGCGAGCGCGTTGACGAGCGTCGAGAGGAGGAACTGCGCGTGTGTGCGAGGGTGAGTCAGGGGCGGGTTGCTTGATGGCGACGACCATGACGACGAGAGGAGGAAGGAGAGGCAGAGAGAGAGAGAGAAGGGCAGACGCACGAGGTTGACGACCCGCTGCATGACGTCGCGCTCCCTGTCGCCGGCGCCCTCGAGCTGTTCGAGCATCTCGCCCGTGCGCTTTGCCAAGAAGGCCTCGACGACGGCGTCGCTCGCGGCGTTGCACTCCCAGCTCAGGTCGCCAAACTTTGCGCCGTCGCGCTGCATGCGCTCGGCGAGGCGCGCGACCGACAGCGCGGCGCGCAGCGCGAGCAGGCGCGTCAGGAACGCGCGGTCGGTCCACTGGGCGTCGGCGCCGGTCGACGGGGCCGCGACGGGCAGCGACGCGGGCCGGGGCGACAGCGCGCCGAGGTAGGCGTCGAACGGCGACTCGGCGACGAGCGCCTTTGCCCTGTCGCCGCCCCGAGCCGCGATCGCGAGGCTCTTGAGCGCCGCACGCGCAACCTGCAGGCTCAGGACGCCGTTCTCGCCCTCGTACGTCTGGGCGGGGAGCTCGGTCGCAAACACGCGGCCGACGCCCGACGCCGCCATCATGCCGTGGCCGCCCATCGAGCGGCGGAACACCTCGATGCCGGCGACCGTGCGCGTCGAGACGTACACCTTGAGGCCCGACGAGACGGCGTGCGTCGACGCGAGGAGCGACGTATCGCCCGTCGCGAGGCGCTCGGCCATCGAGTGGTACAGGTTGGCCTGCGCGAGCGAGAACTGCGTCAGTTGACGTCCTGCTCAAGCGTCTTAGGCACAGAGAGAGAAGCGGACACACCATGTCCTTGCCGGCGAGCATGAAGACGATGCAGTTGGCGAGCTCGGGGACGACGCGCATGTAGACGCCCGGGTACGAGATGACCTGGCGCTCGACGCGCTCGCCCGTCTTGACCTCGGGGTCGGCAAACTGGCGCCGCATGTGCAGGTACCGGAGCGAGATGGTGGCCGCTGCGGGGAGCAGAAGGCGCGAGTCAGGGTTCTGTCGCTCAGGCCCGAGCCGGCGAGGAATAGAGAGAGAGAGAGAGAGAGGGAGAGGGCAGGGACGCACCCTTGGCCTCGCGCCAGCTCAGGTTCGAGATCATCTGGGCCCGGATAAAGATCATGCCGCCGTAGCTCAACTTGGCGTGCGGCGGCGTCTTGTACGTCCCGCCGTCCTTTGGATCGACCGACGCGAACCGCGACAGCATGTGGGCGCGCGGGATCCGGACCGAGTTGAACCGTGCCCAGCCGTTGTCGACGCTGCCCATGGCGCCGTGAACCTTGGGCCCGATCTCGCCCGCCTCGATGCCCGGCATGAGCGAGTGGTCGTCGAGCGAGCGCACTGCGGGGCACGCAACTCGCCGTCAGTGAGAGGCTCACAGTGGCGCCGGGAGAGAGAGAGAGAGAGAGGGGGGGGACGCACGCTGGAGGATGAAGAGATGCGGGCCGTAGTCCTTGCCCTTGAGGAAGAGACGCGCCTGGACGACGCCGTGGGTCGCGAGGACGCCGAGCGCGCCGATCCACCATTTGGTCGCGCTGATGGTCGGCGAGTGCAGGACAAACTCGTCCGTCTTCGAGTCGTACGTGGCCGTCGTCTCGAGTTCTGCGCGCAGGGAGGAGGGTAGGAGGGGAACAGCCGTCAATCCTGTGCACCTCGTCGACGCCGGCAGAGGGGAGGCTCGAGTGGGGACGCACGTTGGACGTTGGAACCGTGGCCGAGCTCGGTCTGGAGGTAGGCGCCGAGGATCTCGTGGTTGTAGCACCTCGGGAGCCACTGTGCCTGCTGGTCGTCCGAGCCCTGGCTCGCGATGACGGGCGTAAAGGCGATCTCGTGCAGGTTGAGGCCGACGGGCTCGTCCATGGCCGACACGAGGGCCTCGAGGTACTCGTTGTGGTCGAGGTCGTGGCGGTCGACGAGGTCGAACAGGGCCTTTGTGGTGCTCAGGCCGCGCTCGATCTGCTCGGGGCGCGACAGGTACGGGCGCGCGCGCTTGTCGAACTTTGGGTCGTCGGCGAGGAGCTGAGCGACGCGCTTGCGCGTGTCGGGGTCTTTGTGGCCGCTGAGGAGGACGCGGTGGAGCGAGTCGGGGTCGAACGAGGTGCGGGCGCGCGCGGCCTGGATGTCGAGGGTGGTCTGGGGCGGCATGGCGGTGCGGTTGGTCGTGGGTGACGCGCAGCTGCTGGCGGGCGCTTGTCGAGGAGCAAGGGGAGGGCGACGAGCCGAGAGTGCGGGGCGGAAACCGGACGGCGACTTGGGAGGGCGACCAAGCCGGAAAGGGAGCCGGCGAGGCCAGCGCAAGGCTCAGGCGATGTGCGCTAGTAGCTGCACACTCGGACGGACTTGTGGGCCCGTCAGCTGGGCTCGACAGGCCCGTCCGGCGCCCGAGGAGGCGGTCGCAGCTCGTCCAGTCGAGCGAGCCCGGGGCAGCTCGAGAGAGGCGAGGGTGCTCGGGCGGGCTGAAGGACACGCTCGTTGCAGCGAGGTACTGTGCCGCATGAGCAGGGCGGTGCGACTCGGAGCTCCAGCGGTGGTCGGAGAGGGAGCCCGCCCTCCGCCCTCGACGACTCGGAGCACAGCGACGGCGAGAGGCTCAGCTCGACCCAAGCCCGCTCACCGCCTCTTCAGCCGCACCTGCCACCGCCTAGACCTACACAAGGTGAGCACCGCCCTTCACCAGCCACTCGCACAGCACGGCGCCCTTGTCGTCGCACCTCCCCCGTCTTCATCGCCTCGCCCTTCTTCCGACGGCCGTCCCTCCTCGGCCAGCGCCCAGAGTGCCACGGGCAAGCTCTAGGCTGGCCAGTACTCACCTCTTGCACTCCCTCGTCCCCCACCCACTCCACCTCGACCCCACCTCATCTCGACCACCTCGCACCTCTTCCAGCCTCGCAACCTCTCCAGATCTACACCATGTCGTCCCTCTTTGGTGCCCGCCCGACCCTCTCTGCCGACGATGCCCGTCAGAAGGCCGCCCAGATCAAGCAGGAGGTCGAGCAGCAGCTCGGTGCGCCCTCTCTCTCCTGCTCGTTCGTCGAGCACGCAGCTCATCCCGTCTCTCCTCCCCTGTCCGCAGCGCTCGCAAACGCCCAGGAGCTCATCAACGTCCGTCTCTCGAGTTCCCCTCCTCCTCCACATGCGGCGAGAGCTGACCGCCTCCCTCCCCCTCGAGCAGAAGATGAACGAGAAGTGGTCCGTCTCGTCAGCCAGCGCCCCCCTCGTTCCAGGGCCGACACGCTGACCAGTTCCCCTCGGGCGCCCACAGCTTCAACGCCTGCATCGTCAAGCCCTCTGGCTCGCTCACCCCGAACGACGAGGCGTGCCTCATGCGCTGCACCGACCGCTTCCTCGAGGTGCGACCCCCTTGACTTTCCTCTCACCCTCCTCTCGAAATCGCCCACCTGACCCCTCTCTTTCGCCCCCGGCCAAAGGCCTTCAACCTCATCTCGGCCAAGTACGTCCAGCGCGTCCAGCGCGAGCGCGACGCGAGCTCGGGCGCGAGCCTGCTCCAGTAGATCGCGCTCGTCCCTCTCTCCCTCTCTCGATCTAGCCCCGCCAAAACGCAGCCCGTACATATCCCCTCGCAACGCACGCACCCCTCCTGACTTGCCGCACCTCGTGTCCGAGCGAGCGAGCGAGAGAGAGAGAGAGAAGACGCGGGCGACGAGGCCGACGATAGTGTTACAGCGGACGACGACGACAACGTGGTGCGAGGATGTACGGCAAGAGAGAGAGAGAGAGAGAGAGAGAGAGAGAGAGAGAGAGAGAGAGAGAGAGAGAGAGAGAGAGAGGGAGAGACTGTCTAAAAGTCGCGCAGCTTGGCGTACTGAGTCGGGGCAAACTTGGCCTTGAGGTACTTGAGGACCCCGAGCGGCGCGGCCGAGATGGCGACGATGAGGGCGACGCGCCACACGAACCCGGTCGTGAGCACGAACGAGAGGTCTGGGCGGGGTCCATTGGCGAGGGTCAGGGTCGGTCGTCGACGAGAGTGCGCAAAGGGGCCAGGAAAGGGAGCGAGAGCGAGAGAGGCGACGCACCAAAGTACTCTGGGAGGAACAGGATCGAGACGACGTAGAGGGCGAGCGTGACGACCTCGCTGACGACCATGAGCGTGTGCCACGTCGTGATCTCGACGGCGACCATGACGAGCTCGTTGAGGACGAGGGCCGAGAACGAGATCGAGACAATGTTGAGGAACTCGGACTCGAACAGGATGAGCGACGCGAGCATGATGGCGCCGCCTGCCGTGCGTGCGTGCGAGGGGTGCGTCGAGAGTTAGTCGAGGGCGACGAGGAGAAGGAGGAGAGGAGAGAGAGAGAGAGGTGGGCGCACCCTGGTACAGCGAGATCATGAGCCACGTGAAGAACGTCTTGTACGACAGGCTGCGGCCCTGCGACACAGTGTACACGACCGCGTGAGCTCGGGACGACGAGACGAGGAGGGACAGGCACCGAGACGCACCTTGGTGAGCTCCTTGTACAGCTCTGGGTACAGGAGCGCCACGTCCTCGTTGACGTCGCGGTCGAGCACGAGCGAGAAGACGGGCAGCATCGTGTAGGCCGTCGCGTAGCCGACCATGAGCCACCCTTGATAGATGGCGATGGGCGAGCTGTGGCGAGCGACGAGGGGACCGGGAGACTGGGTCAGATCCCGGCTGGGACGGTCGAGGAGAAGCGGCACGGCGGGACGCACAAGTAGAACACGGCCGAGAAGACGGCTGCGCGACGACGAGGAAGAGAGGGAGAGAGAGAGAGGGGCGTGAGGATCGCCGCTCGTCGCCCGACGCACGGGCCTCGGCTCCTCTCGAGAGAAAAAGAGAGGGACGCACCCTGGATGACCGAGATGATCAAGCCGCGGTGGATGACGAACTGGGCGAGCTTGGCGCTGCGCTTGTACGAGTTGCGCCCGTGCCACACGAGGAGCTTGGTGAGGTAGCTGAACTGGTTGACGGAAAAGTCGGCCGCGAGCGACGCCTGACGACCTTCTTTGCCGACGATGCCGACGCCTGGAGGGGGTCGCACTCGTGAGTGCTCTCGCTCAGAAGTCGACGAGAGGGCAGAGAGAGGGAGGAAGAGGGCAGGGACGCACCGACGTCGGCCGCCTGGATCATCGACACGTCGTTGCCGCCGTCGCCGATGCAGCACACCCGCTTCTTGGTGTGCTCGCGGATCAAGCGGGCGACGTCGGCCTTTTGCGTCGGCGAGCACCGGCACGCGACGACGGCCGACAGCTGGGTCGACAGCTCGATAAAGTCCTGGCGGAAGTGCTCGATGCAGAGCTGCGCAGTGGGGGACGACGAGAGGGTGGGGCACGGCGACGAGGGTCATTGACGGCCGTCGCAGGAAGACAGAGGCCGAGAGGAGGGGAAGTTGGGCGCACCTGGAGCGACTCGCCGTCGATGACGAGGCAGCAGTCGAGCTTGGTCTGGAGGAACTCGAGCTCGTCTCGTGCTTGCGCCGGCGACTTGACTGCGGGGGAGCATTCTCGGTGTCAGGTCGTCGTCGCGAACAAGTGCAGGGAAGAGGGAAAGGAGGAGAGGTTGGACGTACGCTTGGCGATCTGGTGGATGTACTGGCCTCGCGAGACGAGCTTGGTCGAGATGGCGATGCAGGTCGCCGTCTCGATCTTGTCGCCGGTGAGCATCCAGATCTTGATGCCGGCGTTGCGCAAGAGCTCGATCGTCATCTTGACGTCCTCCTGGAGCTTGTCCTCGACGCCCGTGACGCCGAGCAGCTCGAGGTCGCGCTCGAGGTACTCGGCGACGACGCGCGCGCTCGCCGCCGTGCGGTCGCCGAGCGAGACGCGCGCGTCGCGGTACGCGCCGTCGAACGCGCGGTACGTCTCGTCCGACAGGCGCTTGCGCGCCATGACGAGCGTGCGCAGGCCCTCGCGCGCCATATTGCCGCACTCCTCCTCGAGCCAGTCGTTGTACGCGACGATGCGCGCCATGACGACGTCGGCGCCCTTCTGGTAGAACGTGATCTCGCCCGAGTGGCGGTCGCGCACGATGATGCCCATCCGCTTGGACTCGGACGTGAACGGGAACACCTCGAGGACGTCGAACGACAGGGTCTGGCCGGCCGACGAGCGCAGCGACATGGACGTGCGGTCGCGAGCCGACAGCGTGAGCCCGACCGACTCGGTGAAGCGCACGATGGCGACCTCGTCGGGCGATGACGCCTGGTACGTGATCGAGCCGTCGGCGTCGTCGACGACGGGCGTGACCTGCAGGGGCACGTGCGCAAGGTCAGTCGTCGTCTCGGCGGCGGCAGATTGAAGAAAAGCGAGAGAGTCGGACGCACGTTGTGGCACAGGCCGAGCGCGAGGACGACGTCCTTGACCCTCGAGCTCATGTCCCTCCTCCCTCGAGTCGCCGCGAGCGCGACGCCGGTCGTCAAGGTCGATGTCGCTGTGTGCGCCAGGGGCAAGGTCAGGAGTGGTCCACACGAGAGAGGGAGAGACGGCGAGAAATGGTGACGCACAGATAGGCTTGTCCTCGCCGAGTGCCGTCGCGAGCTGGTGCGCCACCTCGTCCATCGAGTCGACGCCGAACGACATGGTGCCGAGGTGCAGCTTCTTGAGCTCCATCTCGTTCTGGGTCAAGGTGCCCGTCTTGTCGCTTAGGAGGTACTCAATGCGGCCGAGCTCCTCGGGCAGCGTCGACGTGCGCACGATCGTGTCGGGGATCTCGGGGTCGTGCATGATCTGGTGCGCGTAGACCGTCTTGCCCATGTCGAGGTTGACGCGGAGCCTGCATGGGGCGCCAGAGTCAGTGAGCGGCCCGCAGAAAGGACCGAGAGGAGGAGAGAGGGGGGACGCACGAGATGGGGATGATGCTCGAGAACAGGATCAAAAACCGGAACACGTAGACCCACCAGTGCCCTCGGAACCCGTTGAGCGCGACGAGGATGACACTCAGGGCAAACGTGACGGCGCACAGGATCTTGGCGAGCCGGTTGATCTCGTGGTCGAGGAGCCCGACCTTGGTCCCGGGCTGGCTCGTGTTCATGACGGCGCGCGTCTCGCGGCCCGTGTAGACGACCATGCCGACGGCGGCACCGGCGGCGAGGACCGTGTTGGCCCACAGCATGTGCTCGGCCGTGAGCGGCTCGACCGGGTGGCTCGCGACGAGGTCGCCGTCGTCGGCGGCGTCGTCGTCGTGCGGCGCACCTCGCTCGAGCGAGGGGCCGCCTGCGCCCTCGCCCTCGCCGTCGTGCGCCGGTGGTGCGCGAGGCGGCGGCGTCGACCGCAGCGTGAGCGTGCCGACGAATGTGTGGATGTCCTTCGTCGGCGCGTCGGCGTACACCTCGCCGACGCACTCGAGGAGCTCGGCGTCGCCGGCGAGGCGCTGCGTGCGCTCGACAGCGACGCGCAGCTTCCAGTCGGTCTCGCCGTCGAGCTGGTCGGTGCGCACGAAACAGGTCCCGCTCGGGTCGCTGGTGCGCAGGAGCACCATGTCGGCCGGGACGCGGTCGTTCTTCTCGAGGTGGACGAGGTCACCGACGCGCAGGTTGGACGACGGCGTCGGCTTGAGCGGGGCCGACGAGGTCGACGACGACGAGGCGTGGTGCGAGTGCGGGGTCGAGCTCGACGACGAGTCGACGAGGCGGCTGTACAGGGCCGAGTTGGCCGAGCGGTCGCGCAGGTACCGCGTGTAGTCGTCGAACGCCTCCTTGCCGATCGTGACGAGGAGGACAAACGCGAGCGGGACGATGTAGGTCGCGAGGAAGCCTGCGGGTGACCAGGGTTCGTCAGTCTCGACGGTGCGGCGACCGAGGGAGACGGGGGAGGGACGCACCGATGCGGAGCGCAGGGACGAATTGCGACAGGGCGACGAGGAGGAAGTACAGGTTGTAGAAGAACTTGAACTGCTCGTACAGGACGAGCGGGAGAAAGGTCGCCACGTTGTACTTCTGGTTTTTGACAATGTTGGGCGGGAAGGGCGACTTCTTGCGCTTTTGTGCGGGCTCGTTGAGCGGGATCGTGCGGGGCCGAGTCGAGGGCGGCGTCGAGAGCGAGAAGAGGCGCTCGAGCGAGAAGCGCTTGCGCTTCTTCTTGGCCGCCGTCGGGTCGTGCCCGGCTCTCGGCGTGTCCTGCGGGTAGAGGGATGAAGAGTCAGGGACGTCGAGAGGAGTGAGAACAGGGAGAAGGGGAGCGCACCTTGATGCCGTCGTGGAGCAGGCCGATCTCCTCCTCCTCTGCGTCGAGCCCGGTCGTCCAGCCCTCGTCAAACTCGCCGTCGCTCTCGCCGCGCCCGCCGAGACCGGGAACCCGAGACCCGGCTCCTGCTCGTCCACCTCCTCGACGCGAGCCGCTGCCGGCGCCGCCGCCGAGCAAGCCGTCGGCCTCGCTCGCGGCGTCGTCGGTGGTGCCGGTCGCACCCGTGCGGGCCGTGCCGACGCTGCTCGGAGCGTAGGTGCGCCTGGTGGTCGCGGTCGACGTGGCCGAGCGTGGACCGCGCAGGTGGCTCATCGGGTTGCTGCCGGTGCGCTGGCGGGTCGCGAACCCGCTCGGGGCGAGTCCCGAGGTGGTCGGGCTGTCGGCGGTCGAACGCGACATGGCGGCGGCTGGTGCGGGGCTGCCGCTGAGGCGGAGGAGCGGGACGTCGGCTGGCGTGACTGGGCTGGGCGGGTTCGAGGGAGATGGCGGGGTTCGAGGCGGTGTCGAGGGTGAGGGGCGAGGGGCGGGCACCATGCCAGGGCGAGCGCGGTCGGTCAGGTGCACAAGTCGAGCAGTCGCAGCTGCTTGGTGCAGCACTGCACTTCGCTCGAGCGAGTGAGCGGGTGTGGTTCGAGGGCGAGAGCTTCCCGGGTCCTCCTCATCTCTCCGCTCCACGTCGCGAGCAGCTCTCGTCCGCCCGTGCTCCGGTGCATGGCTAGCTTGCTGCACCAGCTCAGAGCGCTGCGGTCCATCCGCACCCCAGTCCTACTCCCCGTCCCCGACAACGTCGCCAGCTCGTCGACCAGCCAACATCAACCGTTCCACCGCCTCGACGCCTGCGGCTTCGTCGTGTGCAAGCCCGACCTCGCACAGGTCCTGAGCGAACAGCTGTGCGGCGCGCTCGAGCAGCAGGCGGCTGGCTCCTGCCTTCCGGGCCGCACCGTCGACATGCTTCAGCTCGCGCTAGACGACTTCCACGACAAGGCGCCCCTGTCCGACTACCACGACGCCATGATCGCGCACAGTCATGTCGACCTCGTTCGAGCCCTCGAGGCCGTCGTGCCCGACCTCGATGTCCTCGTCGGCATCTCGCAGCAGCGCACGACCCGGGCCCTCGCCATACCGCAACGCGCCGTCCCTGCACACGATCCGCAAGGGTACGCTGTCGCGGCGCGCATCAAGCCAGACCTGACGCTCGCCCGCCAGTTTCGCCCGAGCCTGAGCGAGCAGGCCGTCGTCACGATCGAGGTCAAGACGCCGAGCGCGTCGGAGCCCGTGTCGGGCCTCTTTGCGCGCACGGCACAAGCCCTGCAGGACGGCGACGTCGTGCGGTGGAGTGAGCTCGAGGACGCCGACGTCCGCTCCGTCCTGAAGAAGGTGCGTCCCCTCCTCTTCTTGACGTGCGCCTTCTCATCTCGTCGTTGCTCACGTGCGCCTGGTCGGTCCTGCAGGAAATCGTCGCCGCCGTGTCGTACGGCCACAACATGTTCGTCCTGTCCGACCTGTACACCTACCTCGTCGGCGCCATCGTCTGGACCAGCACGGACCAGTACCACGTCGTCGTCTCGGGCCTCGAGCGCGTCTCGCCCGACCTACCCGACTCGAGCAATTTCCTCTTGACGCTCCTTGGCGCCTTCTACGACCAGCACCTCGCCCTCACGGCGGGGCTCGCTCTCGAGGTTCGACGGCTCGTCGACGCCGCCACCGCGAGCCAAGCACGGCGCGCGCCTGCTCGTGCGGTCGGCCCGTCTTTCGTCGCCGATAGCAACGCTCCACCAGCTCCTCGTCGCACTTCTCGAAACCAGTCAACGGTCAATGGCAGTACTCGGTGCGCCGGCTTGACCGAGCTGTTCTCGTCCAAGGTGCGCCTCTCTCCCTCGCTCCTCTCGGTCCGAGAGTGCGACTGACCCTTGACCCTGCAGATTCTCGTCTGCACCTACCCCGACGGCACCTCCTTCCGCGCTCGGCGTGTCCTCACCTCGCCCTCGCCCTCGCCCTCGCCGACGCCCTCGTCCGCGCGCACCCATTCGCCGACCTCGTCGCTCACCTCGAGCGCCTCCTCCACCTCCCTGCCCCCCAACCCTTCTCCGCGCTCATCTCCTGTGCGCCTCGCCCCGACATCCTGTCGCTCAACCGCCCGAATTCCATCACCCGACTACGCCCTCCCTATCCAGCTCGACTCGCTCGTCGGCGCCGGTCTCTCATCCTACGTCTACTCGTTCACGCTCGACAGCGTACCGTGCGTGGCCAAGGTCGCACGTCGCGGGCTCGACGCCGCGCACGCCGTCGAGCGCGAGATCTTCTGGTCGACGCGTCCAGACGTCGCTGCCCTCGCGCGCGACGACAACCTCGTCCTCGTCGAGGCGGTGTACGAGCGAGAGGGCGACGGGCGGCCCGTGCTGCTCATGCGCGACGGCGGGCGGGCGTTGGAGCGGTGGGAGGAGCTGGATCGCGAGCAAAGGTGCGTCACGAGCCGTTTCCCTTTCTCTTCCTCCCTCGCTCGAGCGGGAAAGCAAACTGACCCGTCGATGGCGACGCCGCCTTCTTCCTGTTGAGCAGCACCTCACTTGTCCTCTCGGTCCTGCGCCTGCACCAGCTCGCGCACCTCGTCCACGGAGACCTCGCGCCTCGCAACGTCGTCGTCCCGGTCCCGGTTCCCTCTTCCTCCTCGTCCCCAGCCTCGCCCTCGACTCGTCCCCCTCGCCCATCGCCGACGCCTCGCCTCATCGACCTCGGCCACGCCACCGAGCACGATCGGGCGTGCAAGGGCCGCGAGTGCGCCGAGGTGCGGCAACTCGTCGGCGAGCTCGCGCTCGAGCCGCTCGAGCTGGACGAGGTCGGGCGCAGGGCGGCGAGCGAGGGGCTAGTGTGGTAGACGGTGCAGGGTGTGCGGCTCTCTCTCTCTCTCTGTTGTTGCCATTCATCCTCGTCGTGCGTCTCTCGAGCGGGACCTTGTCGAGTCTCGAGCGAGCGAGCGAGCGAGCGCGCGCCGCACATCCCCTCCTCGAACGCCGCCGCCGCCGCCGTCCACCTGCGCGACTTGCTCGCCACGAGCTCTCGCGCACGAGTCTACACGTGCACCCTCGACGACGACGACGAGCCGTACGTCGTCAAGATCTCGCGCGGCGAGGGCGCCGACGAGCTCGAGCACGAGGCGCTTCTCCTCGCGCGCAGCGAGGTGCGAGCGCTCGGGGACGACGTCGCCCAAGCCGAGGCCGCCTTCTGCACGGCCGACGGCCGCATCATGCTCGTTGAGCGAGACGGCGGCGATGCGCTCGAGATGTGGGACGACCTGACGGAGCGGCAGCGGTGCGTCTCGCGTTCCTCTGCGTCTTTGCGGTCCTCGCCTCGCTGCCGCGAGCAGCTCTCGCCGCCTTGAAGGGCACGTGCACTGACCCTCTCGCCCTCGTGTACAGCACCTCACTCGTCCTCTCGGTCCTGCGCCTGCACCAGCTCGCGCACCTCGTTCACGGCGACCTCGCGCCGCGGAATGTCGTCGTCCCACCTCCGTCCTCCTCGCCCTCGTCGCCCTCGATCTCGCCCTCGACTCGTCCCCCTCGCCCATCGCCGACGCCCCGTCTCATCGACCTCGGCCATGCCGCCGAGCACGATCAGGCGTGCAAGGGCCGCGAGTGCGCCGAGGTGCGGCAACTCGTCGGCGAGCTCGCGCTCGAGCCGCTCGAACTGGACGAGGTCGGGCGCAGGGCGGCGAGCGAGGGGCTCTTGTGGTAGACGGAGGAGGGGTGTGCGGCTCTCTCTGTGCTGTTGCTATTTCATTCTCGTCGTGCGTTTCTCTCTCGAGCCACTTGCCCTCTGAGCCGGACCTTCTCGAGCCGACGAGCGAGCGAGCGAGCCGACGAGCGAGTTCAGGACGGGCACAGAGGGGGGGGGACAGACTCGACTGCACGACGACGACGACCTGTGCTACAGCTCGCGACCCGTCTCGTGCGGCGAGCGTGCTCAACCCGCCCTCCTGCTCGTCCTCCTCCTCGCGCCCGACGTACGGCCCTCTCTCGCTCCCTCCTCGTCGCCGACCGGGTCGAACACGATGTGCTCGATCTCGCGCATGACGAGCGGCGAGTAGCGCGTCGGGCGCATGAGCGCTGCGGGCGGCGGCGAGTCGCGGTTGGCGAGGTCAGCTTCGTGGGTCGCCGGGGCGAGCGACCGGTCCTGGCCGTGGCGGGGGAACGAGGAGATGGAGATGGAGAAAGAGAGAGAGAGAGAGAGAGAGAGAGAGAGAGAGAGAGAGAGAGAGAGAGAGAGAGAGAGAGAGAGAGAGAGAGAGAGAGAGAGAGAGAGAGAGAGAGGCGGACGCACTCGCGAGTGCCCCGAGGCCGCCCTCGTCCCGGCACAGGCGCAGCCTCGCCTCGCCGACGCCGATCCCGACGAGGAGGTTGCGCAGGAGGGTCGCCTGCGAGAAGGGGACGAGCGGGTCGCGTCCGCCGTGGATGAGGAGGAACCGAGGAGGGAGGAGGGACGGGAGAGGAGGTGTCGTGGTGGTGGCCGAGGAGGAAGAGAGGGACCGTGCGAGGAGGGGTGAGGCGGCGTAAAGGAGGTGCGACGGGCTGCGGGGCCGACCGTGGCTCATCAGTACTCGCAGCTACGGCAGGGACGAGGAGCAGGCTGATAGACAGGAGGAAAGAGAGAGCCCTGGACGCACCAGGCCTGGAGGATGTCCCTCTCGTCGTCGTGGCAGAACCTCGCCATGTTGCTCACTGCGTGCTCGTGAACCGTCGTCAGTGCTCCTCCCCGGACCAAGAAGAGAGAGAGAGAAGGACGCACCGTCGCCCGCGCCCCACCCCTCGAGCCACCTGCCCTGCTTCACGACGTCGTACGTCCCACCGACGAGCACGACGCCCTGAACCCGGAGCCGCCCACCTCCTCTCCTCCTCGGCAGCGCAAAGCTCGCGAGCGCCTCGCCGCCGTACTCGGGCTCGTCCTCGACGACAACGACGCCGTCTTGGGCGCCGCCGGAAGAGGGCGCGAGCGTCCACAGGCGGCAGGCGCGCACGCCCGAGGGGACGTCGCGTGCTGCGAGCGCGGTCGGACGGCGCGTGCCGGTGTCGGCTGAAGCGATGGCGGCGTCGAGGTCGAAGCTGGACGAGGAACGCGAGGAGGACGAAGACGAGGGGGAAGGAGGTTGGCGAGTCGGGCTCGCCGGCGAGGACGACGAGTGACGGTCGCTGTCGGTCTGGCGGTCGGTGTGCGAGGACGAGGGCGCGATAGAGGTGTCGCGAGGGAGGAGGACGGGGACGTAGTCGGCCGACGAGCTGCGCACGGGCTTCTAGTCAGTCGCCTTCCGGACGGGCGACAACGACGGGCCCGATCGAGCTGTGGCTGAGGACGCACCTCTCTCCTCGCCGCCGCGGCGTACCGCCACCACTCGACGTCGCCCCGTCGTCGACACCGAGCTGCGCCCGCTCGACCTCTGCCCTCGCCACGTCGCCGTCGTCCGCCCCCTCCTCCTCCTTCTCCTCGTCCGCCGCGCCGAGCAGCGCCTCTCGCGCGCACACGATGGCGCTCTGCACCAGAGTGAGCTGTTGCACAGGGAAGAAAACGAGAGAAAGTCAGGGTCGTCCGCCTCGTCGAGCCGGAATGCGCGATCGAGAGAGAGAGGGAGAGCGGAACCCGCGCGACGCACCAAGCCGACATGCGCCCCGGCGCCGTACCCGAGCACCGTGCACCTCTCAGCATCTGCGCCGTACGCCCCGGCATGCTCTGCGACCCACTCGAGCGCGGCCCTCGTTTCGCCGACGGCGCGCTCGATGCCGACCACGCCTTGTCCGGCTGCGCCGTGGCCCTGCGCGCCCGAGAGCGACGGCACGACGACGAGGGCACCGGTGGGGCCGAGGCGCGCGAGGCGGTGCGCGATGAGCGGCGAGGGAAAGGTGCGCGAGAGGGACAGGAGGCGGTACGACGGCGACGGGAGGACAACGACGACCGGTGCCAGCTCGCTCGCCGCGGCGCCGTCGTCGCCGTCGTCGCGCTCTCCGCGCCTCGCCCGCCGCGGCTGCGGCAAGTAGACGTCGAGCCTGAGGCTGCTTGCGCCGTCTGGGCCCTCGGCATAGGCGATGTTCTCGCGGATGATGCCGTGCGCGTCGCGCCCGCCGACGAGGAGGACGCGCCTGGTGAGGGTCTCGAGGGCGAGGGCGAAGATGGACGAGGCGTAGGCGTCGTGCAGGACGAGGAGGACCCAGTGCAGGAGGCGCAAGTTGGCGAGTGGGGACAAGAGGCGCACGCGCGGGACGAGGGGCGGGTTGGGCGAGTCGGGCTGCGCGAGGACGAGGTGGAGGGTGGCGGGGAGGACCAAGACTGTGTAGGGCGTCGAGCGAGTCAGACTAGCGCGCTCGACGTGTGCGCGAGGGAGGTGTGGACGCACAGAGCGAGGCGGTGCACGACAGGAGGGTCGGGAAGCTGACGAGGCCGACGACGGGTACCTGTGGGCGTGAGAGCGGTCAGCACGTCCTCCCTACCATGCATACGCTCTGTGCGGCCCCTCCCAAGAGGAGCCGGGGTGGGGCGAGACGGCGTTGAGCGAGGGGTGCTCACCAGAGTCGCGAGGGCGAGGACCGGCCACGCGACGAGGAGCGCGAGGGCAACGGGCACGAGTACGGCGATGCACGGAGCGCGTAGTGGCGAGGTGCGCGGGCGCGGCTGGGCCATGCTGGACGCGAGAGGCTCGGAGGCGCTCAGGTGCGAGGACGAGGAGGCAGACGGCGTGTGCGGCGAGGGTGCGGTGGGTGTCGGGCGCGTCGAGAGATGTGCTGATGGCTGCACGCACCAAGTCGTCGGCTGGACTGGGGCGTGGCGAGCTTGGGGCGAGGTCGAGGGAAGAGACGCGACCAGGCCAAGCATGCTCATCTCGCTCGCGACCCTCCCTCATCTCGCTCTCTCACGCTTGTTCAAGCATCTCGGCGAGGCTCCCAGTCTCTCTCGCACAAACTCCAGAGCACAGCGACTCTCTTGGACCTGCCCGCCGTCCCCGCTGCTCGGCACTCGCGACGCAAGCTCGTCTCGAGGTTGGTTGCAACCCGCTGTCGTCGGCCCTCTGCGCCCGCTCACAGCTCCATGTCGTCGTCGTCGACGCCCCCTCGCCCTCCTCCTGCCGTCCCGCCCGCGTTGCCGAGCCCGGGGAAGAGCGCGCCGAGTGTCTGCTGCGGCGCGGCGAGCGACGCGGCCCATGTCCGGACCGCCTGCGAGCGCGAGAGGGGCGAGGGGCGAGAGACAAGAGTCAGTACCTCGCAGACGTCGAGGGGAGAGAGAGGGGGGGCGAGAGAGAGAGAGAGAGAGAGAGAGAGAGAGGGAGAGGGAGAGAGAAGCAGGGACGCACCTCATCCATGGCGCCCTGGACCACTTTTGCGCCCTCGACACCCCACCTGAGCATCTCCTCGAACCTGCCGACGGCGACCCTCGTCTCCAAGCTCGCGAGCGTCACCTTGCCGCTCCTCGGGAGGACGGCGACGGTCAAGCTCGGCAGGCCTTGCTCCTCGGCCGTGACGAGGTCGAGCAAGGTGGTCGAGCCCGACCCGTGCGCGTTGGGCGCGTTGGAGAACTGCGGCGACGGGGTCGAGAGGTCGAAGGGCGGGATTTGCGGCGGGCCCGAGGGCGGGAGGGACGGGTACGACGCGAGCGAGAGGGCGCAGACATAGTCGGACAGCGGGAGGCCGGCGCTGATGAGGGCGAGACAGGTCGCGTTGATGGCGGCTTGCAGGACGGCTGTGATGGCGGGAGACGCAGGTCAGTCGGTTGCCTCTCTGCTCGAGGAGATGCGCGCGCTCGAGAGGGGAAAGGGGGGACGCACAGCCGTCGTTTTCGAGGACCTGGAGGTAGATGTCGATGCTCGATCGCGGGTACAGGTGCAACAGGAGGACGTTGTCGAACGTGTTCTTGACGGCTGCGGCGAGCTCGATCGTCTTGCGGTCCTTGCCGCCCCTGCGCAGGCCGCCTTCTGCACCCGCGGACGAGGACGACGACGACGAGCCCTGCTGCTGCTGCTGGACGCGCTCGCTCCAGGCGGCGACGCCGACCTCGACGTTGACCTGACCGCGGTCGCCCTTTTGTGCGCCGCCTGCTGCTGCGCCGACGCCGCCTCCTGCGCCCTGACCGGTGCCGGTCGAGGACCAAGGGCCGGTGCGCTGCTGCTCGCGAGGCCCAAAGACGGCGGCGGCGACGGTGGTCAAGCCATGTTGAGCTTGTGCGTAGCCGTCTGCGGCAGCTGGAGGTGCGGTGGGCGAGTACGAGGTCGAGGCGGTCGGGGGCGAGGGGAGGATGGTGAAGGCGAGGTCGCGCAGTTCGAGCGGGAGGCGCGAGTCGAGTCGGAGCGCTGACGGGGTCAACAACTGGGTGCGCGACTGCATGGCCTTGTCGGAGCTGGCCTGGGCGGGGTGACGAGCGAGCTGATGAGGACCTCGAGCTCTCTCTCTCCTGGACTTGCTCTGAGCCGTCGACCCTCGCTCGTCTCTCTCTGCCAGACTCGACTGGGCATCGCCTCGCACTAGAGCAACAGAGCCACAGCTCCCACTTGGACCACCCAGCCGCTTGCACCATGTGAGCGCCCTCGTCCTCCCTTCATCTCTCATCTCTCCAACCTCGACTCACCCTCTCGCGGCACCCTCCAGGGCCTCGATCCCGGTCCTCCGCGTCCAGGCCAAGAGCTCGCCTCAGCCCATCGCCGTCGTCGCCTTTGCCTACTCGCTCCCGCCCGCCGCCCTCAAGCTCGAGTGGGTCCACTCGCTCCCCGCCGACGCCAACGGCGCAAACTGCCAGCTCGACATCAACAACAAGTCCGTCTACGGCACCACCGACGTCCTCAAGGCCCTCGCAGACCAACACGCCGGCGACGGCGCCCTCGGCTCCGACAGCGCCCAGTCGACCGACATCCTCAAGCTCCTCCTCCTCCCGCCCGCGTTCCCCCCGACTTTCCCGACCGCGACCGCCTTCCTCGCCTCGCTCGAGCAGCGCTTGACCCTGCGCACCTACGCCGCCGCCAACCGCCCGACCGTCGCCGACTATGCCCTCTTTGGCGCACTCAAGACCAACACGATCGCCCAGACCCTCCTCGCCAAGGCGCCCCACACCCACCGGTGGTACAACCACGTCGCTCAACTCGCTCCGGTCGCCAAGGCCCTCGTCGACGTGCCCGCCCAGGCCAAGGTCAAGCCCGCTGCCGCCCCCAAGGCCGCCGCCGCCGCCGCCGCCGAGGACGACGCCGCCGGCGGCAAGGCCAACTCGACGTTCGAGCTCGGCCTGCCCAACGCCATCAAGGGCCACGTCGTGACCCGTCTCCCGCCCGAGCCGAGCGGCTACCTCCACATCGGTCACGCCAAGGCGGCCGTCCTGAACCAGTACTTTGCGCGCATGTACGACGGCAAGTTCCTCGTCCGCTTCGACGACACCAACCCGAGCAAGGAAAAGGCCGAGTTTGAGCAGAGCATCATCGAGGACCTCGCCCTCCTCGGCATCAAGGCCGACGCGACGAGCTACACGAGCGACTACTTTGACCAGCTGCAGCAGTACTGCGTCGAGATGATCAAGCGCGGCAAGGCCTACGCCGACGACACCGAGCAGGAGACGGTGCGTCCCCTGTTCCCTCCTCGTGCGGACCCCCTTAGAGATCCTCGTCGACTGACCCACGCTCCGGCGCCCCCCCTCGCAGATGCGCGCGCAGCGCATGGACGGCATCGCGTCGGCGCGCCGGGACCTGTCGGCCGACGAGTCGCTCGCGCGCTTTGCCGAGATGGCGACGGCCTCGCCCGAGGGCAAGCGGTGGTGCATCCGCGCGCGCATGTCGGTCGACGACCCCAACAAGGCCCTGCGCGACCCCGTCATCTACCGCGTCAACGACCTGCCGCACCACCGCACCGGGTCCAAGTGGAAAATGTACCCGACGTACGATTTCGCGTGCCCGGTCGTCGACTCGCTCGAGGGCGTCACGCACGCGCTGCGCACCAACGAGTACCGCGACCGCAACCCGCAGTACCAGTGGATGCTCGACGCCCTCGGCCTGCGCAAGGTCGACGTGTGGGACTTTGGGCGCCTCGCGTTCGTCTACACGCTCCTCAGCAAGCGCAAGCTCAAGTGGTTCGTCGAGCAGGGCCACGTCTCGGGCTGGGACGACCCGAGGTTCCCGACCGTCCGCGGTGCGTCCCCTCTCCCTCTCCCTCCCTCTCTCTTCTCTCGAGCGACGATACTGACAAACCCTCGTCCCTCGTCCCGCCCCGCAGGTATCCGCCGTCGCGGCATGACGGTCGAGGCCATCACGCAGTTCATGCTGCAGCAGGGCCCGTCGCAGGCCTTCCTCAACCTCGAGTGGGACTCGATCTGGAACACCAACAAGCGCGTCATCGACCCTGTCGCGCCGAGGCATGTCGCGCTCGCGACCGAGGGCCTGTGCGTCGGCTCGTCTCCCTCCTCTTTCCCCTCCCTCTTTCCCCTCCCCTCTTTCCCCTCGCCTTTTAACCTCGCACTCTCGACTCTCTCGCACCTCCCCCTACATCGACGGCCGACGAGCGAGACGAGTAAGGGGCCGGCGAACTGACCAACCCTCGCGCGCACCCGCAGCGTCCCCGTCACGGTCCTCGGCGGCGAGGGCAAGCCCGCCCCGGGCCAGGTCGAGCTCAAGGACGTGCCCAGGCACAAGAAGAACCCGGACGTCGGCACCAAGAAGACGTGCTACGCCGACAAGGTCTTTGTCGAGCAGGCCGACGCGGCGACGTTTGCCCAGGACGAGGAGGTGCGTCGCCCCCCTCTTTCCCTTTCTCTCCCTCCCTCTCTCCCCCGGGCCCTCGTACCCTCTTGATCGGGTCGAGCTCACGCTTGCGCGACTCGCGCAGGTCACGCTCATGGACTGGGGCAACGCCATCGTGCGCACGATCGAGCGCGACCCGGCGTCGGGCCTCGTCACGGCGCTCGGCGTCGACCTGAACCTGTCGGGCGACTTCAAGAAGACCAAGAAGAAGGTGACGTGGCTCGCGGGCCCAAAGGCGCCGAGCGACGCCCGGGACCTCGTCAAGTGCACCTTGCTCGACTACGACTACCTCATCACCAAGAAGAAGCTCGAGGAGGACGACAGCGTCGAGGCGCTCCTCACGCCCCAGACCGAGTTCCGGTGCGTCCCCCTTTCTCTCTCTCTCTCTCTCTTCACCCTCGACGTCGGCGTCGACAGCCCTCGTCGATGCCGCCCTCGCCGACACGATCGACCGACCGACTGACCCGCTCTCTTCGTCCACTCGTCGCAGCACGTCGGCCGTCGCCGACCACAACGTCGCGTCGCTCGCCAAGGGCTCGATCATCCAGTTTGAGCGCAAGGGCTTCTACATCGTCGACCGCGCGTTCGACTCGTCCAAGCCCGACGAGGCCGTCGAGCTCATCCTCATCCCCGACGGCAAGGCGAGCAGCATCGCGCTCAAGTACCAGCCGCCGGCCGCTCCCGCCTCGCAGGACAACAAGAAGGCCAAGGGCGCCAAGTCGGCGGCGCCGGCAAAGGACAAGGTCGCCGCCGCCGCGGCGGCGCAGGGCAAGAAGGCGGCGCCGGCCAAGAAGGGCGGCAAGCTGCCTGACGTGGCTCCGGCCGAGGCGGTCGAGACGGTACTCCTGAGCGAGGGCGAGCAGGGCTACGAGATCCCGGTCAAGGTGCGTCCTCGCTCCCTCTCTCTCTCCCGGTCCCTCGTCCCGCTCTGCGCGACGTAAGCTCACACCCTCCCTGTCCCTCCCTCGTGCGACAGACCAAGATGTACGGTGTGCCCAACCTGCACGCCGACGCGGCGAGCAACGTGTTCGTCAAGCACAACATGTACGACGTGCCGCCGATCAACGAGTAGAGCCGCTGTCTCTCTCCTGCTGCCACGCCCGCCATGCAACACAAGGGCTTTCGTATCCTCGACGTTCTGCGGTGGACCGAGTCGGCGAGAGGGACCGGGCTCGAGGAGCTGAGGCGCGAGAGCGCACGAGCGAAGGACGAGGAGCGAAAGCGAGAGAGAGCACGCGCCGTCGCGAGGGAGCCGAGAGTGACCCGCACGTTGTGCTCGACGAGCTGTACATACTGCAGGTCTAGCGAGCAGTCTCTAACGGAAAGAGAGCGTGCGTGCGAGGCGGTGCACTCTGGCTCGGCTGAGCTCGAGGACCGGCGGGTGTGCGTCGACTTGGCCGCCGACAGCCAGCTCGCTCGCTTCCTGCGACTCGCTACTGCCACCAAGCTCCGCCAAGCAGCTCCCAGGACCGTCCAGCAACTCGTGCGGCTCTGCGACGCGACCGCACCACCTCGAGCTCGTCTCATCGCCAACCCCGTCCTCTTCGCCTCGCCGCGCCCACCACACGGTCCCGAGACCCGCCAGACTAGCCCGCACCGCCGTATCAGCACTTTCGCTACTTGACGAGCCGCCAGCCACCACCCGTCACCCCCTTCCCACCCCATCTCTCCTTTCCCCCCTCGCTCCCTCATGGCCGCCGAGTTCGGCACCTGGCAGCCCGCCCCGGGCGAGTCGCCCGCCGACCGCGAGAAGCGCCTCAAGCGCGAGAAGCGCGCCGCAGCACTCGCCGCCGCCGCCGCACCTCCCGCACCCGCACCCGCACCCGCACCCGCCGCACCCGCGCCAACCTCGTTCGCCGCCATCCCGCGCTCGGCCAAGGAGGAGTACGACGGCTGGCGTCCGGCCGAGGGCGAGACGCCTGCCGAGCGTGAGAAGCGGCTCAAGCGCGAGAAGCGCGCCGCCATGCTCGCGGCGCAGGGCGGCGGCGGCGGGCAGCCGGCGGCGCAGGGTCCGGGCCAGGGCTACGGCGCGCCGCAGCAGCAGCGCGACGCTCCGCCGCATCAGCAGCAGCAGCAGCAGCGCTCGCAGCGCGAGGAGTACGACGGGTGGCGCCCCGTCGACGAGGGCGAGACGCCCGCCGAGCGCGAGAAGCGCATCAAGCGCGAGAAGCGCGCCGCCATGCTCGCCGCGCAGGGCCAGGGCCCGCCGCCCGCCGCGCCGTCGGCGGGCTACGCGCCGCAGACGGGCGACGTCGCCGGCATGGCGGCGCCGGACGCGGCCGTCGAGGACCCGAACGCCGAGCCCAAGAAGAGCAAGCACGCTCAGAGCAAGACGACGGCCCGCATGCGCTACCTCAAGCGCAAGAAGCAGGTGCGCAAGGCCAAGAAGGCGTCGACGCCCAAGAACAAGGACGCCGCCGCGTCGACCAACGGCGACGAGCCGGCCGCCGTCGCCGGGACCAAGCGCGCGCGCGACGACGATGACGACGACAGCGGCAGCAGCAGCGGCAGCGACAGCGACAGCTCGTCCGACGATGAGGCTGTTGCGCCCGCAGCCGCGCCTGCCGCCGTCCCGCCGCCGACCAAGGCCGAGCAGGCAGATGCCGCCGCCAAATGGCCCGAGCTGTCGCCCGACGAGCGCACGGCCAAGCTCGCCCTCATCGCGCAGAAGAAGGCCGAGCGTCGCGACGCCCGACTCGCCAAGAAGGCCGAGCTCAAGCGCATCAAGGCCGTGGGCGGCGAGCTCCCGCCGCCGAAGCGCCGAGTCGTCGAGACGACCAAGCCGCGAGCGCGCGCGACGACCGTCGTCAAGGAGCCGACGCCGCCGCCGCCCGAGAACGTCGAGCCGACCGAGGAGGAGATCACCGAGCAGAAGAAGCGCGACGAGATCGAGGCGAGGAAGGCGCTCAAGGCGCTCAAGAAGGCGCAGCGCCGCAACCCGGACGTCGCCGTTCCCGTCGGCGGCGACGACGCCGACGCCCCGTCGACGCTCATCCCGACCGCCCCTGGCGTCGACGGTGCGTCCCCGATGGAGGTCGACACGCCTGCCGCCGATGCCGCTCCCGCACCGGCCTCGCCTCCTGCCGCGCTCCTCCGCCTCCCGTCCGCGACCCGCCCTGCTCCGCCCTCGGCCGCCGTCCTGTCGGCGCTCAACGTACACGCCCAGGTGCGCGACAAGCAGGTCGTCAACCCGCTGCGCAAGGTGCCCATCAGCGACGAGGTCGGCGCCGACGGGACCGGCGTCGGCGAGAGGGGGAGGAAGAGGTTGCGGGGCGAGATGGGCGTCGAGGAGTGGTTCGCTGGTACGTCCCTGACTCTCTCTCTGCGTCTCCCTCTCTCTCTCTCTCTCTCGCGAGCCTCGACCTGACGAGCTCGTCGTCCCGCCGCACAGTCCAGACCGCCGTCCTCCCTCTCCTCCTCCCGGCCTCGGCCACCCCGCCTGCCCTGTACTCGCCGTTCAACCCGCCACGCGACGTCTGTGTGTCGGCGCCGACCGGTAGCGGCAAGACGCTCAGCTACGTCGTCCCCATCGTCGAGGTCCGTGCACTCCTTTCCCTCCTCGGCCGTCACGCTCGCCTCGCCCTCGTACTGACAGCGCTCCCGTTCCTGCCGCAGACACTGCAACACCGTATCGTCACGCGCCTGCGCGCCCTAGTGCTCCTGCCGACACGCGACCTCGTCGGGCAAGTTCGCGAGACGTTCGAGAGCTACCTCAAAGGGACGGGCCTCAAGGTGCGTCTCGTCTTTCTCCCTCCCGGCATCTCCCTCGCACGCGGTCACTCACACGCACACTCTGTCCTCCAGGTTGGCGTCGCGACGGGCCAACACTCGTTCGCGCACGAGCAGAACGTCCTCGTCGGCGAGAGCGTCCCTGCGTGCGTCGCCTCGTCTTCCTCTCTCCCTCTCGCGATGAGGACTAGGACTGACTCGAACCATGTCTCCAGTGACTGCCAGGGCGGCCAGAGCCAGGTCGACATCCTCATCGCGACGCCGGGTCGCCTCATCGACCACCTCAAGGCGACCAAGGGCTTCTCGCTCCAGCACCTGCGCTTCCTCGTGCGTCTCGCTCATCCTCCTCTCGCCGTGTCGACGGCAAGTTTACTGACTCTGCGTCCAAATGCAGGTCGTCGACGAGGCCGATCGGCTCCTCACCCAGTCGTTCCACGACTGGCTCCCGACCGTCCTGTCGGCGCTCAAGCCGTCCTTCTCGGCGGCCGCGCTCGCCGAAAAGGAGAACGACATGGACCCGACTGGAGGGAGGAGGGAGCGCAGGACCAAGGTGCGCGAGGGCGGGCTCGAGGAGGCGGACGCGCTCGCGCCGTCTTGGTGGGACGCCGAGGGCAAGCCCGGGCGGATGCCGAGCGACCTCGACGAGCGGTGTCACGGCTCCGTACGTCCACTTTCTCCCCTTCTCTCTCCCTCTCTTCGGTGCCTCGAACCGCACTCGTCGGACAAGTCGCTCACATCCCGTCGCCGCCGCTCGCAGTGTCAGAAGCTCCTCTTCTCGGCGACCCTCTCTCGCGACCCGGCCAAGATCGACGCCCTGCACCTGCACCGACCCGTCTACATCTCGGTCGAGGACGCGCTCGACCCGCACGCCGAGGACGAGGGCGTCGACAACGAGCTCAAGTTCACTTTCCCCGCCGAGCTCTCTGTACGTCCCTCCTCCTTCCGGCGGCGTCCCTAGCCGAGTTGCACTGACACAATCTCTCTCCCTGTTCTGCAGGAGCACATGATCATCTCGCCGTCGTCGCACAAGCCGCTCTACCTGTTCCACCTCCTGCACACCCTCTCGATCTCGTCCGCCCTGTGCTTCACCAAGTCGGTCGAGGCCGCCACCCGCCTCGCCAAGCTCGTCGAGTTCTTCGAGGAGGCGCGCATCGCCGCCGAGGGCGAGGGCGCAAAGCGCGTCGTCGTCAAGGCGTACTCGTCCGAGTTGGCGCCCGGCGAGAGGAACAAGGTCCTGCGCGACTTTAAGAAGGGCGACGTCCAGATGTGCGTCTCCCTCTCCCTCTCTCTCGGTCTCGTCGTCGTACGGCCTTCGTGGTGATCCCGACCCGATACTGACCGTGTCTGTCGTCGTCGTCGTCGTCGCTCGCAGGCTCATCTGCTCGGACCTCATCGCCCGCGGTATCGACATCCCCAACGTCTCGCACGTCATCAGCTACGACATCCCCGCCGACATGCGCAAGTACGTGCACCGTGTCGGCCGCACCGCTCGTGCAGGCAACAAGGGCGACGCCTGGAGCTTGGTTGAGGAGCAAGAGGTGCGCTCGAGCCTCTCTTTCTCGTCCTCCTCTCCCTGTACCGGAAACTGACTGAGCTTCTCTCCCTCTCATCAGGTCGCGCCGTTCAAGTCGATCATGTCGTCGGCGCAGCACTACGCCAAGATTGGCCGCGTCCGCGTCAAGGACTCGGCCATCGAGGCGTTCGTCTCGCCATACCAGGCGGCGCTCGAGCGCCTGCGGCTGCACTTTGCGACGGGCAGGGAGCGCGAGCGGTCGACCGTGGCTGCATGAGGAGTTATGCGAGGCGCATCAGACACCGAGGAGGAGAGGAGGGACACTGCATCGTCGCATGAATTTCTCGCTCTCCTGCTCGAGCGAGTTCTGCGAGATGGTCGAGACGGTCGAGAGGCTGCGATGAATAGATAGATGATGCACAAGAACGATGCGGAGAGAAAGCTACACATGAGAGAGCTAGGTACAGCACCGAGAGCGAGGCCGTCCGCCTCCTCGCCGCGCCACCCAGTCCAGCTGAGCTCGCGGCCCCCTCCTGCCCCTCAGGCCTCGCCCTCCTCCGACGTCGTCGCCGCGTCCGGTACCTTGCACCAGCTCGTCTGACACTCGCTGTCGACCGACTCTGGCTCGTCGTCGTCGTCGTCCGTCTCGCTCCAGTGGCTCACTTGCTGCCTCGGCGCCGACGGCGGCTTCTGCGCCTGCGCCATCCAGATCGACGCGTTCTGCACGTCCTCGACCTCGGGATCGACCTCCGAGTCGTCGGCGTCCTCGTCGACGTCCGAGTCGGCGCGCCCGCCGACGAAGGACGAGCCGGACGACGAGCCCGAGCGACGACGCACGCCGCCCGCGTCGAGGGCTGGCGACTCGGGTCCCGAGCCGGGCAGGCTCGGCAGCGGGAGCGACGGCGGTGGCGTCGAGGCGTGCGGGCGAGTCGGGGTCCGAGCGTCGCGCGACGCCTTGGTCGGCGTGCGCAAGTCGCCCGCCGGGCCGAACACGTCACTCGCGCGCCTCGGTCCGCCGCCGAGCGGCGAGCGGTGGGTCGGCGGCGCCGTCGCCTTTGCCAGCGACGGCGAGAGGACGCTGCTGCCGCCGTCGCTCGTGTGCTGCTTGAGGACGAGGGCCGCCGGCGGCGCGATCGACTGCTTGCGCCGGCCGGCGCGAGCGCCCGCCAGGAAGCTCTTGGCCGACACCGCGACGCCGTGGTCGTTGCCGAGCTGCGGGAGCGACGGCATGGGCGGAGGAGGAGGGAGGCCGTCGGCGAGGGACGGCTTGCGCAGCCGACGCTCGGCCGACGGCGTCGTCGGGCCCATCGTGATGTCGTCCTCGTGGCCCTCGATGGCGCCCTCGTGCGCCATCGAGCTCTGGCGCCTGGCCTGCTGCGCGAGCTGCGCAAAGTCGACGCCGCCGCTCTGCGACACGGGCGGGACGTAGGCGCCGAAGCGGTGCTGGCGCAGGCTCCTCGGGCGGTGCGCGACGCCGTGGCCGACCGAGAACGACGCGGCGCGGCCCATGATGCCCTCCTCGTCGATCGAGAACTGGCGAGCGCGAGGAAAGCCCTCGGCGCCCGGCGCGTACGACGACGAGCGGTTCGTGCGCGGCGGGCCGCCGCTGCTGCCGCCCGACCGGAACACGTCGCCCTCCTCGAAGTAGCACGTGCGCTGGATCGCCTCGAGGTCGAACGGCGGCAGGCCCTCGGTCATCGTCGTTGCGATGGACGAGACGGACAACTTGGGCCGGCGGCCGCCGCTCAGGGTCGTCATGTACGACGAGTCGGACGAGAACGAGCCGCCGTAGGACGACGCCTCGGACCGGCCCGACAGCTTGCGCGGGGCCGCTGCGCTTGTCGGCGTCGTCGGCGAGTGATGCTGAGACGGGCGACGGGAAGGCGGCGCTGAGGGAGCCGAGGTGGGAGGGTACATGCCCGACGGGTCGGCGGCGACGGCGGGTGCGGTCGACGACGACGCGTTCATGCGGTAGTTGAGGAACGTCGCGGCGCTCGTGCTCGGCGTGCGCGCCCGGGGCGGCTCGGGCAGCGACGAGGTTGACGACTGGAGCGGCGGGACCACCGGGGCCGCGCCGCTCGCGCGAGGTTTGAGGCGGATCTCCCACGACGTGTACGGGCGACCCTCGTCGTCGACGCAGGGAAGGCAGACCCAGCCGACCTCGAGCTCCTCGGGGCGGTGGTAGCTGCGCAGGCTGACCGTGAGGCCGTCGGCGCCGAACGCTGCCCGCGCGACCTCGCGAGGCGCCGGCGCCGCGCCCTCGCGCACGCTGATGCCGATCGAGTTGCTCGTCGAGAGCGGCGCGCGAGGTACCGACGACGGGCGACGAGACATGGACGGCGTGACCGAGGGCGCAGTCGACGGGCCGGCCGTCGGCGGGAAGAAGGCGTCGTCGACCTTTGCGACGGTGCCGAGCGGCGGCTTGCTCGGCGGCTGGACGCTGCGCGGCCGCTCACGTCCTTTGAGCGCCGACGACGTCGCCGCCGAGACGGCCGACGGGCGGCGCGAGTTTGCCGTCGTCGAGGTGCGCGACGAGTACGTGGCCGACGAGCGCGAGCGGTCGTCGTACAGGTCGGCGATGCGGGCAAAGGCGTCCTGGACGATTCGGGGCGACTCGTCCGACGTGCCACGACGGTGCGCGGGCCGAGGCGGCTGGACGCTCGACTGGACCGGCGCCGAGGACGACAGGTCGTGGAACGGCGAACCGAGCGCGATGCCCGTCGTCGCCGCCTCGTCGGCTGCTCGCGCTCGCTCGAGCAGGATGTCGGTCGCGCTCGAGTCCCAGGCCGAGTTCTTGCGCGGCATGGTGATGTCGAGGTCGGCCTCGGGCGAGGGTTCTGCTGCCGGCGCGGCGGCCGAGACGACGTCAGGGAATGCGGCCTTGATGGCGGCCTCGTTCTGCGCGAGGGAGAGCAGTCAGTATCCGGACCAGGGACAAGCGCGAAATGGGCGGGACGGACCTCGGCGATGAGCGTGTCAACCTTGCTCCTCCTCGACCGACTGCGGCTGCGGCCGTCCTCGTCGTCCTCGTCCTGCGCCGGGGCCGCCTCCTTCTCCTTGCCACCTCGGCTGAACCGGCTCTTCAACGGGCTGAGGAACGACGAGCCCGACTGGGTGCCGTTGACCTTGATCGGCGGCGGGCGACCTCGGACGACCTTCTTGACCTCGACCTTTGAGGTGGCGGCGGAAGGCGGTGCGACCTTGGACGATGGGTGCGAGATCGGTATGGGTGGGACCTCGGGAGCAGGCGTAAAAGTCGGGGTCGAGTCGATGCGGGCGACCATCGGGTACGAGATGAGGCCGCTCGAGAGCTGCTTGGCGAGAGGGCGCTTCGACGAGGACGACATGGTCGTCGACGTGGGCGCTGCCGCGGCGGTCGACGAGGGAGTACCGAGACCGGGAACTCGACTCGGCGGTGCGGCAGGTGGAGGAGGGGCGGCCGGGTTGAGCGAGGCGGCGAAAGGGGCGAGCGAAGGAGGCGAAGAGTGCGAGGCGAGGTGCCGAGTGCGCGGCGTCTTGGACGTCCTCGTTCGAGGGTCGACAGCTGCAGGGTGGGCATCTGTGTAGCAAGGAAGGACGCAAGGCCCCAGAGTGAGCGAGGGCTCCTGGTCCGGCCGTAACTCCCTCGCCCGCGCAGGATCGGGCGAGAGAGAGAGGGACGCACCTCGAGTAGATCCGCCGAGCTCTGCAGGCATGTCGACGCCTCCCAGACCGAGTCCCTCGCGCCTGGCGGAGCCGTGGGCCTGCGACGCCAGCATCGCGACGGCGGCGGCGGCGGCGGCGGCGGACGACGGCCGAGTCGAGTGGGGAAGAGAGCGAGCGGGTGCTCGGTCGACTGGTGCTCTGCTCTGCGGTAGGGTGCTGGCTGGTGGCGCACAGGCGGTGGTCGCACACGATGGGGGAGGAGCGAGGCGAGGAATTCGTCGGTACGAGGAAGGAGCGGACCTCGACCGTCTCGCGCCAAACTCGATCGAGCGACTTGGGCGTCGGGTGCGGGGGGTCGGTCGACTTGGCCGCGTGCTCGGTGCTTCCGTTGCCCGGCTCGGCTGTGCACGCCTCGAATGCGTTTCTGGCTCGAGCGACAGAGAGAGAGAGCGCAGGAAAGACGACGACGGTCCCGCACGAGCCGCTCGCGCGCCATAAACCCGCGTACGCCAGCTGCGGCGACTCGAACGCACGGCTCAAAGTTCGCAGCTGCGCCCGCGGAACGCCCTGGGTAGCCCAAACTGGGCAGCGCTCAATGAAAGACGACCGGGCGCGAAGGGGAGAGGAGGCGGGCGGCGAGCGTCGACCTTCCTGAACCGGCTCGCGCCTCGCCTTCTTCCACCCTGCGCAGCGCATGCAGCAGTCGTGGAAGCCCGCGCAGAAGCGCACCGCAGCAATGCGTCGCCCACGGTCCGCCGTCGCGCGCAGTCGCCGACGGTTCCACGGCCGCTCGAGCCTCTCCCGCGCCTTCTTCCGCCTCCTCGTCTCGCCAGGGAAGGCACCTCGCGACTGGTCTCAGTACTCGTACCGCCGCTTCGACCGCTCGCAGCGCCGCACAGCGATCGCCACCGTCGCCGAGGCCGTCGGTCGCAGCCGTCGTCATGTTCCCCTCGAGCTTTCCTCCGTCTCCCTCGAGCGCTCAGGGATCATCCGCTCGACCGCGCAATCTCTGCTCTGGCCCCAGGCTCGCTCCCCGTTGTGCCTGCTACTCGACCGCGGAGCAGTTCGAAGGGACGGCAGCGTCTCGGCCTCGGCGTTGCGCTCCTCGAACTTTCGAGGTGCTCGCTCGAGCCGGATCTGCGGCGGCTCGACGAGCAGCACTTGGGTCGACGTGCGCCATGAAGGGTGGGCCGCCTGAGTGCCTCGAGATCGACGAGGCGCATGCGGCAGGCGAGCGAGGAGGTCGAGGGAGAGTCGGGAGCGAGCGACAGCACGACGTCGCCTTCGATGAGGACGAGAGCTCGCTCGTGCACGAAGCGCCGCAGGACGAGCTCGCACTAGCAGAGCGCTGCGTGCTCGTGGAAGAGACCGAGAGATGCGCGAGAAGAAGCTCGAGAGCCGAAGCGGGTCGAGCGAGACGAGCGACGAGAGACGGCTCGAGCGCGCAGTGCTGCCTCTCGCGCCGCCGTGCCAGGTCCATCGACGATTATACCGTCCGAGAGTCAGACGTGCGCCCTCGTGCGCGTGTGCGCCCGTCTACTCGGGATCAGGGAGCCTCCTCCAGACGCTCCACTCCTTGCCGCCCTGGTTCCTCTCGACCTTCTTGCCCTCCTCGGTGCGGCGCTTGACAGCCTCCATGACGGCGCGCTCGCGCACCCTCTGGAGCTCGCTGCCGCTCTGGCCCTCGACGCCCTCGCCGCCCTCGAGCCCGAGGTTGTCGATCTCGTCCTCGGTCAGGCGGTGGAAGAGCGGGAACGCGCCGATGTGGCCCGTCATCCACTGGTGCAGGTCGGGGACGTCCGTGATGGTGTACAGGAGCCCGCCGGGGCGCAGGACGTAGGCGTACTCGGCGAGTAGGGTGGGCCTGCAGGAGGAGGACGGACGAGAAGGTCAGTCTCGAGGTCGAAAAGGTTCCTCGAGACGGGCTCGAGGAGGGGCGAGGACGTACGAGATGATGCGGGCCTTGTGCTTGCGTTGCTTGAAGTGCGGGTCGGGGAACAGAAAGAAGATCTTGGACAGCTGCAGCGAGGAAGGCGAGGCAGAGTCAGGTTTGCGATTCTGCGAGAGCGAGAGGAACCGGCGGACGCACCTGGCCCTTCTCGAAGAAGTTGGGGAGGAACTTCATCGCGTTGGCGCGGAGGACGCTCACGTTGCCGTACGCGTAGCCCTCGGGCGGCATCAGCTCGGGCTTGATGCCGCGCACGGGCGCGAGCTTGCCCGACGCGCTGTCCTCGCTCGCCTCGACCTTCTGCCGCTTGGCGACGGGCTGACCGGCAGCGTCGGCGGCGGCAGCGGCGACATCGTCGGCGTTGTCGGGGTCGACCGAGCCCGGGTTGAGGCGCAGGGCGCGGATCTTGTCCGAGACGTACTGGGTAACCTGGACGCGGATCTCGAGGCCTGTGGACCGGCATGTCAGTTCCTCGCTCCGTCAGGAAGATCGAGAGAGAGGGGACGCACCGAGCATGAGGGTATCGGGGAAGAGAGGCGCGAGCGAGATGGACAGACCGCCGAAGCCGCAGCCGACGTCGGCGAACTCGACCTTCTTGCCCTTGAGCGACGGGCTGCCCTCGCCCTCGCTCGGCGGCGGAGCAAAGTAGGTCGGGAAGTGCGTCGACCAGTCCATCTGCTCGGGCGAGGGCGGGTACTCGAGGTGGTGGATCGAGAGCGGGTTGGCGTGCGCGCGCTGGCGGTAGAAGCGTTTCTGCGAGGAGGCAACCGCGTGTCAGTGTGGGCTCGTCACTCGTGCGTAGCGAGGCTGTTGGTCATGCGCGGCTGTCGAGCTCATCGCCAGAGGCGGCCGACGAGGAACCGAGACGGGAGGAGGGGGAGGTCGAGGTGAATGAGGCGAGGAGCCATGGGATCGGCCCGTGCCGCTCTGGCCGGGCCGCACAGGCTAGATAGATCCCTCACAGTCCATTCTGGACGGCGCAAGCCCCGCACAGGGTCGCCGCCGTGAGAGGAGGCCACAGAGAGATGAGGACGCACCCTGGGCATGCCGACCTCGTACGTCGCCGCCCCTGCGAGGAGCGACGCGTCCGTCTTGGTCTTGGGGTGAGCCGTCTGGTTCTTTTTGCGGCCCATCGTGGCAGTCTGGCGAGGTAGCGAGAGGGCGAGGAGCTGGACTTGTTCGCGCTCGTCCGCGCACCTTGATCAAGGCTCTCGCCCCTCGCCGTCGCACGGGCGGCCCTGGACTGCTCACAGACGAGTCGTGGCATACTGCAGCAAGCGGACCTGAGAGTCGACCGGCCCCTCCTCGTGCTCTTCCTTCTCTCTCGCGAGCTCGACAGCGAACGCGGCCCTGCAGCTCTCGCTCTCGCTCAATCTCGCCAAGCGCGATCGTAGAGAACATGCACAAGTGAATATTAGAGTTCGCAACGACAGAAAGGGGACGAGGTGCCGAGATGTGAGAAGAGGAGAAGAGGGACGAGGCGCGGCTCGAGAGGCTCGACGACGCGGGAGGAGAGACGGGACAGGGTCGTGGGAGGGATATAGGCGATGACGGCGGGGTCGAGTAATACAGTCGGAGAGGATGAACGAGGAGAGAGAGGCGCAAAGCCCGCCTCAGGCGTTGACGGCGCCGAGCGGCGTCCCGGCTCCCTTGGCCCCGCCACTGCCGCCCTTCTGCCGCTTGACGAGCTTGCTCCCGCCGAAGTCCTTGCTCGAGCCGCGAGAGCCGGGCGTCGGCGCAGGAGGAGGCGGCCGCGACGGCTTGGCGGGGCTGGCGGCGGCGCTCGAGAAGGACAGCGTGGTGGGCGAGCCGGGCGTCGACAGCGAGGGAGGCGAGAGAGGCGATGAGGGGCAGGTGGCAGGGATGAGGTCGGAGCACTTGATGTGGCAGGAGAAACTGCGTGGGACAATGGTGGGTGAGTCGCCCTTCTAGCTCAAAGGCAACGCACGGCCCGCCTGGTAAGGCGGGTGCAGGCGCGAGTGAGGGGACGGTCGACGCACTTGCAGTCGTCGCAGCTCAAGTACGCCTTCATGATGCCGAACTTCTTGTCGCACAGGCCGCACCTGCCGGCGCCGCAGCCCGGACCCGCGTCGAGCCGCCCGCCGACGTCCCAGCTCGCCCTCTTGCCCTGCGCAGCGGCGCTCTGCACTTGCGCGAGCGACGGCGACTGGGCCGAGTACGGCGCGAACGAGCCGAGGAAGCGCTGTAGGCCGGGCCTGCGGGAGGAGAGAAAGGGAAAATCAGGGCCCGTGCGCAGGAAGGCGAAAGGTCGAGAGGAACGTGGACGTACTTGATGAGCGAGAATCGGTGCGGCGCGTCGAGCGCAGGCTCCTCGATGATGGTAGGCGGACCCTGAATCGTCGAGTGGAAGACGTGCTCCTGCTCGTCGTCCTCTTCGACCGCGCCGGTCGCCCCGCTCGACGGGCTCTCCTCGTCGCTCACGCACCCGACGACGGCATCTGCGACCGAGAGCGTCGACGTCCTCGCCGTCAGGAACGACTCGGCGCCCTGCAGGTCGTCGAGGCCCTTGGCCGACCGAGCCGGCGAGCGCCGCCCGGGCGGGCTCGGCGCAATGACCGTCGCCGTGCCCTCGTCCTCGTCCTGCTCCTCCTCTGGGCGAGCGGCGCGCCTCGAGGCAGCGAACCAGCTCGGCGGGAGGCTTGGCAGGCTGCCCGAGCCCTCGTCGGCCGCACTGGCGGCGCCTGGGAGCGTGCTGCCGCTGCTGCTCGCAAGGCGGCCGTACGGCCCGAGGCGGCTGCCGCCCGACGCTCCGCCGCCGAGCAGTCTGCTCGGCTTGACGACGCTCGTCGAGTAGTCGCTCTCGGGCGCGTCGACGAGAGCGTCGGGACCATTCTCGGGGCGGTCCGAGCGACCTCGAGCGGCGGCGAGGTAGGCCGAGTCGGGGCGCATGTCGAGCGAGTCGATGGGCACGTCGGCGTCGGCGAGGGCGAGCAAGACCTCGCTGTCCTCGTCGTCCGAGTACGACGCCGTGTCGCGCGACGAGGACCGTGCGTGGCCAAACTGGATGCTCGACGGGATCGACGCCGAGAGGACCGTCGCCGTCGGCCCGCCGCCGCCGCCGCCGCCGACAAAGCTGCTGCCGCTTTGCAGGTTGACGCGACCCTCGAAGCTCGGGAGGCGCGGCGCCGAGGGTCGAGCCGTGCCGCGCCCGCCGCCGCCGACCGCGCCGTACGCTTTGCCCGACCCGCGCTTGGTCGTGCCGGCGAACGAGATGCTGCCGACGTTGGCGGCGACCGAGCCCGTCCTCCTCTTCGTCGCGACGGGCGCGCCACGCGTGTGCGCGTCGGCGTCGCCGAGGCCACGCGCGTCGAGCTCGAGGACCTCCTGCTCGACGCCGCGCAGGCGGCGCAGGATCGACTTGGTGTCCGGGCGCTTGGTCGGGTCGACGTCGCAGCACTCGAGTGCGAGGTCGACGAACGAGCGAGGGCAGTTGGACGAGACCGAGCCGCGGACCTCGTCGTGCGACATGCCGTAGTCGGGCAGCTTGCGGACGAACGTGTGGTTCGAGGCGAGTTGGCGCGACGCGATCTCGACAAACAGGACGCCGAGGCTGAAGATGTCGGTCTTGAGGTCGAACGCCTCGCCGAGGAGGATCTCGGGCGACATGTCTGAGGGCAAAGGGAGGCGAGCGTGAGCCCCCTACGCCAACCTAAGTCTGCGAGCGTCCCTCGCGAGGCGCGTGACAGAATGAGAGACAGGTGCGACTCACAGCCGTCGGTGCCGCAGTACGTCAACCTCCTCCAAGCCTCGTCCTCCTTGCCGCCGCCGGGCGCGACGCGCGCGAGCCCAAAGTCGCACGCCTTGAGGCGCTCGTTGCTCGTGACGAGCAGGTTCTCGCCCTTGAGGTCGCGGTGCATGCAGTTGTTCGAGTGGAGGTAGGCGAGCGCGCGGGCGATGTCGATGGCGAACGAGATGCGGAGGCGCCAGGGGAAGGGGAGCGTGCGGTCGAGGATGTACTGGCGCAGGTTGCCGCGAGGCAGGAACTCGCTGATGATGAGGATGCGAGGGCGGTCGGGCACAGTCGACTCGGAGGAAGGAGGAGCCCTGCGCGTGCGAGGGGAGCGTGAGTACGAGTACAACATGTCGAGACCCTCGCCTCAACTTCCCGGCAAGAATCGAGGCGCGAAAGACAACGTGCAGGACGCACAGGGATAGGCCGAGGTACTGGACGATGTTAGGGTGGCGCGCCTGCTGCATGAGGGTGATCTCGCGCTGCAAGTACTTCTCGACTGCGGGTTCGAGAGATAATCAGTAAGTGGTCGCCCTCGCCCGGCCGTCCCTCCTTCCTCGAGAGCCCGACACGCACCGTCGTACTCGGTGCTCGGCAGCACCTCCTTGATGGCGACCTGCGAGGCGAGGAAGAGAGCGCTGTCAGCAGACGGAACCAGGACGAGGGTCGAGTTGAGGGTAACGAGAGCGCACCTCGATGCCCAGGTACTCGCCCTTGTAGACGCAGCCGAACGAGCCTTTGCCGAGGCGTATCCAGGTGCTGAGGGGAGAAGGAGAGGGTCAGCGAACGGCTCATCCACAACGACCGCCCGCAGGACGAGGCAAAGGCAGAGAGCGGGCGTCGTGGTGGCCGCGAGTCGGGTGCAGGCTGGACCGCCGTCTCTCGCCTTGCCCTCGCGGCCTGGTCGACCTCGAGCGGGCGTCGTCGATGACGAGGTGGAGGAACGAGGGACGCACCTCTCCGGGCTCAGGTCCGAGTACTGGATCTTGTCGAAGCGCTCTGGCTGGCCCTCGTTGCGCTGCTGCGACATGCTGGGCGGGCCTTGCGGGTGGCGGTGTGCGGGTCGAGAGACGAGAGTGGTCCAGATGGAAGGGAAGGAGCGGCGCGGCGTGCGGCGGCGCGAGCACCCGGGGCACTCGGCGGGTGACGAGGTCGAGGTGACGCTCAGTCGGGGTGGCGAGAGCTGGAGGCTGCACAGGCTGCAGCACGCACAGCAGAGAGTGCACGCCGAGCGAAGCGCGGGCCCGACAGAGTGCGAGCCGAGAGGCGCAAGCACGCGGACAGGGGCTCGAGGCGCGTCGGTCAACCTCGGAGCCGGGTCAGGAGGCCCCTGCGTCTGGATCGCCGCCGTCGTCCGTCGCTGCGCACGAGCATGTGCGCGCACGCGGTAGAGCCGCGGCTGCCGGCGGACGGTCGAGGAGAGAAGCTGACGCGGGAGAAGTCGAATCTCGTCTTGGGGCCGCAGTCAATCTCTCTGGGGGTCGCGTTCGAGCGCAGAATGGTTCCGCTCGCGCAGCACAACGTTAGACTGCGTCTGCCTGTCTCTGCAAAAGCTTGTAACGCCGTCGAGAGCAGCAAAAAGTTGATGATGTCTGTGAGATTCGAACTCACGCCCTTTCGGACTAGCGGATCAACGTGTGACCTTAAGCTAGCGCCTTAGACCGCTCGGCCAAAACACCCTTGTGTGTTTGGGTCGATGGCACGTGCCTTCACGTCGCAAGCTGCGCGCATTGACCTCTTTTCGCGCTCCAAGGCCACCAAGTCGACGCCTCTCGCGTCCTCTCGGTAAACGCCGTAGACGTGCAAGTCTGACTGTCCTCTCGAAGGCGCACACATGGCTCTCTCGACGGCGAGCTGGCTCGCGAACCGCTCTCGCTCGAACCTCGCGGACCACTCTCGCTCTTGCTCGCTCGCTTGCAAAGAGGGTATAGCACAGCCAAGTTACAGCGCCGCTCCCTCTACTGTCGCAGACGCAAGACGAGAGAGTACGCGGACAAAGAAAGAAGGGGGAAAGGTCGGGCCGGGCGGGAGTGGGTCCTTGGACGAAACGGCGCCGAGCGCAGGCCGACGACGGGCGTCCTAGACGACCTCGTAGCGGTCGACGCCGAGGAGCGAGTCGAGCGAGTACTCGACCGAGGCGCTGTCCGTCGCTGGGTTGGACACGCCGAGGACCTGCACGAGGTAGGAGAAGGGCGAGGTCAGGCGCGCCGCTCGAGAGGGGGCCCGCGCGAGAGAAAGAGAAAGAGGGAGACGCACCTCGACGCCACACATGCTCTTCTGGCTGACAAAGTCGATCGCGACGGGGAAGCACGCGTCGGCGTCGTCGCCCTGGGCCTCAAACTCGAGGCTGCCGCTCGCCGTGCCCGCCGCCTCGCTCACCTCGTCGATCGTCCACTCGAGGTGGCCCGAGTGCGGGTTGATGGCGTACGAGCCGTGTGCGGGCGCCTCGGAGATGGACGGCTCGGCGCCGGCGGGGAGCGGGATCGAGATGACGACGTTGTGCAGCGACAGGGACGGGTTCTCGAGCTCGTACTCGAGGTTGACGGTGAGCGACCCAGAGTCGGCCGACGGCCAGCAGTTGACTGCGCACACGCGAGGGCAAGAGTCAGGGACGTGGACGGACAGGGCGAGGGAGAGAGGTGGACGCACTCGACAAAGGCACGACGCTCTCGTCCGTCCCGGTCATCCTCCACTTGAGCACGCCGAGGCCCTGCCCGACCGGGAAGCCCTTCTTGCCCTCCTTGAGGCGGATCTCGCCTCGCTGCGCCCACGCCGCCTTGTCGACGTTCGGGTGCGTCTTGAACTGGAGGTCGTTGGCTTTCGGGTACGCGCCCGACGCCGGCGACGGCAGTCGCAGGACGACGGCGGCAAAGTCGGCGGCGTTGATGCGCAGGTCGAGGTCGCCCTTGAGCGACAGGGACGAGATGCCGCCGTCGCGGTTGAGGGCGAGCGAGAGCGCTTCCCGCACGACGAGGTGGACGCTGCGGACGGTGTCGAGCGAGGTCAGTCCGGGGCCCACGTGGACGGCGAGAGGGAGGGAGAGAAAGAGGAAGACGGGGTGGACGCACTCGCCCTGCTCGACATCTCCGAACGGGTTGGCGTCCTTGGCCGGCGTTGCCGGTGCCGGCGGCTGGTACTGCTGCGACGAGTGCGCCGCAGACGCAGGCGCCTCGTGCTCGACCTGCTGGTGCTGCTGGTGCTGGAGGAGCGGCAGGTCGCCGTCGTCGACGCTGAGCCCGCCGAGCGCCGCCGCGAGGTCGTCGTTGTTCTTGCGGCCCTTTGCGCCGCCGAGCTGCATGCCCTTGCCCTTGAACGGCTTGGCGGCGGCCACGGCCGGCGGTGCGTCGTAGCTCGACCCCGAGTAGGACGGGCCGCCGGTCGGCGGGTTGTACGACGAGGGGACGGCCGAGTAGCTGCTGGGCGCGGCCGGGTTGGCGTACGGGTTCTGGCCGCGGCGGGTCATCTCGCGGCGCTGCGTCTCGAGCTGGCGCGCACGACGCTTGAGCTCCTCCTTGGCCTCGTGCTCCTTGTTCTGCGGGCGTCCGGGAGAGGGGGTCAGTACGGCGGGCTGGCGAGGGGGGACGAGGCAGGGAGCGAGACGGACCCTGGCGATGATCTCCTGGATCTTTTCCTCGTGCGACTCCATCTCGAGGATGCTGCGGACCTGCTGCAGGTTGACGTTCTCGCGCCAGCCGAGCGAGATGACCTCGTCCCACGCCGAGAGGATCTCAAAGTTGACGCGCATGACGTCGAGCTCGCCAATGGCGCCGCCGCGACCGCCGCTGCCGAGCTCGGTGGCGATGCGCGTGATGAGCGACAGGGTCGACAGGTCGAGGAGGATGTTGGACTGGGTGTTGGTGATGAGGAGGACGTAGAGGTCCTCGAGGGGCGTGTAGACGAAGCGGACGCCCGACGCCTCGACGACCGTGTGCTCGCTCGTCGGCGACACGAGGCGCGGGAACGACGACAGGAGCGACTCGAGGCGTGGCCGAGGGAGGCCGACGAATTGCCGCGACAGGAGCGCTGCGCGAGGGAGGGAGAGAGGGAGGTAGGTCAGTCGGCGAGTCCGAGGCGGCTTGGCGGGGTGTGCTGCACGCCCAGGGAGAGCTAGAGAGCTGTCGCACGCTCTCGTCACGGCCGGCGGGGCTGTGGAGCGAGGCGCGACCGGACGAGCGATGAAGGGGAGGGGGAGGCGGAGGAGAGGGCTCACGCTTGCCGCTCTTGGTGACGATGCTTGCGGCGAGGACGACCTGCGTGTGCAAAGAGGTGGCGCAGGAGCAGGCGGTGGACCAGGCGGCGGCGAGGCGGACGGCGAGGGCGAGCGGGTAACGTGGAGTGGGAGCGGGGGAGACGAGGGACGACGGCGGCAGGGCGAGAGTGGGAGGTAGGTACAGGCGGGTCAGTCGCTGTAGCTCGAGAGATGGACGCGGTCTGACTGACCATCTGTGCAGAGGTGCGAGGATGCGAGGCGACGACCGTCAGCTCTCTCCTCCGCGCCGTCGTCGTCGCGCCGAGTCGGCGCGCAACCGTCTCTCGCCTCGATCCTTTGCCGCGCAGGTCACGCTCTCGTGTGCACAGGGACTCTGCGACAGAGCCAAACCCCCGCTCTCGTCAAACCCGAGGCGAGAAGAGTGTCCACGAGCGTCGAGAGCGATGCAAGAGAGAGGGCTACAACCGACAACAACGACTGCACGGTACAGACAGTGACACACACACAGAGAGAGAAGGAGACGAGGTCCTCACTCGTCGACGATCGTGCCGAGCTGCGACCCCCTCGCGAAACCTCCCCTCGGACCCCCTCCTCCTGCTCCTCGCGCACTCCCGCCACCGAGCCCGCCGTTCGCGCCGCCCGACCGCTGCAGCGACCCGCGCTGCGACTTGAGCTGCTGCTTCTTGGCGAGCTCGGCGTGCAGGCGGTGCATCGACGCGATCTGGGTCGACAGAAAGTCGCTCGTGCCCGGGCTGTCGACGCGTGCAGGTCCTCGGTCAGTGCGTCGCTCATGCGCGACGAGAGGAGAGGGAAAGAACGAGGACGCACTGCATGCGGAGGATGCGCAGGATCATCTCGCCCGAGCTCGTCACCTTCTGCTGCTTCTCCTTCTTGTGCGCCCGGATCGTGCCCAGGTTGCGCTGCTGGTACACCGACTTGTTGCGCCCGAGGAGCGAGTTGGACCGCGTCGTGAGCTGCCGTTGTACTGCGCAGAGGGCCCGGGACCGGCTGGATCAGTGACTGCAGGACCGAGGGAAGGATGAGGACGAGGGGACGCACAGCTCTCGACGCTCGCGCGCATGAGGTCGTCGGCGCTCCACTCGTAGTACATGCGCGCCTCGATGAGCTCTGCAGAGACGTCGAGAGTGGGTCAGTGAAGGGCTCGAGGGACAGGGAGGGAGAGGGTCGAGGCGCACCGAGGTACTTCGAGTTGCGCAGGTCCTCGAGCGGGACGCCCTCGCCGCCGCCGTGGAAGAAGTTGACGAGGAACTGCGAGGGCGAGTCGTGCCTGTCAGTACGCTGTCCGAGGAGCCCGAGGAGAAAGAGGAGGGACGCACCCCGAGCCACTTGTAGACGACGTCGACTTCCTTCTCGCTCAGGGGCCGCATCTCGGTCGGGCGCTCGCTCAACGGCGGGACAAGCAGGCCCTCGATCTGCGTCAGGATGTCCTTCCAAAGGCGCATCGACACGAGGCGCCACGCTGCGGGTCGTCGAGGCGAGTCAGTCATCGTCGGGCCGGCGCGAGGGGAGGGATCGAGGAAGGGAGAGGGGACGCACCGTCCGGCGTGAGCGACTCCTTGAGCGTCGCGAACGTGACCTCGAAGTAGTCGAGCAGGTCGCCAATGGCGTCCTCGATCTCGAGGTCGGTGAGCGGGCCCTTGCCCTTCTTGCGCTGCTCGAGCCGCTCGAGCGTGACGGGCGTCGGCGCGTGCGGGTCGTGCACGGGCGGGATCAAGAGGCGCGCCGAGTCGCCTGCGCCCGTCGAGCTGCCGAGCGCGTCGCGCACGTACGCGTTGAGGTTGCGCACGCCCTTGTCGAGGTTGCCGCGCACCTTGTCGAGGTCCGGGAGCGAGTAGGGCCCCATCTTGAGCAGCGAGCGCAGGTTCTGGTGCGAGATGTAGTGCCGCACGAACGGCGTCATCTGCGAGACGAGGCTGAGAGTCAGTGACCGAGAAGGGAAAAGGTGGGAGAAGAGAAAAGGAGGCTCGAGCGCACCTTGTCGACCATGTGGCGGACCATGTCGCCCTCGGCGCGCTTCAGGCTGCGGAACGCCCGGCCAAAGTAGAAGCCGATGTCGTCCTTCTCGCCCTCCATCGAGATACGGAGCAGGAGGCGGCCCTCGAGCGGCTGCCGCTGCTGGTCCTCGAGGCGGAACCAAACGTCCTGGGCGAGAAAGTCCGAGAACTTGCGCGGGTCGAGGTGGATGTAGGCGCACCCGACGTGGTCGTGGTGGTCGACGAGGTTGCGGTTGTACACGGTCGCTCGCAGCCACAGGTCGCCTCGGACCGACACGTCGAGCGTCTCGTCCCACCTCGGGTCGTTTGACTCGTACAGGGTCCTCGTCTTGGCGACGCGGTAGCCGGCCGGGTCCGACAGGATGAGGAACGGGTCGAGCTTCTTGCGCGTGTTGCCCGACGGCGGCGACAGGTTCTCGCACAGGACGATCTTGACCGTGAACAGGTACCGAGGCGCCGCCTGCGCCGCATCCGGCGGCGGCGGCGGCGTGTTGATCTCGACGATGCGCGACACCTTGTCGGCGTCGAGCGTCGTGTAGATCGTGTCGAGCAGCTGGCGCGCCGCCTGGATGTTGTTGAGCTTGATGCAGCTCTGCGGGAACCACCGAGAGGAGGGTCAGTGACGTGGTCGCGACGCGCTCGCTCGACGAGAGGGACAAGGACAGACAGCAGGCTGAAAGACGAAAGGCTCGATCTTCTTGTCGCCCTGGACGACCATCTTGGCCTTGGTGAGCCACGCCGAGGGACGTGCGACGTCCTGGGTCGGCGGCTCGTTGGCCTTGCGCGGGAACATCTCCTCGACGAACATGGCCTCGAGCTGGTTGGCGTACTGCTCGATCGACTTGGCGATGGTCTGGAAGGAGGCGAGAGTCAGTGAGTGGTTCGAGGAGCGAGAGAGGGGAGGGAGGGACGGCGGGGCGCACCCTCGACAGGCCGGTCAGGAACTTGGCGTTCTCGTACTCGTTGGGCCACTTGAGGTTGAGGATGAACTCGACAGGCGCCTTGCACGAGTCGATGAGGTCGACGATGGACGACGAGTGCGTCGCCGTCTCCTCGGGCTCGAACTGCGAGGGCGACGACGTCAGGATCGGCTCAAAAACGGTGACGAGGTGGAGAGAGGGACGCACCTTGTCCTTGCTGATGGCCCGGTTGACCCACTCGCTCGTCTGCGTGTCGGTCCCGGCGAGCCACCGCCGCACGTACGGCTCGAACCATGCCGAAAAGTCGATCTCGAGCGGCTCGCTGCGGGCGACGACGACGGGGCAGTCAGTCACCGGCCTCGACGACGACGACGACGACGACAAGGGAGAGGCAGGGAGGGGGAGGACGCACTCGGAGACGAACGCGCGGTGCAGGTCCTTGAGCTCGCGCACGCCGTGATACAGCTCGAGAAGGTCCTCGTCACTTGCTGCGCCTTCTTGCTGCGACGCGGCGGCATGCAGGGCGAGGCGAGAGTGGTGCAGGTGCTGGACGAAGAGCGGGGCGCCGACCGAGAGGAAGAGCGACGGCGGGTCGATTTGGCTGCAGACGAGGGGAGGACGGGTGAATCTGGGGCGACGGCGAGGAAGGGGGTCCCGAGGCAAAGGAAAGGGGGGGAACGCACTCGCAGACCTTCTCGGGGAAGGCTCGGTCGTACCCTCGCACCTCGTCGCGGATCCAGCCGAGCATCTCGATCCACGGGTCGAGGTCGCTCGCGCGCTCCTTCGAGTCGGCCTCGGCCATGCGCTCCTCGAACGCCATGGCGACAAACTTGCGCATGCCCGTCTCGAGCTCGCTCAGGGTGGCCGGGAGGAGCGACCCGATCGACGACGCAAACAGCTCGTCGCCGTGGATCGAGTGGAGGAGGGGCAGGACCGACGCGAACGGGAGGGCGAGGAGGCCTTGAAAGATCTCGAAGAACCGTGTAAGGAGCGTGTCGAACAGGAGCGACAGGGCGCGGAACAGGTGGTGGCGGTCGGCGGTCGGCCAGCGCCAGTACCGCCACTGGTCCTCCTCGCGCTGGACAAGGTCGAGCGCCTCGCCGACGCACTCCTCGGGCACGCCCTGGTCCTTGTACAGGCCGGCGATGAGGCCGGCGAACGTCGCCGCACGCGTGATGTTGGGGATGCGCCACCTCGTCTGGCAGTGGCGCAGGAGCTGCTCGTGGAGCGGCGACAGGATGGTGAGGGACACGTCCTCGTCGGGCGGGAGGGTCGACATGAGGGCGTAGTCGTGCTCGAGGGCGAGGGTGTACAGGCGGCGGTAGAAGAACCGAGGGTCGGGCGGGACAAAGACGAACGACGACGACGACGACGACGACGCGTCGGGCGAGCGGTCCTCGGGGTCGAGCGTGTTGCCGTCCGACCCGACGATGACGAGCGAGCTGTGCGAGCTGCGCCGACTCGCCTTGTCGGTCAACGCGAGGCCCTCGACGCCGAGCGACCCGCCGCCGCCACCCTTGACGAGGTCCGGGTTGCGCATCGTCATCTCGAGGAGGAGCTCCTGCAACTCGTCGTTCTCCTGCTTGCGCCACGCGCTGAACGCGTCCTCCGACTCAAAGTGCTCGGGCCGGAACGGGAAGTGGTGCGAGCCTGACGACTGCGAGGCCGACGAGGCCGACGGCGGCGAGACGGCGAGCTGCGCGACGGCGTTGATGATCGCCTTGAGGTCGTTGAACGCGGCCTGCGAGGGGGAGTCACCGAGTCAGGTGCGGCCCTCTGCGAGGCGGACATGAGAGAGCGAGAGCGTACCTGCTCGGTGCACGTGCGCTTGAGCGACGCGACGTCGCGCTTGAGCTCGGCGTCGCCCTTGCCGAAGATGGAGCCGATGGCGCGCACGAGCGGCATGTCCTCGAGGACGACGACGGCCGGTGCCGCCGAGGGCGAGTAGTCGAAGCTCTGTCGAGCGATGGCCGGCGACGAGGGTGCGGCGGCCGAGCCGAGGCCGGGCGAGTAGGACGGGTACGGGTTCGAGGTCGAGGCGGACAGGGTGCGGTCGTGGGTCGACTGGGGCGGCGCCGCCGGCTGCGGCGTCGTCGCGTCGCTGTCGAGCTTGGCGCAGTACGTCTCGAGGCGGTTAACGAGCTCGCCCGGGACGCGGCTGCACGACTTGAGCGTGTCCTTGATGACGCGGGTGAAGCGCGCGACCTGGGCGTTGAGCTCGGGTTTCCAGTCGTCGCCGGTGAGCCGCTTCTTGAGGACGTTGCTCGCCGTCGTGACGAACATGAGGATGATCTCCTCGATCTGGCGGTTGTCCTTGAGCTTCTTGTGGAAGCTCGGCTGGGCATAGGTCGTGTAGAAGGCGCCGATCGTCTGGCGGAACAGCGGGTCGGCGTGCGCCGGGTCGGCACCGCGCGCGATGAGCTCCATGCGACGATCGAGCGCCTTGACAAAGTCCTTGGGGAACCGCGACGCCTTGTCGCGGCTGCTCGACGAGTCCTTGAAGACGTCGCCGAGGGACGCGAGCGCGCTCGTCCAGCCGTCGGCGGGTCGCAGCGACGAGCCGGTGCTGCTCGTGGGCTTGGTCGCGGGGCGTGCGAGGGCGGCGGCGTGGGTGGTGGACGAGTGACCGGTGCCAGATGGCGGCGCGGCCGAGGGCGAGGGGGCGTTGGCGGCGGCGTGGCCTGCACGCGCAATGCCGTGCTCGAGGACGGCGACCTTGAGGGCGTGGAGGTAGACGTCGTGGTCGTCCCACCCTGCGTTGCTCGCCGCGCTCCTCGCCGTGCGGGTCGTCATGGCGGTGCAAGGAAGGGCGCCTCGCTCGAGGGCTCGAGGCGGTCGAGAGACGGGGTGGGCGTGGTCGTCGGCGTGCTGGCACTCGTGGCTGAACGACTGGCCGGGCTCGAGGGCCGAGGAAGCGAGTGTGTTGGACGAGTCGGACGCGGGGGCCGATGTCGAGTCTCGACGAGGAGCGGAGAGTCCGGCGGCGTCGTGCGGCTCTGTCGGAGGTGCGGCGGGCCCAGGTGCAAGCTGTACAGGCGCAGCTGCTGTCCTCGTAGGCCGGGACGAGGAGCGAGTCGGTGGTCGTCTGCCCTCGCTCGACCGCCCGTCGTCCGCTGTCGAGCAGCTCGCCGAGACCGTTCCCTCTCGCGCCTCGGCTCGACTGTTCTCGCCCAGTGTATCTGCAGCAACAGAGCAGTCACACACTTGTCGAGCCTACCAACGAGCGAGAAAGAGAGGGCGGAAACTCGGTGCTGCATCTCGGCTCGCCGCCCGTTCGTCTCTCCTCCTCGACGCCGCCAGCCTGTTACTGCGCCCTGCTCCGCTCTGCGCCCGTCTCGACCGCACCGCCCTCGTCCCCCTTGTCGAAGAGACCCTCGCTCATCTCGACGATGCTGCGCATCAGGCTGTCGAGGTCCTCGACTGCCCTCGCCCCGTCTGGACTCAGCGGCCGCCCGTACGACCCTGCCCTCGATCGTCCAGCACTCGCACCTCCTCCAGAAACGCTGCCGCCGGGCGAGAGCAGCACCGCCCCGCTCGAGGCCGACGATCGCGACGCGAGCGACGAGGCCGACGTCGACGGCGTAATGCCGCCGCCGCCACCGCCGCCGCCGCCCCCTCCTCGGGCAGACGACGATCCCGAGTCGGCGCGCAGGTATGCGGGACGAGTCGTCGCGGCGGCAGACGCCGGGCCCGAGCTGGCGGCGAGCTGAGCGGTCGACATCGAGCCCGGGAAGGGGACGGCGTCGGCCGTCGACGCTGCGCGAGCGAGGGTCGGTCGCGGCCCGGCGCCGCTGCGTGTCGTCGACGCCGACGTCGAGGGAAGGGCCGAGAGCGAGCGCGGCGACACGGCGGCAGGCGTCGAGCCGTTCACCCTCGCGCTCGAGGTGTCGAGGCGCAGGCGGGACGTGATGGACACCGGCGTCGACGTGGGCACCTTGACGCGCGACGTCGGCGGCTCCTGCAGCACGCTCGACGTCGCACGCTCGTCGGACGAGTGCCGCACCGGCCGCGGCGCCGACTGCTGGTGCTCGAACCCGTCGGGCAGCGCTGGGCTCGGCGGCAAGTTCTCGCGGTCCCACCTGCGCGCCTCGGTCGCGCGCTCGACGCTCGACCGGCTGTTGCTCCTCGCTCTCGACGCCGATGACGATGACGACGACGATGCCGCCGAGTCGAGCGAGCCGGCGACCTTGTTCCACCGGAGCTCGTTCGGGCTCTTTGGGCTCTTGCTCGCCGCCGTCATCTCGGACGCCGTCGGCCCGCCGACGCGCGCTCCCTCGCCCGGGTGCGAGAAGCCGCCGACAAACATGGGCGGCGTCACGTCCGTGTGGATCGCGAGCGGCCGAGGCGCGGCGGCGGACCCGTCGCCGGCGCGAGGAGGGCGCAGCCTCGGGCCGGCAAAGGCGGGCGCAGCGCGATCCGGCACGGGCGTCGCGTCGTCCTGCGAGTGCTCAGCGCGCAGGGCGGGCGGGAACGTCTCGGGCTGGAGCGAGCGCGGCGAGCGCGCACGGTCGCCGCTTTGCCCGGACGCGGGCCCGCTCGGCGACACGCCGGGCGACGACGTCGGGCTGGCCGACAGGGGTTGGTGCTGCGACGACGACGGCGTGACGTTGCGCATCGGGTACGAGCCGTCGGGCGCGTGCGGCGTCTTGGCGCCGACCGTCGTCCCGCCGTCCGAGACGGTCCTCGCCATCCACTCGCCGCCGCCGCCCGCCATCGCCGCCGCCGCCGAGGGCACCTGGATGCCGAGATCGAGCTCGCGCGCCTTGTCCTTGGCCTTGACGCTCGGGGACGTGACGCGGCGCTGGACCTCGGCGGCAGGCAGGACGGGCGAGCGCTCGTACGCCGACGAGGCCGACCGTGCCGGGTGCGAGCGCGACGAGAAGAAGCTGGTGATGCTCGTGTCCGAGACGTGCGACCCACTCGAGTCGCCGCGCGCCATTGTCGGCGCGTGGAGGGTGGCGGAAGGGGCGGACGCCGAGTGAGGAGGAGGAGGGACGGTGGCAGGGTCGGGAACGGAGGCGCGGCTGAACGGGTTCCATCGACGGGTGCTAGCGGACGAGATTGGTCGGTCGACGTCGGTGTCGGTGCGGCTCGACGAAGAAGCGCGGTCGGCGGTCGGCGGGAACGATTGGAGTGAGTCGGACGACATGGGCATGGCCGGGGTGGTCGGCGCCGAGTGCGGTAGTGCAGGGAGGGCGGGGGAGGATACGTCGAGGAAGGAGGGACGGCGGGCGAGCTCGACTCGGAGCGACGACAGCTGCGAGGTGAGCGCGTCGACGTCGCCCCGCAACCGCTCGACCTCCTCGTCCGCCTTGGCGCGCAGCTTGCGCTCGTCGGCAACCTGCAGAGAAAGTTCGTCAGTGACTGTCCAAGTGGGCGTTGAGGGGGACGAGAGGACGCACGAGCGTGTTGGCCTCGGAAAAGAGCTCGACGCTCAGGTTCTCGAGCTCGCTCATGAGGTCCTCGGTCGTCTTCTCGAGCTCGGCGCACTTAGCGACGAGCGTCTCGTTGCTGCGCTTGAGGCTCGCGTTGTTGCTGCGGAGCGCCGTGCACTCGGTCTCGAGGCTCGAGACCTGCGCCTGGAGCGCAAACAGCTCGCGAGGAAACGTCGGCGAGTTGCCGCCGCTGTTGAACGGGACCGACAGGGACGACGACTCGTCGATCGAGGAAAAGGTCGACGACGAGAACCGAGGCTGGTCGGTCGGCGAGGCCGGGTTGGGCGACACGTCCTTGAGGAGCGGCGACGACGCGACCGAGCGCAGGCCGCGCGAGGTTGGCGGCGGGAGCGAGTTGGACGCAGACGAGGCGTTGCTCGTCGTCGGCTTGCGCTTGGACGGCAGGCGAAAGAAGCTCTTGGCGCCGCCGCTCGCGTCGCCGTCGGCCGAGAGGCCGAGGCCAAACAGCCCGCCGAGGCTGCTCTGCTCGGGCGTGTCGGCGCTCCCTCGACGCTGCGCGCCTGGGCCCGAGTGGTGGCGAGCCATGGCGTGCGAGCTCGACGAGACCGACTCGCGCCGGCGGAGCGTGTCCTCGAGGAACTCGCTGTGCGTCTCGGCGAGCGCGAGATTCGACTGCGCAATCTTGAGCTGCGCGGCGAGGTCGTCGTGCGTCGCGAGTTGCTGCGTCTGTTGCGCGAGGGGAGGACGTCAGATCTCCGCTGAGGAGAGGAGAGAGTGAACGTGAGGGCGCACCATGCCGTCGACGACCCGGAGCAAGCTCCTGACCGCGTCCTCCCACTCGTTCCGCCCGATCGACTCGGCCGCCACCTCCTCAAGCCGGCTCCTCCTCTTTCCCTCGCGCCCCGTCGGCCCAGAGCTCGACAGCCCGAGCCCGACGCCCTCGACGGACGAGTGCCGAGTGCCCCTCGCGAGCACCTCGCGCGCACTGGCGACGATGGCCTCGTAGCGCTCGGCTCGACTAGGTCGACGGGAGTGGCGCGCCTGGTTGGGCAGGAACGAGGAAGGGTGCGAGGGGCCGGACGCTGCCGGGTCGAAAGGGTGTTTCGAGGTGGACGGCGTCGGCGACGGGTCGCCGCTCGAGGTGGACGATGTGGCGTGCGCCGTCGTGGCGGGGGCGTCGACGGCCTGCATGACCGAGTGAGGACCCTGGTACAGCTAGTCGCGGCGCCGTCTCGTCGGTCGGGGCGGCTTGAGGACGGGGTGAGAGGTCGGGGTTGGGTGACGACTGCGACGAGCGGACGCGGCGAGTCGAGGGAGGTGGTGCGAGGCCGCTTCGAGGTGGTGAGGTACAGGCGGATCGTGGCTCGCGGCAGGCGGTGACGCGGTTCGGCTGCGGGCAGCTCGGTGCGGTCAGTTGGCAGATCAGGACGCAGCTCTCCGACGAGGAGGGGAGGGGACGCACAAGCTGGACGGGAAGACGTGGGTCGCACTCGGGCTTGATCCGAGGTCGACAGGTGTGCGCCCTGTGCTCTTGTCACGAGCCGGAGCGAGCGCTCGAGGTTGCCGGAGGGCGACGACTCGGGCGACGACGACGACGAGGCCGAGGACAGGTCGGCGCGCTGCTGTGGCAAGCTGGTGGACGCGCTCGTGTAGGTGCAGCTGTGCAGGCGCGCTGAAGGCGACGTTCACTCGCGGCGGGAGCGAGGGCGAGGCGAGACGAGGGAGCCAACCTTGTCGTCCCGCATCGTCGGCTCGTCGCGGGGCAAGACGGATGGCCGCAGTCTCCAGAGCTTGCAATCTCTCTCGTGTGGGACAGGGCCATGTGCAGAAGAACAGCTCGATGATTGCGCAGAGGGAGAGAGAAAGGGCGGGGGGAGAGAGAGAGAGAGAAGGAGGAGAAGACGACGGCGCGGGAGGAGACGAGGGAACGGGCGCTCAAGACGGGGTCCACTTGGCGTAGACCTGCTCGCCGACGGTCGAAAATTGGAACACGCCCGTGCGCGTCACGCCGTTGGGCGGTTCGAGCATCGACTCGACCAGCTCGTGCAGCGTGACGGCGCCCGCGTCCGACGGCCACAGGACGAGGATCGCCTTGTAAATGTCGTCGACGGGCATGGCCAAGTCGACCTTAGTCTGCCCGAGCTCGTGCAGCTTGAGGAACGCGACCCGGCTGCGGTCGCGCAGGATCGATTGCCGGTCGAGCGTCGGCACCGGCGGCTGCGCAGGCTGCGCGCCCCAGATGGACCCGCCGCCGCCCGACGAGAACGGCGAGGCCCAGTCGACCGAGCCGCCAGAGACGGACGACGACGAAGGAGGCGCAGAGACGCCGCTCCCGATCGGCGCAGACGACGCGTTCGAGATGGACGCCCGGGGAGGCGGCACGACAATCTCGTCGTCCTCGTGCAGCGCCGACGAGCCAAACACGCGAGGCGGCGACGACGACCGGGCGCTCGACGACACGGCCGACGGCGGGCGACCGATTGCGCTGCCGATCGGCGCGACGTTGACCGGGCGCGGGCTCGTGGCGGGAGGCGCGAGCGGCGACGGGCCGAGCGACAGGCCGTTGGCCTGCGGCGAGCGGACGCTGGCCGCCGCCGACGACGACGACGGCTGCGACGAGGCACCAGGAGGCGGCGGGCCGATCGGGGTGCCGCCCCGGCCCAGGCTGGGCGAGATCTGCGGCCCGCCCTGCTGCGGCGGCGGCGACATGAACGACGACGACGACGACGACGACGAGGGCATGCCGATGTTGCCGAACGCCTGTTGCTGCTGAGGGTGGCCCAGGCTCATCGGCGGTGGCGGCGGCGGCGAGAACATGCGGCCCGGCGCCATGCCGTTCGGCTGCGACACGTTGCGCTGCTGAGGGTACGACGGCAGGTTGTGCTGCCCATGGAGGCTCGGCTGGCGCTGCTGCTGCTGCTGGGGCTGAGACGGCGGCCCTTGCTGATGAGGCGGACCCGACATGGACGGCTGGCGAGGCATGGCGCCGTGCGGGAACGACGACGGCTGCTGGCGGCCTGCGCCGGGCCCAGTCGGCGGCGGCGACGGCTTGGACATCGACACGGGCACCTTGGGCAGGCCCGGGATCGACTGCTGCTGCTGCTGCTGCTGCTGCCCTCGAGAGGAAGGAGGTGCGGCGCGCTGGTTGACGGGCGACTTGGGCGTGGCGGCGGCGGTCGCGGCAGCAGCTGCGGCGGCGGCGGCGGCCTGCTGTTGCTGCTGCTGCTGCTTGGCGCGAGCGGCGGCGGCGGCACGCTCAGCTCGCTCCTTGTCCTCCTTGGCCTTGCGCTCGGCCGCCTCGCGCGCCTTGCGCTCGCGGTCCTCGCGGTCGCGCTGCTCGCGCTCCTCGCGCTCTTTGCGCTCGGCCTCGGCGCGCGCCTTGCGGTCGGCGTCGTCGCGCGCCTTCTTCTCGCGCGCCTCCTGCTCGGCCTTGACCTTGGCCTCGCGGGCGAGCCGGGCCTTCTCCTCCTTCTTGAGCCGCTCCTCCTCGCGCTGTTGCCGGGCGCGCTCCTCGCGACGAGCCTTCTCCTCGTCGCGAGCGCGTCGCTCGGCCTCGCGCTTCTGCCGCTGCTCCTCGTTGCGCTGGCGCTCGGCTTCGAGGCGAGCCTCCTCGGCCTGCTTGGCCGCGAGCTCGGCGGACTCGCGCTCGGCCTCCTTGCGCAGGCGCTCCTCCTCCTTCTTGAGCTTCTCGGCCCTGTAGGTGACAAGGCGACGTTAGTACAGGTCGACGAGAGGGAAGGAAAGGGAGGGGAGGTGGACGCACTTCTTCTTGTCCTTCTTCTTCTGCGCCTCCTTGGCCTTCTTGGCCTCGCGCTCCTCCTGGAGCCGCTGCTCGGCCTCGATCTCGCGCAGGAGCTGGTTCTGCTTCTCGGCGGCGACCTCCTCGCGGTAGGCCGTCAGGACGCGCTGCTCGAACATGCGGGCCGCGAAGATCTGGAACATGCGGCGGCCCTCCTCGACGCGCTCTTGCTCGGTCAACGGCTCGTCGTCCTCGTCCGAGCCGTCGTCCTCGTCGTCTCTGCAAACGCGAGCGGGCGAGCGAGTCAGGGACCGGTCCGGGCAACCTCGAGGCGAGAAGGAGAGAGAGAGGGGGGACGCACTCGAGGTCGTCGTCGCTGCGCTCGTCGGCGTACCCGCGCTCGTCGTCGAACGCCTCGGCCGCCTCGCGGTCGCGCCGCACGCGCTTGTCGGCGAGCTGCTCCATCATCTCGAGGAACTTCTGTCCGTTGTTTTGCAACAGCTCGTCGGCGACCGTGAGAATGCCCTCTGCGGGTGTATGCGACGAGTACTTGGGTCAGTTACCGACACTTCCGTCTGAGAGAGAGAGAGGACGCGAGGGGACGGACCCTTGACGGTCAAGCTGCGGCCAAAGCCGAAGAAGTCGCCCTCGCCGTCGGCGCCGCCTCGACGAGACTTGCGTGTCGGTGCGGGCTGGTCCTCGGGCGCGAGCGAGTCCTCGTCGTCGTACTGCAGGTGGGAAGGAGGGAAAGGGGAAGGAGAAAGAAGAAGAAGTCAGGACGGGCGCGATCGAGGATGGGCGGAGAAGCCGACGGCGCGAGCTGCGACGCACCTCCTCCTCGTCTTCCTCCTCGTCGTCGTACTCGCCCTCGCCGTCCTCGTCACCGTCCTCCTCGTCCTCCTCATCGTACTCGCCCTCCTCGTCGTCGTCAAACTCGTCCTCGTCCGGCTCCTCGGGATGCACGACGGCCGCCTTGTTCTTCTGGCGGTCGTTGGTCGCCGCCGGCGCCGCGCCGTGATGATGCGGGTGATGCGGGCAGCTCGGCGAGTGCGTGTGGCCCGGCTCGCCGTGCCCGGGGTTCGGGTGCGTGTGGCCGTGGTGCGCGTGCGTGTGGCCGTGCGTGTGGTGGCCGGCGGCGGGTGCGGCCGGCCCAGGCGGGACGGCGGCGGCGGTATGCGGCTTGGCGGTTGACGAGTGAGGAGCGGCGGCGGCCTTCTTGGCGGCCGGGCGCACGTTCTTGTGGTCCCGGGTCGGCTTGACGACGCGTCCTCGCTGCGCTTTGGCGGTCGCGGCGGCGGCGTTGGGGTCGGCTGGAGGCGTCGGCGGGATTGCCGAGGCGTCGACGGACCCGGGGAAGGGCCCTGGCCCAGGCGGAGGAGGGATCGTGCCGGGAGGGAGCGAGGCGTAGCGCTGCTGATGGAGGGCGTACGACTCGAGCTCGTCGTAGTAGGCGTCGTACAGGGACGACAGCTCCGACTCGATCGCCGACCTGCGAGGAGGAGAGAAGGAGAATCGTCAGGGCCTGTCGCGAGAGAGGAGGCGGGACAGGAGGAGGAGGAGGAAAGGGACGGACCGCTTGCGCCCACACACGCCGCAGCTGCACGCGCCCTGCGCACCCGCCGCCCCGCTCATGGCCTGCTTCATTTTCTTGAGCACGGCCTCCTTCTCGACCTTGACGAGCGCGCGCCGGTCCTGCTCCTTGAGGCCGAGCCAAAAGTCGCGGATGCGGTCGCGCTCGCTCGACGGGCCGGCGAGCGCGTTGGCGTTCGTGTTGCCGCCGGGCTGGTGCGTGTGGACGGCCGGGGCGGACGTCGTGCGCGCGACGGGCGTGTGGGCGGGCGACGCCGACGGGTAGGCGCCGGGCGGAGCGGGCGTCTTGGCGGCGGGCGGGAGCGCCGCAGCGGCTTTGGCCTGCGCCTGCGCCTGCGCTTGGGCGTGCGCCTGGGCGGCGGCGGCCTGCGCCTGGGCCTGGGCCTGCGCGGCGGCCTCCTGCGCCTGGGCGTGCGCCGCCGCTTCTGCCGCCGCCTGCGCCTCGGCCGCCGCAGCCGCCGCGCGCTCGCGCTCCTTGCGCTTCTTCTTCTTGTTCTTCTTCTTGTTGGACGCGGAAGAAGGGGCGTCGCCGGCGGCGTCCTCGTCCTCGGTCTCGTCGAGCGCGGCGCCGTCGTCGACGACGGGCTGGACCTGGGCGGCCGTCGCCTGCTGCTGCTGCGCCGCCTTGGCCGGGGCGGCGACGGGCGGGAACGCGCGCGCTGCGCCGCCGAGGTCGCCCCACGTGAACTCGCCGCCGGCAAACTGGCCGCCGATCGAGCCGATGGCCTCCTCCATCTGCTCGCGCGTGGGCATGCCGACCGGGAACGAGCCGAGGCTGATGGTGGCGGCGGCGGCGGGTTGCTGCTGCTGCTGCTGCGACTGCGACTGCGACTGCTGCTGCTGCTGGGCGGGCGCGGTACCATTGGGCGCAGGGGCGGACGGGATCTGGGGGAGGGGCCCGAGGCCGAACTGGCCCCAGTTGGACTGGACCATCTGGGCGAGCTGGGCCGCGGCCGACGAGAGCTGGTCGTGCGTCAAGGGCGGGAGCGCGCCTGCTGCGCCGGCGCCGGCGGCCGCTGCGGCGACCCCACCGGCGAGCGGGTTGGTGCCGGCGGCGCCGTTGGCTCCTGCGCCCGCCGCGGGTACGGGTTGGCCGTTGGGCCCGGTCGTCCACCCTGCGGCGAGCGGGAGGGCCGAGCGGATGAACTGGCGCAGGTGCTGCGGGAGCGAGGTCCAGTACGCCTCGTCGGCGGCGGTGGCCGCCGCGCCGCCGGGTCCTGGCTGGCCCTGGCCGTGCGCGGCGGCGGCGAGGGCGGTGCCGTTGGCGGCCTGCGGGAAGCTGGCGGCGAACGACGGGTGCGACGACAGGGCCGAGGCTGCTGCGGCCTCGATCTGGCGGTACAGGTCGCTCGCGGTCGACAGGAGGTCGGACGGGGTGGCCGACGGGTGCAGGTACGAGTACTGGCCCTGCTGCGCCTGCTGCTGGGCTGCACCTTGGGCAGGCTGCTGTTGGTGGTGGTTCTGGCCCAGGGTCGGGTCTGCCGGGTCGAGGGCGAGCGAGTCTTGGTCTTGAGAGGCGAGCGGCTCGTCGCTCAAGTCGCCCGCGTCGAGCTCGCCCGGGGCCGAGTCCGAGGTGCCCTTCTTGCGGTTCTTGTTTTTGCGCTTCTTGGCCGCCTTGGACTGGGCGGCCTGCGCCTGCGAGGTGGGCGCGGCGGGCATGGGCGACAGGCGAGAGGAGGGGGTGGTTGCTCCGCACGAGGGCGACGCGGGCGAGGGGGAGGGGCGGGTGCCGGGTGGGCGGGTCGGGGGCGAGTGGTACGGCCGAGTGCGCCCAGGTGGCTCTTGATCACTCTGCTGCAGCCTGGAGCGAGAGCAAGGTCGGGGTTCGAGGCGTGGCGGCGGCGCCCGCCTGGGTCGCGTGCAGACCTTGGCCTCTCGCCGCCCTACAGCCCTCTCTCGCCGCGCAATGCTGCCGGTGAGGTTCTCGTCGCGTAGCCACAGGCCACAGCGACCGCGTCCCGCTCGACGCGCTCCCGCTCGTGCCGTCGTCGCTCATCTCTCCCCCCCTTTCTCCTCGTCCTTCTCCCTCTCGCTTCTCGGCACAACCCGCCCTTGCGGGTCCGCGACTGGCTCGCACGTGAGCTGCTGCACTCGTACATGCTATGCTCCAGCCACTCGGCGGCACCTGCTGTTTGCCGGAACTTTTTCCACCTCGTCCAGCGCCGCTCAACTGCCGCGAAGCGTGCGCAAGGACGGCGCGCGGCTTGGTCAGGCGACAGCTGCATTCGTGCTTGTCCTGCTCTGACGTGCCTCCAGAGACCTCGTTCACACTGCGCTCGGCCGGCAAGGGCGACGGCTCGAGGAGAGTCGTCGGCGCGCGCTGGCGAGGAGGAGCTGTGCCTCGCTCTCGCTTTGCAGCTGACACTCGACACCCACAGGAGCGTCTCGAAGTCTACAAGGCAAGCCCGGATTCCACAGCGCTCGTCTTTGCCGTCGTCGTCGTCGTGGCGACCCTCGAGCACCCGCGACCGCCGCCTCCCCCTCGCCTCAGCCGTCGCCTGCCCCGTCCACCGCTCGACACGCCCTCTGCCGCCACCTTCGACACGCACAAGCACGTCGCGAGCGGCCCACGAGGTGTCGCAGGCGAGCGAGGTCGGGCGGGCGAAAAAAGGCGGCGCACAGGGAGGCGGCCGGTTGGCGGCGCAGGCGCACTTGGCGAGAGGGCAGAGCGGTCGCAACTCGCTCGAATGCGTCTGGCGCGGGCGCACGTCGTCGTGCGACGCCTCGTCGACCGCCTGTCGCCCCCGTCCTTCGCCCGTCGCTCCCCGCGCTCGCGACGCTCTCCTGGCTGCGCTGCCTCGCGCCCTCGCTCGCCGCAACTTGTGCCCGAACCTGCTTCTTCTCTCTGCGCTCGACTCGAGCTATCGACAGCGCTGCGTCCTACGTCGCCGCTGCATCCTGCTGCTATCCAGTCCGCTGTCCTGCTCCCGCACCGCGTTCCGTCCTTCGCGCCGGCGCGGTCGAGCCTTGTCTCGTGCCGCGGCTTTGCAGCAAGGACCGCGCCGCGTGAGCTACCGCCTCCGATCTATCGTCACTGTATTCGTGCCTGTCTCGTCGACGCCGCGCATGCAGAGCTGGGCGCGCCGCGGCGAGGAATGCTGAAAGTCGGCGACGAGCTTTACGCGCAGCGTCGTCTCGGTGGCAGCAGCGCGTGCTGCAAAGAGAGCCTACAGTACGAGACACTCTTGCCGGGCAGAAGGTAGGCTCGCGGACGAACCCAGAGTCTGACGACCGTCCAGAGCTGGCCGACCGCCGTCGCTCCGTTTGAGAAGGTCGAGCGCAGGTCTGAAACGTTGTGAACGAGCTGCAGGGCAGGACGAGCTTCCCTTCATGCTCGAGCGATGGCAGCACACGATTCTGCGGGAACGCTGAGAGGAGATCGGCGAGCGAGGAGCCAGGACAAATGCGCCCGGCTCGAAGCGACGCCCAGCTGGCGGCGGCTTTGCGCCTGCAATGCGACGGAAAGCATGTGCGTCGGGACAGAGCGACACATGCATGACCGCGAGCGCCTGTTGAAAGTACGGCAGCCGTGAGAGGGGAGCACGAAGCGTCTGTCGCAGAAGGCTCGAGCGGTGACGCCTCGTTCAAGCTTCTCAGCGCGTCGACGTCCCCTGCAACCCGGTCAAGCGCTCAGAGAGTGTCCAAGCAGCTCACAGAGGATCTTCGACTAGGAAGCTGCGCCAGAACGAGCATCGCGTAGGCGAGAGCTTCTTGAGGATGGCCGGCAAGCGCACCCTCTGTCGACGAGCGCTACGGTCGACCGTGCGAGGAGCCCGAGTCTGCATGTGTGGACGACGAGCGAGAGACGGTGCGGGTGCTGCAGAATGACGACCGGCAAGCGCAGGTCGACAGGTGACGAGAGAAGATTGAGCGAGGACGACGGTCCATGCAGCGAAGCAGGCTCGCGCAAGAAGCCGTCCTGAGCGCACTACAGGTCGTCCGAGCAGGAGAGAGGACCTGAACCGCCAGGGGGAAGCAGCTACGGAACCTGAAGCTGGGCCTGAAGTCGGCCAGAAGCCGAATCTCGAGGCTGACGCGCGCGAGGCAGGCCCAGACGAGAGGCGAGACGGCGCGAGACGCAGCTCGGGAGAAGGGAGCTCGAGTGTAGCTCGAAAGAGTACGGCGATGCGCTCTTTGCGACAGCAGCAGGGAGGAGGTCCGGCCAGAGGGCGAGCGAGGACGAGGCAATGTGAGCGGACGGACCCCCGGGCGCGCGCAGCGCGCTCGCGTCTGTGCTCCCAGGCTGGGGCGCGCTTGCTCGCACGCCGCGCGTGCAGCATGAGGTGGTGCTGTGTCGAGCGAGCGAAGCGAGCGTCGGGCGAGGCGGCGGCAGCTCGGGCCAAGCGAGGTCCGGCAGCTCGACCGGAGGTCGAGCCTGGCGGAGCCTGACTGGTCTGGCGAGCTTCTCTGAGGCCTCACCTGAGGACTAGAGGGTGGTGGAGAGCAAGGCGAGGCGGGCGCGAGCTGGGGGACTTGGGCTCGGCGGCGGCGCGCGCCTCTCCCTCTTCTCCTCGTCCCAGTTCAAGATGGCCATCGCACCGAGGTCCGTCCAGCGTCCTAGGCTCGTTCTGCTTTGCATAGCTGACATCCTCGACACCCACAGGAGCGTCTCGAAGGTCTACAAGGCAAGCCCGGATTCCACAGCGCTCGTCTTTGCCGTCGTCGTCGTCGAGGCGACCCTCGAGCACCCGCGACCGCCGCCTCCCCCTCGCCTCAGCCGTCGCCTGCCCCGTCCACCGCTCGACACGCCCTCTGCCGCCACCTTCGACACGCACAAGCACGTCGCGAGCGGCCCACGAGGTGTCGCAGGCGAGCGAGGTCGGGCGGGCGAAAAAAGGCGGCGCACAGGGAGGCGGCCGGTTGGCGGCGCAGGCGCACTTGGCGAGGGGGCAGAGCGGTCGAGACTTGCTCGAATGCGTCTGGCGCGGGCGCACGTCGTCGTGCGACGCCTCGCCGACCGCCTGTCGACCCTTCCCTCGACCTGCCGCTCCCCGCGCTCGCGCACGCCTCGCGGCTGCGCCGCCTGCCGGCCGCCTTCGAAGCAGCCCTCCAGTGTACGAGGACACACGTACTGACTCTACGCCCATCACCGCAAACAGGTCCCTCGCCGCCCGTTCGAGTCGGCTCGTCTCGACGCCGAGCTCAAGCTCGCCGGCGAGTACGGTCTCAAGAACAAGCACGAGATCTGGAGGATCGCCCTCATCCTCTCGAAGATCCGTCGTGCTGCTCGTGAGCTCCTCAAGCTCGACGAGAAGGACCCGAAGCGTCTCTTCGAGGGCAACGCCCTCATCCGTCGGTGCGCACCACCTCTCCCCCACTCGGGCCTGTCTTTCCCTCTTGACGACAGCGCCTGACTTTACCTTTCTCACACAGCCTGATCCGCATCGGTGTCCTTGACGAGCAGCGCATGCGCCTCGACTACGTCCTCGCCCTCAAGGTCGAGGACTTCCTCGAGCGCCGCCTCCAGACCCAGGTCTTCAAGAGCGGCCTCGCCAAGTCGATCCACCACGCTCGCGTCCTCATCCGTCAGCGCCACATCCGGTGCGTCCCCATTCCCGGGAAGCCGAGCGACTGTCGTCGCAGGGACTGACTCGCCGCATCCTGCCCCACAGCGTCGGCAAGCAGATCGTCAACGTCCCGTCGTTCGTCGTTCGCCTTGACTCGCAGAAGGTGCGCCCCCTCGCCCTCTCCTCTTGTCAACTCAGAGCAACGTACTGACGGTTGCCTCCCACGCACGCCCACCTCGCCCTCTCGCCTACTCGCACCTCGCCCTCCTCGACTCGACCCATCCTCATCCACCAACTACCTCCCTCCTCGTCCCTCGCTCGACATGCGCCCACCTACAGCACATCGACTTCTCGCTCACCTCGCCGTACGGTGGTGCCCGTGCCGGCCGCGTCAAGCGCAAGCGCGCCAAGGCGGCCGCGGCTGCGAAGGGCGGCGACGACGAGGCCGAGGACGACGAGGAGTAAAGCGTCTTGCAACGTTTTTTTGCTCTCTCATCACACACCCTCTGGCTGTTGTTGTCTCCGTGCGCGTCGGTCGGGCGAGGAGAGGAAGGTGGGCCTTGCGGGACGAACTCCGAGTGCGGCGAGGGGAATACCACCTGTCGTTGGCCTCACCTTTCGCGCTACCTCTCTATGCAGCGAGCGAGAGCTTCAGCTGGTTCTCCGAGAGATCGCTTCACCCGAGCGGGAAGCTTGTGAGCCGCAAGACGGACGAGGTCGAGCAGCGAGACGAGGTCAATGCGTCGGGTCCGCCTCGCTCGAGTGTGCAGTGCAGGGTCCTGCATCTCTTCGAGTACGTGCTACTGAGCAGACTGCTGCAGCTGGTGTCCTGTCCAGACGAGACGTCGCGGTCGTCGTCGTCGTCGTCGTCGGCTCGAGCCGAGGTTGACCTTGCCGTCGCCCTCTCGCCGCTTCTTCTGCACTCGCTGCTGGGCTTGCACGCCGTCTACAAGGTCTCGCGATCTGGCCTGAGCCCACGCAGGTGCGCCCCCGCTCTCTGGTCGTTGGCGACGGCTCCACCCTCCCCGGACTCGAGAGACCGGCATCTGCAGCCTCGACGGGCACCCGCAGCGCGTGCAGTAGACACTGACGAAGGCACTTTCCACAGCATGCTTCGGTCTGCCCTTCGTCGCGCAGCCACGTCGCGGCGAGCGAGCCAGCCGGCTCCCCCCCTCTCCTCATCGCCATCATCTCCCCCGCCGTCCTCGACCATCACTGCAGCAGCCCGACGCGCACCAGCATGCTCCTGCGGCTTCAAGAGCCTCGCACCGAGGCAGGACCAGGCCGCAGTCGCGCAGCCGCCAGCCGACAAGGTCCTCCTCCAGGCGTTCGACTCGCCCTCGTCCAGCTACACGGCCGCCCCGTCGTCCGTCGCGCCGACCGGCCTGTTCGGCCAACCTGCGCTCAAGACGCCCGAGGACTTCCCCGAGCTCGCCTACCGCACCACCTTGCGCGCCAAGGTCCTCGTCGACCGCCTCTGCCGACCCGCACCGCCGCCCCAGTCGCTCGACGAGGCCGAGCGGGCCTTCCTCGCCATGGTCAAGAACCTCGACCGCCTGAGCGACCTCCTGTGCGGCGTCATCGACCTCGCCGAGCTCGTGCGCAACGTCCACCCGGACGAGCACTGGGTCGACGGCGCCAACGCCGCCTACGAGGAGCTGTGCGAGTACATGAACGAGCTCAACACGCACGTCGGCCTGTACGAGGTGCGCCCACGATGCTCATCGTCGCCGTGACGAGCCGCCCTGACCTCTCGCGCCGTCCTGCAGGGCCTCAAGACGCTCCACTCGATGCTCCCGGCCGACACGCCGACCAAGTCGCCCGCCCTGTTCGCCGCCTACGCCGTCGCGACCCCGTTCCTGCGCGACTTTGAAAAGTCGGGCATCCACCTCCCGCCTCAGCAACGCGCCGAGTTCGTCTCGCTGTCGACTGCCATCCTCCAGCTCGGGCGCCGTTTCCTCCAGAACGCGTCCGACCCAGACGCCCGCGAGCCCGTCAAGGTCTCGCGCCCCGACCTCGACAAGGCGTTCGGCGCGAGCATGGCGCGACGGCTCATGGGCGACGCGCCTGACGCGCAGCAGGACGCCTTGATCGACCCGGCGAGCTGGGAAGGTCGCGTCCTCGCGCGCCACCATCCGGACGCCTCGGTCCGCCGCGAGCTGTACGTCGCGTCGCACGCGGCGCCGTCGTCGCACGTCGAGACGCTCGACGAGCTCCTCCTCGCGCGGGCCAAGCTCGCGCGCCTCGTCGGGCGCAGCAGCTGGGCCGACGTCGCGCTCGAGGACAAGATGGCGCAGACGCCCGAGGCCGTCCAGGGCTTCCTCGACGCCCTCGAGCGGCACAACCGGCCACTCGCGCAGAAGGACCTGCACGTCCTGCGCCAGGCCAAGGCGGCGCACCTCGCGCGCACCGGCGGCGGCGGCGGGCGCGGCAAGGGCGACGCGAGCGTCATCGACGCGTGGGACCGCGACTTTTACACGGACCTGTCGGCCGCGACCCAGTCGGCGAGCCCGCTCCCCGACATCTCGCCCTTCTTCTCGGTCGGCGCCGTCTTCTCGGGCCTGTCGCGCCTGTTCACGGCCCTGTACGGCATCCGGTTCGAGGTCGAGGACGTGCGCGACGGCGAGGTGTGGGCGCCCGGCGTGCGCAAGCTGCGCGTCGTCGACGAGGACGAGGGCCGCATCGGCACCATCTACTGCGACCTCGCCGCTCGCGACGGCAAGGCGCCCGGCGCCGCGCACTACACGGTCCGGTGCTCGCGCCGCGTCGACGACGATGACGCCGACGCCGACTTTTCCGGCGAGAGCCGCAGCTGGGCCGAGGTGGACGGCGTGCGGGTCGAGCGCGCCGAGCTCGAGGGCCTGCTCGAGGTCGAGCCGGTCGAGTGGCGAGGGCGCGTTGGACTGCACCAGGAGCCCGTCGTCGTCCTCGTGTGCGCGTTCGGGTCGAGCGAGGCGGCGAGCCGGCCGGCGTTCCTGCAGTGGCACGAGGTCGAGACGCTCCACCACGAGATGGGCCACGCGATTCACTGTGCGTCTCTCTCTCTCTCTCTCTCTCTCTCTCTCGGTCTCTCTTTCTCCCTCGACGACGTCGTCCTGACCGCCTCTCTCTCTCTCTGTCGTCTACAGCCATGATCGGCCGCAGCGAGTACCACAACGTCGCCGGCACCCGCTGCGCGACCGACTTTGTCGAGTTCCCGTCGGTCCTCATGGAGCACTTTGTCGCGTCGCCCGACGTCATCGCCCTGTCGGCCAGACACTACAGCACGGGCAACGCCCTGCCTCAGTCGGTGTTCGCGTCCCTCCTCAAGGAGCGCTCGCGGTTCTCGGCCCTCGAGACGTCGTCCCAGATCATGATGGCGGCCCTCGACCAGGCGTACCACTCGTCGTCGGTCGCCGACGCAGCCGTCAACGCCGGCTCGCTCGACTCGACGGCGCTCCTCGCCCAGACGCAGGCGCGGTACCACGTCGTCCCGTACGCCGCCGGCACGGCCTGGCAGACCCAGTTTGGCCACCTGTTCGGCTACGGCGCGACGTACTACTCGTACCTGTTCGACCGAGCGATCGCGGCGCACGTCTTTGCCGAGAAGTTCTCGACGGACCCGCTCAGTCGCGAGCGCGGCGAGGAGCTCAAGCAGGGCGTGCTGCGGTGGGGCGGCGGGCGCGACCCGTGGGAGATGATTGGCGAGCTCGTCGGCGACGACGTCGTCGCGAGGGGAGGACAGGGCGCGATGGAGGCGGTCGGCAAGTGGGGCATAGAAGGCTCGGCGCCGTAGATGCTCCCGAGCGAGCGAGCGAGCGAGTGCACTAGACGATTTCTCCTTCCTCGGCCTTTCCTTTCTCTCGCCCCTGCTCCCCTCTGCATCGTGAGTGCGAGATACTGCTTTGCGTTCGAGACAGCTACAACAGAGAGGTGGAGAGAGGGAGAGGTCTGCTGCGTCGCGACTGGCGCGACGGCGACGAAGGGAGGGAGTGTCACAAGAGGGCGCACAGCGCGAAGGAAAGGACGAAGGCTATAGGCACGACGCTCCCGACGACTCGAGAGCAACCGCTCGTCGCCGCTCGCCGCTCGACGAGGTGCAGCGACAGCTTCGCCGCGTCGGCGAGCTCTGCGTCCGGCGTCGAGACGGCCAAAGTGCCGTTGACGGCGTCGACAATGTCGACGAGCGGGTGGCTGTGCACGTGGAAGTGCGCATGATGGTGCTTGCTGCCGTGCCGGTGCTGCTTGTAGATGGCCGGGCGAGCGGCGTGGGCGTGGGAGCGGCCCGTGCGCGCCGAGGTCGAGGGCGTTTCGGCGCTCGCAGCGGGGCCATGGCGCATCGAGGTTTTGCGGGCCGATGACGACCGACTGATCGTGAATGGCGTGTCGTCGTCGGAGGAAGAAGTCGTGCGACGAGGAGGTGAGGAGGAAGACGAGGAAGGGGCGGAAGTCGGGTTCGAGGCCGACGAGAGAGGCGAGGAGCTGTCGGCAGAGCTCGTGCGGGCACTCGTCGTCGTCGTCGTCGTCGTCGTCGTGTGCTGTTGCTCGAGTGCGGAAGTGCTGCGAGTGGACGGGCAGGGTCAGTCGTGCGCAGGCGAAGAGAGGAGCGTGCGGGCCCTGACGCACCTGCTCGAGGTCGAGGTCGTGTGCTGCTCGGCTTGGGAATGCGCCGACGTCGTCGTCGTGCTGCGAGAGACGGACGAGAGGGTCAGGTACGCGCGCGAGAGAGACGGAGAGAAGGCGGGAGGACGCACATTGTGAACGGGACTGCGCTCGCCGACGCGTGCGGAACCCGTTTCGACGCTGTCGCCGCCGCGCTCGACGTCGCCTGCCGAGTCGTACTCGACGACGCCCGACTCGTCGTGCTCGGCGCGGCGGCCAGATCGAAGATGTCGTTCTGCGCGCCGTCGTGCGGGAAGCTCCAGGAAGCGTGGTAGCCGGGGCGGGCGTCGTTGCCCTCCCAGACGACGTTCGTCGGCTCGTTGTACGCGTACAGGGGCCGCTTGGCGCCGACGGCGAGCTCGCACGTCGAGTTGGACGGGTCGCAGTACACCGGATCGATGACGGGCAGGATGGGGCGAGCGAGCGAGTCGTCAACGTCGGTGATGCGACAGTCGAACGCCGTCATGTAAAAGTTGGCGGTGCCCTGCGACAAGTGTGAGAGCGTGTCAGTACGTGCTCGAAGCGTTCGACATCGTCATTTCGCGTCCGCAAGTCGCCCGAGGCGCTTGGGCTCGAGAGAGAGAGGAAGAGCAAGCGACGCACGTTGTTGGCGAGCCAGAGCCACGCGCAGACGCACTTGTCGCCGGTACACGAGGGCATGCGCTCAGGAACGTCGAACGTCGTCACCTTCTGGCGGACGCAGTTGTGGTTGACCGAGAACACGGCGAGGTTGTCCATCGTGGTTTTGGAGATGTCGTCGACGTCGGCGATGGCGAGCGCACAGCCCGAGACGAGCGAGTCGTCGAGGGGACCGGCAGGGTCGCCGGCGTGGTAGGCGCCGTAGTTGTCGGGGCAAGCAGAGAGCTCCGAGTCCGGGTCGGTGGGAGTGACACCGTACGAGGTCCAAGCGACGCTGCGCACGGGACTCAAGGAGTCAGCGCGGACGCTCGTGGCGTCGACAGGGACCGACTGAGGTTCTCGGAAGGCCCGCAGAGCGAGAGAAAGAGGACGCACTGGCACGCGATTTCGATGTCAATCTTCCCGCCGGCGGGAAGGTCGGTCACAGCTCCGTCCTGCGGCTTGAGCGCGCGGTACTCGGGTCCTCTGCGGGTGCAAGAGACGGTCAGGAAACGCTCGACGTGTTCGTTCGAGCTCGTCGCCGAAAGGTGAGGGGACGAACCGAAACCACCAGTCGTTCAGGCTCGAGACGCCAGGCCCGATTGGCGTCACCGGGTTGCCCGCATCGTAGGCAAAGTCGGGACCGACACCGTACATCGAGGGCATCCTGCAGGGCGGGGACGGGGACGAGAGAAGAGGTCAGCTCGTTGCTCGCGCGCACGGTGCGCCGACGAAGGTGGGGCCGCGCGGTGGTCGAGGAACAAAGGACGCGGTCGTCGCGCAGGGTCGAGGGGCGAGGACTGACCACGGGGACTGCAGAGAAGGCCACAGGTGAGCTCGAGACGCGTCGCAGAGGAAGGGAGAGCGCGACGGACCATGTGAGCGAGCGCGACCTGCGCGCTCGAGACGAGGGCGACACCAGCGGCGAGAACGGCACGGTTGGAAAGAGTGAACATGGCCACGACGTCCAGCGTTGGGCCAAGGGAAGAGCGACGCTGAAGAAAGCGAGAGAGAGGACGCGTCGAGAGGGAGCGAGGGCAAGAGAGGAGGACCCGGCTCTCGACCGACTGAGGCGGCGCGAGCGACCCCGCTGCCCGAGCGAGTGCAAGATGCCGAACAGCCACGAGCCCTGAGCAACCCGATTGAGCGCGTCGGCATGCAGGGAGCGAGCGCGCAAGCTCTCCGGCCGTTGGAGAATGTCAACGGCCGACGCGTCTCGCGGCGACAGGAAGGATCGACAGCTCAATTTCGCTCGGCCCGCGTGTACGCGGCGCAGCAACGCTCGCAGAGCGGTCTTTGCGATCTGGCGAAAGCGAAGGACGGCGAGCGCAGAGCATGCGCGGCTCTCGAGAAGAAGGCGCAGAAATCGAGCCGAGTTTTCGAGAGCGCGGACAGACATGAGCGCAGAGTGAGTCTACAGCCGCTACCTCGCTCAGCTGTCCCGACGCTGGCGGCAGGAGACGAGCAAGTTGCCGTCGTCGAAGGAGCGACGAGGAAGAGGTGAAAAACGCTGACTTGCGATGTGGACGTTGAAAACGGTTAGACGAACACGCACGGGTGTTTTGGCCGAGCGGTCTAAGGCGCTAGCTTAAGGTCACACGTTGATCCGCTAGTCCGAAAGGGCGTGAGTTCGAATCTCACAGACATCATCAATCTTTTGTCGCTCTCGACAACGATTCAGCGGCAGTGCAGGGTTCCTTTTTGCGTCGCCGCACTGCTCAAACCTCGCTGCGGCCCTCGCTGTCGAGCGAGAGGGCGGCGGAGGTTCCCGGCCGCGCGAGCCATGAAGGCTGAGGAGCTTGCGGACGGACTCTCGTCTCAAGCGCAGCGGCAGGCGCACTCGCTGCGAGGCAACGACGACAGAGACACGCAGAGAGAGCACGGGGAGAACGACGACCTTGCACCGTGACCGTCTGTACAACGCGCTCGGACCTCGTCACCTTCTCAACTCGGGCACGCCCGCCGCTCGCCCACCCCTCCTCATCCACGCAATCTCTGTCTCGCTCGGCACCGCCTTGGCCCCGAGCCACCCGACGAGCCACCTGCGCCAGTTGTCGCCCTGCTTGGGCCGGATCCCGGCGTCGCCGTCGACGTACGCCATGGCGAGGCACAGCGTCCAGCGCGAGGGCCGGACCCGGAGCCGGCGCATCCACGCGAGGATGAGCGGGATGTCGCGCAGGTGCGAGTGAGTGCCGACGAGCTGGATGAGGGAGCGGAAGACGCGGTCGTTCGGGTACAGGTGAGGGTGACGAGGCGGGGTCGGCGAGAGGGTCGTCGCGAACGGGGCCCAGCCGAGCGGGCGAGCGAGGTCCTGGTCGGGTGTCGGGGAGGATGACGGCGAGGGGGAGGACGCGTCGTCGAGGGGCGAGGAAGGCGCGTCGACGCCGGTGCCGCCGCCGAGCTTGTCCGCGAGCCAACCGGCGAGGCCTCCTCCCGCGCCCTTGCCCGCCCTCGATGCCGCCGCCGCCGATGCCCCGCCGCGCTGCAACGCCGGGTTGCGCACATGCGCGTCCTGCCAATTGCCCTCGAGCACCTCGCGCCAGACAAACTCCTCGGCGACCTTGTGCGCCGGCCGCCCGTCCCACCGGTCGTCGACCGCCGCGCCCGCGGCCGCCGTCGTCGCCCTGCGCCCGCCAAACCCGCCACCGAGCGCGACGTCGTCGAGCCCGCTCGCGGCCCAGCCCGTCGCGCGCCCGGCGGCGACGCCGGCGTACCTCGCCGCCTCGAGCACGATGCTGAGCGTCGCCGAGTCGGGCCGGACGCCGTACCGGCGCTCGAGCGACGTCCACAGGGCGTGCACGCGCGCGTGGGCGCCCGTGCGGTTGTGGTGCGCGAGGAGGGCGTTGAACGGGACGACGTCGAGCGGGACCGTGCCCTCGCGGAGCGTGCGCTGCCGAGGCGCGCGCGAGGGCGTCAACTGCGGGATGACGACGACGTCGTCGCGGCCCTTGACGACGCCGAAGAACTCGAGCGCTCGGAGCGCGCTCTCGTCCCGGCCGAGGCCGCACAGGAGGCGCACGACGGCGTCGAGGAGGTGGCCGTCGGGCTGAAACTGGCGGGCGTCGAGCGAGCGCCACAGGTCGAGGGCGGCATGGTCGTCGCCGCGTCGGTGCAGGGCGTTGAGGAGGATGGTGTAGATGCGGAGGGAAGGGGGCGGCGGCCGGTACGCGCGGGTCGAGCGGGTCGTCGCGGCGGCGAGCTCGTTCGAGCTGGCGGCCGACTCGACGGCGCCGACGACGGCGACGAGGGTGTCGGACGGGATGTCGGGTTGCGAGGCGGCCATGCGGAAGAGGTTGGTCCAGGCTGGGCCGTCGAAGCGGAAGGGTGGGGGAGGGAACGAGATGGTGCGGTGGGTCGACTTGACGTAGTCGACGAGCTCGTCGAAGTAGGGCCGAGAGAACGCCGGGTCGACGAGCCGCATCGTCGCGTACGGGTCGTACTCGAGGCGGGTCGAGGCGGGTCGGTCGGGAGGCGGCGGTGGAGGAGCGGGCGGAACGCTTGCCGGCGCGGGCTCGTCGACGTCGACGTCGTCGGGCAGGTACCGGAGCGTGTACGGCGGCGGCTTTGCGACGACTGCCGCCGCCTCGCTCCGTGTCGGGCCCTCGAGCCGCAGCTCCTTGACGCGCTTGAGCTCGCCGTGCAACACCGCCTCGTCGTCCTCCTCGCCCTGGCCCTCGGACCCCTCGTCGACGTCCTCCTCGAGGTCCGCCTCGCGCCGCTGCAGCTCGGCCGCCTCGGCACCGCGCTCGTCAAGCGGCACGTCCTCGCTCCTCGCGCGCTCGACCCACGCTCGTGCGTCGGCCCTCGCGCGCTGCAGCGCCCGGATCTCCTCGTGGAGCTCGGCCGCGCTCGTAAAGTCGCCGCTGCGCTGCATGACGCCGACGACGTTGCGCAGGATGTCCTTGCTCGGGGCGTAGCCGGCCTGGGCCATCTCGATCAGGAGGCGGGTCGCCTCGCGCGAGTCGCGCGGGATGAGCTTGTCGGTGAAGAGCGGGAGGTAGGTGCGGTGGGTGCGGGGGACGTTGCGCGCGTGCATGGTCGCGAGGAGGAGGTCGACGAGGGGTCGGAGGACGTGCGAGGGCGTCGTCGACAGGGTGTAGGGCGAGGTGCGCTCCGAGGCGAGGGCGGCGAGGAGGCGCTCGAACGACCTCGACGACGTGATGGCGGCCTCGTCATCGGGCGACGAGTAGGCGATCCACTCGATCGTCTCGCGCAGGGCGACGTAGTGCCGCACCTTGAGGAAGTGCTGGACGCACCTCGCGACAAAGAGCCCGCGATGCTCCTCGCGCATGCGGGCAAAGTGCGGCGACAGGAGCTGCGACGCCAAGTACGGGACGTGGGCGTGCTCGGTGACGAGGCCCGGGAGCGACAGGTACAGCCAGTCGGGGCAGACGACCTCGGCTGCGCTCGACGGCCCGGCGGCGCCGCCGACGCCTCGGCCGATGTCGGGCATACCCGAGGTGGCGCTCTCAAGGAGGCCGAGCTGCTCGAGGGCATAGATCGGGTCGCGTCGGGACAGGACGTCGACCCAGACGGCGAGATGGTGGGGCGGGATCTGGCGCGAGTCGAGGAGCTTGAGGAGGAGGTGACGCGGGATGTGGTGGCCCTGGGCGAGGGTGCGGGCGATCCAGGACGTGCGCGTGTGGAAGATGCGCGGAAGCTCTGGCGGCGTGACCTGGCTCGGCTTGCGGTGGTGCAGCGGGGCGTGTGAGGTTGGTCGTCGAGGCGGACGAGCTGCGGGCGAACGGGGACGAGGTCAGTGGGGGAGGTCGTGACTGAGGGGGAGCGTTGCGACGCACCTTGTGGCTGCTTGGAGCGTGTCTCGACAGGCCTTGAGCGGTGTCGTGGCGGTTGCGAGGTCGAGACGACCCGGGTCGAGGGAACGGGGCGCGCGAGGAGGCGCACCTCGAGGAGCGCGACTGAGCGGGTCGACAGCATCCAGACGGGTGTCGTGGCTGATTTGGACGGGCGACTAAGGCTCCATGGCGGTCAGGAGCACGGGGTCGAGCTGTGAGCCGAGAGAGGGTCGGAGGACGACCAGTCTCGCTCTCTCTCACGCTCGTTCCACCAGGCCAGTCCACCTGGAAACGTCGCTTATCTCCTGCCGAGCACTCGACAGACGACACCCCGCAGCAGCCCGGTCCCCTGAGCCCGCCCCGTCCGACGTCGCCTCCTCATCGCCTTTCATCTCGCCGACACTCTCTGCACGCTCAAGCGCTCAAGCAGACGGCCAGACCGATCCAAGCAGGTGCATGGCCTTTCTTTCAAGCCCTCACTCTCTGCAGAACTCACCTCTCGACCTCGCAGACCTTCCTTCCCTCTCCTCCTCCCAACTCTCCCGCCGACGCACCCACCAGCATGACCTCGCTCGAGATCTCCTACACCATATCGCACCCGTCCGACCTCGGGTCCGCTCCTCCCGCCTCGGCCACGCTCCCCTACGCCCTCGACACCTCGTCGCCCTCGGCGCACCTCCAGTCGCTCGAGGTCGCGCTCGCCCACGCCCGCGCCGACCTCAACGAGCGCCTCACCGCGTGGAAGGACGCCCTCAAGGACGTCGAGAAGGTCGTCAGGAACAAGAAGGGCAACAAGGCCGACGATGAGGACGAGGACGAGGACGACGAGGATGAGGCTTGAGGGAGGGGGGGGGGGGCACAGATGGGGTTCGGGAGGCGCAGTTGCGCACTCGCGGTGCGTCTCATCCGTCTTCTCCTGTGCACTCGACTTCAGGGCGTCGACCTGACTATCGTCCTCCTGTCAACAGGCCTTTCTTCCGCACTCTCTCAGCCGGCGAGTCGTCCCTCGACGAGGTCACGCCGACGCCGCCGACGCCGACAGCTCGTCGACCAAGCCAGCTCGAACATCCACGACGGCCCTGCACGAGACGTGCTGCTCGGGCCCATCCGCCTCGGGCGCCGGCGCCGGCGCCGGCGGAAGGCGGTTGCCGAACGAGTCGACGGCCAAGGACGAGGTGGAGCGCGCAGAGCCGGCAATGCAGTATCTCGCACGACCTCGTTCCTCTCGGGAGTATCGCGAGAGTCTGGCATTAGAGAGAGCCGCTCGCACACTGCGAGAACGTCTCGGGCGTGCTCCTCTCGACCTTGGGCTCGCTGGCCTTCTCAATCGCTCGCATGCGGCAAATCGCACTGTATTGCCAAGCGAGACGCAAGAGCACGACACAAAAGCACTGCACTCGACGACCGCAAGCGACCCCCTCTCCTCGCACCTCAGATCTGCCTCTCGCCGAGCACCCTCCTCGCTCCGCTCCCCCGCTCTGCGCCCGTCTTGCCCCGCTCGCTGCCGGTCCCGCCCTCGCCCATCGAACCCGCCCCAGCCCTGAGCCTGCTCGCGCTGTCCGGGCTCCCAGGGCTCTGCGGCCCCTCACCGCCCTCGAGCCCTCCCTCGCTCGTCGCGCCGAACGGCGGCGGCGGCCCGAGCGCGCGTGCGCCCTGCTGCGCGGCCCATTGCGGCGCCGGGCGCGCCGCAGCCGACGCCGCCGACGACGCTGGGCCAAAGACGTGCTCGCCTGCGCGGCGGAGCGCAGCGAGCGCCGTCGGGTCGTCCGAGTCGAGGCGGAAGGCGGGCGAGCCGAGGTGCGCGAGCGCGAGGGAGGGGTCGCCCGCGTCCTTGTCGTGCGCGCCGCCGGTCTCGTGCGACGCCGACGACGGTCCAGGCTCGTCGACCGCCTCGAAGCGCGGCTTGAACGGCGACATGGGCTCGAGCGCCCTCAGGCGGGGCACGATCGTCCCGACCGACGAGCGGCGGTACGCATACGCGCCCAGCTCGACCTGCTGCTGCTCGTGCTCCTGCTGCTCGAAGCTCGAGCGCGACTGCGCGTGGACGACGATTTGGGCCGTCGCGAGGTCCTGCGCCGAGGAGGCGTCGCTCGAGCTCGAGAGGGTGCTGCTGGCCGCCGAGGAGGGGCGTGACGAGGACGGCGAGAGCGTCGGGCCCGGGCGATGCGAGGTGAGGGTGTGGGGGTCGACAAGGGAGGAGCAGTGGTCGTCGTCGGCGGCGGGAGCGAGGGCGAAGGACGGCTCGACGCGGACGCGCGCCTGGGCGTACCACACGGGCGAGGACCGGCCCTTCGCGGCGGCGTCGGCCGAGGTCGAGCCGCCGAACTTGAGCAGCGACAGGCCGAGGCGTCTGCTGGTGCGTGACGAGCGCAGGAAGCGCGACGAGGCGGGCGAGGGTGCGGGCGAGCGGGCGAACCGGCGCTGGGCGACGGGTTCGAGGTCGAGGTCGGGTTCGAGGTCCTCAAAGTCCGAGTCGCCGTCGTCGAGCTGCGCGCAGAGAGCTGTCAGTGTCTGTGTCGCTCCCTGCGAGATGGGAAGGCGAACAATGGGACGCACCTCGGCCGACCCTTCCTCGTCATGGTCGCGCTCCTCCTCGTCGCCACGCCCACCCGACTGCCCTCCCGCCGTCCTCATCTCGCCCGTCTGCTCCTCCGCGCCGTTCCGATAGCCGTGCCCGAAGCTGAACAGGCCGATCGTGCTCGTGCGGCGCTCGATCGGGCGCGGGCGGTTCATGACCTTGCGCGGCGACGACGGCGGGTGGCGCAGCGGCTTCTTGTGGTAGTGGCGGGCCGAGGTCGAGGCGACGAGTGTGCTCGTGGTGAGACGAGGGTGGCGGTGGGTGAAGGAGGGCGAGCAGCGGTAGGGCGTTGGGCGCGAGGCTGCAGGAGGACCGAGCGAGGCGAGGGTGGAAGAGGAGGGAAGGCGAATAAGGAACGACTCGTGTCGCCACGAGAGGATCATAGAGAAGCGATATGACGCACCGTAGTAGGCTGCAGCAGCCGCTTTGCCCCCTCGTCCGATCGAGCCACCCACCTCGAGCGAGCTCTCGCCCGCCTCGCTCCACGCCCACCCCGAACGCCCGGCGCCGCCCGAGCCCTCGCGCTGCGCGCCCCTCGACCGGCTCTCGATCTTCGACACCCACGCAGCGACGTCGCGCCGCTCGCCATCGCCGCTGCTTCCCAGCTCGCGCGCGCCGTCGACCCTCGCCGACCTCGGCTCGGCGACGCCGCCGCCCTGCGCGACTGGGGCGCCCTTCTTGCGCCGCCACAGGAGCTGGAGGAGGAAGCGGCGCTTGCGCTTGGCGATGACCTTGGGCGACGGCGGCGGCGCTGCGCTCGAGCGGGCGGGCTGGAGCGCGGTGGGAGAGCGCTTGTCGCGCGGGGTCGAAGGCGAGGCGGCGAGTCGAGGGCGGGCGTGGTCGGCAGAGGCGGAGAGTCGACCGGCGCCGAGCTTGATGGGGCTAGTCGGGGCGTGCGAGAAGGGGAGCGAGGCGGTCGAGGCCGGGGAGGGGAGGCAAGAGGGCGACGAGGCGCGTGTCGCGCAGTCGGACGCCGGCGAGTCGGGCGGCTGGAGGGGCGCACGCCTGCCGAACAGGCTCGAGAGGGTGCCGGACACGGAACGGGCGTGGTGCGTGCCGCGAGGGGGCAGGCTCGGGTTGGCGAGGGCGAGGTTGAGGGAAGGGCGGGGAGGTGCTGGCGGCGCAGGGAGCGAGTCGGTCGACGGTGGGGCTGAGTGGGCCTGCTTGACTGGGCTCGGGTTGATGGCGCGGATAGCGAGGCTGGTGCTGCTGGGCGAGTAGGGGAGCGAGCCCGACCCGGTCGAACGCGAGGCGGGGGTGGACGACGGCGCCGTGTGCGGCGACTCGAACGAGCGCGTCATGGCGCCAGGGCAGCCGTAGAGCGCTGTGTGACGCACTTGCGCGGGCGAGAGCTCGCTGGCGAAGTGATGAGCGGGACGAGAGAGAGGGGGAGAGAGAGGAGCGAGCGACGTCGGCGTGGGAGAGTCTCTTCCGCTCGCCGAGATGCGCGCCGCAGCGCCCGCTCGTACCACGGCTCGAGTCGCTCTGGCAAGCACAGAAGGCGAGCGCGATCTGGCAGCGGAACGCTCACGCCGCGACGGCGCGCTCGCTCTGAGCGGCACGAGCTGGCAGCGCTCGTCTGGCTCGGTCGATGCTCCTCAAGAGGGCGCCATCGGCATGGTCGAGTACTGCGAGCTCGGTAGCGCGCGTGCAGCTGCCGCGGGAGTTGCTGGGCGAGCATGAAGGACGTCGACAGCTCGGGGCGAGCTCGCTCGAGGGTGCGGCGACCTGGGCGGTAGCTTGGCCCGAGCTGTTGCGAGCCTGCGAGAAGCTGGACGGTGCACACCATCAGAGAGCCGGCGAGACCTGTGGCCGTGAGCGAGAGCTGCTGGCGATTCGGAGGCGAGGCCGACGCCTGCGCGAACGAGCGACAACCTCTCCCTTTCCCTCGTTCTGCCTCACCACACCAAAGAAGGCGAGTCTGCGTGACACCCGCTGTCCCTACAGACTACCAGCTGACCGTTTGCCCCGCCCGCCAACCCGCCCGCCAACCCGCCCGCCGCCCCGACCTGTCACCCTCGCCTCGCCGCCGTCAAACCCTGCCCCTCTCGACCTCGACCCTCCCGCACCTCGCCGCCCCGCCTGTACTGCGCCAAACCGCCCTTGTTCGACCCCTGCGCTCTCCCAACTCAGGCCGAGATGCAGATCTTCGTCAAGAGTGCGTCCACGCCCCGTCCTCTCCCACTCGCGCACCTAGGCGGTTCACTTGAGCTGACCTCGCCTCTCCCTCCCCCTGCTCGCAGCCCTCACGGGCAAGACCGTGCGTCCTCCTCCTCTCTCTCTCTGCCCAGTCGGACGAGTTGCGCACCGCACGCGAAGCGAGCGAGGCTGACTCGCGATTCCGCCCACAGATCACCCTTGAGGTCGAGTCGTCGGACACGATCGACAACGTCAAGGCTAAGATCCAGGACAAGGAGGGCATCCCGCCCGACCAGCAGCGCCTCATCTTTGCCGGCAAGCAGCTCGAGGACGGCCGCACCCTCTCGGACTACAACATCCAGAAGGAGTCGACCCTCCACCTCGTCCTCCGGTGAGCACCCTCTTCCTCTTTGGCGCTCGAGCAGCACACGCGCCTCGTGTGCTGCTCTCCTGCAGCACGACGGTCGAGCTGACCGTCGTTGCCCCCACCTCCCCTCCCTCCCCTCCCCAAAGCCTTCGCGGCGGAATCATCGAGCCGTCGCTTCGCATCCTTGCGTCGACGTACAACTGCGATAAGATGATCTGCCGCAAGTGCTACGCCCGCCTCCCGCCGCGCGCGACCAACTGCCGCAAGCGCTCGTGCGGCCACTCGTCGCAGGTCCGTCGTCGTCCTTCTCTCTCTCTCTCTCTCTCTCTCTCTCTCTCTCCTCGCTCACCCCCTGTCCCCCTACGCAGCTCCGCCCCAAGAAGAAGTTGATTACGTCATTTTCACTGTACCGGGAGAGAAGGGGGCCAAGAGCTAACACGTTGCGTTGCGCCCACAGAGTAAACCACTCGCCAAGGTCGGCCAACACGATGGAGCGGGCGAGTGCGTGGGCGGTGCGGGTTGCTCTGCATTGGCGTTCACCTTCTCTCCTCCTGTGTCGGCGTCGAGAGCCGAGCCTCAGATGCGAGAGGCGAGAGCTTCGACACGAGAGGACCGCTCGCCGAGGAGGAAGTTGGCTTCGCTCCATGCCCTCGCTCCCGCTCGACCCGGCGCTAGCTCGCTTTCCTCGTCTGCGTGTTGCCGTTGCTGCTCGCGGCGGCCGCTGCACCGCGGCGGGCGCGCGGCACCACTGCCTGCAGCGACGAGCTCGAGTCACCGGCTCAGGCTGTTCTCGCGGTCTCTGCACATGCTCTCTGCGGCTCGCTCCTGCACGAACAAGCTGTACTGCACTGAGAGGCTACGCCAAAGGCCAAAAAAGAGAGAGAGAGAAAGAGAGAGCGAGAGAGCGTTGCCGGTCGAACGAGCGAGAGCTGTTGCCTGACCGGTCGCGAGAGAGGTGCGTCCGCGTCGAGGACAGAGGCAACGGTCGACACGGAGTCTGCATGCTCTAGTTCGCTGTGAGCAGCGCCGGGCGAAGCGCTGGGGAGCCCGCTCGGACCGCATCGACCTTCTCAAGTCGGACTTGCCCGCCTTCGACTCTCGCATCGCTCCTCGCCAGCCGCTTGGCCCTCGGGCTCCCGTCTCTCAAGCGTCAGCTCGACGATCACCTGTCGCCGAGCCGATCGACTGGCGGCGGTTCGATGGCGACGCGGCCGAACAGGGGAATCTCGCGCTCGAACCTCTTCTGTCCGTCCGCACCTCCTCTCCTCGTCGCCGCCGAATCGCGCGGACTATCCGCGGTTCCGGAGAAGCCGCGGACCTCTGAAGCAGAGCCAAGCTCGCTCGTCTCGCCTCGCTTTCCCTCGCCTCTCCTCGCCGCTCGCCCGCCCTCGCACGCCCGGAATGGCTTCTGCATCCGCGTCAGCGTCGACGGTCGGCTCGTGGACCGTCGAGGAGTGCTTCGCAGCCGCCAGGGTCATCCAGCGCAAGCTGCGCCGCATCTACAACAAGAAGCACAAAAACAACGTGGTCGAGGGCGAGAAGTTCGTCCTTGCGGGTGAGCTCTGTCTTTCCGGCGCGCGGAACGCAGACTGGGTACTGACCGTGACCTACTCGCAGGCTTCGCAGCGCTGTTCAAGCAAGTGCTGGCAGACGACCACGACCTGAGGGCCCGGTTCGGCGCGGTCCGGCTTCCCAAGCTTCTCACGGTCCGCCCTCCTCTTCCCCTCTTCTCCTCGCGACTTGCAGCTGACCATCCTCTCAGCACAGCCGATCATCTTTCACGTCCCGCCGTGGAGCAAGAACGACACACGGTGGAAGAAGGACGTCCTCGACGATCCCGAGTTCGAGAAGTCGCCCGTCATCTTCTTCACGCCGCTCAACGGCTGGGAGCTCCACAACAACACGGTCGAGGTGAGCTACGGTCTCGGAGGGCCCTACGGCGCCTGCGAGAAGTGGGAGGCCATCGCGGTCGACCAGCTGCGCTTCGGCGCATCGCTCAAGGACGACGAGCACAACGGCCGGTGCGCGGTCCTCATGGTCGTTCGCTGGGCCGTCGAGGCCGGTCAGGTCGACGTCATGTTCGACAAGCCCCGGTACAGCAGCATCCACGAGGCGCTCCTCGACGCCATGCAGCACGTCCTCGACCAGGACCACGAGCGCCAGCACACGCGCGAGGTCTGGGCGAAGCACCTCTCGCCGAGCCTGCTCTACCGTGCTGCCCAGTGGGAGCACGCGCTGCCGCGGTCGGGAGCTGCGGCCGACCTCGGCCAGCTCCACTCGGCGTACGAGGTCCTCGGCGGTTACCTCAAGCAGCTCTTCGACGTGCGCTCGCTCCCCTTTACCCCTCTCTCTCTCTCTCTCGCACCCATTCCTGACATCCCCATCCCCTCTCGCAGGTCATGGTCAGTCCGCCAGTCGCACGTTCGCCCCTGCCGAGCCCTCACTGACGACCTCGTCTCGCTCGCTCGCAGGCGACGCAGCGCTCGCTCGCCAAGTACGAGCCGGTCTCGCGCCGGCAGGTGGGTCGGGCGTCGGCCTTTGTGTAGCGCTCGATCTAGCGTCGCTGCATCGTCGACGAGTCGCCGAGGACCATGCTCGAGGAAGCGAGAGACGCCCCCGCTCGGACCGCTTCGACCTTCTCAAGCTGAGCTCGACGAAGCTTTCTCGGCTCGCTCGCGGTCTCTGCTTTCGCTTCGATCCGCCAGGAGACGCATGACTGCTGCAAAGGCAATGATCGTGCCCTTGCACGCGAGAGAGCGCGGTCAAAGCTTCCGGACGGTCCATGCGCTCGACCTGTGCAGCGTCGCTCGCGGCTTCGACAGCGTCGCCGGGCTCCCGCTCGACAGCAAACCGTCCAGCTACCTTTCAGCAGTGGGGCGAGGCAAAAGAAGAACCCTGCACAGCCCCAGGATCGTGCCCGGAACGCAGCAAAAGATTAATGATGTCTGTGAGATTCGAACTCACGCCCTTTCGGACTAGCGGATCAACGTGTGACCTTAAGCTAGCGCCTTAGACCGCTCGGCCAAAACACCTTTGTGTGACGGCTCGGCTCTCATTTACGTTCTGATCAAGCCCCAAGCGCTCTGACCTCCTATCTTTTGACGACGGTCAACACGTTGCGAGTCTGCCCTCGTATGCGTTCTCGCTCTCTGCGCACCGTACTCTCGCGGCTCTCGCGACGAGACCGGCCGAAGCATCTCTCGAGACCTCGCTCCAGCTCGCTCGAGGCTCGAGCGCCCGGCAAAAGGTCGACGAATCTCGGTCATTGCAGTCTCGAGCGCGCGCAGGGAAACACACAGGGTACAGCTCAAGGTGTGGAGGAGGGAGGGGTCTAGCGACGGCGCTCGTCTGCGGGCACAGAGCCGGGTGAGCTCGAGGACCGACGAGGAGGGAAGTTGCGAGGGACGCACCGTGCGAGTCGTACGCCGTGTCGAGCGCGCCGAGGAGCAACTTGACGAGCCACATGTCCGGGCTGAGGGCGATGCTGCAGCAGGAAGGACAGCGGTGAGTCGTCGGCGCGAGGCGAAAGAGAGCGTCTCGAGGCGAGGACGCACCCCGTCGTCTGCTGCATCTGCGCACTCTCCATCTCAAAGTTGCCCGTCACGTCGACAAAGGAGCCGATCTCGGGGTGCCTGTAGTCGAGAGGACGAGTCAGTAAGCCGTCGAGAGGCGTCGAGAAGGAGGACACGGTGGAGGAAAGGAGGACGCACACGTCAATCTCGTTCAGGAACGCGGCCGCCTTCTGGTCGTTGCCGACTTGCGCGAGCTCGATCGAGAGGGCATCGGCGCCGTAGCGCGTCGTGGCGAGAGCACGCTTGGCGTCGGTGATGGCCTGCGAGAGGGCGAGATAAGTTGCTCGAGGCGTGAGCTCCCTTTCGAGCCAAGTGCGAGCGCCGCACGATCAGGACGCAGGGAGACGAGAACGCACCTGGACAAGCTTGTGGCGGTGCTCGCCGGCCGGCTCGCCGTCGGTGACGATAATGGCGAGGACGGGCTTGCGGAGCGTGCCCGAGCGGGCGGCGGCGACGAGCGGCTGCAGGACCTTGCGCTCGAACGACTGCGGGCCTCGACGGGGAGGCATGCGTCAGTCACGGATCTTAGACAGAAGGAGAGAGAGCGCAAGACGCACAGTGCCGAGCGGCGTGAGGCCCGAGAAGTTGATGCTCGAGAGGAGGTGCTGCGCTTGGGCCTCGTTCTTGATGCCCTGACCGACGGCGGGGCTGTTGAGGAAGCAGATCTGAAGCGCGTGTACATAGAGAGGGTCAGCAAGGGCGCAGAGAGGCCGAGAGAGAGAGAGAGGGGGGGCGCACCTGGATGCCGTCCGTGTCGAACAGCGTGGCGGCCTGGGCGACCTTCGACACGATCATCTGCGATCAGGACGTCAAGGACGAGTCAGTTACAGGTCATTGCACAGTAGGAGAAGGACGGAGAGAGGCTGGGCGCACCTTGGCGTCGTCAATGCGCTCGCCGTTCTCCTCGAACGCTGCGGGCGACAGGAGCGAGTCAGCGCGCGTTCTGCTGGCTGGACGCGCTCCGCAGGGCCTCACCCATTGAGCCCGAATCGTCTAAGCAACCTTGGATGTCGACGAGAGCGAGACGAGCCAGGTCCATCGCGACCTCGGTCGGCAACCTCCACTCGGCGGCGATGCGGGCGAGGGCGCCGCTGTGCGCGATCTGCTGCGCAAGCTGCTCGAGCGAGCCCGGCGGGTAGAACGCCTGCAAGTTCTGGTCCTGCACGCCCTGGCGCAGGACGTTGAGGATCATCTGCGGGTCCGTCAAGGCGCTCGAGCTGCCCGCGCCGCTCGCCGAGCCGGGGAGCGGCAGCGGCGCCGGGGCGCCGTAGGCGTGCTGCTGCTGCTGAGGCTGCTGCTGGACGTAGCCCGGGTTGTAGCCTGTATGCGAGAGGCATCAGTTCGGCTCGAGGGGGAAAGGAGAGCGAGAGGGAGACGGACCCTGCTGCTGCTGCTGCTGGTGCTGTTGCGGCGGAGGAGCACCTGCGGCGGATAGGGTCGTCAGTGCTGCACGGTCTTAGAGGCAGAGACTGCGAGACGGACCCTGCTGGTAGTAGCCGGCGGCCTGGCCGGCCTGCTGAGGAGGTGCGCCGCCTTGCGGGTACGGCGACGGCTTGTTGGCGACGTACTGGCTCGCGACCGAGGCGCCCTGGTTGACGGCGTATGCCAGTGCCATTTTCGAAGCGAGTCCCTGTGTGCATCGTCCCCGTGTCAGCTCGTGCGAGAGGTAGGGAGATGAGGAGGGACGGACCATGATGTAGATGAGCGAGGAGGGCGGGTGCGGGTCGCGCTGGTCCTTGTGGTCGATGAAGAGAGCTGCTGGGATAGATTGCGCACAAGAGAGCCGGTCTCGAGGCGCTGTAGCGAGGTGGTTGAGGGGAGAAAGGGACGAGGCGAGGTGACCGCGCGACCGACGCCGGCCGACACCACCAATCCGGGCGGCGAGGCGGTGCAGACTGCCCCGGCGTTACGAAACTCAATAGCTTCTGATTAGCGGGCTCGAATAGCACCGCCTCGCTTGTCGATCTTGCTTTCTCGATGATCCGCTCAGCCTGGCGTACAACGCTCGCTGCCCAGGGCGAGGGACGCGTGCGGTCACTGCCAGCTCGCGAACCTGTACAGGACCCGGCCGCAGCAAGGCCTGCACGAGCGATCGCAGCTCGACCAACGCCGTCGATCGTCGAGCGCGCTTTCGAGATGAGGAGGGCCGAGTTGGGCGCGCTTCTTCTCCCGCCGTTCACCGCTGCAAGCTCGAGACGAGCTCCACTGCACACGCTGCTGCTGCTCCGCTCGACCTCGACCGTCGCCATCCTCGCGCGCCGTTCCCTCCTCGCCTCGTCGCCGTTCCTCGCCGTCCTCTCCCCGCCGCCAGCCAAGCTGTCGCGCCAGAGCGACCTCCGCGCCTTCCTGCAAAAGGGCAACCCGCCTGCAGCAGCACCTTCGTCCCCCGCGTCGTCCACGAGTCGCCAAGCCAGCACCATGGCCGGCACGAGGCGCGCCCGCTCGACCGTCTCGCCCGACGACCACGACGCCGACTCGCCCCCTCCCGCCAAGACCAAGACGCCGCCGGCCAAGCGCGCCCGCCGCAGCACGACCGAGGACGTCAAGCCCAAGGTCAAGCCCGATCCGGAGGACGAGGACGACGGCGAGATGGGCGACACGCGGTTCCGCGTCCGCTCGTCGGCGTCGGTCGCGCGCGACGAGACGTTCCCGCCCGAGATGGCAAAGGTGCCGCTCGCGACCATGTACGACGCCCTGCGCGAGCTGTCGGCCGTCAAGCAGGAGGACGACGTCAAGCCGAGCAAGGACGGGTGCGTCGTCTACTGGAGCCGGTGCGTCCCTCTCTCCCGTGCTCTCTCTCTCCCTCGCGTGGCCCTTCCTGACTCTCGACGACCCGCCCACGTCACACAGCAACAAGGACCTGCGCCTCGACGACAACACGGCCCTGTCGTACGCGTCGGCCGTCGCGCAGGACCTGCACCTCCCGCTCGTCGTCCTCCACATCTTCTCGCTCGGCGACTACAAGTCGCACGACCGCTCGCCTCGCCGCATCGACTTTCAGCTGCGCCAGCTCGCGTACCTCCAGAAGGAGCTCGCCAAGCTCGACATCCCGCTGTTCACCATCACGCACGAGGGCAACCGCAAGGAGGTGCCGGCGCTCGTGTGCGACAAGCTCGACGAGTGGCGCGCAACGGGCCTGTACGCCAACATCGAGTACGAGGTCGACGAGCTGCGGCGCGACACCGAGATCCTCGAGCGCACCAAGAAGGCGCGCGAGACGGGCAAAGGGTGGCAGGGCCAGGTCGAGCTCATGCGCGACTTCTGCATCGTCGCACCGGGCCAGGTCCTTACCAAGGTGCGTCCCTGCTCACGAGCCCCCACCCTCCTCACCCACCACCCGGGACTGACCCTCTCGTCCCCGTTCGTGCGCTTGCAGCAAGGCAAGCCGTACTCGGTCTACTCGCCGTACCAGCGCTCGTGGCTCGCCGAGATCAACTCGCACCTCGCCGACTACATGCACAAGCAGAACGGACCCGTCGTCGCCAACGCGTCGTCGGTGCGCGACCACGCCGTCCTCGGCCCCATGTTCGCCCACGAGATCCCGACCTCGCTCGCCGGGTTCGAGCTCGAGGGCGGCGACGACGAGGCGGCGCGCATGCGCAAGCTGTGGCCTGTCGGCGAGGGCGTCGTCGACGGCATCATGCGCCGGTTCCTGCGCACCAAGATGCAGCCGGCCAAGTTCTTCGAGGCGCCGCTCGAGAGCGAGGGCAACGAGGTCGACGACCCGAAGAAGAAGAGCAAGATCGGCGAGTACTGCGAGGGCCGCAACCGTGTCGACTGGGACGGGACGAGCCACATCAGGTGCGTCTTCTCGCTCCCTCGCTCGTCGTCGTCCTGAACTCGACGCACTGACCCTCTCCCCTTCTCTCCTCGACCACAGCCCGTACCTCGCCGCCGGGCTCATCTCGCCGCGCGAGTGCATCCGCCAGGCGTTCAAGCTCGCCGGCGGCAAAGAGCTTCCCGGCGGGCGCGACACCGGCATCGGGATGTGGGTCCAGGAAATCGCGTGGCGCGACTTTTACCAGGCCGTGCGTCCCTCATCCTCTTCCTCTTCCTCTCTCCTTCTCCCTCTCTCTCGCTCTCATCGTCGTCGAGAAGAACCGCCCTGACGTCGTTCCCGCCCTGCCGCAGGTCCTCGTCGCGTGGCCTCGAGTGTGCATGAGCCGCCCGTACAACCTCAAGTACGACGGGACGGTCGACTGGGCCGAGGACGCAGGTGGCGAGAAGCTCAAGGCGTGGAAGGAGGGCAGGACCGGGTTCCCGATCGTCGACGCCGCCATGCGCTCGCTCAAGGAGCAGGGCTGTGCGTCCCGTTTCTCTCTCTCTCTCTCTCTCTCTCTCTCTCTCGCAGGATCCTGACACTGCCTTTCTCGCACCGGAACAGACATGCACAACCGCTGCCGCATGATCGTCGCGTCGTTCCTGTCCAAGGTGCGCTCGGGCCTCTCTCTCCTCGACCTCGTCCACGTCGAGCGCGAGCCTGACCTCTCCCTTCCTCGTCGCAGGACCTCCTCATCGACTGGCGCGAGGGCGAGAAGTTCTTCATGCAGTCCCTCATCGACGGCGACGTGCGTCCCAGCTCCTCTTCCTCCTCCCCCTCCGTCGAGCCCCATCTCTTTCCTCCGCTCCTCGAGTTCCGCCGCCCTGACACGTCCTCCGCGCTCGCAGCTCGGCTCGAACAACGGCGGGTGGCAGTGGAGCGCCTCGACTGGGTGCGACCCGCAGCCGTACTTCCGCATCTTCAACCCGGCGTCGCAGAGCGAGAAGGTCGACCCCGAGGGCGAGTACATCCGGCACTGGGTGCCCGAGCTGCGCAAGCTCAAGGGCAAGAGTGCGTCCACCTGTCTCTCCTTTTCTCGATCGAGCTCGTGAGCTTGAGGAGCAGCGACACTGACGCACACCTCCTCCTCCTCCCTCGCCCGCCGTCGCGCTCGCAGCGATCCACGACCCGGCGGCCAAGCTCACCAAGAAGCAGATCCTCGACATGGGCTACGTCATGCCCATCGTCGACCACGCAAAAGCGAGGACGACCGCGATCGAGAAGTACAAGGAGGCGGCCGCGCGCGCTTGAGGAGCGAGAGACGATGGCGGACGAGGAGCTTGAGGAGGACGCTTGAGGAGGACGCTTGCTGTACCCTCTCTATCTCTCTGTGCAACGCATGCATAGCCACGAGCGCGCGAGGTCTCTCGAGAATGCGAGGCGAGAGGCCGGCGAGCAAGTTGCACGAGACGAGGCTACGACGCGCCGGCGCCGCCAAAGCGCTGTGCGGCGAGCTGCTTGAACATGGCCATCGTCGCGTCCTCCTTCTGGCGATGTGCCGAGAGGCGGTCGGTCCTGCGCGTGCGGAACGAGGCCCGAGAGGGAGAGGGTCAGTGCGCTGCGTCGAGAGGAGAATTGGAGAGACGGGGACGCACATCTCGGCGCGCTTCTCCTCGCCACCAAACTTGCGCTCCTCCCTCCTCGACTGGGCCCTCTCCCTCGCCTTGACCGCGTCCTCAAAGCTGCCCGGCCCCGCCGGGCCCCCACCCGCGCCCGTCGACCCACTCATGAGCGCATCCTCGTCAAAGTCCATCATGCCGCCGCCCTCGCGACTGGCCTCAAAGTCCCTCCGACTCGCGTTGCCCTCGCGCCGCTTCTCGACGAGCCGGTCCCGCCCCGTCGCGCGCTCGTCGCGCTCGGCGTGCCGGCCCTCGCGCGCGTCGCGCCGGCGCGAAGCGGCGTACGCCTCGCGCTCGGCCGAGCGGGTCGAGTCGCGCGCGTCGCGCTCCATCTGGAGGCGCTCGACTGCGCTCGAGGGCGGCATGGCCGGGCCGAGCTGCGGACCGCGCGAGGGCCCGGCGACGGCGCGCGACGACGACGACGACGACGGCGGCGGCGGGGCAGGTCCAGGGGCCGCCGTCGGGTCGTACGAGCGCGTCTTGGTGCCGTCGACCGAGCGGCGCACGGTCGCGGCGGCGTCGAGGTCGGCCTGCGAGGCCTTTTTGAACGACCACGAGTGCGAGGTCGAGATGGAAGACGGGAGCGAGCCCGGGGCGATACCGGCGTAGTACTTGGCTGCGGGGGTAGTCGGCGATAAGGTGAGCTCGAGGAAGCCTGGGCGCGCAGAGAGAGAGAGAGAGAGAGAGAGAGAGAGAGAAGCGACGGACCGTCGAGCCTGCCGGCGTTCAGGCGCGGACAAACTTGCGAAAGTAGCGCCTCGCGTCCTCGGTCTTGAGGCTGTCGAGCTTCTTGCCCCTGTCCTCGTAGAGCCACAGCTTGAGCTCTGTCGCCTTGAGGAAGTAGTCGTCGTCGGACAGCTCGTCGACGCCGGGAGGAGGGCCGCCGTCTTTGTCGTCGCTCGGGCTGCGGTCGCGGCGGTGACGGTGCGAGTCCTTGTCCTTGTCCTTGCGGTGGGCGCGGTCGTCGTCGTCGCGGTCGCGGTGGGACGAGCGGCGCGGCGAGCGGTCGCGATGACGACGCGAGGACGAGCGGTCGGGGGAGCGCGAGCGCGAGTCGCGGCGGCGGCTCGAGGTGCTCTTGTGGTAGTCCGACTCGCCCATGGCAGCTGTGCAGCTCGAGGCGAGGAGGGCGAGGATGTGGGGGAAGCGAGAGAGGAGGAGCTCCTCATCTCTGTGGCTCTCGACAGCAACTCGTGCACCCGCTAGAGCTCGTTCGACTCGCTGTGTATGCTCAGAAGAGTCACTCAGACCCTCACCCGAACGCGCTCGTCTTCCCCTCGTCTCGTCACCTCTCGCCTCGCCCACATGTCGACCCTCTCGCACCTCGAGCCCGCGATCGAGCGCCTCACCCCCTTGTCGCTCGCCGAGACGGCGTGGGACAACGTCGGCATCCTGGTCGACGCTCCCGAGCCGAGGGACGCCGTCGCCTCCTCCAACAAGCGTCGCATCGTCACCTGCATCGACCGTGCGCCCTCCTCGCTCTCTCTTTCTCTGGTCCGCTCGACGTTATCCGTGCACTGACGACCCTCGAACACTTGCAGTGACGACCGTCGTCTGCGATGAAGCGCTCTCGGACCCGTCGACGACCGCCCTCGTCACGTACCACCCGCCCATCTTCTCGGGCCTCAAGGCGCTCACGCTCGCCAACCCGATCCAGCGCTCCCTCCTGCGGTGCATCGCCGCCGGCGTCCCCGTCCTCACGATCCACACGGCCGCCGACGCCGCCGTCGGCGGCACGAACGACCTCATGGCCGGCGGCCTGCTCGCCGCGGCGGGCTCGAAGCACCTCGACGGCGAGGGCATGGTGCGGCCGGGCGAGGGCAAGGGCGCGAGGGCGCTGATCGAGGTCATGAGCGCGCCCGAGGGGCACAAAGGGTGCGGAGGAGGACGCATCGTCGACCTCGTCGAGGGTGCAGGGAGGAAGCTCTCGCGCGACGAGACGGTCAAGGCGGTCAAGGCGCGCCTGAACCTCAAGCACTGTGCGTCCCGCGCGCGCTCTCTCTCTCTCTCTCTCACTCGGTCTCGCCTCGACGTTCCTGACAGTGCGCCGACCTCACAGTGCAAGCGGCGTGGTCGCCGACGGGCTCGGACGACATCTCGACGGTCGCCATCTGCGCCGGCAGCGGCTCGGGCGTCCTCAAGGGCGTCAAGGCCGACCTGTACCTCACCGGCGAGATGGGACATGTGCGTCACGCGCTCTCTCTCTCTTGCGATTCCGGCGCTCTGCGCCCGACTTTGCTCGGGCCGAGCACTGTTCGTCGCCCCGACTGACGCACGCGCTCTCTTTGCAGCACGACATCCTCGCCGCAAACGCCGCCGGCATCCACGTCCTCACCTGTGCGTCCCCGACCTCTCTCTCTCTCGATAATCAAGCCGAGCCCTCCCTGACTGCGTCTCGACCCGCCGCGCGCAGGCAACCACTCTGCGACCGAGCGCCCCTGGCTGTCGTACTTTGCGCCGCGCCTCGAGCGCACGATGAACGAGCTCGCAAAGGGCGAGGCCGAGTACGAGGTGCGCGTCAGCACGGCCGACCGCGAGCCGCTCGAGGTGGTCTAGTCGAGCCCGAGCCGAGTTGAGGCGTGCAACTCCTTTGCTCTCGGCCTCTCGCGCTCTCTCGTCCTTCTCTCAGTGTCCGAATCCGCGAGAGCGCACGAGAGATAGAGATCATGTACAGGGCTCGACGAGGGCAACACGGTGCGCGAGCGAGAGAGAGAGAGAGCGCCTCCACCTCGTTCGCTCAACCCTTGGTCCACTCTGCCGCCTCGGCCCGCACGTTGCCCTCGCGCTGCTTGTCGACGTCGCCCGTCGCCATGCCGACCGCACTGCGGCGAGAGACAGAGAGGGGAACGTAGAGCGAGAGTGAGTACGACGGTCCTCGAGCGGCTCCTCGCTACTCGAGCGAGAGGAAGGGAGAGAGCGAGAACAGTCGGCGCACCTCTCGACCTTGCCCTTGACGCGGTCCATGCTCGGTACCGGGATCTCGCCGTCTGCGACCGCGCCCTTCCACTCTGCCTTCTCGGCCTTGAGGTTGCCCTCGTTGAGCGTCTCCTGGTTGCCCGTGAGCGCGCCCCATGCCCTGCGCGGGGTCCGACACAGCGTCAGTACCTGGTCCGGCAGAGTAGACAGAGAGAGCAACGAGGGGACACGCACGACTGGACCTTGCCCTCGACGCGCTCTGCCTGCGCCTCGGACTTCTGCGCCTCCTGCGCCGCGTGCACCTCGTCCTGCCCCTCCTTGGCGAGCTCGGCGCCCTGTGTCGTCCAGCTGTCGGCCGTGCCGGGGATGGCGCCGACGGCCTGTTCGTGGCGCGCGCGGCGCGAGTGTGGTCAGCTCGAGGCGGAATGTGGGGCGGCGAGGGTGACGAGGGGAGGGGAGGAGAGCAGAGGCGGGCGAGAGGCGCACCTGATAGAGGAGGCCCTGGGCGTTCTTGACCTGACCCGTGATTTGCGAGGGCTGTGCTTCAGACATGTTGGCGAGCGGGAGAGCTGTGTTGGGACGAGGAGAGCGACTTGCTCTCGCTCGCTCGCAAGGGAGAGGAAAAGGTGCGACCTCGAACTGTCGATGCAAGCGGGGAGGACTCTACAGCAACGCCGCCGTCGCACTGACGACACCAAGCGGCCCAACCACGCCCACCGCGAGCGGCAAGCTCCACCCACCGCCGACGTGCCAGTCGCGCAGCAACTCGGCCGCCCACCGCTCGGCCTCTGCGCGCGCGACGACCCGCCACACGACCCACAAGCCCGTCGGGCTCACCGCAGCGAGCACGACCTGGTGCGCGCGCCTCGCGACCCTCCTGCGGCGCCTCGGGACGCCGCGGCGGCGCGCGAGCGGCGGCGCGACGACGACGAGGACCGCGCACAGGTACAGGGCGACGACGAGCGCGAGGCCAAAGTTGAGGGTCGCGAGGGTGCTGATGAGGAGGCCTGAGAGGAGGAGCGCAGAGGAGCGCAGGGTGAGGGCGAGGCGCGACGCGCGGGTGGGCGAGTGCGGCGCGACGAGCGAGGAGAGGAGGAGCGGGAGGACGAGGTTGAGGCCGAGGAGCAAGGGCGGCAAGTACTCCTGCGGGCCTTCGAGTCAATTGCCAGTCCGAGAGTCGACAGAACGAGAAAGAGAGGTGGGGCGCACGTGAATGGGCGCTGTCGGGTCGACCGCCTCGACGAGCCTAAGCTGCGCCGCACCCGCCGCCGCCGCACCGACAACGACCACCGCCGCCTTGACGAGCGGCCTGCCGCCCTCCTTGGCCGTCGTCGTCACGGCCGCCGCCGACCACGTGACGAGGCCCTCGACCGTGAGGCCCGCGCCGAGGAGGATGGGCGCCGCGAGGTAGTTGCCGACGGCGACGAACGAGCCGACCGACGTCATGAGGTACAGGAAGAAAGACTGGTGGAACCGCTCGAGGAGGTTGTTGAGCGAGCGGAATAGCGACTCGACGGCTCTGCCGGGCCCGAGCGTGTCAGAGACTTTTGCTGACAAGGAACGGGAGAGAGAGAGAGAGAGTGGGCGCACCTGCCGAGGACGTGGAAGCCGTGCGGGCCCTCTGCAGGGATGCCGTACAGCGTGATGGCGTCGATGCGGTACTTGCCAAAGGTGCCCTCGGGCCCGAGGATGCGCCCGTCGGCCGTGAGCGCCACTTGGTGGAAGAGGTTCCGTGCGGCGTGGGCGTAGCGCTGCACCTCGGCGTGGTCGGCAAAGGGAAGGGAGCGAAGGAAAGATGGGAGGGGAGAGGTCGCGGCAGGGTCGTACGAGTGGAGGAGGGTCGGGATGTTCATGCCGCGCAGGATGCGCGACGCCGAGTTGAGGAAGTCGAGGTTGGGCAGGTTGCCGTTGGCGCCCTCTGCAAACGTAAAGGTGGGTCAGGACGGCGAGAGACAGCGCTAAAGTGAGAAGGGCGCGCACCGTAGAACATGCCGATGTGACTGAACGAGTGGTGCGGGTAGTCGAGGCCGAGAGCCGCCCAGACGGCGCCCGTCGTCAAGGCGAGCTCCTCGGCCTGAAGGTCTGCAAGGGAGGAAGGCCGTAAGTATTGTGCTCTGTGTGTGTGCTGCGACAAGGGATGGACGAGGACGCACTCGACTGCTTGAAGCCGTGGTACGAGTCGAGCCAGGCCTGAGCGCCGTCAACGTGCCCGTCCGAGACGAGGAAGATGATGTCCTTGCTCCACATCGAGTGCTCTGCAAGACGGAGCGAGTCAGATCGACAACAGAGAGGGAGAGAGAGGACGGGTCGGGACGGACTCTTGAAGTAGTTGGCGAGCGCGAGCACGAGCGCGACGCCTCGAGTGTTGACGCGCCTTGAGCCGTCCTCGTTCCTCGCCCGGCTCAGCCACGACGCCGACAGCACGAGAGCTTCTGCTCCGTCCGTCTTGGGCGCCGGCAGGATGGCGTAGGTGTTGATGCCCGAGAGAGACTGCGAGGGCGGTCGAGGTCAGTGCGCTGTTCTGCAGTCGCGCGCATGCGAGAGGAGGACGGACCGAGTTGTTGGGCAGGTCGAACGTGTAGGCTTGTTGCGCCGTCGACAGGCCGAGCTCCTCGAACGCGAGCTTGATGCCTCGGCTGCGCCTGTGGGCGGGAGAGGGTCAGTTCCAGGGTCAAGGTTCGAGAGGAGGACGACGAGGGGACGCACTGCTCGCCCGACACCTCGAGTTTGCTCCACTGCGCCACCTTGTCGGCGTACGCATCTGCGACGTGGACGTCGGCCCAGTTCCAGTACGTGTTGACCTGCGCGACGAGGGCGAGTTGGGTCAGCTTCGAGTCGAGGAGAAAGAGACAGAGAGAGGGCGAGGGACGCACATGTCCTGGCTGGAGGGCGTTCTCGCTGATGTAGTGCTTGCGGCCGAGCTCCTTGAGCGGCAGGGCGAGCGTGTAGACGAGGCCGGCGACGAGGAGGAGGGTGCCCAAGTGGGGGCCAAAGGCGACGAGGCGGTCGACGACCTTTTGCCGCCGTACGAGCGTGCGTCGGAGCGAGTCGTGCTCACTGACCGGGCTGGCGGTCTTGCCCCGCCGCAAGAGGGCCTTGAGACGGCTCATCGTCGTCGAGTCGTCGAGCCGGGGGAGATGAGGTCGGAGAGCGCTCTCGCGAGTCGGCGAGGCGGGCAGGGCCAGGCGAGTGGGCTGGTAGAGGTACTGTCGCGTGCAGGCTCGCTATTCGTAGCCGGCACGAGTGCGCAGGAGGTCGATGGCGGCTCGTCGTCCTCGAGCTGCGCTGGCCGCAGGTTCGCTCCCTCTCACAGAAGCTCCACCACCTCGCCGTGCCAAGGCTGCACGCTGTTGCAATGCTGAACCGCTGCTCAACGTACTTGCGCTACCCGCCGTGCTCTCTCTTTCGAGGTGAGCTCTCTCGACCTCTCCTCCCCCAAGACGACGATTTCGACCCTGAGCTCCGGGGTTTAGGGGCTCTCCGAGGGCGCGAGGCGGCGTGTCAAGCCCCAGCTGACACCCTTCTTTCCTGCAGCCAAGCGCCAGTAGCCGCCCGGCCCATGCGGCACCCCCCCTCGCGCACGGCTCCATCTCGGCCGACTCCTCCTCGAGCCGTCGCCCTCGCGCCGCAACTTGCCTGCTCCGTGCTCGTGCGCTCGAGTGCGACCGTGGAACGTGCTTGCGCTGCTCGGTGTCGCAGAGCGAAGCGGTCCGCGAGGGCGGAACGGCGCGGCCGTCGTGGTCGCGTGGGAGGGTTGCGGGGGTCGCGCCGCTCGACCTTATCTTCGCCGGCGGCCGCTAGAGGCGTGGGCTCGCTCGCGCGCGTTACCCACAGCCCTCGGTATCTTTGCTCGGCGACTGTCGCCGCGTCGATACCGAGCGAGGTTGTCTCGGACGAGTCGGCCCCTCGCTCGACGACCCGCTCGCTCGTCTGCCCCTCCTCCTCGTCTCCCTCCCTCCCCGTCTTTACGTCCCCAACGCCTCGACCTCGAATCATCCTCGACCTCCCTCCCGTCAACCCCCCTCTCGTTGGCGAACCTTCCTCCGTCGCTCGACCGTTCCCTCCTCCGCTCGACCCTCTCCTCCTCCGCTCGACTCTCCCTCGCTCGACCCGTCGCCGCTCGACCATGCGGCTCTCGGCCGCCTTTGCCGTCGTCGCGGCCCTCGCAGCGTCGACGACGCTCGCCGCCCCGGCGCCCAAGAACAAGTACGTCAAGCCGAACCGCCTCCTCGCCCGTCCGCTCCCGGCGGGCTTCGACGCGCACGTCGCCGTCAACCAGTACGCGACGACCGACTTCAAGTCGTCGAGTGTCCACGAGACGCCGACGGTCAAGGCGCCGCGCAAGAACGTGTGGGCTGGCCTCACCAACGCCGAGGCGGCTTCGGTCGTCGCGTTCCTCCACAACCAGACGGCCCTCAACCTGACGGCGGCCGCCGACGCCGGCAGCTGGGACAACATCATCACGACGCTCGACCTCGTGCCGCCCAACAAGACCGTGCGTCGCCGTCCTCCTCGTCCCTCGTCCTCCCTCGACTCTCTCCCCTCCTCTCCCTCGACTCGCTTCCCTCCCCTCCCTCGATCTTCCCCCTCCCTCTCTCTAGATCAGCTGCTCACGCTCTCCCTCTTCCCTCGCAGGACACGGTCGCCTACCTGTCGGGCAACGCGAGCGAGCCGGCCCGGTACGCCTACGCGACCATCATGTTCAACGCGTTCGAGGAGCCCTACCTCGAGGACTACCTCGTCGGACCGCTGCCCATCAACGAGAAGTCGACTGCTTCGCCCTACTCGTTCCACACGACCGCCGGCTCGTCGCGCATCCGCAACTTCGACGCCGACGAGGACCTCACATCCGAGTTCTTCGCCGCCGAGGCCGCCAAGTGCGACGACATCATCGAGGACTTGCTCGGCGCAAACTCATCTCAGTACGACCTATGGGGTATCGACCCTGTATGGCACGAGGGCGACCGCGTCGTGAGCTGGGTCGGCTTCTGGGGACGTCCCACGAGCGTGTTCGACGGCCAGACGCTTCTTCCGCAGGGGCTTTACCTCAGGGCTCGTCCCTCTCCCACCCGTCTCGACGCTCGAGAAGCAGCGACTGACTCTCTCGCTCGCGCAGTTCGACATCACCGGTCGCGACCCGTCCAAGTGGAAGTTCCTCGGCTGGCTGCATAACTACAAGCTCTACGAGACGTCGGCCGACTTCCGCGACGCGTGGGAGAAGGGCCTCGTCGAAAAGACGACGCGCAACGCCGGCATGAACGAGACGTGGATCGGTACCGACCGCCGTGGACCTGGTGCGTCGTCCGCTCTCTCCCCGCCCGCCCCCTCTCTCCTCGCACGTCCCCTCTCTCCTCGCACGTCTCTCCTCGCATGTCTCTCTCTCCTCGCACGAGGACGAGCCATGCCTTGCTGTGCTCGACGAGGGGATGAGCCGGTCGACCTTCCCAAACTGACCTTTCGACCCTTTTCGCAGAGCTGCCGTACGACAACCGGCCGCCGCCTATCCAGATCGCTCCCGGTGGACAGCGCTTCGCGGTCGACGAGGAGGAGAACTACGTCGCCTGGATGGACTTTACTGTGCGCCGCGCTGCTCATCGTCCTTGCCCGTCGCGACGGTACTGACTCGTCGTCCTCTCGCAGTTCTACTGGTCTTTCCGCCGCGACACCGGCATCCGCCTCTGGAACATCAAGTACAAGGGCAACAAGATCATCCACGAGCTCGGCCTGAACGAGGCGCTCGCGCACTGTGCGTCCATCTGCCCCTTGAGAAGGTCGAGTCGCCGGCCCTCGAGCGCTCGCTCACCCTCCTCTACTCTTCCGCAGACGCCGGCAACGACCCCGTCCAGTCGGGTACTACCTACTTGGGTGCGTCACCATCACTCTCTCCCCCTTGCCGTCGCGTCGGGCAGCCCGCCGTCGACCGTCGAGCCTGACCTTTCCTCCTCGCCGGTGCAGACACGTACTACGGCTTCGGCCCGTACGCGTTCGAGCTCATCTCGGGCTTCGACTGCCCTTCGCACGCCCTATACCTCAACACGACCTTCCACTGTGCGTCCAACTCTCTCTCCCTCGAGGTCGACCGCTGCGCTCGAGGTGCGCGGTGGTCTACCCTCTCTCGCGCGCCCGCACCGGCAGCTATCTGGCGTGCGTCTCGCACTGCGTGACGTGTGTCTGTGGCGCCGGTCAGGTGGCAGAAGCAGAAGCAGAATCAGCCGAACTGACCCTCGAGCCCTCGTCTCTCCCTTTTCTCCCTCGTCCTCCCCTCCTCTGCCACCTTGCTTCGCCCGCCTCTCCTCTCGCCATCTCGCTATCTCGACGCAGCCAACGAGATATCGACGACGCACCGCCGCTCGCTCTGCATCTTTGAGCAGGATGCCGGCTTTCCGATGCAGCGACACACGAACGGCCAGTACGCCTCGGCGACCAGGAACACACAACTGGTGATCAGGAGCGTATCGACGGTGGGCAACTACGACTATACGTTCTCGGTCGTTTACATGTTGGACGGCTCCATCTCGACAGAAGGTGCGTTTCTCCCTTCCCGGCCTTTCTCTCGCCGAGCCGACCTCACCCTCTCCCTGCGCGCAGTCATGGCGTCCGGGTACATCCAGTCGGCCTATTACGCGGCCAACGGCGACTATGGCTACAAGATCCACGACGGTTTGAGCGGCTCGATGCATGATCACGTCCTTGTACGTCCTCGTCCTCTTCGTCGTCGTCGAGGCGCGTCGCCGACCTTTCTCGACCTTTCTGCAGAACTTCAAGCTCGACGCCGACATCCTCGGCACGAGCAACACTGTCGGCTTCCACACGATCGAGCCAAAGACCGTCAAGTACGACTGGTCGCCCGTCGAGCGCAACACGATGCACCTCGTGCGTTCCGAGCTTCAGAACGAGGACAACGCGACGCTTCACTGGGCCGAGAACGCTCGGTCGATGGTCCTCATCTACAACAAGGACGAGAAGAACAAGTGCGTCCCCTCTCGCTCACTCTCGACCTTCCCAAGTTGACCCCTGCGCGTCCGCAGGTACGGCGAGGAGCGCGCATGGCGTCTTATGCCCCACATCGGCGGCGCCGGCATGTACAGCACGATCCAGAACAGCACCAACGCCGGTCCTGCCCTCAATTTCGCCAAGGCGCCGCTCTTCGTCACCAAGCACAAGGACAGCGAGTTCAACTCGGCGCACCCCAACTCGGCCTACTCGCCTTTCACCCCCATCATCGATTTCGACAAGTACCTCGACGGCGAGGACCTCGTCCAGGAGGAGTACGTCGCTCGGACATTCAGTCGATCGGACCTCCTCCTCCTTTTTGCGCGCGTTACTGACTCTCGCTCTCGCGCCCGTAGCCTCGTCCTCTGGTTCAACCTCGGCATGCATCACGTTCCTCATGTGCGTCATGCCGCCAGTCCCTTTTGCAGCAGGAGCGCCCGAACTGACCTCGAGCCGTTCCTCCCCTCCCCTCCTCGTCCTCCTCGTCCTCCTTCACGTCCTTCCTCGCTATCCTTCGTCCTCCCTCGTCGTCGACATGATCTCGACGCACAGACTGGCGACCTGGGCAACACGCAGCATTCGACGGCCCACGCCGGCATGATCTTCAGCCCCCACAACTACGACGATTTCGCGCCGTCGCAGCAGTCGAGCCAGATGGTCAGGATCAACTACAACGCGTCGACGGGCGATGCCTTCGTCGAGGACGTTCTGACGTTCGGCGGCAAGTCGGCGTCGGGCATGTTCAACTTGACCGCAGCGCAGCCCAACTACTATGCGTACGAGGTGCGTTCTGCCCGTCCTCGAGCTGGAGGGTCATGAACCTGATGCCCCTCTCCTTTCTGCAGGGCGATTCCAACATGCGCAAGTTCCCCTACTCGCCCGAGGACCCGTACGACGACAGTGCGTCTCCCTTCCGACCTCATTTCGACGGACGACGTACTGACTCGCTCTTGCAGCCGCCGCCATCGTCTAGTCGCCTCAGGTTCGTCCCTCGTCTCCTGGCCCCTCCCTCGCACACGTCCTGACTCGCATCTACCTCGCAGAGTCTCGCTACCGTCTTTCTACTTCGTCGAGGCCACCTGTCATGGAATCCCGTTCGCTCGCCTTTCTCAATCTGTGTCCCGAGAGAGCGGCTTTAGCAGAGGCTCGGTCTGAGAGAGAGGGCGACCGAGCGGCTCGCGAGATGTGCCTGTCGGCGCAGAGGCTCTCTATGAGCTTGGAGAGCAAGTGAGTCTCGCACGGGCCGCCAAAGTCGACCTTCCCAAGTTGCTCTCGACGCTCTCGACACTCGACGAGCTGCTGCAAAGCCCTGTAAGCGCGCATACCTCCCTCAACGACACTACATCGACGCATGGTGGTCCAGGAAGCTCTGCTGCACGATCCCTCGAACGATCTGACAGCGGCCGCCCTTCTTCCGCTTCCTCCTTCTCGGCGTCGAGTCATGCGGTCGCTCGCTCGAGAGCGTCATGGAGAGGGCCGCCGACCGATACAGCCGTCTCAGGACGTCGACGATGAGCTGTTTTGGCCAAGGAAGAACTGCCTCGCGAGCTGCAGAGCGACTTGCTCCTCCTCGTTGTCCGTTCTCTGCGCAGAGCCGAGCGGCTGCGCTCATGCCCTGGGTCGCCGAGAGAACTTCTGCGGCACTTGCAGCGAGAGCGATTCTGCTCAGACGACGCTCAAAGACAGCAGGAGCGCTCGTGCAGGTGGCAGTCCCCCTCGCTCGAGCGCGCACGCACCCCCTCGCCGCCGACGCCGCCTCGGCTTTCCGCTCTCGCTCGTCGCCTCATCGCTCGAGACCGGACGTGAGCTACCGCGTCGTCATGGAGCGTCTCCCTCTGGCCCGCCCCCGGCCCGGGCTCGCCGTGCTCCTGTTCGAGAGCAAGATCCAGCTCGAGAGCACCCTCGCCTGCTTCGAGGCACTCTCTGCAGCTCAACAAGCCTCTCGCGCAGCAGCACAGCACGTCGCACGCGAGTATCCAGTACAGCACAGCACAGGCCCCCGACCGCGTCCTCACGCCTCGACCTGCTTCCCCTTGCCCTTGTCCTCGCCAGCTCCGCCGTCGCTCGCCGCACCGGCAGACGCGCCCTCGCTCGCGTCGGGCTTCTCGACGAGGACGCCGCTCGCGCTCGGGTCCTTGTCCTTGTCCGAGTCGGGCGCAGTCGACGCAGCGCCAGCCGAGCCGGGCACGGTGTACCCGCTCGAGGCGGTGGCGGGCGAGGTCGGCGCAGGTGCGGGCGTCGGTGCGGCGCTCGAGCTCTTGAGCTGCCATGCGGGGAGGCCGGGAGGCTTGATGCTGAAGGGGAGAGAGGAGGACGACGGTGCGGTGGACGAGGCGGTGGCGGACGGGTTCGAGGTCGAGGTCGAGGTCGAGGAAGACGAGGGGGACGAGGTCGGGGCCGGTCGGCGCGCGATGAGGAGCGACTTGAGCGACTTGAGCTCGGTCTGGAGGTCGGCGAGCGAGGTCGACTGGGCCGAGGCTTGCTTGTCGAGGAGCTGTGCAGGGGGGAGCAAGGTCAGTTTCTCTCGACGATGCGTCGACCGACGACGACGAGGAGGAAGAAAGAGGACGCACCCCGGGCAAGCTCTTGACCATGTCGTCGACCTGCCTCCCGACGCTCTGCGCCCACTCGTCGCGCTTCTTCTCGCCTTCGCGCATCTCCTTGACGGCGCCCCTCACCTCCTCGAGCTCCTTCTCGATGTCGCGCTTCTGGTCGTCGAGGCTCGCGGCGACGGCGTCGGTCGACTCTTGGAGCGTCTTGAGGAGCTCGGCCGCCTCGTCGTACTTGGCCTCGAGCGCGCGCTGCGACGCCTCGAGGTCCGTCTCGGTTGGCGGCTGGAGGTGCGGCACGAGGAATTTCTGCGGGCGAGGATGCGCCGGGTACAGGGCGAGAGTCAGTCAAAGGTCCTTGATCGCCTGTGCCCACTGCTCGCGCAATCGCGGCCCTCCACGCCGCATGTTCTCCCCCCCACGCTCGACTCGAGGAGGAGGAGAGAGGGGGAGCGCACCTGGGCGAGTTTGACAGCGAGCCAGCCGACGCCTCCACCGACGACGCCCATGATGAACCAGTCGCGCCAGTCGCGCTGGAACTCGTTGAGCTGGTGGCCGTACGGCGAGTGGGGGCCAACCGAGTACGGGCCCGCCCTCGCGGCGGCGCCGGGATAAGGCGGTGCGGGTGCGCCTGCGCCGGCTTGCTGCAGTGCGAGCTCGATGTCGGGCTGCGACAGGCCCTTCGACTCGAGGAAGGCGATGCGCTGTGCGAGGGGCGACGAGGCCGTGGCCGGGTCGCGCAGGAACGACACGGCGCTCGCGATGAGCTGCGCGCGGTCGCCAGAGGGCACCATGGTGCCGGGCTGAGCCATCTCGACAGCTGCAGAGAGGCTGGGTGTAGTGGAAGCGATGAGAGCGCAAGAGAGAGCGACGAGCCGGCTCGAGGGACTTGGCCGAATCGCCGGTGTCTCTCGCTCTCGACGACGACGACGACGACGACGACGAGGACAGGGATGAACGATGCGTAGTGTGCTCAAATGCGATGCTGCTGTGCGGACAAAGGAAACCAGAACTGCGTTGGACGACCTCCTCCTCACTTGAACAAGCTCCTCGCCAACCTGCGCGCGAGCTTGTCGTCCCTCAGCCCGTCCAGCACCCGCTCCTTGCGCTCCTTCTCGGTCGCCGGCGCCTTGCCGTTGACCGCCCCCGCTCCTCCCGCCGCCGCCGCCGCCGCGGCGCTCGCTCCTCCTCCTCCTCCCGCCTTGCCGCCCTTGCCCGCCGAGCCCTTCTTGCCCGGCCCTGCGCCCGCGCCGTTCGCGGCACCGCCAGCCGTGCCGTTGGCCTGCGGGGCCGGCATGGGCGGCGCGACGATGCCGTCCTTGCCCACCTTCTTGAGGTCGATCCCGCCAAAGTACGGCTGCTGCTGCTGCTGGCCCTTCTTGGCGGCGGCGCCGACCGCGCCCGACGACGACGACGACGATGCGGCAGCGCCAAAGCCCGTCGTGACGCCCTTGACGTCGCCAAAGTCCCACACGAGGTCGCCCCGGAGGAAGCACTCGACGGCGCCGTGCTCGAGCGCGGCCTGGACGAGCGCCGACATGTCCATGCCGCGCTGCTCGCGCTCGGGCTTGTTGGCCGGCGCGACGACGGCGACCGTCGTCGCGGCCGAGCCACCGCTGTTGGCCGCGCGCTTCTTGTTGCCGTTGCCGTGGCAGTTGACGGTCGGGCCGCCCGCCTCGGCGACCGACGCCGACTGAGCTGCGCCGGCGGCGGCAACACGCGCCTCGTCGACGGCGACGTGCTGCTGCGCCTCGTCGTCGTCGTCAAAGACGGTGACGCCGGGGACCTTTATCCCGCACGCCCTCGCGATGGTGGCCGCGAGAAAGTTGTCGAACGCGGCGAGTGGGCGCTGGAGGTACCGGTCGACGGGCGCGTACGGCGAGTCGCTCGGCGCGTCGAGGACGAGGAGCTCGTACGCCTCGTCGAACGGCTGCATCTCCTGCTCCTTCTCGGGCGAGTCGAGCGCGTCAAAGCCGGCGAGGACGTGCATGGCGCTGTGCGACAGGTTGAACGGGTTCGGGAGCGCGCGCCACGGGTGCTGCACGGCCGCCGACGGCGTCAGGGCGCCACCGCCGCCATTGGTCGTCGACGAGCTCGTGTGCTGCGCGGCGGCGGCGGCCGCGGCGGCGGCAGTGGCGCGGGCGAGGATGGCCTTGGTCGGGGCGGTGCGGATGCGGTGCGTCCACAGGTGGGCCGCCGGCGGGAGCGGGAACGACGGGAGCGGGTGCGACGGCGTGAGGCGCGAGCGCACGAGGAGGGTGAAGAACTGCGACAGGAGGCCGAGGATCGACAGGGCGTGCGGGTGCTTGACCGACTGCGGGCGCGAGGGCAAAGACGGTCAGTGAGGCGCTCGAGACGTCGGGCACGACAGACGAGAGAGAGCGGGACGCACGAGCTTGAGAAAGGCCCAGTTGCGCTCCTCGCGCAGGGCCCACACGGTCTCGGCGCCCTGTGCGCCGCCGGGCTGGCGCATCTTGCGCGGACGGCGGTCGTCCTCGTCCTCCTTGCCGGCGCACCACACGACGTCGAGCGCCTTGAGGACGCGGTCGGCGTCCGTCTCGTTGGCGGCGTCGGCCCACAGCTCGAACGGCGGCGGGTGCGGGCCGTGCGGGATGACGGTCAGGCGCCGCACGAAGGCGAGGTCGGCAAAGCGCATGCAGCACCGCGTCGCGCACCCGGCGCACGCGCACAGGTCGTACAGGTGGGCCCACTCGCGCGGCGTCATCGAGCGCTCGAGCTGGTTCTTGTAGACCCACCCGCCGAGGACCTGCATGCCGACGCCCTCGTCGCCCTCCTCGGTCTCGGTCGCGCCCGACTCCTCCCACGCGATGGCGCGAAAGGCGTCCATGATGGCCTCCTTGAGCTCGAGGGGCGACGTGCGCTGCAGGGCGCGGTGCAGGCGCGCGAGCGCCGGCAGCGTCACGAGCGCCGGGTCCTCGAAAAAGCGCAGGACGTGGTCGTGCCCGCCGCGGTACGCCTTGACGAGGAGCTCCTCGTCGCGCGAGATGAGGCGCCGGAACAGGCACTCGACGATGCGCACGCGCTCGACCGACTTGCGGCCCTCGCGGATGAACGACGCGTGCGACCCGGTGAGGCTCAAGAGCTCGAGGAGCTCGGTGCGCCGCAGCGTCTCGAGCGCGAGGAGCGGGTCGGGCTCCTCGGACTCGGGCGCGAGCGTCGGCGAGCCGGGCGGCCGCAGCGGGTTGTGCGGCGCCTTCTCGGCCGGCGGGTGCTGGTGACCGTGGTGGTGCGACCGGCCGCCGGCGCCGCCGCCGCCGTGATGGTGATGGTGGTGGTGGTGGTGGTGGTGCGACGTGGCGAACGACGAGTGCGTCGACGCGGCGCCGCCGCCGCCGCCGTTGGCGCCGGCACAGCCCGAACAGCAGTCGCCCTCGTCGCCCGACTCGCAGTCGCACCAGTGCCCGCCGTCCTCGTCGCCGCTGTGGTCGCAGTCGTGCGCGTGGTCGTGCGAGCACACGCACGACGACGCCTGCGACGAGCTCGAGCCGTAGTCGTGGCCGTAGTGGCCGTGGCCGCACCGCCCTTGCGGATGCAGGAGCCAGAGGGCGTCCTCGGCGTCGCACACGAGGAAGTGCGACCGGCGGATGATGACTGCGTGCGAGGACGCTCGAGTCAGTACGATAATCACGAGGAAGAGAGAGAGAGCGGGACGCACGCTTGAGGACGGCCTCGGCCTTCTCGCCTCGGAGGCGCACCTCCTCCCACGCTCCTCGCGCCAAGTCGCCGCCGTTCTCGCCCTCGCCGCGCCCCTCGAGCCGATCGACGAGGTCGCCACCTGCGGCGAAAAAGTGCTCGCGGTGGAAGACCCACGCGTCGTAGGCGCGCTTGGCGAGGTCGACGTGTTGGCGCGCCGTCTGCTCCCAGCCCTCGAGCTCGGCGAACGTGGTCGAGCTCGTGATCTCGGCGGGTGACGGGAGCGGGTGCGAGCGCGAGAGGCGAGGGAGGGACGAGACGGCGCCTGTAGGGAGGAGCACGCGAGTCAGTTGTCGCTCGACCGGGAGAGAGAGAGAGAGGGAGGGGGGGACGCACTCCAGAACGAGGCGCGGACGTGCTTCTCCTCGTCCTCGTGCATCTGGCACCACCGCCGAGGCACCTTGCCCTTCCACCCGCCGACGACCACCTCGTCGCACAGCTCGTCGTACCGGTCGACGGCCTCGCACGTCTTGACGCTGCCGTCCGGCGGGAGGACGGGCTTGTGAGCGCCGACGGCGGTGGCGGCGGCGGGATCGGCTGGTGCGAGTGGAGGGGCAGCCGAACCGTCTGCTGCTGGAGCCGGGGTGGCGGCGGCGGGCGGCGGGCGCTTGGGCTTGGAGTGCGAGTGGGACGAGTGCGAGTGGGCGGCGGGCGCGTTGCCGGCTGCTGCTGCTGGACCCGGTGCGCCGTGCTTGCGCTGCTTGTTGCGGGTGATGGTGGTGGCGACCTGGTGCGACTGGGCGTGGGCGGGACGATGAGGGGCGACGAGAGGAGGAGGAGGAGGGGCGAGGTCGAGGTGGTCGTCTCGCGGGGCGGTGGGCGACGGGGCCTGGGACGTGCTCGCGGCGGGCAGAGGCTGCTGGCCGAGTCGGCACTCGGTGCAGCACTCGTGGCACGTGCACGGTGGTGCAGGCGGCGGCGCCTGCTGCTGCGGTCCAGGGTGCTGCAGGCCCAGCTGAGCGAGCAAGGCGGGCGAGGCGACGTCGAGGACCGAGTTGGGGAGGCCGGCCGCTCGCAAGGCGGCAGAGCGCGACACCATGGGGCACGCTGTGGTAACTCGGGAGGCTGGCAGCGAGACGCGAGGGCGGACGGGCGGGCGAGAGAGAGGCAGAGAGGCGGGAAGCTCTCGTCCCTTTTCCCCTCGTCCTCCTCGTCGTCGCTCCTCCTGCCGCAGAGTCCACTCGGCCTGCCCTTCTTCGCCCTCGCCGTGCCGTGCAACTCTCACAATCCAACTCGTGACAACATGTCGTGAATTGTCCAGCACCAACCCCCTCTTTCAAACGAGCCACCTCCTCCTCTTGCCCGCTCCTCGACCTCCTCCTCCTCCAACAGCCCCAGCCGCCTCCTTCCTCTCGCGCTCCCTCTCGTCCCCCTCGTCCTCGTCGTCACTCCCTCCCCCAGCCCCACCGACCGTGAGGACCCGGATGCGCCGCTTGCCCTGCCCGGCCGCCGCGCCCGTTCCCCCGCCAGCGCTCCTCGACCCTGCGCGCCCTCCTCCTGCGCCCGCACCCGCACCCGCACCCGCGCCGGCGCCCGCCACAGCAGCCGCCGCCGCAGCGCCGTACCACTCGCCCTCGTAGTCGACGACGTCGGCCCCGTCGTCGCCCGCCTCGCCACCACCGGGCCCGAGCACGACCGCGCCTCCTCCCGCCCCTCCCGCCCCGGCCCCGGCCCCGGCCGCCGCCGCGCCCGCGGCCCTCGTGCGCCGGATGAGGTTGCGCAAACTCGAGCTGACGAGCTGCGAGTCGTTGAGGCGCGCGCGGAGCGTCGAGAGGTGCGCGAGCGCGGCCGTCGACGGCGCTTGCTGCGTGCGCGAGATGGGCGGCGGGAGCGGCGGTGGCGGGGCGCTCTGCGGGTAGACCTGTGGCGCGCACACACGGAGACGGAGGCGAGTCAGTCCTGTCGATGGTCGAGAGAGAGAAAGAGAGGGAGACGCACCGCCGTGTGCTTCCAGCTGTGCTTGGGCGGCAGCGCCGGCAGCCAACTCGCCCTGAGCGGGTCCGCCTCGTCGCGCCTCCTGCGCTCCCTGCGCCTGCGCTCCCGCTCGGCCCGCCGCGCCGACCGCGCCGCCTCGTGCGCAGCGAGCTTGGCCGCCCGCTCGGCGCGCCGCTCGGCCACCGCCGCCGCGTGCGCCGCGTGCGCCGCCGCGCTCGGGTGCGTGCTGCCGCTCGCGAAGGCGGGCGCCGTCGCCGAGAGGGGCATGACCTCCTCGAACTCGGCGTCCTCGTCGTCGTCCTCGTTGTCGTGGTGGTGCGGCGGCGGCGGCGGTGGCGGCAGGTCGTCGAGGAGCGGCGGGAGCGGGCTCGACGGCGGGCTCGGCGGCGGGCTCGTGAGGTCGTCGGCGGCGGCGGGGAGGAGCGAAGAGGACGGGTCGGCCTCGTCGTCGGACGCGAGGCGCGGGCCGGGCGGCGTCGGCGCTCGAGGGCGCGCATACGTGATCTGGAGGGCGGTCGTCGGGAGGGCTGCGCGTTCGGGACGGTGAGCGCTGCTCAGGCGGCGGAGGGTCCAGGAAAGAGAGAGAGAGAGAGACAGTGGACGTACCTTGACGCTCGTTGGACTCGTTGAGCTCCTGCAGCAGCTCGCCCGGTCCGCCGACGCCGAGCGCCGCACTCGCGCCAACCGTGTCGGCCGCGTTCGGGACGTGGCGCCGCCCGTGCTCGGCGAGCGCGTGCGCGTACTCGAGGAGCGAGCCAAAGACTGTTGCGCGGGCCGAATGTCAGCTCACCTGAGCCAGGGAGGGGAGAGAGGGGGGGAGGAGGAGGGGACGCACACTCGGCGACGACCCCCTCGAGCTCGTCAAGCGCATCTCCAGCGGCCGCGTCAAAGCCCGCCTGGGCCAAACTCGCCGCACAGAGCTTGTGGAGCACGAGCGCGGGCACGCTCGGCGGGAGGGGCGGCGCTGGGTGGTGGATCGGGTCGAACGCCGACGAGGTGAGCGGGAGCGCGCGCGACGAGGACGAGCGGCTCGAGGTGGACGAGTCATCCGAGAGGTACGACTCGGAGGCCGGCTGCGAGTCCATCGCGGGCTCGAGGTGCGGGCGAGCGTGGGGACGAGGGAGGGCCCGAGGTAGAGTCGGCTCGAGGAGGAGATGAGGACGGCGACGCTCTCGAACAGCGTCGAGCGGGGCTCTGCTGGACCTCGACAGCTGCTCACTCGCATGCAGGACTCTCGATACCCAGTGGGCAAGGCGCACAAGGTCACGGAAACCGACAGCTAGTCATTGCCCCTCCTCCTCCTCCCTCGCCTCGCTCTCTCTACAAACTGGCCAAGAGGTACCCTCCTCCGCTCTACTTGTTGCCGTCTGCGTCCAGTCGAGTCGTCAGTGCTCGAGCTCGAGAGGAGAGAGAGAAGAGGAGGAGAGAGGGCGACGCACAGAGCTCCTCCTTGAGGAGGACGCCGAGCTCCTCGCGGAGGGGCTTGGTCTCGGTCACGTACTGCTGGTACTGCGTCGCGTTCTCGACCTTCTCCTCTGCGCGCAGGTCGGAAGAGTGTGTCAGTCGAGCTGCGCTGTGTGCGGGTGCGGCTGCCCGTCCTCCAGGGAGTACAGCGGCCGGACCCAGCGACGACTGTCGCGGTACCCAGCCGCAAGACCGGAAGAGGGGACAGCAGGCGACGCACTGAGACCCTCGAAGATGCGGACGGCCGTCGAGTAGTCGTTCACCCGGCGCGCCGCCTTGAGCGCCTCCTCGACGACTGGATCGGTGAGGCGGTCGCGGTCGCGGCGAGAGAGGGGCGTCGAAGGTCGAGGAGGGGGACAGGAGGGGGAGGACAGGATAAAGAGATGGTCAGTCGAGAGGTCCTGTGCCGTGCGCAGGAGGCTGGGCGCGCTCGCGCTCGAGGCGCGGCGTCGCTCGGCAACTCGGGGTGAGCGACGGCGCGCTCGACGGGCCGCGGCTGCGCACCTCGAGTCCTCGTCATCCGCCCTGTGCGCGTCTTCGGACCGTAGCGCCCGCCGCCTCCCGACGAGCTGTGCCCTCGCGCCCAGCCGACCCGGCCCCGGCCCCCTTGCTCGTGCTCCGACCGACGAACCGACCGCCCCTCTCGTACGAGCCGCGACACGCAAGCACGCGTGTGAAGAAGGCAAAGGTGGGGACGCACCGGTCTGGGAGGGGACGAGGTCGTAGGCGAAGCAGTTGTTGAGGCCGCGCTGGAGCTCAAACAGGTCCTGGGCGTTGGCAAAGAAGTCGGCGTAGCGGGCGTTGAAGTCGTCGTACGACTCGGCGGCCGAGTGGGCGAAGCGGACTGTCGTCGGCGGGCGCGCGTGTGTCGGGCGGGGCGGGGGTGCGGGCGAGGAGGAGGGGGAGGAGATGGGCGGCGACGATGGGAGGGAGGGGGAGCGGGGAGGGTCGGCCATCGCGCGTGCAGGGCGGTTCGGGAGGGTAGCCGGGCGACATGGCGAGTGTGGGAGAGCGCATCGAGGGGCAAGGACAGTCCAGGGAGGGGCAGGAGAGAGAGGGGACGACGAGGCCGTCAGTTGCTGCTCGCCGAGAAGGGCGGCGAAGAGGAGGACGACGCACCGGGGAGCGCTTGCGGGCGGGCGGCGATGCGGGCCGAGAGGGCGAGAGGGCGAGCAGCACTGCGGATGGCCTGCATGGTCGTCTGGGCGCGTCGGGAGGGAGGAGCGAGCGAGCGAGCGAATCGTCCCTCGTTGTTCGCTCTCGAGCTCCTTTCACTTGCGACCACCTCCCGGCCTCGCCCGCTCTGCTCTCGGCGAGATGCTACTGCCTGAGTTGGCCACAGCAGTCTGCACACTCGCCGCTCCGCATGAGCGACCGCACCTGCTCGACCCGCTCGCCCGCTCCCTCCTCCTCGGCGTCCCTCTCGCTCGCCACCAAGCTGGGGGATGGTGCGTGAGTGATACAGTGCTGCAAGGCTACACAATGAGACTCCCTCTCTACCTCCTCTTGCTCAGCGTCTTCTCGAGCTGGGCCACATAGCCGTCAAGCAGGCACCTCGTCGCCTCGCTCGACGGCATCGGCACCGCCAGCTCGGCCTCGATCCTGCGCTCAAACTCGTGCGACAGCGACACGCGCGGCGTGCGCTCCCCGCCGGCGCCTTTGACGCCGCCCTTGGCCGAGGAGCCCTTGGTCGCCCTCGAGCTGACCGGGCTCAGCGCCTCGCGCGCCGCCTCGCGCTGCGCAACGACGACGCCCTCCTTGCCCGCCGCGCCCGCCGTCTCGCGCTCGGCCCACCACGCCGCCCACTCGAGGTCGCCGCCGGGCCCCGTGCGGTGCAGCTCGCGCCGCTGCCGGTCGGCCGCCGCCGCGAACGAGGCGCGCGCGCCCGGCGCGAGAGGGACGAACCCGAGGAAGCGCGACCACAGCGCCGTCTTGTCGAGGTCGGCGGCGGCGGCGTCGAGGTCATCGACGGCGCCGTGCGCGTCGCCGTTCGACGACGACGAGGACGACCGCGACGCGAGGATCAGGTCGACGCGCAGCTCGAGGTCCTGCTGCGCCTTGCGCAGGGCGGTCCACCTCGCGAACGCGCGCGCCTCGGTCTTGACGGCCGCGGCGTCCTTGTCGCCAGCTCGCTCGAGGAGCGCATCGACGTCGGCGCCGGCTCGCGGTGCCGCCGAGGACGACGACGAGGACGAGGACGTCGAAGGGGGCTTGGCGCCGTCACGCAGGAAGGCGAGGCCGTCCTTGGCCCAGCCGAGGATCGGGTCGAGCAGGTCGCCGCCGTTGGCCGCCTGCAGGTCGTGGGCGAGGGTGGGCAGAGTGAGTGAGGCTGTCCGGGAGGGAGGGCAAGGGGAACGAGGGACGCACGAGCTCGTGGACGAAGAAGTACAGCGCCTGGTGGTGCCGCCTTGCGAGCGAGATGAACTCGTGCGGTTCTGTTTCCGGGCAGGCAATGCGATTGAGCGACCGACCCTTCTCGAGAGCACGACACCCGAGAGCGAGAGCGAGAGAGCCGAACGACGCACCTCCCATCCTCGTCGCGACCTTGACCAAGTCGTTGAGGAACAGCTGCAGGTCGCCGACGCGGTCGCTGAGCTTGCTCGCGTTGGCGACGGCGTGGATCGTCGAGTAGAAGACGGCGATGCTCGCGTGCAGGAGCCGTGGCGTGTTGGGCTCGAGCGCAATGTTGAGGACCTGCTCGCGGTCGCGGAAGCGGTAGTAGGCGCTGCGGGGCGGTCGTCTGTCAGGAACCGGAAGACGAGAGAGAGGGGGGGAGGGAGGCGGACGCACGCGAGCAGCTCCTTGAGGTCGGCGAACGAGCCCGCCTCGGCGCTCTTGGTCGGGTCCTCGCCGGCGTCGACGAACGCCTGGTGCCACCGCTCGACGAGCGCCTGCTCGTCCCGAGTCCCACGCTCGCGCACGATGGTGAGCACAATGTCCTCGTCCTTGGCGACTGCGAGCGGGCGAGGACGAGGGTCAGTCGGGCGCAGCTCTGGCTCGTCGAGCTCGACGAGACGAGGGGAGGGCGAGAGGGGGACGCACTTGCAGACGCCTTGGTGCGCTGCCTCGCGACGTAGCCCTCGGCGACGTGCGCCTTGAGCGTGTCGCACAGGCTGTCGTGCCCGAGCTTGGCGCGGAACTGCTTGATGAGGGCGCGCTGGTGCTTATTGGCGCTGTTGCAGACGTGCGACCAGATGCTGGGAGCGTCGACGGCGACCGAGTCAGTGTGCTGCTGCAGGAGGCGAGGAGGAGAGAGAGAGAGAGGGACGCACCGCTGGAAGAGGGACAGCTGGCCGGCTGGCTGGCCAAGGATGAGCTGCACGATGGCCCGGATCGCCCTGTGTCGCGACAACGACGAGTCAGTGAGGTAGATCAGAAAGAGTCAGGCGAAGTGGGACGCACAGGGTCGGGTTGACGAGGCTTAGGCCGAGCTGAATTGCGCGATACGGGATGAGCTCGTGGAAGCTGCGTCGCGAGGCGGACCCCATCAGTCCGACGCTCGTGCGCGTGCGCAAGACCGAGAGAGAAGCTGCGCGACGCACCTGCGCAGGATGTTGAGCACCTCAGGCCCAGTCGCGGCGCCGACAAAGATGTAGCTGCGCGCGCACGGTCCTCGAGGTCAGTCCTCGTCGCCGAGAACGGGCCAATCGCCCGAGCGAGAGAGAGAGGGGACGCACTGCAGAGCTTGCGCGACGTAGATGAGGGCCCACTCCTCGGCGTCCTTGTACTCTTGCGGGAGGTCCTTGACGGCCGAGCAGCGCTTGACGTGCTTCATCGTCTCGTCGAGCTCGCCTGCGTGGCAACACAGTCCAACAAATCAGTGCCCAGCCTCGAGGAGGACGACCACCGAAGAGAGGGGAACGAGCGCGACGCACCTCCTCGGATGAGCGCCCCTCGGTACCGGACCCACGTCGTCCGAAGCGCCTTTGCCCTCCTGCCGACCCTCGCCCACTCCTCGGCGCCCTTGTCCGCCCTCGCGTCCTCGTTCTCGACCCGCCTGCGCAGCGCCGCAGCGTCAACCTTGCCCGACGACGACGACGACGACGACGACGACGAGAGGAGGAAGCGCTCGAGGGCGGCGCGGGCGCGGTCGAGGAGCGCGTCGTCGGACGGGAAGCGCACCGTCGAGGCCGGGTGCGACAGGGCGAGGACGACCCAGCGGAGCCAGGTCTGGACGTCGCGTGCTGCTGTCGAGCGTGGCGAGGAGGAGGAGGCGGAAGGCAACGAGGGCGAGGAGGACGAGGCGGAGCGGCGAGGGTCGGCGAGGGGGAGCGCAGGGAGCGCGAGGCGCCCGTGCGGGTCGATCGAGTGCAGGGCGTCCGACAGGCCGACGAAGGCAGACTGAGGGACGAGGCTGTAGACGAGAGGGTGCGCCGACGCGAGAGGCTGGGTGAGGAGGTGGTAGGTCTGCAGGGCGAGGATGACGTGGCAGTGTCAGTCCGGAGCTCTCGCGCTTCACACGAGAGAGACAGAGAGAGAGAGAGAGAGAGAGAGAGAGAGAGAGAGAGAGAGAGAGAGAAAGGGGCCCACGCACAGGCTCCTTGGTGTGCGCCTCGTTCTCGACGACGCCGACCCACGCGTTGTAGTTGGCCTCGCCGCCGTGCTCACCGAGGAGCGTCCTCGCGAGCTGGTCCATCGAGCCGCCGCCGCCGACGAGTACGTCGAGGAGGCGCATCATGCCGGCGCTCGGGCGGGCGGGTGCGGCGGGCCCGGGCACGGCCGGCAGGGCCGACGAGGTGTAGGTGCCGAGGAGGCGGACGATGCCCATCGAGAGGAGGCGGCTGTGGGAGGGGGCGGGTCAGGGACGTTCGACATGGATGCCGCGCTTGACAGAGGCGAGAGGAGAACGTGTGGGAGGAAGGAGGGAGAACAAGAGGGAGAGAGAGAGCGCGACCGCGCACGCACCGTTTCGTGATCTCGCCCCGCTCGACCGTCGAGCTCAAGTCGCACTCTGCGAACCCGTCGATGAACTTTTGCCAGTGCTCGCCCCAGTACTCGTCCTTTGCGCTCCTCAACCCAGGCATCTGGTGCACGAACCGCTCAAACAGGTACGCGCACAGGGGCGACCTCGCCACCTTTGCCGGGTCCCACTCGTACCCGACAAACTGGGCGTCGCGCAGGACGGGCTTGGACGACGACGACGACGAGCCGGGGAGGAGGCCGAAGAAGCGCGAGGCGGGTTTTGGTGAGGGGGCCGACGCTGGGCGCGAGTTGGGCCCGTTGGCGAAGGGGAGGAAGGGCGAGCCGTAGGCGCTCAGGGTGCCGATCTGGCTCAGGGCCGAGAACTCGTGCTGGAGCTCGAGGCTGTGTTTCGCGCGCGGTGCACGTCCGGGTCAGTCAACGGTCTTTGCTCGCTCGAGAGAAGAGAGAGGGGGGCGGGGGGGGGGGACGCACTTGGCGAGCATGCGCGCGACGTAGTGCCGGTCCTGCGGCGTCACCTCGTCGTCCTGGTCCTCGAGCTCGCACACGTACGGCCCGAAGCTCGGCGCCCGCAACGTCGGCCCGCCGCCCTCGCGCTCCCTCGCCGCCGCCGGGTCCACCGTCCTCGCCGCAACACGCTCGTTCCCCCTCGCCTCGCGCTCGATCCTCGCCGCCGCGCCCTTGTCGCCCTCGCGCCCAAGCCCCTGCCCGTGCCCGTGCCCGTGCCCGTGCCCGTGCCCGTGCCCGTGCCCGTGCCCGTGCCCGTGCCCGTGCCCAGCAAGCTCATCCCGCGACTCGCTCCCCCTCGGGCTCGCGATGACCTGCCCGGGCAGCCTGCGCGGGCTCACCGCCGCGCCGCCGGGACCCACGCCGTGGCCCTGCGCGTGCGCGTGCGCCGTGACGGGCGACGCGGGCGGGCTCGACGCCGACATCGGGGCGGCGTAGTACGCGCCGTGCGACATGCGGCGCAGCTTGCGCGGGCCCGGCGGGTGCTGCTGCTCGGCGGCGCCGAAGCCGTTGCTGTACGAGTAGGACGAGGGAGAGGTCGGGCGCCCGTGTTCGGTTGACGAGGAGGGACGGCGAGAGCGCGACTTGCTGCGCGAGAGCTTGCGCACTGGGGCGGTCGACGTCGTGCGCGCGGCGAAGAGGGTCGTCGGCTGGTGGTGGTGGTGGTGGTGGTGGTGGTCGTCGTCCTCGTCCTCGTCGTCCTCCTGCGCACCAACAGCGGGTCAGCTCGGGTGCGCACACACGCCGATAGAGACAGAGAGAACAGTGAAGGGACGCACCTCGTCGACGCGCTGCGCGCGTGCGCTCCTCGCCGTGCGCCGGCTCGACTGCGACGCTCGGCGGTTCGGCACGCCTCCTCCCCGCTGCGCCTCCTCGAGGAGCGCCGGCGGCGGCGGCCGGTCGTGCTCGTGGCTCTTGCGCGTCGTGGCCGGTGCGGCGTGCTGCTGCGTGTCGTCGTCGAGCGGTGCGGGTGAGGGATCGCCCGAGGTCGGCGACGTCGTCGTCGACTCGGAGTGGGGCGGCGATGAGGGGGGCTCGGGGTCGCTCGTGGGAGGGCTCGGAGCGTCCATCGAGCGGCGCTGGGTCTTGGCAGAGGTCGTGCGCGAGGTGTAGTCGATAAAGGGCGGCATGCGTCGGGTGTCGAGAGAGCGCGAGAGGTGCGGGGTCCAAGGCTGGGCGGCTCTCACAGGGGCGACCAACGTCGACAGCAGCCTCTCCTGCGCGCTGCTTTCTCGGCTGCACGGTCTCGCAAAGTGGCTCGAGTCCAGCTTGCACGAGGACCCAAGCGGAACGAGAGGCGGGCGATGCGGCGCCCTGAGCGTCCGAAGCACGCTCGCTTTCGCTCTCTGCCGCGCGCAGCTCTCTGCCGAGGCGGCAATCGACACGCCCGGTGCCGAGAGAGAGACGCAGAGAACCCTGGCCGAGATTCTGAACATGCGGCGCGTTGCTGATGCGCTGCGGCGGCGGGCCGTCCCCCCTCGCTCCTCCCGCCCTCGTCCACTCGGGTCCGACCCGCACTCGTTCACGCTGCCCGTCCTCCTCCGTTTCACGCCTGCGCCTGCGCCTGCGCGCCCTCGCCGGCACCGCCCTGCGACGCCTCGGCGTCGGCGAGGCCGAGCTTGAACCCGTCGAGCGTCCTCGCGAGCTCGCCCGCGCGCGCGCCGACGACGCCCGCGATCCTGCTCCCGGGCTGCGACACGAGCGCGACGAGCTGGGCCCTGAGGACGTCGAGCGTCGGGAGTTTGGCGACGGCGTGCGTGCGCGCGACGTCGGCCGCCGAGTGGTCGACGAGGGCCGAGAGGAGCGCGAGGCGGTCTGGCGGCGCAGCACCACCCGGGGCGCCGGGAGCGGGAGGGGGCGGCGAGTTGGGTTTCGGGGTGCGGGAGAAGGTTTGGACGAGGGTGAGGACGCGAGAGAGGGTGGGCGGGTCGACCGAGGGGGCGGTGAGGACGGCGAGCGGGCCTTGGAGGTGCGAGGCGGACGCGAGGTGGGTTGGGTCGACGAGGCGCGAGACGGGCGAGTTGGGGTCGCGCAGGAGGGCGGGGAGGAGGCCTGGCCGGAGGACGGTGAGGGACAGTGGGGCCGGGGAGGTGGTCGAGGAGGAGGAGGAGGGGGTCGCGGGAGAGGGAGCGAGTTGAGCGAGGTTGGCGCGCAGGGCTCGCCACTCGTGGGCCGAGAAGTCGGATGGCCGGAGGAAGAGGACCAGAGGGTTGGCGGTGAGGAGGTGCTCGTGTTGGCGGAACAGGACCTGCTTGCGCAGCGGGAGGGGCCGGGTTCGGGCGACGACCTTGGGTGCGAGTCTCGGGGCCATGGTCTTGGTAGAGCTGCTGCTACGACGACGAGGTGAGGTGAGCGGGTCGAGAGATGGCTCGATGTGCGGCGAGGCAGAGGCGCGAGGAGGAGGAGGAGCACGGCCGCCGCCCGCCCTCGCTTGCTCCCCGTCCTAGACCGCTCCTCCATCTAGTCGGGTACGGCTCCCTTGCCCTTGCATCGACTCGAAACCTCTGCTCACACCCTCGCCCTCCACAGCCCACCCCGTGAGTTGTCGCCCTCGCTCACCAACCCCTCCGTGTTTTCTCCCGCCCATCTCGACCACCCACCGCCAGCCTCGTGCCGCCGGCGTATGCCCCGATCCGCTGCGCCCCTCTCCAGCCGCCCGAGCCACCCACACCGCGCCCCCAGCGAGCCGCCGCCCGTCGAGCCCCAGCCTCGCAAACTACGCCCCGCCCGCTCGATCCGCACCACCGCCCGCTCGACGTCCGCGCGACGGTGCGCCCCCGAGTGCAGCAGGCGCGAGTACGACTCGAGTGGGCCACTTGCGGCGGGCTGCGAGGGCGCGCGCGAGCGGGCGAGCCGGTCGGGACGAGCTGTGTCGCCCGGGCGGCGCAGAGGGACCGACGCGCTCAGCGGACGAGCAGGGCGCGGGCGGCGACGTGCGCACGCCTCGTTGGGCAGCAGGGCGTCGCGCAGGGCGAGCGAGCGGGACGGCGAGCGCCGGTGTCGTCGTCGTCGTCGCCCTCGAGCGGCTCGCCTCGCCGTCGCCTCGCCGTCGTCGGCCGGGCCAGGGTCCAGCGGTCCAGCTCGGGCAGCAGGGCACGGCGGGACACCGGCAGGGAGCAGCACGAGCCGACCTGCGAGGACCTGCACCCGCACCACCTCGAGAGTACGGCACTGACCCTCCCCCTCCCTCCCGCAGCCCGTCTTTAACCGCCCGCCATGCCTCACTCGTTCGGTCTCCGCGCGCGCACGCGCCACATGTTCAAGCGCGACTTCAAGACCAAGGGCTCGATCCCGCTGTCGACGTACCTCAAGATCTACCGCGTCGGCGACATTGTCGACATCAAGGCCAACGCGGCGCAGCAGAAGGGCATGCCCCACAAGTACTACCACGGCCGCACCGGCATCGTGTACAACGTGACCCCGTCGTCGGTCGGCGTCATCGTGTACAAGGTCGTCGGCAACCGCTACATGGAGAAGCGCGTCAACCTCCGCATCGAGCACGTCAAGCACTCCAAGTGCCGTGACGGTGCGTCCCCCCTCTCTCTCTCGTGGGCTCTCTGTGCGCCTCACTGACTCATGGTGCGCACGCCTCGGTCCACAGACTTCCTCAACCGCGTCAAGTCGAACGCCGAGAAGAAGAAGGAGGCCAAGGCCAAGGGCGAGCACGTCCAGCTCAAGCGCCTCCCCGTCGCGCCCCGCGAGTCGCGCACCGTGTCGACCCAGGACAACACGCCGCAAACCCTTGCGCCCATCCCGTACGACACGACCATCTAAGCGCGCCCGTCTCAATCTGCGGTTGCCCGTGGTGGACGTGTGTGTGTGTGTGTTCCAGGACCAGAGCGGGGCTGGAATGCAGGGAGTGGCCGACCAGATCCTGTCGTCGTCGTCGTCGTCGTCGAGAGTGTGAGAGAGAGAGAGCTACGCAGAGCGAGACGAGGGCCCGAGCGTCGAGAGCGAGGACTTGTCGTCGGCGACGGCGGACACTCGGAGAGCCGGCCTCGCCTCTGGGCTCCTCTCTCTCGCTCATTGTCCCCCGCCGGCCTCGCTCGACGGGCCCACCTGCTGCGCCAGCTCTCGACACACCCGCTCCAGCAAGTCTCGCAACGAGCCCCGACCGCCCAGGCGCCGCGAGCGGGAACCGGTTCCCTCATCTCGTCGCGTCCCCACCTCGTCGTCAAAGGTCGGCCCTCTGCGCCTGCGCACGCCGTCCAGCGGTCCGCCTTTGCCGCCCATCGACTCGCCAGAGCACCTTTCCCGACCGGACCCACCTCACCGACCCGCCCTCCGCGCCGCCCACCTCGCGTCCCCCCCCCTCCTCTTCGCAGCCTCCTCCTCCTCCTCCGCCCTCGCCCTCGCCGCACCCGCCGCACCCACCGCCACGCGATGCCCGCCTCCGCCTCGTTCGGCCCGACGCACACCTTCCTGCGCGGTCTCGCGGCGTACGCGTTCGCGAGCTTCTGGCACCGCGTCCTCGTGCTCGCTGCCGAGGCCGACGAGGACGACGACGACGAGGACGGGGACGGCGAGGTGCGGCAGGGGACAGGGAGGGGGAGGAGGAGGAGGCTGCGAAGAGGAGGGGGGGGGACGCGAGGTGGGCGGCGTGCATCGTCGTCGCCAACCACTGGAACTCGGCCGCCGACGTGCGTCCGCCTTCTCCCTCCCTCTCTCTCTACCCCTCGCGCGCCCAACTGACGAGCGAGCGCGCACACCACACAGGTCGCCGTCCTGTCGTGCTACTTCCCGCACTACCGCAAGCTGCACTACTGGGCAAAGTCGACCCTGTTTGCGCCCGGCTTGCCGCGCAAGATCCTCCTCGACGCTGGCAACATCCCCGTCGACCGCAAGACCAAGGTGCGCCCTCTCTCTCTCTCCCTTCGTCGTCGTCGTGGCCGAGCGAGGACTGACGAGGACGAGGAGGGCGAGCTGCGCAGGACAACCAGAAGCTGTTTGCGGCGAGCTTCGACGCGCTCAAGTGCGGCGAGGCCATTGCCGTCTTTCCCGAGGGTGGCTCGTGCGTCCCTATCCCTCTCTCCGTCTCGCGAGCGCAGACCTACCGAGTCCCTCGTCTCTGACTCTCGCTCCCCTCCCATCCCTCGTCCCCATCGCCCACAGCGAGACGGTGCACGAGCTCCCCGCGCTCAAGGACGGCGCGTCGTGGGCCGCGCTCGAGTACGCCAAGAACCTGCGCGACCCGGCGCAGCGCACGCGCTTCTCGGACGGCTCGAGGTGCGACAAGGAGCCGGTCGACGTCGTCATCTGCGTGGCCGGCATCGCCTACAGCGACAAGACCAAGTACCGTGCTTCAGCTACGATGGAGTGCGTCGGCCCCTCTCTCTCTCTCTCTCCCACTCTCTCTCGGGAAACCGTCACTGACGTCGTCCCGGTCGGTGCGCAGGTTCGGCCCGACCCTGTCGGTGACGCCCTACGTCGACGAATTCCTCGTGTCGCCCAAGACGGCCGTCAAGAAGCTCACGGCGCGCATCCACCTCGAGTTGACGAGGGTCACGGTCAACGCGCCCGACTGGGAGTCGCGCCACGCCGCCATGATGGCCCGCAAGATCCTCTGGCCCGACGACCGCAAGTTGCCGCTCGAGAACTTGCGCAAGATTGACCAGACGTGCGTCGTCGCCTCTCTTCCCTCTGTCTCTCTCGCGTGCACTTGCGTTGCCGGTGCGCAGGGACTTACTCGGGTCCTTGTCCTTCTCGCACAGCCTCGTGGACCTGTTCGCGTCGCCCAAGCCGTCGCGCTCGTTGCGCCGCCTCGGGCGCCTCCTCAACGCGTACCGCGACGCCCTGCACTCGACCGGCCTGTCGCACCTCTCGCTGTCGTCGCTCCCGCTCCCGGCAACCCTCGACCCAGACGTGCCGCACCCTCCCCCGACCCGGTTCCGCGTCCTCGGGTCCGTCCTCCTCAGCACCCTGTCGTGCCTCGTCCGCCTCCCCTTTTTCCTCCTCCCACTCGTCGTCCACCTCCCCGTCTACACGTTTGCGCGCTACGCGTCGAGCGGCGCGCTCGAGGAGGACCAGGCGCAGAACAAGGTCGCGATCGGACTCGTCCTCGCGCTCGCGACGTACGCCGCCCTGTTTGGCGTCGTGTGCGCCCTCCTGTGGACGAGCATCACGTGGGGCGGCGCCATCGTCGTTGCGCTCGTCGGCACGATCGCGTTCGTCGCGTACCACAACCGCCTCGTCGACGCCAACGTGCGTCCTCGTCTCCCCCTCTCTCTGTGTGCGTGGCCTTGCCGAGAATCGGGCGCTGACTCTCTCGGGCCGCTTTTTGCCCCTCGATGCTCGCAGTACCGCCAGTTCCAGCGCCTGTCGGCCCTGTGGACCGTCCTCTTCGCCTTGTGGACGCCTGTCGCCCGCTCCGAGGCCGAGCACTTCCTCCACTCGGTCCACCCGTCCCTCACGCCGAGCAGCATCCGGCTCCGTCACTCGTCCGACAACCCGTACGACGAGGACACCGAGCTCGGCGCGAGGACGAGTTCGAGCGCAGCCGACGACAGCGACCGGCGCGGCTTGCTCGAGGGCGCGGCGCCGACCGGCCGCTTGTCGGACCCGTACGACGACGAGTCGGACGAGTCGGACGACGACGACGGTGACGCCGACGCCGACGCTGCCACCGACCACGTGGACGGGCGCCTCCAGCCCCGCACGCCGCGCCACCCACCGCCGCAGCCGTCGCCGTCCCTCTTCTCGGAGCAAGACCGCCTCCTCGGCGGGCCCTCGCGCCCCTCGCACTCGCCTGCGCCGTCCCACGCGCACGCGCACGCGCAGCAAGGCGGCCGCGAGCGCGCAGGCTCGTCGCCTGGCCCGCCGCCGCCGAGGGACCTGCCGCCGCACGAGGCGGGCGCGACCCGGATCGAGATGGACGCGCTCGGGAGCGGGACCACCGGCGGCGGTGGTGGTGGGGGGCGCTCGGGCTCTCGCGCTCGCACGCCCTCGTCGAGCTCGGCGGCGGCGGCGGCGAACGGCTCGGGGGGCGGGTGGGTGCGGCGCTCGCGCTCCGGACGCAGCGCGCGCGAGGTCCGCGACTTGCTGTACCTGCGCGCGCAGACGGTGCAGCTCCTGCGCGCGCTCCTGTTCCCGCTCCTCGACGAGCACGGCGACCTCGATGACGACAGCGGCGGCGGGCTCGAGGAGGTGCACGTCGATGGCGGCGCCGCGAGCCGCTCGTCGGGCCACGCGCCCGTCGCCATGGCGCGGCGCCGCAGCCTCTCGAGCGCGTCGTCGTCGCCGGCCCCGGGCGCCGGTCCGGGCGCGCCTCATGCGACGCCGCCGGCGTCGACGCCCGTCGGGCACGTCAACGGCCTCCTGACGCGCCTGCACGACGCGGCGCCGCTCTCGGAGCGCGAGACCACGAGTCGGGCGCTCGCGCGCGAGGTCGGCGGGCGCATGCGCGAGCTCGGGTGGCAGGCCAAGGAGGGCGCACGGTGGCTCGGCGGCGGGATAGCTGGGACCGAGCGAGCGCGGTGAACATGTAAAGCGTCGTGTTGCTTATCGAGGTTTCCCGTTTTCGTGCTCTCTCTCTCTCTCGCTCCTCCTTCTCTCGAGAAGGCTCTCGGCGCGAGGTGAGACTGCGAGAGTGCGAGTAGAATGGCAACAAGGTGACAAGGGAACAGGTACAAGACGACGATCAGGCCCGCTCGTCGTCATCGTCGTCGTCGCCGAGCGCGTCGATCCGAGCGCGCAACTTGGCGAGAAAGTCGAGCGCGTCGTCGGCGGCAGAGAGGGCGCGGTCGGCGGGCGAGGCGTCGGCGGGTGCGGCGGCGGCGGCGAGGACGTCTGTGTGCATGGTCGAGAGCGTGGCGGTGATCTCGGCGCACTTTCTGCGAGCGAGAGAGGTGTGAGTGAGTTCTTCACGTGCAGCGCAAGCGGCGGCGAGGAAGCCGCCTTCGCCCGCGCAGACGAGGAGAGCGCGAGACTCACTGCTTGATGGCGACCGTCTTGGCTCGTCGCAGGTCGATCTGGGCCCGCATCATCGCCTTGAGCGTCTCGCGAGCCTGCACGACAAACGACCTCACATCAGTCCGCCGTCCTCGAGCTGGGGAGAGAGACAGAGAGAGAGAGGGGAAGAGAGCGCACCTGGACTGGCCTAAGCTCGTTCACGAGGTAGTGCATGTTGACGGCGACGAGCTGCATGTGCTCGGTGAGGCGCTCGATGTCGGACCGAGGTGGTTGAGGGTGCGCGAGCGAGGGAGGTGGGGTGAGGAGGGCGTCGAGGAGCTGGGTGTACGAGATGAGGAGGGTGCGGAGGAGGGACTGGAGCGACGTCTTGCGGTCTGTGCGCGGTGTCGGCCAGGTGAATCTCGTGTGCTCGCTCGAGGGAGAGAGAGGCGCGAGAGAGTGAGAGGACCAAGAGGGCGCACCTGCGTCGCGGTCAAACATCTCGGGGACACCCATGTCCTGGAGCGTCGGGAGCTTCTCGTCGATGGGCCACGTCTCGCCGAAGACGGCGTAGCTGCCGTCCTCGACGATCCAGTCGACGTTGGGCGGGTCGAGGTCGGCGCGCGAGAAGGGGCGTGGCTCGCCCGGAACGTCGGCGATGGTGGCATCTGGCGCGAGGTCGAGGTTGCGCTGGGTGTAGCGGTGGTAGAACGCTGGCGGGGCGGGGAAGATGGCCGTGTCGAACTCGTCGGGAGGAGGAGGAGGAGGAGCGGGGTCCGAGGGAACAGCTCCGAGCTCTGGGGCTGTAGGAGCGCCATTGGGCTGGGCTCCTGGCTGTGCTGGACTGCCTCGCGAGCCCGCAGACGACGGCGAGCTCATGGCGGCGAGCGGCGTGAGGCCAAACCGTCTCATCTCCCAAGAGCTGCTCTCGACTGTCCTCCCTCCTCTCCTCTCGCCGGATGTACTGGTCTGGCTGGATACGCGTGCTACCAGCCCTGCTGTGCACCGTCTGCTCCTACGCTCACCCGCTCCTGAGCTGTCCTCGCACTCCCACGCCCCGCTCCCCTCTCCGCGGGCTCACGGCTTCGACGGCCTCGACGCAGGGCACCGAGCGACGCGCGTGCTCGCCCGCAGCGTGCTTCGAGGAGACCCTGATCGAGGGCGCCGCACTTGCCGGGCCCACACCGAGCCGGCCGGCCTCCTGTCCGTCCCCCGCGGTGCCGGCGTCCGCTCGCCCACCGTTCGGCTTGGTCACGGACGGGCTTCGCTTGCTTCCGCTTCTCGACCCACTCTGAGCCTGAGCCGAGCTCTCGCGCAAGCTGGATCCTCGACTCGAGCCTCGAAGGGGAGCGGCGTCGCCCGCGCCGACCTACCGCACCGTCGCCTCGCCTCCTCCTCACGCTCGCCGGGCTCCGCCTCTCCCGCCGCCCCCACGCCGAGCCTCGCTCCTCCCGAGCAAGGAGCGCGCAACATCCGCCGAGCCGCCGACCTCGGCCCCGCCGTCGCCGCTCGACTCGAAGCACCTCGTCCTCCTGCCCATGGCGCACCCGCACGGCGGCGCGAAAGCGCGCGACGCCGCGCTCGACTCGGCGGCGAGGCGGCAGAACTCGGCCGACGAGGGCGTCCCACGGTACGACCCGCACGCCGCCTACCACGACCCGTCGACCAACCTGCACCCGCACGACGCGCACGAGCGGCGCGCGCCGTCCGAGGTCGACGACCGAGCATGGCGCAGCAAGGCCGAGGTCGAGGAGTGGCGCTCGGCCCAGGTCGAGCGGCGGGCGAGCGTCGCGAGGAGCGTCGCGAGCGGGAGGAGCTCGACGAGGGGCGCGCAGGAGACGCTTGGCGGGCTGAGCGAGGGGGACCTGGCGCACATGTCGGACGCCGAGATCGGTGCGTCTCTCTCTTTCTCTCACTCTCTTGCCCCTTTCTACTTCCTTCGACTGACTCGCGACGCCTGCTCGCAGCCCAGCACCACTTTCGCCTCGCCCAGCAGCACCTCGAGGCGGCACAGCGTCTGTCGCTCGCCGCAGCCGAGACGCCGTCTCGTTACGCCCGCTCGGCCCAGTCGTCGTCGGTCAGCTCGCTGCGCAGCCCGCAGGCGCCTTTTGCGTACGAGCAAGACTCGGCGTCGTCGAGCGCGTACGGCGAGTCGTCGTTCGGCCAGGACGACCAGCTGCGCTCGCCCGTGTCGGTGTCGTCGGCCTCGCCGATCGAGCGCGACTTGCGGCGGCTCAGCATCGACCGCCGTGGGTCGGCGTCGGGCTCGGGCTCGTACGACGAGCGCCGCAGGTCGGCGCTCCAGGTGCCGCCCCCGACTCGAGCGCTCGAGCCGCCGCCTCACGCCGTCCCTTCCTCCTCCTCCCGCTTCAGCACCTCGCCCTCGTCCATCTCGCTCCGGTCCGCACCCTCGCACCCGAGTACGGATGGCGCTCGCGCCGTGCCGCAGCGTCCCGTCCCGCCGCCGCGCCGAGCGACCGTCGGCGCCGTGAACCCGCCGGCCGCTTTCGAGTCGGCGAGTGCGCTCGCGCCGTCCTTGTACGGCGGCGGCGTCCCACTCGGCGTTCCTGATCGTCTCGGCGTGCGCTCTGCGTCGGCCGGGTCGTCGCCGGCTGACTCGGTCGGCGTCTCGAGGTCGGCCTCGTCGTCCTCCTCATTGTCGCCGTACTGGCCTGGCGCTCAAGCCCGAGACGCTGTCGAGCAGCAGCCGAGTCGCAGCTTTGTCGAGCACGACGTCCACGATCCCGCCGAGGACGTTGACGATGCGAGGAGCGACTTCTTCGACGCCCAGTCGACCATCTCGCACGTCACCAACTCGCCGCTCCCGTCCTACTCGGACCCGTACGAGCGGCCTGCCGTGCCCTCGGTCCCCGAGGAGTACCTTCGCCCTGTCGCGTCAGCGCCGCCGGCATCGGTCGTCGGCGACTCGTCCGGTCCGCCGTCGCCCTCGCCGTCGCACGAGCCCGTCGATGAGTTTCACGGCTTTCGACCTCGCCATGCCCTTGTTCCTCAGCACTACTCGTCACACCCTCCCTCGCTCTCGACAGACTCGACCGTCTCGGCGCAGCCGTCATCGTCGCACCCGCCGTCCGTCGGGCACGGGCCTCCTCCTTCAGCACACGTCTACGCCCATCCCGTCGCCGCGCTCGGCGGCGCGCAGCCGCACTCGTACATCGTCGGCGCCGACGGCCGACCCATCCCTGTCTACTCGGCGCCTGCAGGCCTGCACTATCGAGCCGGCCAGTCGGCACCGCGCTCGGCGCTCCCTATCCACTCGCAGCCGCTCCAGTTCGACCACTCGCTCCCGTACGCCCACCGACCGCCGCAGACGCCACGAGGACCCGTGGTCACGACTGCAGGCGTGCACCCGACCCTGACGGCCAACACGTCGCCGCTCCAGCCCTACTCGCCGCACGCCTCGCCTCTCGCGCCCTCGGCCCTCCCGACCCTCTCGACTCGGACCTCGACGGCGTGCTTTGCCCCTTTCACCGTCGGCGTCGTCCCTCGTCCGCCCTCGCCCTCGGCCTCATCGACGACGACGGCGACCCACCGCGCGCCGTCCATCTCGGGCCGGTCGCGCATGGCGAGCCTGCGCGCCGCCGTCAAGAGCCCGCACGTGCGCTTCATGAGCCCGAGCCCCGAGGCCAGGTCACGCGCGAGCGAGCCGCCGCCGCCCACGTCGACGTCCACGTCTACGTCGTCGAGGTCGGGCCGGGTCGGGTCGTCGTCGGGCGCGTCCGCCGCCGCCGCTCGCGGCCGGATGGGCAGCTTTTTCGGCGCGAGCGCGAGCGGCGGTGACGCGCTCAGGCTGGAGCAGGCGAGAGCGACAGCCGTCGTGCCCGAGGTGGACGACGAGGAGAGCGAGGCGGAGCGGAGGAAGCGCCAGGGCGAGGCGATGCAGCAGAGCTTTGGCATGCTCCTGTAGATAGATCTAGACGCCTTTATCTCCGTGCAGTGCACCCGTTCGACCCCGAACGAGCCGTTCTTGACGAGAGGGTGAGCTCGAGGAGGTCAGGTGAGCAGGCGAGCAGGATCGGCGTCGACGAGAGGCAAGCGCCGTCTCGAGCGTGGGCGCCAACGACGCCGAGGCACACGGACGACGCAGCGAGCTCCAATTGAGCGGCCGGGCCCACTCGCACCACAGAGAGAGCGTCGTCGGGACAAGCCGCCGGCGAGATGAGGAAGGCGGGCGCGCGACGAGGCTCGAGCTCGAGACACACGGCGAGCCGACTACGTCGAGTGGGAAAGCGGCCGCCAGCGGGTCCCACGGGCTCGCCAAGGGCTCAGGGTTGGGTTGACGTCGTCCAGGAGGGTGCACAGCGTGCCGTGCGAGCGGCAGCGCGGCCCACGACGCGGATGCGAGACGGCTCGGTCTCCCTTGCAAACGGTTCCCTCGCCTCCGCACCCTCGATTTTCTCCTCCGCACTAAACTTGTCCACCTGATCTTGGCTCCCCGTACTTCTCCTGCCCGTCGATGTGGGTCAACACCGGGCGCGAGAGCAAGAGAGAGCGAACGAGCAGAGTTGCCGTCGCGAGACGAGGCCCGAGAGCGACAGACGCTCGTACGGACGCACTTTGTCGAGCTCCGCCGACGCCCGGTCGAGCGCGCTCACGAGATCTCGATCAGTATCAGTCACGAGGGCTCCGCACTCCGAAGCTCCGGTAACAAACTCTGCGAGACGGCTCGGGGTGCCCCGGCGGCGCGCTTCTCTTTTCTCTCCCTCCCCTACACTCGCTCGCGCTCGCTCCACCAGGTCGTCGACGCTCCACGACCATGTTCCGTTCTCGCGCCGACAAGAAGGAGGAGATCGTCAACGAGAAGGAGGTGCAGCAGGGCATCTACCCGGGCCAGGACGTCGAGGAGGTGGCGGCCGCCGACCGCCTCCAGCCCGAGGTTGCGGACGCGTTCGCGCTCCGCGACGGCGACACGCACGGCAAAACCAACTTCAAGGACCTCGGCTGGATCAAGGCGGGCATCATCATCACCTGCGAGGTGAGCCTCGCTTCCCCCTCCCTCCCCTCGTCGTCGCCACCTCTGCCGAGGCTGTTCGGGTCGACGGTCCGCCGCTCGTCTCCTTAGCCTCGTTCAGCAGCCCTACACACGGTCTGGTTAGGGCGGCGTCGACGGACGAGGCGACGCACGTCCACGGTGGTCCGTGCACACGAACGAAGCTGACTTGCTGCCCCCCCCCCCTCCCCTCGCTTCCCTCGCCCGCAGGCCGTCGCCCTCGGCACTCTCTCGTTCCCCTCGACCTTCAAGCGCCTCGGCCTGGCCGGCGGCCTGATCTGCAACACCGCCTTTATCGCCATCGCCTACCTGTGCGTCCCGTCGATTTGGACGACTTCCTCGAGTCGGAAGCGTTCAGCGCGACGCGCACGCAGCCCTGACCCACCCTCGCTCGCGCAACAGGTCCGCCTCGATCATGGTCGACTTTAAGCGCCGTTACCCGCACGTCTTGAACGCCGCCGACGCCGGCGAGGTTCTCTTCGGCCGCTGGGGCTACCGCATCCTCGGCGTCGCCATCGTGTTCAAGTCGATCGGCCTCGCCGCGAGCCACATCCTCGCCGGCAAGCTCGCCATTGCGACGTTCGACTCGGGCGCCAACTGCGCCATCGGCTGGGCCGTCCTCATCGCGGGCGTGTCGGCCATCCTGTCGTACAACCGCAAGTGGAGCGGCCTCCTCGGCCTCTCGGTTGCGTCCATCTCGTGCATCGTCATCGCGTGCATCATCACCATGGTCGGTGCCGGCACGCAGGACCCGGCACGCCTCGAGAAGAACGGCGAGCCCGTGCACTGGGTCGCGTTCAACAGCGAGCTCACGTTTGCCGACGCCATCGGCGCCATCACCAACTGCGTCTTTGCGTGCGTCCTCTTCTTCCTCGGTCGTCGCTCCTCCCGTGTCGTCGCTCTCTTGGCTTTCCTCCTCGACGACCCGTCCCTGACCTCTTCTCGCTCTTCTTCCCTTCTCCTTTCCCCTCTCTCCCGCATCGCCTACTGCAGCTACGGCCAGAACATGGCCGTCCTCACGTTCCTGCCCGAGGTGCGCTCTCGCGATCTCTCGCCGTCATCCACGACCTCGACTGACCCTCCTCGTGCTCGACAGATGCGCAAGCCGTCCGACTTTAAGAAGTCCATCGCGCTCATGCAGGGCTTCCAGCTCATCATCTACTCGGTCGTCGGTGCCGTTCTGTACTCGTACGGTGGCCAGGTGCGTCGTCGTCTCGTCCCCGCGCTCGGACCCCTTCCCGCCTCTGACTCTCGCCTTCCTCCTTCAGTACACCCCGTCGCCGGCTCTGACGATGACCAACCATAAGCTCGCCATCGCCTCGTACGCCTTTGCGCTCGTCACCATCATCGTCTCGGGCATCGTCGCCGTCAATGTGCGTCCCACTCGTCGGCCCGCCTTTTCTGGCCCGAATCAACTCTTACTGACGCTCGCTCTCGGTGTGCAGGTCGGCGCCAAGTTCTTCTACACGCAGCTGTTCCGCAACTCGTCCATCCTCACGAGCGACAGCTGGGCCGCCCAGCTCTACTGGCTCGCCATCATCTTCAGCATGTACGGCGTCGCGTTCGTCATTGCCGAGCTCATTCCCGTGCGTCTCTTTCTCTCTATCCTCTCTGCGTGCTCTGCGCACGCCGCTGACCCTGTCGCACCCACAGTTCTTCAACCAGCTCCTCACGATCGTCTCGTGCCTCACCTCGACCTGGTTCGTCTGCGGGTTCGCCGGCGCCCTGTGGCTGCACATGCACCGCAGCACTCGCGGCGCTGGCTGGTTCAGCAGCCCCGTCAAGATTGCGCTCTTCTGCGTCTCGGTCTTCCTCGTGCGTCCTCCCCTTCTTCCTCCTCGGACTCCTGCTGATGCTGCTTCGCCTTCTGCAGATCGCCATCTCGCTGTTTATCACACCCTCGGGCATCTATAGCGCAATTGTCGGCATCATCGATGGTGTACGCCCCGTCCCTTCCACTCGACGACCGCCTCCTCGCACTGACCTCTCGTTTCCTCGCAGTACAAGGGAGGCAAGTTTAACCACCCCTTCTCCTGCTCGTCCTAGACCTCTCTCTACACCTCGAAGAAGATACAGTAGAACCCCGGCCCCCCTCTTTCCGCCCTCATCGTGTCGTACGCGAGGAAACCTTGTCATTGTGTACCAAGCAGTTCGTTTCCCACCCGTTCTCTATATCTCTCAGGGGGTCCGCGGCTTGCAAAATATACCGGCGTGTGCCGTGTGAATGTCCTTTGTCGGTCGAGCGAGGAAAGGGAGGGCGAGGGAGCGAGGAAAGCGTGACCTCGAGGAGGAGAAGGTGGTCGCCTCGGTCGTTCTTTCTCTCGTCCGGCTGGCCGCGCTCCCTGCTCAGCTGCAGGGCTCTTCCTTCGCCGACGAGAGCCCAGCTCGAGCATCGAGTCGAGCGCCAACCCCTGCGATTCGCCTCGTCGAGGTCAACTTGGGAAGGCCGCGAACGGCAGCCTCCTCTGCGCGAGCCTGCGGGCACTCTAAGCTTCGACGTCTCCTTGTAACCTGAGCAACACTCTCCTCTTTCGACACGCACGAGCATCGAAGCGGTGCAGCCGAGAAGCGAGCAGCTCGCGTCGAGCGACGGTTTGCGACGAGCTCGATTTGGCGATTTGCGCACGTTCCGCTGTTCGACGGCGAGCGCTCTATCCATCCAGATCGCATAGAACGACCTTTCAGGGATAGCGAGGTTGAGCCAGAAGCAAGAGGAGAGAGTCCAAGCGAGCCGCGAGGAGGTTGCACGCGAGGAAAAAAGGAGCCAGCTCGCCGCGCAGCGCGTGCACGCCTGAGCGGCTCTACGCCCACAGCGCTCGAAGGCCCCGACGTTCAGGAACACGAGCGCCACGTCGACGCTCTGTCGCTATAGCTCAACCCGCTCCCGGCCACGCTCGTCAACTTGAGAAGGCCGACCGAGTCGATCCTCCTCAACTTGCTCTCTCTGGCAGCAGGAGCTGCTCGCACATGCTCGACGAGCTACAAGCATCTACACACGTAGCTCGAGCGAGCAGAGGACCGGCGAGAGCCACTTGGCTCGCGCCGGAGGTTCGGGTCCACCTCTCGGGCTTTCCTCTCGCGAGACGAGGAAGATCGACGGACTGCATTTCAGGATGGCTCGAGGCGGGCACGAGAGACGAATGGGAAGCGATGAGAGAGTGGTGCACAGAGGGGAGGCGAGGGAGGGAGGGAGCTCGAGGCGAGACGGGCGGTCGGACTCGGGCGAGAGGGGAACGGCGAAAATTGGGAAGGAGTTGGGCGACAGTACGGCGAGGTCGACGACCCGCCTACCGCTTCTTCTCGTCCTTCATGTCGTAGTCCGACGAGCAGGGCCCGAGGACGAGCTTGACGAGGTAGAGTTCGCTGCGGGAGGAGGTCGGACGAGGTCAGGGACGGCGACGACGAGGGTTTTTCGAGGAACGGGAGACGCACGGCGACAGCTGCTGGCCCGACGTGCGGCGGAAGTTGTCCTCCTCGACCTCGTAGCTGCCTGTTGGCGCGGGAAGAGAGGGAGGGGGAGAGACGAGGTCAGTCGAGGACAGACCGGATCCGGCTCGGCGAGCTCGACGACGACGACGGCGACGACGAGAGAGAAAGAGAGGTGGGACGTACTCGTGCAGTCGACGAGGTCACCAATGACCGGGTGCTCGTCAATCTCCTCGAGGAACGCGCGCGCGCCCGAGTCGTTGCCGATCTGGGCAATCTGGATCGAGAGGGCGTCCGAGCCGTAGCGCGTCTGGGCGAGCGTGTCGCTCGCGTTCTTGATGACCTGTCGAACGGTATGGTGGGTGGGTCAGCGGGAGGGTTTCGGGGTAGAGAGAGAGAGAGGGGGAGGACGCACACGGACGATCGTGTCGCGGGCCTCGCCGCCGGGAGCGCCGTCGGTGACGGCGACGACAAGGAGCGGCTTGCGGAGCGTACCCTGCAGGACATCATACGTCAGGTCAGTGTCGAGTTCTCGAGAGGGACGAGCAGGCGAGAGGGAGGACACGCACGGCGCGAGCCGGGCCGAGGAGGAGAGGCTGGATGATCTTCTGGTCGAGGGCCTGCAGACAACGACGACGGCCACGTCAGTCACAGCTCTCGAGATGCACGAGGAGAGAGAAAGGGGCATAGAGAGAGGGAGACGCACCGTGCCGAGCGGGGTGAGGCCCGAGAAGCGGATCTGCGAGACGAGCTGCTGCGCCGACGCCTCGCTCGTGATGTTGCGCCCGACGAGCTGGCTGTTCATGAAGAAGACCTGCACGGGAGGAGAGGTGCGTCAGGTGGTTCTGCGCCCGATAGGGCGCCCTGGGCCGGTTAAGAAGGTGGAACTGGGGAAGTTGGGGGCGCACCTCGATGCCGTCCGTGTCGAACAGCGTGGCCGCCTGGGCGACCCTGCCGATAATCATCTTGGCGTCGTCGATGCGCTCGCCGTTCTCCTCGAAGGCTGCGAGCGAAGCGAGCGAGAAAGAGGGTCAGGGAGGGGTCCGGGAGCTGCGGCAACGGCCGGAGGCCGTCTGGAAGGTCGAAACGGACGACTAGAGGATCTGGCACGACTCACCCATACTCCCGCTGTCGTCAACGTACATAGCGACGTCGAACAGCGCGAGGCGGCACAGGTCGATGGCAATCTCCATCGGGAGCTTCCAGAGCGAGGCGATCTGCGAGAGGGCGCCCGTCTGGACGATGCGCTGCGCGATCTGCTCGAGCGAGCCCGGCGGGTAGAACGCTTGCAGTTTCTGTGTGTGCGTGCGAGGGGTCAGGGCCGGGAGAAGAGAGGAAGGAAGGAGAGAGCGAGGAGGGGGGAAGGACGGCGAGAGGGGGCGAGGCCGAGAGGGCGTGCGAGGGATAGACGGCGAGGAGGGATAGTGAAAGGCAGAGAGGGAGGGAGAGCAGAGAGAGTGCGCTGCGGAGAGCTGAAGGGGAGGGAGAGAGAGAGGACGGACCTGCTCCTGGACGCACTGCGTCAGGACCTGGACGATGACCTGCTGGCTCGGGCCACCGCCGGGCGCCGCAGCGCCACCGTGCTGCTGGGGCGGCTGCTGGGGCGGCGCACCGTACTGCTGCTGCTGCGGCTGGCCGTAGCCTGACGAGGAAGGGAGGGGTCAGTCCAGGTCTCGACGGGCGACGAGAGAGAGAGAGGAAGGGGACGCACCCTGCTGCTGCTGACCGTACTGGCCCTGCTGCTGAGGCGGCTGACCGTAGCCTGCGGGCGGTGGCGCGAGGCCTCTTCAGTCGGGCGCTCTCGAAACCTCGAGAGACAGACAGAGGGGAACGACGCCGACGCACCCTGCTGCTGCTGCTGCTGCTGCGGCTGGCCGTACTGACCCTGCTGCGGCTGCTGGCCCGGCGCGCCGTACTGGCCCTGGCCCGGCTGCTGCTGCGGCTGGCCCGGGTACGGCATCTGGCCGCCGGCGGCGCCGGCGGCGCCAGGGCGGTTGCCCGGCACGGGCGGGTTGCCCGGCGGCGGGGCGTACTGGCCCTGGCCCTGGGGCGCGCCGTAGCCTGCGCGAAGGAGGGACGAAAGGAGGGGGGTGAGTGAGTCGCTGGAACGGCCTGAGCGGGCCGAGAGCGGGAGATGGGGCGCACCTTGCTGCTGACCGTAGCCGGTCGAACTCGGCGGCTGGCCCGGGAAGGCGCCCTGGGCGTGCTGCTGCTGCTGCTGCTGCTGGGGCGGAGCGCCGTACGGGGCGGCGGCGGGCGGCGGCGCACCACCGCCGTACCCAGGCGTGGCGGCGGAGCCGGCTTGCTGAGCGGCGGCGAGCTTCGAGGCGAGACTGTTGCGCATGGACGGACGTCAGTTGGGGAGGTCGCCGGAACGAGGTCGGGCGGGACGTGGAGGGGGAGGAGGGGGCGGGGAAGGGCCGCGAGAGAGAGAGAGGGAACGCACCCCATGATGGCTGGATGTGCTGGTTGTGTAGAGAGGAGCGAGAGCGAGAAGCTGGAAGTAGCAGAGTCGTCAGGGGACGACGAGGTGAGGAGCGAGAGGGAGGGCCAGCCTTGGCTGCGTCGGGCCACACGAGGCCACGAGCGGCGAGGCGGTGCAAGTCGCTCCCTCGGCCTCGTCTGACGCTCCCTTTTCTCTCTCAAGCAATGCCAGCGACAGCCCAGCACGACGCACGCGGTAGAACTGCCACAAACGCTGCTAGAATTTCCAGAGTGGTATCCTTGGTTCAAACTCGCCTCGCCTCCTCCTCGCCGTCCAGCCGATTCCGACTCGCACCCGACGCACAACCTCCTCCTCGTCGCTCCCTCCAAGCACACAGAACCGGAAAAGGAAGACGCCCGAGCAGGACGGCCCTCTAGTTCTTCTTGCCGATGCTCGCCTCGAGCTCGCCGTGGCTCTTCTCGAGCTCGGCGAGGTGCGCCTTGGACGCCTCGATCGACTTCTGCAGCGCCTTGAGCTTCTCGCGCTCCTGGTGGGGCGTGAATCGGGCCGTGCGGCGCGAGCGAGGGCGAGGGCGGGAGAATGGGAGGGAGGAGGTGGGGAGGGAGACAGGGCGGCGGCGGCGACGAGAGAGGGTAGGGCGTGCGGCGCAGAGTGCAGTTCGAGGATGGCGAGGGAGAGCGTGGGAGACGAGTCAGTGCCAATTCCTCCCTGACAGCGGCCTTGCGCACGAAGAGAGGGAGGAGGGAAACGGCCCACGCACAGCGTCGCGGACGTACTGGTCCTCGGCGGCCTTCTCGCGCTTCTTCATCGAGTCGTTGCCGTGGCCCGACGGCATACCCTCGGAGCTGCGCACATTGACGGGTCGTCGTCAGCGCGAGGGTTGCGAGGCCGCGGCGAGGGCGGGGGAGGGAGGGGGAGGGAGGGAGAGATGACGCTGCTCACCTGCGGAGGGCAGAGAGGGAGAAGGCGCGGGCCTGGGTGCGGGCGACGCGGAGAGTGTTGGTGACAGCGAGCATGGTGGTGGTTTTGGGCTAGCTGGGAAGGAGCTGTGTGGGAGAGAGGAGAGGGGGAGGAGGAGGGGGAGCAGGAGCGGCTCGGCGGATCTGCAGCCTTCGCGGTGATGCTTGTCACCCTCTTTCTGCGTCTACAGTCGAGTTTCTCCTCTATCCTACAGTCTCGTTGACGCTCTCACAAGACCGCTCGCCCCACTTCGGCTCGCTCAGCTCGACTCGCACCTTTTTCCTTCTCTCGCTCGCGACGAACCGCTCTCCGCTGTCGCTCATTCCGCGTACCGCCTCGAGCATCTGCTCGGCACGTCCGCCGCGGTCACCGTGAGCTCCTCGCCGACCCGGACCGCTTTACCGCGAGTCGGGGGAAGAGAGACGAGCCGCCAAAGGACAGAGGACAGGCTTGCGACGTGCGCGCCCTCGCCATGTGTGCGCCCTTGTTGCGCCTGCGCGCAGCGACTACGCGGTGGCACTCCTCGGGACTGCCCGCAACTCGAGAGACGGAAGCGTGCCGAGGAGCAGGCGAGAAGCCGCAGGAGAGAGCGCCAACCACGAGCGCGCGAGGAAGGACGGCGGACGTCGCCCAGGACGGGTGACTCGAACGTCCGACTCTGCCCTTTAGCAGCTGCCGAGTGCAGGGAAGCGAAAAGCAAGCTCGCCTGGCCCAGGCGGGAGCGAGGCTGGTCGAGGTACCCGCGAGCGAGGAGAGGCCGGACGAGTATGCGTCGGGCGGGGGCAGCGGCAGCGTGTGCCGGGCCTGACTGAACAGGAGCGTAGATTGAGCTCAACGAGGACGGTCCTCGGCGGGCGAGGTGAGGTGGGCGGAACACAGGCCGAGCAGCTCTCGACCCAGGGCTCGTCGCCCCCCTCGCCCTCCCTGCCCAGCACCCCGTCCCTCCTCTACGCCATGTTCGCTCGCCGTGCCCTCCAGGCTGTGCGTCTCACCTAACTGCGACCCCTCCCGCCGTTGCCCGCAGCGCTGACCGTCGCCCCGTCGTCCTCGCAGGCCCGCCCGCTCGCCCGCGCCTTCTCGTCGGCCCCGGTCGCTCGCAAGGGTCAGTCGGCCCTCCGTGCACCCCGAGGACTCGTCGTGGACAGCTGGACAGCTGCCTCGGCGTGCCCAACCCGTACCGGGACCCTCTCTCGCGCGTCGAGGAACCTCCCGAGCTGATGGTGCTTGTCCCCTCCTCCTCCTCGCCCCGATCCCTCCACCACTCGATCCGACTCGACCACCTGCACCGACTCGGCACTCTCAACACACTCGCCTCTCCGACGCACGCCCCACACCGTCCCCGCTGCGCTCCTCCCCTCTCGCAGACTTCGTCCAGGAGCTCTACCTCAAGGAGCTCCGCGCCTACAAGCCCAAGCCCGCCGTGCGTCCCCGTCCCCCTCTCCGACCCGAGAAGCTCGACTGACCCGGCCTCGACGTGCGCGCGCGCACAGGCGGCGACCGCCGGCGCGACCAAGTCGTACTCGACCCCGTCGGCCCCCAAGACCCCCGAGGTGCCCGACGCGGCGGCGCTCGCCAAGGAGCTCGAGGCTTACGACGCGTGCGTTCGCAGGACTGCTCTCTCTATCTCTTGCTCTCGTTCGGCGAACGAGCGCGACACTGACTCGCCCTCTCCTCCCTCGCCCTCGCCTCGTCTCCCCCTCATCTCGACCTGTCGCACATCGTCCGCCCTTGCTCGCTCGCGCTCCCGCCCCACCTCGCCCGACATCCACCCATTCGATGCCCTCCGACGATACGCCCCATGCTCGTACTCGACATGCCCCAACCCCGTCCTCGACGCACCCCGTCTCGGATCCCCCTCCCCTCCTTTCCCGCGCGTCCTCCCTCGCCCACCCGCCGCCGTCCGTCACCAACCTCGACCTCGACGCCCCCGACCCCTCCTTCACGCGACGTACCAGCTCGGTCCCGGTCGCCGACTCGCCCTCGACCTCGACGGCCGAGGTGGTCGACGAGTCCGAGGCCGTCGGCGCCGACGACTACCTCAAGCTCTGCGAGGAGCCCGTCAAGGTCGAGGCCAAGCACTGAGCGGCACCCTGTGCGTGTGCCCTCTCTTCTCGACGGCGGTTCTGAGCGAGGAGGAGGTTGGTAGAAGAGGAGGAACGAGCGAGCGAGCGAGAGCGTTGATCTCCAAAACGAGGTGTCTGTCTCCGGCGTGAGCGAGTCGTGCGAGTGAGGGACCCAGTCGAGGGTGCTCGAGAGAGAAGAACTGTCTTGCAACAGAGGAGAGGGAGAGCCGGACCGTCGCGCTCTTGGGCACCGCCGAATCAGTCGACGTCGGTCCCTCATTCTCCACCGCCTTCGCGCAACTCTCTCACGACGTCCCGCCAAGCCCTGCACCGCCTGCGCCTCCTCCTCCCTACCCTCTCCCGAACCCGCACCCTCACCCGCTCAAGCATGTCGGCCCCGTACGCGCGCGAGCAAGCCATCGCGCTCAGCACCGTCCTCAAGGCGTCGCTGCTCGCGCAGAAGATCCAGGCCGAGCTCGTTGGGTCCGGTGGCGTCGAGAAGAAGGACAAGAGCCCCGTCACCGGTCAGTCGGCGGTTTCTCTCTTCAGGGGTGCTGTGCGTCTCGGGTGGAGGGAGGGGAGATGGGGCGCAGATGAGGCGAGGGGAGGGACGGGGGCAAACGTGCGCGACTGGGCGGGTCCTGCGACTCGAACGAGGTGCATGGAGCACTCGAGCAAGCTCGCTCGGCGGTGTGGGCGTCGAGCCTCGCCGACCGCTCGAGCGCTTCCTCTCGCACCCGCAGCCTCTCCCTTCCCTCCTCGAGCACCTCGACTGACTCTCTCTCGCGGACCACCCACAGTCGGCGACTACACGGCGCAGGCGCTCGTCTCTGCGCTCCTCGCGGCCCACTTCCCCTCGGACGCCATCATCGGCGAGGAGGATTCCGCCGACCTGCAGCGTCCCGAGCAGGCGACCGTCAAGGCCCAGATCGTGCGCCTCGCGGGCGAGGCCATGCGCGAGGAGCTCCCCCTCGCCGACGAGGAGCGCGCGTGGGCCGACGTCAAGCGCGTCGAGCGCGGCGACACCGAGTGGATGGCAGCGATTGACCGCGGCAACAGCGAGGGGGGCGCAAAGGGGCGGCACTGGGCGCTCGACCCGATCGACGGCACCAAGGGCTTCCTGCGCGGCGGCCAGTACGCCGTGTGCCTCGGCCTGATCGAGGACGGCGAGGTCGTGCTCGGCGTCATGGGCTGCCCGAACCTGCCTGTCGACCCCAAGCAGCCCGAGGGCGACAAGGGCGCCCTCTTCGTCGCCGTCAAGGGCCAGGGCGCGTTCCAGGTGCGTCGCAGTCGTCTCTCTCGCTCCCTCGAGCCGGCGCAAGGACCTCCTCGCGCCGCTCGTGCGCGAGCTCAACGTCGACTGACACGCCCTCTCCCTCGTCCGACAGCGCTCCTTCACCTCTCCGACCCTGACCCGCATCACGATGAACTCGCTCGCGTCGCTCTCGGCCGCGTCGTTCTGCGAGTCGGTCGAGGCGGGCCACAGCGACCACGGGACCAACGCGCGCATCGCCGAGCTGCTCGGCATCACGCGCGACAGCGTGCGCATGGACAGCCAGGCAAAGTACTGCTCGATCGCGAGGGGCGACGGCGACATTTACTTGCGCCTGCCCGTTAGCGCGACGTACGAGGAGAAGGTCTGGTGCGTCCTCCCCCCCTTCCCTCCCTCCCTCTCTCTCTCGTCTCTCTCCCGCCTCTCGACGAGCAGCAGCACTGACCCCCGAGCCCACCCGACTCGACTCGACGACTCGCAGGGACCACTCGTCGGGCTCTCTGCTCGTCGCCGAGGCCGGCGGCATCGTGTCGGACATGCACGGCCTGCCGCTCGATTTCTCGCTCGGCCGCACGCTCAAGGGCAACAAGGGCGTCATTGCCGCACCGCGAGAGTGGCACAAGCAGGTGATCGAGGCGGTTGCCAAGGCGGTCGGCGAGGAGGGCAAGTGACCGGGCGCGCGAGCGGGCGAGAGGAAGAGGGCGCGAGGGGAGGGGAGCGGAGGGCACGCGGGTTGTACAGACGCAAGGACCGGGGCGAGGTTGCAAAACGCCACAGCTGTACCATGCTTGCGCTGCTGTGCGAGACGAGCGAGACGACGAGGAAAGAGAGCAGGCTTTCCCGCGCGCGAGCCGCCGCCGCACGAGCCTCTCTCGAGCTCGAGAACGCCGACTCGAGCGGCTCTGTCCAGCTTTCGCCGTCGCGCTCGTCTTTGAGCTCGCAGTCGGCTCTTGCCGAGTCCCAGGCTCTCAGGCTCTCAGGTCCTCTCGCTCGCGCGCTCGTCGGTGCTCTCGGGCCGCGAGAGAGGGAGAAAAGCGAGAACGACATCGCGTTGTACAACACGGGCCTGCACGGACACAGAGGCAAAGACAAACGCTCGAGAAAAGAAAGAGGGGCCTGTGCGGCACGACGGGGAGAGCGTCAGTGCTCGAGAATTGGAGAAAGGAGAGGGAGAGAGAGAGAGAGAGAGAGAAAGCGGTGACGCACCCACGGACCCTCCTCACGCCCCTCCTCCTCACACGACACCCTCACCGAGCCGCTCCTTGGGCGCCGCATCGCTGTGCACGGGCGCGTCGTCGACAAAGTCGGGCAGGTCGGACGTCGATGCGCCGACGGCGTCGTCGCGCAGGTACGACGGGATGGCCTGTTCGTCCTCGGCGAAATCGTCGCCGAGCGCTTCGAGCTCTGCGCGGGGGTGGAGCGGAGTGGGTGTGGGGCGGGTCAGTGAGGCGCGAGTGAGGGGAGGAGGGGAGGACGAGAGAGGGAGAAGGAGGGAGGGAGGAAGGAAGGGACGGACCGGCGTCGAGGTCGATCTCGTCGAGCTCGTCGGGCACGCCGTACGAGCGCGACATGGACTCTTGAACCTCGTTGGCCTGATCGATGAGGTCCTCCATGTCGTACTGCATTTGCTGCGGGGCGTCGGTCCCGACGAGAGGGGAGAGGGTCAGCGCGCCGAGCCTCGAGACGTCCAAGGGAGAGAGAGAGAGAGAGAGCGGGACGCACCTCGATCTTGTCGACGTCGACCTTGCCGTACTGCTTCTTGAGCTCCTTGTTGGCCGTCTTCATGGCGTCGACGGTCGCCATCGTGTTGCGCAGGTTCTCGGTCGTCAAAGAGGCCTGCTCCATGTTGAACGTCTGCTGCTGCAGCTGGCCGACCTGGGCCTCGTACAGCTTCTTCTGCTTGAGGACACGGAGGGCGCGCTGCTGCACTGCGCTCTGCGGGCGAGTCGAGTCGAGTGAGCGAGTGACGGTGACGGTGGGGGGGGGGGGGGGGGGCAACGAGGCGGTGTCCAAGAGAGAGAGGAGGGCGCACCTTGCCCGGTCCGTCGCGCATCTTGCGCATCTGGTCGCGGTATTTGGTGAGCTCTGCGTCGAGCTTGCGGACCTTGACCTCGATCGAGTCGATGCGGAGGTCGGTCGAGGCGATGGCGTCGGTGAGGGACGGTTTGGGCTTTGCCGAGGACGAGCCAAAGAGGCGGTTCATGGCGGGTGGTCACAGGGCTCGAGTGTGGGTGGAGCGGGCTGGCTGAGGCGAGGTGGGGGGGTAGTGACTGAGCGGCGACTCCGAGGAGGAGGAGGAGGAGGGGGAGCTGGCGAGAGAGGAGAGGGGCGAGCCCGGATGCGGGTGAGCCGGGTGGTACGGACAGGAGTAGAGAACGGGGCGGACGAACGTCGGTGTTGGTCTCTGGCGGCAAGTCCGTCGACGGCGGGCCCGGGAGTAGACTCGCCTCATCACCTCTCTCCCTCTCCCTCCCACCCTCACCAGCTACCGAGCACCCATGACTCGCCCCATACCCGTACAAGCACAGCGCAAACGCCCCTCGAAATCCTGCATCGCCTGCCGCACCGCCAAAGCCAAGGTCCGCCCCTCTTCAGCCTCATCTCCCTCTTCGAGTCGACTGACCCGCATCCTCCCTCGTGCAGTGCACCGGCTTGACCGAGGCGTACCTCCACGCCGTCGACGACCCGCAACAGCTCGCCGAGTGGCCAAAACCCTGGCCCACCTGCGACCGGTGCTCGCGCTCCGGCGCCGCCTGCACCTTCCTGCCCTCGCGCCGCAAAGGCCGCCCGCGTCGCCTCCCCAAGGACGACAACGACGGCGACGAGGTGTCGCACCACCACGACCACGACCGCCGCCGCGAGCAGCCTGTCGCGTCCGGCTCGGGCTCGGGCTCGTCGTCGTCTGGCGACAGGTCGCCGTCGACCACCCACACGTCGCTCCCGACCCCGGACGCCCTGCCGCCGCAACCATCCTCCTCGTCCACCACGACCACGACGACCACGACGACGGCGCCGGCGTGCGACTTTCTCCTCCCGGCCGCGGCCACAGCCGTCACCGACGTCACCCTCCCCCTCCCGAGCGCACCACCGCCCGCGCACGCCTTCCCCTCGATCGTCGACATCGCCGCCCGCTACATCGAGACGGCGAGCGTGTGGTGCCCGTTCCTCCCGCACTCGATGCCCGTCCTCCACGCCTACCTCTCGCGCGCGCCGTCGTCGCTCCCGCACGCCCTCGCCTCGCTCCTCGACCCTCGCCTCGCGCCACCGCCGTTCGACCCAGGCGCACTCGCGTGCCCGGCCCCGCTCGCGAGCATCCAGACGGCGCTCGTCCTGTCGCTGCACGCGTTCGCGTTCAAGGACCGCGCGAGGTCGATCGACCTCCTCCAGTGGGCGTGCCGCGAGCTGCGCATCGCTGGGTGGCACGGCGACGCGACGCCGCCCGAGGCGGGAGGGCACGAGAGGGACCTGCTGGTCAGGGCTGGGTGGTACGCGTGGGGGATCGAGATCCACATGGGCTTCATCTGCGGCGTGCGGGCGAGCATCTTGTGCGACGTGCCGCCACCTGCCGTTGTGCGTCTCCCTCTCACTTTCTCGCTTTCCTTGGCGACGCGATACTGACCTCGCCACCGTCGCCCCGCAGCTCGACCCGTTCACGCTCCAGCGCCACGTCCTCGCCGTCGCGCAAGACGCGACCGACTACAGCGGTCTGTGGAGCCTCGACATCCCCTCGCGCGACGCCTACATCGCCTCGATCGTGACGCGCGCCACGTCGCTGCACGCCTACGCCCTCACGTCGCTCGCCAACCCGGCCTTGTCGGCGCCCGCGCAGCGCTCGCCCCTGTTCTCGGCCGCCCTCATCTCGCAGACGGCGACCGTGCTCGTCCTGTCGAGCCTGAGCCCGCTCAGCCCGCTCATCGCCCCGCTCCTCCCTTGCTCCCTCGACACGACGAGCCCGCCACCGCCACCGGGCACCCACGTCCGCAACCGCATCACGCACGCCGCGCGCGCCATCACCGACGTCGTGCGCGCGCATGCGCGCTCGACCGGCGCCCCGTTCCCGCCGACGGTCGACGCCGACGGCCACGAGCACCCGAGCGAGCGCGTCCACTCGCCCTTCTTCGGTTGCTGCCTCGTCGTCGCCGCCCGAGGCGCCCTCCTCGCCGCCGAGGACGTCGTCCTCGCGCGTGCGCACGCCGCGTCGCTCAGCGACCACGAGGCGGCCGAGTTGGCGTGCTTGGGCGCCGACTTGGACCTGTGCGAGAGCGAGCTGAGGAGGCAGGCGGGACACTGGCCGGCGAGCGAGACGCTCGCGACCGAGGTTGGGCTGCTCAGGAGGACGGCCGGCGTCGTGTGAGCGCGCCTGCGGGCGGCACTCGACGCTTTGTTACTGTGTCTGTGCCTGCAACGACTTTCGTGCTCTGTCGCTCGAGCGAGTCGAGAGAGCGCTCAGGCCTCGTCCAAGAGTCGCTCGCTCGGCGCAGGAGCCTTGGAGCGAGGTCCGCCCCCTCTTCTCTTTCGCCTCTCGCGGCGCCGCAGCACTGACCCGACCTCTCGGACAGTTCCCCCACGTCGTCAACAACCCGCACACGGTCCGCGACCGCCACTCGGAGCCGCTCATCCGCCGACCGGGCGCGTGAGAGGGCGCGGCGACGTTCTCTTTTGCCCCGTAGACGTCTTTCGCTCGCAATGCCAGCCTCTCTGTGCATCTCTCGAGTAGCTTGATTCGAGAGAGAGTCGCTGCGGCCAAGTAAAGATGGCTGGGAGCAGCGCGAGCCAGCCTTTCCGTCGCCCGCAACTTGGGAAGGCCGCCCTCATCTCCCCCTCGGCACAGCAGCGGCGCGAGCGGTGGGTGCGACTATAGCTCGTCGCTGCGGCATCACTGGAAGCTGCTGGCTCATCTGTGCTCTGCTTCGAGGCGAGAGAGCAAGCCGGGACGGAAAGTGCGGGGAAGCGCACGGACCGTCGGCGAGCCGACTACGTCGACGGCGACGGCGGTCCTCTTGACCGCCGCCCTTGGCTCGAGCGTCGATGCTCCTGTGCGCGATCTGCACGCACGATCGCTGCGCGGAAAGCCCGCGTTCCGGAGAGTCCGCGGTCGGCTCGGCAGGGACGTGGCTCGCGTGCGCTGCTTGCCTTGCCATCTCCTCCTCTCTCGCTTGCCTCCCTCGCAGCCTCTCTAGCCAGCATGAAGGCATCAGAACTCGTACAAGACGTCATGCACCTCAACTTTCTCCTCTCGCGCCACGGGCACGCTCACGTCTTCATCCGTGCGTCCACCTCCCTATCGAGCTCGCGCACCCTCGCGACTGACTTGCGACGCCGGGTACAGGTCGCGAGGCCGTTCTCCTGCACCTCACTGAGCTGAGGAACAAGCCCGAGATGGCCGGGAATGCGTTCTGCCGCGCGATCGACAGCATCTTGTCGGCGGACGTCGGGCCTGAACCGGTGCGCCCGTCTCGCTCTCCTTGTCGGCGAGAGCCGCCTAACGTCACAGCTCGTCCCGTCGCAGACCTTCATCGTCGGCGTCGACGTCGGTGACCCGATCCAGAAGCTCACGCGCTGGCTGCAGGAGCCGTCGCAGGACTTTGAGCTGCTGCCGAACGGCCCAGGAGCACAGACTCTGGTTCGTCCCGCGTCTCTCTTACGTTCTCGAGAGCAGATCACTGACGCTCTGGATACCGCCGCAGGCATTCCGCTCGCCCACGTTCGAGGGGTCCGTCCTCCATTCCGCACCTTTGAGGCGGCTCGCCAGCTCACCTTGCTTCTTCACTCCTCGCAGGCGCCGGTATCGCTTCAGCCTCATGGCGACCAGCCTCAAGCGTGTCCCGTCGACGCTCGTCGCCCTCCCGTTCGAAGGCGTCGCGAGGACTGTGCCCGTCGTGACGGTCGCCGGCATGGTCAGCACGGTGCTCCTGAGCCTGCTACTCCCAGGCCGCGCCCCCCTCCAAGGAGCCGGACTTGGCCGCATTCGCGTGCTGCTTCTCGCGCAGGACGCGACTCGCTCCGCCGGCGACGGCCCGCTTCCACGCCACGACCTGTTCGGGCTCTCGCCGCGCGAGTGGGCGCACCAAGTGCCGCGCGACGTCACCAAGGACGAGTACATCGCGTGCGCCGAGCGCCTGCACGAGGCGTCGAGGACGGACGGGTACAAGGCGCTCGCTGCGGAGATGGCGAAGAGGGAGCACGACTCGGGCCAGCTCGAGCGGCTCGTGCGCGAGTGGACGATCGGGCTCAAGCTGCTCGCGGCACTCTTTGCGGTGCGTCGACTCGTCCTCTCCTCGTCCGTCTAGCTCGCGGTGCAGTCGCTGACTCGTACGAGCGCCCGCAGGAACCGTGGGGGTCCGTACGTCGCCGCTCTCCCTCCTCCTCTCAGCCGCACCGCCCTGACCCTGTTCCCTCCTCGACAGTTTTCCGGGGTCGTGCAGAACCCGCACACGGTCCGCAACCGCCACTCATACCCGCTCATCCGCCGACCGAGCGTGTGACGCAGCTCGACCTCCTTCCTCTCCTTGCCGTACTTTCCCCCTCGCCCGTGCAACTCTGCTCCCTCAGTGCTCCTCACACATGCCCGTATCGACGAGAGAGCTATGCGCGCCTCGCCCGAAACTCTCGGAGCGCTCTGCGAGAAGCTCGATCCGTCTCGCTCAACATAGGAAGGTCGACCAGCTGCTGCCCTCTCGCGCTCTCGTCGGGCAAGCGACGGCCAGGACTCGCGCAGAAGGAGCAAGTGGGCATTGCAGGGAAGACGGGAGCTGCAGAGACGGGCGCTAGACAAAGACGTTCCTCCTCCCGAACGCTCGGCGCGCCGCCGGCTCGAACTCGCGCTTCGCGAGCGAGTGGTGGTGGCGAGGCATGTGGGCGTAGTGGTCGTGCTGCGAGATGGCAAGAGAGATATGTCAGGACGAGGTGGCCGCGAGAGGGAAGGTCGAGAGCGGCGTACGGCGCCCTGCGGGCGCAGAGAGGGTCAGTGCACGAGGGAGGCGAGGGAGGACGGCGGGGAAAGAAAAGAGCGACGCACAGTGAGGAGGTCTTTGAGGGCGCCGCACAGCTGCGTGTACTGCGCGTGGAGGAGCGCCTCCTGGCGGAAGTGCGCCCGCGCCTGCCCGTTGGCGTCCCACTCGAACATGGCGGCCTCCACGGCGACGTTGTTCTCAAACCTCGCGAGCCAGACGTCCATCGCCGCGTCACCCTCCTCGGACAGGAGCGTGCCGTAGACGGCTTGCCGCAGCGCCTCGGTCACGCTCGAGAAGGCCGGGCGAGCGTGCGGGCGCCCGGCGGCGGCAAAGACGCGCGCGCTGTCGATCTCGTCGCGGCCGAGCGAGACGGCCCACCGGACAAGCGTCAGGGCGGCGCAGATGCCCTTGGCGTTGTCCGTGTCGGCGCCGAGGATGAGCGCCTGGACGGCGACGAGCGGCCAGGTCGCGTAGAGGAACGCCGAGCCCGTCGGGTCCGTGTACGAAGCGACGAGGCTCGAGTGGAACGGGTTCTGGACGTAGCGCAGGTGGCAGGCGACGTCGAGAGTCGGTCCGACGTTGAGATGAGGGAGCGCTCCGTGCTTAAGCGAAAGACGCTTGTCTGGGGGGGGGGGGGGGCGCGAGCGAGAGTCAGGACGTGGACCACGTTCTCGAGGATTACGAGAGGGACATGGGCGCACCTTGAACGGCTGCTGCAGGGCGCTCGTGCACTCGCCGTCGACAGAGTCCTTGAACTGCCTCTGCTCGTCAAGTGCCTCGGTACGCGACATGCTCGACGGCATGTGGATGACGATCGGCTGCAGGCGAGGGCTGGTGTCAGGAAGGGCTCGTCCTGCTCGTCGAGGAGAGGAGAGGGAGGACGTACAAAGAGCTTCGTCGGAACCTGGAGGAACTCGAGCTCCTTCGAGATGCTCAGCAGGTAGATGTGGCGGTCCTTCTCCTCCTGGGTGCGGTGGCGCTCGATGAGCTTGCTGGCGATGCCGAGAGCAGCAAGACCTGCGTGCGAGGCAAGACTCGTCAGGAAAGCCAAGTCGAACGAGGAGAGAGGGAGAGGACGCACCGTCGAGGACGAGGACCGAGCCGGGGACCTCGCGCTGAAGCGGGCGCAGGATCTGGCCGTACCCGAGGTTGGCGCACTGGAACGCGTTCCACGAGCCTGAGAGTGCGCCCGCCATGTCGAACGTAGACGAAAGCGAGAGCGAGAGAGAGCAAGAAGCGACGCAGCGCGAAGACGCGACCGCGGACACGGTCCGTGCCCACGGAGAAGCCGCCGCTGCTGCCCGAGACGGCGGGCGTCCGTACAGGGGCGAGGCACGATGGGACCGAGCCTCTCTCTGGAGACGACCGCGATCGAGCGCCGAGCGGGACGGGGCCGGCGTCGAGGGGAACGAGGTGCGAGAAAGTCGAAATTTGGACGAGGGCGACGAGGGGGAGGAAAGGAGACCATCCCTCCTGGTCTCGCGCGTGTAGAAACCCGGGTATCTGTACCACCTGCCCTCCTACCTCGAGCGTGCCGTCCAACCGCCGCTCCCGTCCCGTCCCGCCCGCTCGAGCCGCCACCAAACAGCGCGCCCGGCGCGCTCACTGCTTCTTTGCGCGGCTGCGCGTGCTCCTGGCGGGCGTCTCGGTCGCCGTCGCGTCGAGCACGTTGGCCTCGCTGACGGCGCTCGTGATGTCCTTGACGGCGGCCTTGACGGGCGTCGTGACGGCGTTGGCGGCGCTGCGGGCCGACGACGAGGAGGCGCCCGACGATGACGACGACGACGACGCGCCGCCGACGTGCTTGCGGCGCTGCGAATGCATGTACTTCATCATGAAGGCGAGGCCTGCGCGAGAGAGAGGGTGAGCGAGTCAGTGAGTCGGCTCGCGACGCCGGGAGGAGGAGGGGGGCTGGGAGGGACGCACTGGGAGGCCAAGCGCAGACGACAAAGTAGGCCCAGGCGCCGGCGAGTGCGCCGTACGCCGCCTTGGCGGGTGCGGCCGACTTGATGAGGAGGACGGCCTCCGAGCCGGCGCCGACCGGGTACAGGACGTAGAACGCCGTGTAGCTGCGAGCGGCGAAGAGCGTCAGGCGCGCTGAGCGAGTTTGACTCAGGCGCAGGCTGAGAGAGAGAGAGGGGACGCACCGGAGCCACTCGAGCGCGTTAATCTTGACGCCGGCGAGGCCGGCGACGTAGTGCGAGTAGCGGATGATCTCGGCGAACGACCAGGCGGTGATCATCGACAGGTAGACGGGCGAGCGGGCGACCTGCGCAACAAACCCATGCACGTCAGCCTTGCTCGAGCCTTTGCAAAGGACCGAGGGCAGGGACGAGTGAAGGATAGCGCGACGCACCTCGGGGAAGAGCTCGCCGACGCCCCAAGTGAGCATGAGGCGGGACGTGATCTGGGCGACCGTGGTACCGAGAGGCGACCGGCTGCAGATTACCCAGGGAGGCTGTCAGCACCGCGAGAGGAAACCGCGAGAGAGAAAGGGAGAGGGGACGCACACGAGCCCGATCGCCGAGTGGACAGCCTCGAGGAGGGCAGCCGTCTGGACCCACTTGACCGTCTGGCCAACTCTGCAGGAGGCAATTGGAGGGTCAGGACGGGTCGCCCTGCCAGTGCGAGCCAGAAGGAGAGGAGGACGCACGCATCGTAGGTGCCGCTCGCGCGCTTGACGAGCGTCTCGCCGGTCGACTGCCACCCTGCCCACTCCTTGAGTCCCGTGTACCCGTCCCCACCGAGCATGTGCTCGGCGGCGCGCAGCAGGACGTAGCCCCACAGGCCCGCCGAGACGAGGTTGTACGCCGTGAGGTACAGGCGCAGCGGCGGGCTCGGGCCGCGCGAGGGCTTGCGGGTCGAGGTGGTGGGCTTGGCCATTGGGGTGCTGGTCGTGCGAGGTCGGGCTCTCGAGGCGGGTCGAGGTTGATTGACGAGACGAGAGATGAGAAGGGTCGGCGAGGTCGGCGCCTCGGGCAAACAACGGCCGACCTTGGTCTCGCTGCCACTGCACGACGCTCTGCGCTCTCTTAAGTGCTCGCAGTCACGTAGAAAGGCCGCTTTCCAAAAGATGGACCCGCTCGAGCGAGGTCAAGACGCGATAGATATTTCGCCGGGCGAGGGAGAGAGCAACGCTCGACAGACAACACAAGGAGCTACGGCAAGAGGACGCGAGTACAAGGGCACGACAGGGAGAGGACGAGCTAGGTACAAGGGTGAGGGGTAGGGAAAGGGGAGGCCGACCGGCGGCGCGAGGGGGAAAGACGAAGGAGAGAGCCGTACGCGGCGACGACTAGAAGCCGTACACGGACGCGGCGTCCTCGGCGTTGAGCTCGACGCCGGCAGCCGAAAAGACGTCCGAGATCTGCGCGAGGGGACGGTGCGTCAGTGAGGAGAACGAGGAATGCGAGAAGGGACGGGAGGGGGAGAGGGAGCGCACCTCGGCGTGGCCTCGCGTCGTGTGCATGCGCGAGGCGTACAGGCACTCGATGTAGTCGTCCTCTGCATCGGAAGGGCGAGTCAGTACGAGCGACCGGTGCGGGTGTGCGGGAGGAGAGAGGGAGAGAGGGGGGCGCACCGGGCGAGTACTCAAAGACGAACTCGCCGCCGAGCTGGGTCTGGCTGCCCGGGTAGCTGGGCATGGCGATGCCGGCCTGCGCACGCTCACGATCGAGTCAGCGACGCGTCGGCGGGGACGAGTGACGGAGAGAGCGAGAGGGACGCACCGAGATGGACGACGTCACGTTGCCGAGCTGGCTCTTGACGATGTAGCTGCCCTTGTCCGAGTCTTTGCCCATGTCCCACGTCTTCTTGTTCATCTGCAGGGGGCTCTCGAGACTTGTTAATCGCCGCGCCTCGAGTGTGAGAGAGAAAGGAGGACGCACGCCGAGCGCCTTGTAGAGGTCCCTCGCGCGGTTCGTGTACAGCGGGAACGGTGTCTTCATGCGTTGGCGGTACGTCGCGATGAGCTTTGGCGAGCCCGAGTTGACAAAGACGATGTTGAGCTCGGGAACGTGCGACATGGGCTGAGTGCGGTCGCCCGGCTGGCAAAAAGCGCTCGTCTCGAGCGACACGAGGTTGACCGTCACCTTGTTGAGCGCGTCGACGTACTGGGCGCACAGGCCGCACCACGCGTGCCGCAAGAAGCTGTCGACGCAGGCGAGGGTCAGTCGTCGGCGTCGTAGAAGCGAGAGAGAGAGAGAGGGGGGACGCACACGACGACGGTCCGCCGAGGGCCGTTGGCCTTGATCAGGTCGCCAAACTTGTGCGTCTCGCCGTCCTCGCCGACGACGTCGCAAGCCGCCGCCGTCGCCATATCCTCGATGGTCGGCACCTTGAACCGCTCGAACTGGGGGCGGGGCCGACGCTCCTTGCGCTTCTTCTTGGTCGTGCCGTCGAGCGTCGTCACGCCCGGGCGCCGCTTCTTGACGAGCTTGTTGGGGCGGCGCCGAGGGCGCCGCTTCTCGCCGTCGGTCGCGGTCGTGAGGCCCTCGTCGACCGACGACGACGAGGCGCCGACGAGGCCGCCGTCGCGCGCCTCGAGGACGCGGTCCTCGGGGAGCGGCGCGAGCCCTTGCTCGGCGAACGCGCTCGGGCGCCGAGCGAGCGGGATGGCCGGCAGAGGGAGGCTCGGGCGCCGGCTCTGCTCGGCGAGGAAGTGGGCGGTCGGGAACGGCGAGTTGAAGTGGGCCTGCGCCTGGAGGATGAGGTCCTCGGCTTCGGCGGCGAGCTCGTCGTCCGAGTCGAACTCGTCGTCGTCGCGCTCGGCGTCGTCGTCGTCGTCGTCGTCCGCCGACGCTTCTTCATCTCCCTCGAGCTCGCCCTCGTCCTCGTCGTCGTCCTCCTCGTCGAGCTCGTCGGGATCGGGCATGTCGCAACCGCAGCCCTCGCCGGCGACGTCGTCGCCCTCGGCGCCGAGCTGACACGACGGTGCTGTCGGCTCGAGAGCCGCCTTGGCCTGCGCCTGCACGACGAGCTCCTGGGCCGAGGGCGGCAGGGCGCGGACCTCGGGCTGCGGCTGCGGCGGCGACGGCGGCGCGACGAGCGACGGGAACTCGCCGAGGTCGAGCGCTGCGAGGAGCGCGGCGGGCGTGTCGACGGCGGGGACGGGGACGCGGCTCGGGCGCCGGCGCTGCACCGTCGGGAACACGGTCGCCGCCTTGAACCGGGGCAGCGGGTCACCGCCGCCGCCGTCGAGGTCGTCGCCGTCGTCGTCGACGCTCGAGGGGCGGGTCGACGTCGTGCGACGCCCAGTCGTCGTCGCGACCGAGGCGTGCGAGAACGAGCCCGAGCTCTCGTCGTGCGACAAGGACGAGGGCGACTCGGCGCCGGCGTCGTCGATGCTGGTGTGGGCGGTGACGGGGCCGACGGGCGGGTAGCCGGGCGTGACGAGCGGAGGGAGGGACTGGAGGGGAGGGAGGCGAGGCGACGACGAAGACGAGCCCGTCCCGGAGAGCGGCGGGAGCGCGACGGCGGCGGGAGGTGGCGCGGTGCTCGGGGTCGACGAGGGGCGCCGTCTGCGCGTAAAGATGGCGGGGACCATCGCGCTGGTGCAGTTGCGGCGACGGCGGCGGTGGTGGTGCTGCTGCTGTCCTGGCTCGAGACGAGCAGGTGGGTCGAGTGGGTCGAGCGCCAGGGGTCAATGGTGAGAGGCGGTGTCGGCGAGCGTCGAGGGGTCGGGGGTCGGGCGCAGGGCGGTGGGCTGGCTCGGAGCGTGCACTGGGCTGGGTTGCAGGCAGCTGTGCCTTGAGCAGGGCGGCAGTGGTGGTGGTGGGAGCAGGGCGCGGTGAGAGGTCGAGCGGCCGACCCCCTGAACGTCGACTGCGGGCCTCGCCCAACCGTCTTCACCTGCCTCGCAGGGCCCAACTCTGCAATTTGCTTGCAAGTGGGCGCCGCACGTGGCGCTTAATGAAGACAAATCGTCATCGAAACGCCGACGTCGGACTTTCCCCTCGCAGAAGCTGCGCGAGAAGAGTCCGGAAGCCCGCCGCACGTGCGCACGGACCTCCCTTCTTCCTGGGCCCTTCAGCGTCGCTCTCTCGTGGCTCTCGTGGCTCTCCCCTCTCGCTCGACCGCCGCAACCGGCACGCTCGCGCACTTCCAACGCACCGCGTTGCACGCTCAAAACGTCCCCGCCCCGTGCAGGAACAGCGCGCGCTCCTCGCGCTTGACCCACCGGCTGACGGCCCTCGCCGCGCTCACGACGGCCGAGTGAGGCAGCAGCGGCGCCGTCGCGAGGTACAGCTCGAACTGGGGCGTGACCTGGGTGCGGGAGGAGAGAGGGGGAGTGTCAGAGCGAGAGGTCGGTGGACCGAGGCTCGCGAGGGCCGCAAGAGGTTTCGAGAACGCGCTCCTGCGGGACGAAGCGAGAGAGAGAGCAGGGGACGCACCCAACCGAGGACGGCCTCGTGCTCGGTGCGCAGGTACTGCACCTGGGCCGGCGGGCGCGCAGCAGTGCCCGCTGCGGCGGGGCGAGGGTGCAGCGCGTCGTGCACGTGCTGGTACAGGGTCGTGAGCCTGCGAGGCGGGGCCAAGAGGGGACAAGAATAGGTCAGGCTCGTCGAGCCCGTGCGGCCCGCCGAGAGAGAGAGAGAGAGAGAGAGAGAGGAAGAGAGAGCGTGAGACGCACCGCATCCTCGCCCGCTCGGCCCGCTCCTCCTCCTCCGCCTCCTTCTCCCCTCTCCCGCCCTTGCCCTCCCCCCCGCCCTCGCCCTCGGCCGCATACTCGCCCTCCCACCTCGGCGCCGTCACCTGCACGAGCCCGCGGTCCTTGTACACGAAGTGGCGCAGCCCGGCACGGCGAGCTCACCGAGCGAGTAGGCCTGGCGCAGCTGACAGCCATCTCGAGCGCG